AGATACTACAGCGTGGTACCTAAATACAACACACTTCTCTCTGTCTGCCGCTCAGCAGCAACTGCAGCTGTATACAGGTGTTGCCCTTGATCGAAAACAACAGTCGATTTTATCTAATCAACTTCGATTATTAGCGATATAGCCCCTATACATTACATGGCCTCTTGTCTCTGCATGTTGTCGGGTTGCACAACGTATTGTTTACAGTCCACAAGATTGTTCACACATTGGGTATGATCAAAGTTGATTAAAAAACACCGGGCAGGTTAATTGTGTATTGAATTTGCCACAACACCACATTGTCAATGACCGGTGTTATTAGGGAGGGAGTGTATGGATGCCCCACGGGGTTACAACCACCCGTTGGGGGATATTGTCAAGTGGTAAGGCGTCATAATTGATCGGTTCCTCCTCTTCACATTCAGGGAACTCTCGCTGATTTAACACAATGAATGAGAGATGTCAATTTTTCTATTCTTTTCAATTCGACGTTTCCATGTTGGTTCTGGTGCAATCAAAGAGTGACTGACTGAGTTTGGTTTTACGTCGCTTTTAGCAATATTCCAGCAACATCACGGCGGGGGACACCAGAAATGGGCTTCACACATTGTACCCATGATTCGAACTCGGGTCTTCGGCGTGACGAGCCAACGCTTTAACCACTAGACTACCCCACCGCCCCTCAAAGAGATAGAACCCCTGCTATATTCACAGGTTACCTATGTAAAGAGTGGAGTCGAGTGTAGGTCTTTAGCTTAATCATAAGCACATAGTTATGAATCACTAACACATAGTGACAATACCAGTTCGCAAAAGAGAGCGCGAAACGTGCACCACCGGTGGCACCTGTCATAAACACCTGCAAAGTCTAGTCATTTGTTCTTCTGAATAGACACGGGAACATAATTATCGTACAAGTCAAACGAAGGAATTGCATTAGACATGCTTGTTTGTCCCTAACAACTTTGAAAATGCCCTTCACATGTCTGCCATAATACCTTTGAAAACTTTATTGAGGCAAGCAACTGATCAAATTACTTCAGCGATGGCTTCCATAAACCTAAGTGTCATCAGAACATTGCCTTTTCATGGTAAGCTTCATATCGATTGTTCGACCAGTTGTCAGAGTTTCAATTTTATGGAAACCGCATTGGCTGGAAGGATTAGATCGCTAATTTTGTGTGTTGGCAATTAGGCGCCTCTATCTGGCAGTGTGGGTTCGAATCCCGGATGGGACTCAACCCAAAACAGTAGTAGAGTCAGTACTTTACTAAGGGTAGGTAGGTACTCCGTGCAGTCTATAAGAGACATATATACGATAGGACTGGAGTCTGGAAGCAGGTTAAACACTGTATGCCACGAACCACTAACCGCGATATAAATACAACGTGGATTGTATATCCTTCATTTGGCTCGTGAAATAACGGTAACTGCATGATGAGGCGTGCTGTGTGGTTGTGATTGTTTTCATACAATCAATGGTGATTACTATTTACGAGGAATGTGACTTACTATCGGGGAAATCAGAGAACGCGATGATATCGGACTATACATCCATTTAGTGCACGCTCAAAGGAGTGCAAGACCAGCAGTACACGTGACTTACAAATGATACAGCTAAAACCAATAGGCTTTCATTGAATAAGGACCCGTGAAGGTCCGGGTTAGAATTGATCTTCAGTAGGCCTAATCCATGTTTGCCCACAGGCAAACTGTAGCGCAAATAGGTTGCGCAACAGAGAGAAAATGACCAGTCTTTTTATATGCAAGCGAAGCACGTAGGAGGCGACTAACGGGATCGGGTGGTCAGGCTCGCTGGCTTGGTTGACACATGTCATCGGTTCCCAGTTGCGTAGATCGATGCTCGTGCTGTTGATCACTGGATTGTGTGATCCAGACTGGATTATTTACAGACCGCCGCCATATAGCTGGAATATTGCTGATGCGGCGTAAAACTAAACTTACTCACTCACTCATCGAATAAGGTATTTCAATCTAGAAGATGTGTCAAAATAACAATTCATAATCGTGGAGTATCCAGGATATCATTCGCTGGATAATCGAGTAAGCCGTTTAAATTGATTTGCGCATACAGACATTGACAAAATGCATGTGCAGTAAACTACGATTATGGCCATTTCAAAGGGACCACTAATTATCGTTCGATATTACCGTATTTCGTATATGCATTTCTGGTGAAACATACAGGGGAGTGGCTGCGACCTGACAAAATCAGTTGGTAATAACGCCATTCCCTTTATACACCCGTTTGGTATAACAGAGTTCCACTGGATGTACGAGGGGTGGTGATGGGTTTGGGGGGATTATTGGTTTATAGGAATATAACGCCTGAACAACCCGTTGTAACGATGATGATGGTGATGATGATGGTGATGATGATGATTTTACGTCGCTTTTAGCAATATTCCAGCAATATCACATTGGGGAACACCAGGAATGGGCTTCACACATTGTACCCATGTGGGGAATTGAACCCGGGTCTTCAGCGTGACGACCGGAGGCTTTAACCATTGGGCTACCCCACCGCCCCGTGAGCAATTTAAGATGAATAGCAACTTAGTGGAGATATACAGTAACTATTCAAATGACATCCGAGACGTTGATGGGTAAATATACATATTTATGCATAAGATACTTTGGGTTTTATAAACTCTTTTAGCGGCATTATGTTACAGATACACATGTAGGAATCTAGGTGGAAACAATGCATAAAACAGAAGTTGTTATCAATACAATTGTGCGTTTTCATATTTGTTTATTTCAGATTGAGTTCTACATTTTACAGAAGATTAGAATGTTTAGAAATTTATGGCATATATCGCATCAAAGTAAAAATATTTTGATAAGCAATATCCAGTAGGAAATATCAGTTACGACGGGGAAAAAGGTACATGTACGTATATATTCACAAATGTCTGATGGTGATTAATAATGAAATAAATAAAAAATGTTTTTTCGATTACAATATTTTTCACACGGGCGTTTTGGACCCCCAAATCTCGCTTCTTACGACTAACATGGGTTGCTGAAGATCATATTCTAACCCATCTTCACGTTTAAAACAGTGCTTTGAAGAAGCACTGGTAGGTTTAATAGCTCTTGCAGCCATGCTATTTATTATCATCTTTATTGCTCATTCATAACATGCATTCACCGTCACAGCGTGCGTTTATAGACAAGAGTAATAGACAATTACTGATATATACACAGACTGCTAATCAAGATTCCCAATCACAGTCCGCGCGTGCTGATTACATGTTACATAAATTTCCAAAACGTAACACGGATCAGTAGCCTAAAGACAAACTGATCATACAATCTCGTTAACGAGTCTGATGTAAAATCAGGACATCCATATAAAGTTGATTCTCGCAACAAACCAATCACCGCGACATGTAACAAAGTCTGTGAAAGACGTTAAACAACTAGTGGTGGTCCGATTAATTGAAATAATCGAAGATTGGTCGCAGTGACTAAACGATCAAGCAATCGATCATGTTTTCTCATAATCGAACACAAACAATTCTGGAACACGTGTTTTCATCAACAATATTTTTCACAAGGTTGGTTTTATCTATTACATTTAATAAGCACTACAAGCTTGTTCCATGTCGTGATTGAATTCATCTTAAAGACACCAAGAAAATTATGTTCCCAACATACTAGTCATCCTTTAAAGATACAAAATTTTGCCAAAACACCCTACAAAAAATAACTACATGTTTTTTTCCTTATTTTTTGTGCATTAACAAATTTCCTAAAAGACGCTAACCAATTATTTTCGATGATTGATCGGTGGTAATGAACCGGGGCGGTGGGGTAGCCTAGTGGTTAAAGCGTTGGCTCGTCATGCCGAAGACCCGGGTTCGAATCCCCACATGGGTACAATGTGTGAAGCCCATTTCTGGTGTCCCCCGCCGTGATGTTGCTGGAATATTGCTAAAAGCGGCGTAAAACCAAACTCAGTCAGTCAGTCAGTGGTAATGAACCAATCATCAATTATGAAATTTTAACCAATTCCCAACACTAGAAACAACACAAAACGATAATATCTCAATTGGATCTCATGGTGGTTGGTTTGTTGTCTACCCCGCAGACCCCTCAGCAATATTCCGGTCTGTAAATACTTGAGTCTGGACTAGGCAATCCAATGATCAACAGCATGAGCATCGATCTACGTTATTGGGATACGATGACATGTGTCAACCAAGTCAGCGAGCCTGACCCCCGATCCCGTTAGTCGCCTCTTACGACAAGCATATGGGTGGCTGAAGACCTATTCTAACCAGGGTCTTCACGGTTCTGGATTTCATGTACGGTTGATGCGAGTGCAAACTTGACAACTTTTGACATTCACAATACTTTAAAAAATAACATACATTTCATAACACCATATAATGCAATGCATAGTGCATATTTTAAGAAACTGAAATGTTTCTGTTGGCCCAGTTCCCAGACACGTGCCAGAAACTTATGGTTGTGGGTTCAAAACCTGAATGTGTCCCCACATTTCCATGCTCCAGTGACGGTAAGCATTTAAAACCTGCATCTCATATCAGCCTGAAACGACATGAAATACCGAATATCTTTAATAATTTTAAAAGCAGCTTTAATTATGATCACTCAGATTATTTTTGTTGCGAATGTAATATTCTACGAGAAGCAATTTTTAAAACAATTCAAGCTGCAAAATAAAATAGTTCACTCTTGCCATCACCGAAAACCGAGGAGCAAGTTATTACTCTTTTATAATTTTCAAATTGTTGTGTACAGTTGTTACGATAAAAATATTTATATTCTATTCTAAAACATCCAAAAGACAGTCTGATGAACAGTTGTAATTAAAGATTGTAAAATTGGCTTCTGTTGTTTTCAAATAATTGGATAGATCCTTGATGCACTAACTATGATAGAATCTACGTTAGAACGTACTGAATGAAGCTATTAACATTTCGACTGTCGTTTTTATGGGAGATTTAGTAAGTCTAGATTTCGAGCGGAAGTACTGCAGACGATGAAATTCAGCGCATGCGTAGTCTCACTTCCGACGTTTAAAGGATTTGCCGCGAAACAGGTGCCCTTCGATATCAAAGATATCTTGGTGTTCTTCACATTGTTACGAAGAATCTGTGTTGCATACATTTCTGAGGTACATTTACAAGATTGTATTCAGCTAATAATTCCATTGAATATCAGTTGAAGTGCTTTCTACATTCACAGCTTGCCCACTTTTACCCAACAATCTCGCACATCAGTGTCATCAGCTGTTTTGTTAGAAACGGCCTCTGACCATCTCATTCATTGACAACATTTCAACATCGCACGGAAAGTTTCCCGCCCGCAACCCCCCGTTTATTATCATTCTATGCCTAAGAATAGATGTTGTTGTTTTTATTAAAGAAAGCCTACAATAACCCTAAACCTAAACCATAACCCCTCGAAATAATCATAAAATAGAATGCATTTCAAGCGGGGGTTACGGGCGGAACTTTTACCCATCGCACAGGTGCCACTCGTCTTGTACTCCCATCGGAAACCCTTCCACACATTTCGATTGCAGTAGCAGCAGTAGTGTTAAACAGAGGCACATGTCGATTATATTCATTTGACATGATATTTGTATTGTCCAATATATGGTTGTTAATTATACGGTTCCTACCTTGTCATATCCACTGTTGCTCAATATCGTCAACTGTTTGTTTTACGTAGTAGGTCACTAGAGGAACAGGTCAGGCGAACCAGTGTTACTATGCTTGCTGGTGTATTATCCAAAAATAGTAAGACATCCAAACGTGATACTGATATTGATAAATATTAAACTCACGGTGTTCATATCATGCTTATGACACCATGTCAGTTTACTTATGGGCTAAAAATGTAATTCAATCAATGTTGTATATATGGTACAATATAAAAGATGTACACGTATCTAGGTGTGCATCTTTTTATGAACGCTGTTAGCTACGTAAACAGTATTTGAACTCTTCAAAGTTTATGCAACATCAGATTAGTAAGTTCACATCTTTAGAAAATAAGATTTTTTGAAAGAATTTTCTTAGGTTTCTGGATACACCATCATTGAAAACACTTTACTTTTCGAAATGTTGTTTCTCCGAGACAGACAACTAGCTGTTGGGAGTCTCTTTCTGTACACTCCATAACTGTGCATATCGCATGCGGAATGCTGTTTTCAATGTATATGATATAACCACAAATGCAAATATGTTCAAGAGCTCTTAACATGTTCATTTATACAAGTCTCTGGGGATGCATACAGTTTGCTCAACACATTTTCAATTCACACCTCAATTAACTGTAATAAATACAGTCAATCCTTACATATATACCAATGAAACTAATCTAAAACTTGTAAATAAATTACAGCCAAGTTTATATCCATCTCTAATTTTCAGCACACACACCCATCCCCAGTTAAAGTACTCTGCAAGTGGCATCTGTAGCCACAGGGGTTAAAACAAATTCCATAGAGAAGTGAAAAATTCATATGTTTAAAACTAATTTAAATGGTGACAATTGCTGAAAGACATATTACCATGTGCAGCAATATTTCAATTAGTTCACAAGCTATAAAAGTTAATCTGCCTTGGTTTCCAAGTCTGAATCATCTACTGTGGGAACCATGGGGTATTTTCTACTTAAATAGTTTCCATCAGTACTAGAACATGTTAAATGATGGCCCCTTTCATCTTGTTCAGGGGCGGTGGGGTAGCCTAGTGGTTAAAGCGTTGGCTCGTCACGCCAAAGACCAGGGTTCGAATCCCCACATGGGTACAATGTGTGAAGCCCATTTCTGGTGTCCCCTGCCGTGATGTTGTTGGAATATTGCTAAAAGCGGCGTAAAACCAAACTCAGTCAGTCAGTCATCTTGTTCATGGGTAAAGTTTGATCATGTTTTGTGTGTGTGCTGCAGAGTTGTCTCCCATGCTGAGGGACTGAGTAATGACTCGGACATTTCGGACAAGAAAGCTGTGACCATAGTAAACCAGATTCTCGTAAAACAATCTGTTTTTATAGAAATGACACATTTGTGTGAGCGATAAGTTCAAAAACGGCTTCTACTAATTATCCTAATACTTTTTCTAGAATATTTGTTCACGTTTTTATTCACAGCAGCAGACAGAGCATTTGAAGATGGAGTCTGTTCACCTAGATATGGATGGGATCTTTGAGGATGGAGATGACCATGGAGAAGACTTCCCCTCAACGCTGCCTGATCTCCCAGCTGAGTTGGAGCCCCTCGGTGAAGGAGACGAGGATGTGCCTCTCAGTCAGGACCCAGGTGACGTTTGCCTCGTAGATCATGTAGATGTAGATATATGTGGAATAATTGCCCCAGATATGTCTTCGGTAACCCATGCTTGTCGTAAACGACTAACATGATCATGTGGTCACGCTCGCTGACTTTATAGCTAACACATGTCATCGTATCCCAATTATGTAGATCAATGCTCATGCTGTTGATCACTGGATTGTCTGGTCTATGTTCAATTATTTACAGATTGCTTACATATGCTGCAATATTGCTGAGAGTGGCTTTAAATAACAAACAAAAACTCATCTAAAGCATTATTCATTCCAATGGCGTTCATATAAAAAGAGCCCATTTCTGGTGTCCCCCGCTGTGATGTTGCTGGAATATTGCTAAAAGCGGCGTAAAACCAAACTCAGTCAGTCAGTCGGTCATATAAAAAGGTGATGTCTACATTCGACCAGTAAATAATAATCAAATCAATCAATGATTATATTTGGTATGATAAAAAGCCATGTTTTTCATACCAAAATGATGAATAATTCGTAACAGTGTTATTTTACAATTTGTTGAGTTTTTTAAATGTTTATGCATATTTGTTCGCATTCTGATTCATTGTTGTTACCCTGATGTTCATCCTATCAGGAGCTCTGGACAATGACATATACAGTGGAAACCGCCTTAGTAAAGACTGCTTAACTAAACAGACCTGATAAGTAAACACTTTTCTTTGGTCCCGACAAATTTCTTCATTAATTATCACTATTAGAGTCCGGTTAACTAAACTCGGATAAGTAAACAATACCGCTTACTAAACGTCTTCTCACGGTCCCTGGAAGTAAATTACTTAACAAAAGAGACTGGATAACTAAATTAGCGATCACCACATATTCCGACATGAGGGGCAGTCGTGTCAGTCTCCAGTCAAACAAACATCCTACTTACAGCTCGCTGGCGTCAAGCAGTAGACAATACACTGACAACTGGAGACCAGCCCTGATAAGTTGTTCATTGTTACATATACATGCATATGGTTGTCATTTGCAGGTTTTGATGAGTTTGGATAAGTAAAATACCTGATAAGTAAACAATTTTTACTTATCAGGTTTCCACTGTATCTGTCAAAGTTGTCAGTAATGTTAGTGTTGCTACAGTTACAGAACTGCAATGATTGGTGTTGTATACGTTAAATACTATCATGACTAGGGCTGTCTATCGATTCATAGAGATCGATAATCATTTACTAAATATCAATTGATTATCGATAAATATCAGAAGCATAACTTTGAGCAAAAATGTCTAAAGAAATAAATACATGTTTCACTCACACTGGTGAGTGATGACATGTTTTTGCATGGATTATTAACAAAACAGCTACCTAAACATCATTTAGTCCGTAATTTGTATTTTGCATGAGAAAATGAAAACTTTTTTCTATCACAAAAGTTAATGAGCAATATTATCGATAACACAATTTTCATATCAATAATCATTAATAATCTTTCCTATTGATGTTATTACCAGTCATCAATCATTTTAACCAGCGGTAATCATGACTATATAATTAACCACACGGTTGATGTTTATGATATACAGGGATCCAAGTAGTGTTGAATTTGATGCCGTGGCACGGTCTAACTTGAAATTGCACTAATAAGTAGTGTTGAATTTGATACCGCACGACTAAAATTATGAAAATAGTACTCACCATGATCAATTTGTGGAAGGGCGGTGGGGTAGCCTAGTGGTTAAAGCGTTGGCTCATCACACCAAAGACCCGGGTTCGAATCCCCACATGGGTACAATGTGTGAAGCCCATTTCTGGTGTCCCCGGCTGTGATGTTGCTGGAATATTGCTAAAAGCGGCGTAAAGCCAAACTCAGTCAGTCAGTCTATTTGTGGAAAATGTGATGAATTAGACCAACTGAAATTATGCTAAAGCTATTTTAAAGTTTTGCATCCCATCACTCTGTTTATTGGTGACACTCTCCGTCTCACATCTTAACATGGGCATGACTATTTTGAATCACAGTGCACATAAACGGAAATGAAGGTCAAGCAAGGACAAATGAAGCTGAACTATTCTTGCTGTCTTGATAGTGTTCAGGAACTCCAGCTTTCAAATTTACAGGTTTACATGAAGTTTATTGATTTATTTAACAATAAATTGAAATGACATGATTGTTGTTTAAAGTTTAATTCAATTGTATCATCAAAAGGTGTGGGCACAGTTACACTTTTACAAAGGCACACCTAAATTATCTGTGCACTACAACACCCTTAAAAAAATTGCATTTCTATCCCTGAATATAGTATAGGGGTGAAACAAGTGATGCTACGATTCATGATTGTGTTTTTTCTGTATCAATCCAGGATGATGTGCTTGCTAAAGCCCTTGAGAATTGACCCGTGAAGGTCCGGGTTAGAATATTGATCTTCAGTAATCCATGCCTGTCGTAGGAGGCGACAAACGGGATCGGGTGGTCAGGCTCGCTGACTTGGTTGACACATGTCATCGGGTCCCAATTGCGCAGATCGATGCTCATGCTGTTGATCACTGGATTGTGTGGTCCAGACTTGATTATTTACAGACCTCCACCATATAGCTGGAATATTGCTGAGTGTGACGTAAAACTAAACTCACTCACTCTTGAGAATTGTTTCATCAACTATATAACTTCAAGTCCATGAAAAGATGAACATATTGAATGGGTCAGGTGGTCGAATCATATCTTCGAATGTTATTCAGTCTATATGAAGTATACTCAGTGTTTGCGATAGGAACGGAAAATTTGTTCCTGAAACGCATTGTGTGTGCATGTCCAGGGGCATGTTCTCCTCTCCGTACTTCTCTTGTATGTAGGCATGCCACGATACATCGATGCACTGATGCATCAATACTTTTTCTAAGACGATACAATTATCGATACATTCAAAACTGTATCGATATTTAGTTTTGAAAGTATTGGTTTAAATATGTTAATGTATCGTTTACATTTGGCTGTTGTATCATGTTTTTTGATGTTATGAGAGTTATATATGATATTTTTCATTTACAAAGATGGGAAATTAGAACTTTTTAATCTCTCAGAATAAAAAATGTTGCTCTTTTCATGGACAATAACAAGATAAGTAATATTAATGTTCAAAATGTAACTAAATTTACGCAATAATGTCGCGAAAATAGGTATCTTGATACGTATCGATTCGTGAAACTTATATATCGTGACATCCCTACTTGTATGACATATTTCTATGATGAACATTGCTTCAACAGAAAATGCTGATGTGTTGGCCAAGTTGAAGGGAATGAAAGGTGCTGGGAAGAAGGTGGTGAGACGGCCACAGCCTAAACTAGATGCTTCAAGGTTTGTGTTTTGGTTTGTGTGAACGGGCAGCAGGGATTTTTCCAGGCTGCTCATTGCCTGTTTGGTACCCGTGAAGGTCCGGGTTAGAATATTGGCCTTCAGTAACCCATGCTTGTCATAAGAGGCGACTAACGGGATCGGGTGGTCAGGCCTGGTTGACACATGTCATTGGTTCCCAATTGCGCAGATCGATGTTCATGCTGTTGACCACTGGATTGTCTGGTCCAGACTCGATTATTTACAGACCACCGCCATATAGCTGGAATATTGCTGAGTGTGGTGTAAAACTCAACTGACTCACTCACTCATTACCTGTTGGAGCAACATTTAGTGTATTTTCCAAATTTGTCTGCCAAGTTTATTTGTGAGTCTTAGATCATTCCACACAGGGAAGTCATGTAGCCTAGTAGTTAAAGTGTTTCTCACACTGAGGGCATAGTTCTATTCCCAATTTGTTTTGTTTTTGTTTGTTGTTTAAAGCCACACTCAGCGATATTCAACTAAATGACTAATTGTAAATAATCTTGTTTGGACAATCCAATGGTTGGCAAAGTAGCATCAATCCTAAGCAATTTGGATACGATGACATGTTTCAACCAAGTCATGGAGCCTGAACACCCACACAATCCCATTAGTCGCCTCTTACAACAAGCATCAGGTGCCATGGTCAGGCTCACTGACTTGGTTGACACATTGTATCCCAGTTGCGTAGATCTATCCTCATGCTGTTGATCACTGGATTAGCAGATCTGATTATACAGCTGGTATATTGCTGAGTGAGGCTAGTTTTTAACTCATTCACTACTTGAAATTAACAGATATTGGGTTGCTGATATTTTTCATTTTACAAAGATGGGGAATTAGAACTTTTTAATCTCTCAGAATAAAAATGTTGCTCTTTTCATGGACAATAACAAGATAAGTAATATTAATGTTCAAAAAATGTAACTAATCTTTACGCCAATAATGTCAGCGAAAAATAGGTAATGACATCCCTACTTTGTATGACATATTTCTATGATGAACATTGCTCAACAGAAAATGCTGATGTGTTGGCCAAGTTGAAGGGAATGAAAGGTGCTGAGACGCACTACAGCCTAAACTAGATGCTTCAAGGTTTGTGTTTTGGTTTGTGTGATTGAGCGGGCAGCAGGGATTTTTCAGGCTGCTCTTACCTGTTTGGTACCCTGAAGGTCCGGTTAGAATATTGGCCTTCAGGCACTGCTTGTCATAAAGAGGCTAAAGAGCAATTTCTACCTGTATCTTCCCGGTTCCAATCCTTTAACACCAGGCACTGGGTCTGGCTAAAGAGCAATTTCTACCTGTATCTTCCTGAGTGTCCTGTTCAACTGACTCAGGCACTCATTCGCTAAAGAGCAATTTCTACCTGTATCTTCCTGTGTCCTCTTACACCAAGTACTGGATCGCTAAAGAGCAATTTCTACCTGTATCTTCCTGGGTTTCTTACACCAAGCACTGGGTATCAATTTCTACCTGTATCTTCCTGGGTCCTCTTACACCAGGCACTGGGTCGCTAAAGAGCAATTTCTACCTGTGTCTTCCCACAATCCCTGTAATTTTATACCAAAAGCACTGCATCGCTAAAGAGCAATTTGTTCTACCTGTATCTTCTGGGTCCTCTTACACCAAGCACTGGGTCGCTAAAGAGCAATTTCTACCTGTATCTTCCTGGGTCCTCTTACACCAAGCACTGGGTCGCTAAAGAGCAATTTCTACCTGTATCTTCCTGGGTCCTCTTACACCAAGCACTGGGTCGCTAAAGAGCAATTTCTACCTGTATCTTCCTGGGTCCTCTTACACCAAGCACTGGGTCGCTAAAGAGCAATTTCTACCTGTATCTTCCTGGGTCCTCTTACACCAAGCACTGGGTCGCTAAAGAGCAATTTCTACCTGTATCTTCCTGGGTCCTCTTACACCAAGCACTGGGTCGCTAAAGAGCAATTTCTACCTGTATCTTCCTGGGTCCTCTTACACCAAGCACTGGGTCGCTAAAGAGCAATTTCTACCTGTATCTTCCTGGGTCCTCTTACACCAAGTACTGGGTTGCTAAAGAGCAATTTCTACCTGTATCTTCCCGGGTCCTCTTACAACAAGTACTGGGTTGCTAAAGAGCAATTTCTACCTGTATCTTCCCGGGTCCTCTTACACCAAGCACTGGGTCGCTAAAGAGCAATTTCTACCTGGGTCCTCTTACACCAAGTACTACTACCTGTATCTTCCCGGTCCTCTTACACCAAGTACTGGGTTGCTAAAGAGCAATTTCTACCTGTATCTTCCCGGGTCCTTTTACACAAGTACTGGGTTGCTAAAGAGCAGTTTCTACCTGTATCTTCCCGGGTCCTCTTACACCAAGTACTGGGTTGCTAAAGAGCAATTTCTACCTGTATCTTCCCGGGTCCTCTTACACCAAGTACTGGGTCGCTAAAGAGCAATTTCTACCTGTATCTTCCCGGGTCCTCTTACACCAAGCACTGGGTCGCTAAAGAGCAATTTCTACCTGTATCTTCCGGGTCCTCTTCCCCGGTCCTCTTACACCAAGCACTGGGTCGCTAAAGAGCAATTTCTACCTGTATCTTCCTGGGTCCTCTTACAGCAAGCACTGGGTCGCTAAAGAGCAATTTCTACCTGTATCTTCCCGGGTCCTCTTACACCAGGCACTGGGTCGCTAAAGAGCAGTTTCTACCTGTATCTTCCCGGATCCTCTTACAACAAGCACTGGGTCGCTAAAGAGCAGTTTTGACCAGGATCTTCCCGGGTCCTCTTACAACAAGCACTGGGTTGCTAAAGAGCAATTTCTACCTGTATCTTCCTGGGTCCTCTTACACCAAGCACTGGGTTGCTAAAGAGCAATTTCTACCTGTATCTTCCTGGGTCCTCTTACAACAAGTACTGGGTCGCTAAAGAGCAGTTTTGACCAGGATCTTCCCGGGTTGTTGCTTACTTGTTGCAAGTCCAGTCAAGATGTTACTGGATTATTGCTGATAGCAACATAAAACATTGCTGGCTCCTCGTTGAGCACCAGATGCAGTCTGGTTTAGTATAGAGCTCAGATTATTATGTTGGCAAGATTTATCATGCAGCATTTGCAACCATCTACTCTATACATTGCTTCCATATAAAGAAACATTAGGGTTCTCGAAAACTGGAATAAACTTAAAGTGAAATTATTTTCCTTTGGGATATTTTCATCCTGGCTTCATTTCATTAACTGGGTCTCAAAACAGTTTTATGTCATGTAACATATAATAGCCTATGTATTCATGAGTGAAGGCAGACTGTAGTGGATACATGCTGATGTTGATGAACGAACACAATGTTAATTGTTAAAATGTTCTGTCTGTCAGGTTGAGTGGAGACAGAGGAATACCACTTCTACCGCGGGTTTTCAAGGATGTCAAGTTCAAAGGTCGAGGTCATGAGGTTAGCATTCTGTTCCCATTCTACTACACTAAATGCACATATGAGGGTGAGTAGGGTTCGGTAGATTGTCAGTGGTATAGAGAAACAGAAGGCATTGTTGATCAGAACCCTGGATGATATCTTTAACAAGTAGGCTTGCACAATACTTCACGTCTGTTCACACTAGGTGGCGAATTATAATGTCTGATATTGAGATTTTCAGTCTTCAGTGTTTAGATGTGTTGTTCTGTTCTGTGTCATGCTGATTGGATGAGAAACTGTGTCTATCTAGGCTGATGACCTGCGAGTGATGATGAAGTACCTGGAACACTGGGCTCACCGTCTGTTTCCTATGATGCCGTTTGATGAGGTGTTGGAGCGCATTGAGAAGCTGGGTACCAAAAAGGAAGTGCAGGTAGGCAAACGACAGTGTGAGGACACTTCTACCTGAACCAAACTGTGACCACAGGCCCACATGTCTTTGCGAGGATTACAGTTTTAAAAAAAATAATCTTTTTGAGATGACCCCCGACTCGAAATTCTTCACAGTACAATACATCATGTCAAGTCCGGACGCTTTGGTGTACTCCTCCCGCCTGCTTTGCCGATCGCTACGCTACCATCTCATGCACTCATGACACCTACCAATTCTTTATTGTTATTTCTGCAAATCGATTGAAACCCGAAGTTTGACCCTCAACTAAACGATCTTGACACAAATGGAGGACAATAGGTCTGCACAAAACGGGTGTGTGGTCAAAGCAACCCTTCTGATTGGTTGACGCTTGTTAAGGAGATATTAACCACTGGTTCTTTCTTTTGAGAAGCCATTGCTGGAAATACAATTCTTACGTTTTCAAGTCAAGCTGTCAATGAAAGTAAAAAATCCCGCAAATTTATAAAGAATGTGCAAGGGTTGACTAATCCAAAACCCTGTTTTGTGCGGATATATCGTTAGCCATTTGTGAGTCATTAGCTATATTTTGCCGCAGAGACTGTTTGGGCATAACAATAATAACAGTGAATAACACCCTTGACCATGTTCAATTTAGGAACTGTTTTGATCCTGATTTTATCTTTGTTTCTGTCAGCTCAGCTGAAGGTACTCCTAAATATCATGATTATGAAGAATGAAATGTGATGTTTATCATGTAATAGGTAGAGATGCCATAGCGATATGTCTGTGTGTGTGGTAACTTTTAGTTTCGTGTTGTTTTTCCTGATAAGATTGGCGTGTCTGTCAAGGGATTAGTTAGGACAGAATGTTCAGTCAACTTATTTGCAGTGTATCTACTTTTACCATTGTCACTGCAGCTTTCAGCCTAATTTCACCTATTTCTGTGTTGTGTAGACATGTATAAAGAAGATGCGTCTAGACATACCGATCCTGAAAGATGACTTTGTGGATGACAACGAAAGTGATAAGGAGCAGGAAGAAGAAGAAGAGGGATCAGTCCGTAGAGTGAGTAATGGGGGAAAATGCACAAATATTAATGTGGTAACTGTCATGATTAGACATTGGTCATAAGGGTCGTAGGGGGCGGGGGGCCGTTAAAGCGTTGGCTCGTCACGCCGAAGACCTGGGTTCGATTCCCCACATGGATACAATGTGTGAAGCCCATTTCTGGTGTCCCCCGCCGTGATATTGCTGGAATATTGCTAAAAAGCGGCGTAAAACCATACTCACTCACTCATAAGGGTCGTAGAATGATTATTAATATTTTAACATCACAGGTGCAGTAGAATCTGAACCAAGCATGACAGATGAAGGCTTCATGTCTGATAAGGCTTCTTTGTATCCCTGTATAATTTTCTGACATGTTAAATGGTTTTTAAGGTCAGTGTCACAAAGTATTAATAGGGCATCAATACAGAATGTGTTCATGAGGACCTGGACCGCCTCCGTGGTGTAGTGGTTAGAGCATCCGCCCAGTTCGATCCCCGACCGCGTTATGCCAAAAGACGTTAAAATATGGTACTTGTTGGTCCCTGCCTGGCGCTCGGCATTAATGGGTACAACAAGGACTGGTCGGCTCGGAGTCAGTATAATGTGTCTGAGTGGAGTATTCCTGCTTCACTGCGGCATGGTATCTCAGTGGGCTAGCACTATAAAACCAGCTTAAGTCTGGGCTAGTACAAGCAGCCGCACGTCCACATACACACGCATGCACGTCGTCATATGAGCAAAATATTCTCAAGTACGACGTAAAACCCAATTTCACCTCACCTCATAAGGGTCGTAGAATGATTATTAATATTTTAACATCACAGGTGCAGTAGAATCTGAACCAAGCATGACAGGTGAAGGTTTCATGTCTGATAAGGCTTCTTTGTATCCGTGTATAATTTTCTGACATGTTAAATGGTTTTTAAGGTCAGTGTCACAAAGTATTAATAGGGCATCAATACAGAATGTGTTCATGAGGACTTGAATAAAGGAACACTTGTGCTTTCATGTGATCCCTTATCTTTTTCCCTCAGTATAATAGAGAAGTTGTCGTTATAGATTCACTCACTCATTTTTCCAGGGCCTACAAGACTTTGATGCAGAGGAGGCGTTTGATGAGATTATGCGAGAAGAACAAGAGAAGAAGTCACAATCCCAACAGGCCCCACTCACTTCCCTACTGGCCACGCCCACCACCCCTGCAGCAGGGGTCAGGGCACCTGTCACCACCCCTGTCACCACCCCCAGCACCACCCTCAGCAGCACACCTAATGTAAGATGGGTGATTGAAGCACTCCCTTGTTTAGTCTTGCAGATTCATAATATTTACAAAATTAGTCAGAATGGGTCACAGGTCACTTTTGAAATATTAAGCTTATAGTAGTCAGGTTCTGTCACTCTTTGTATTTTAAAGACCTGTTTTGTACAAGTGATTATGATATTAGTACAAGATATCTCACTGCAGTGTGAAACAACGAAAGTAGATTCATTTATTTCCATTTAAATATATCGAGGTGTTACCAAGTTCTGGTCATACTGGTAACTGTTGCTTACATACCACCGGTACCACCAACCGTGTCCGAGTGGGATACCTATGTTAAACTGAGACATGGTGTGGCACTATAGAACTGGGACTAGCCCAGCCCAGCCCACGTTGCTGTGTATGTGCAGTGCTATTGACGGAATGTTAAACTTAAAGCCCATTTGACCTCACCTTGTCTTAATGTATTGCTGAAATACTGCACATCATTGTCATGATGAAATATAATGCTGTTCATTCACACTGATGATGTCCTTGCAGGGCATGACACCTGAACAGAAGGAGAGAATGGAGAGAAACAAACGACTGGCCATGGAGAAGAGGGCTGCCAGGCTAGCTCAGAAGGCAGCTGGTGAGTGGTGTTAGTTGGACAGTCCTGTGGGGGTGGCAGAAAGTCCCAAGCTCCACGGGAAGGAGCTGGGTGTTACACTGTGTGAGCTGGGTGTTACCATGTGTGAGCTGGGTATTACACTGTGTGAGCTGGGTGTTACCATGTGTGAGCTGGGTGTTACACTGTGTGAGCTGGGTGTTACACTGTGTGAGCTTGGTGTTACACTGTGAGCTGGGTGTTACCATGTGTGAGCTGGGTGAGCTGGGTGTTACAATGTGTGAGCATGGGTGTTATCATGTGTGAGTGTTACAATGTGGTGGTATTTACAATGTGTGACAAAGGTGGTTACAATGTGTGACCATGTGGTATTACAATGTGTGACCATGGGTGGTTTACAATGTGTGACCATGGGTGGTTACAATGTGTGACCATGGGTGGTTACAATGTGTGACCATGGGTGGTTACAATGTGTGACCATGGGTGGTTACAATGTGTGACCATGGGTGGTTACAATGTGTGACCATGGGTGGTTACAATGTGTGACCATGGGTGGTTACAATGTGTGACCATGGGTGGTTACAATGTGTGACCATGGGTGGTTACAATGTGTGACCATGGGTGGTTACAATGTGTGACCATGGGTGGTTTACAATGTGTGACCATGGGTGGTTACAATGTGTGACAATGTGGTTACAATGTGACCATGGGTGGTTACAATGTGTGACCATGGGTGGTTACAACAATGTGTGGTTACATGTGTGTGGGTGGTTACAATGTGTGACCATGGGTGGTTACAATGTGTGACCATGGGTGGTTACAATGTGTGACAATGGGTGGTTACAATGTGACCATGGGTGGTTACAATGTGTGACCATTTACAATGTGTGACAATGTGTGACCATGGGTGGTTACAATGTGTGACCATGGGTGGTTACAATGTGTGACCATGTGTGTTACAATGTGTGACCATGGTGGTTACAATGTGTGACCATGGGTGGTTACAATGTGTGACCATGGGTGGTTACAATGTGTGACCATGGGTGTTACAATGTTGACATGTGTGGTTAATGTGTGACCATGGGTGGTTACAATGTGTGACCATGGGTGGTTACAATGTGTGACCATGGGTGGTTACAATGTGTGACCATGGGTGGTTACAATGTGTGACCATGGGTGGTTACAATGTGTGACCATGGGTGGTTACAATGTGTGACCATGTTACAATGACCATGGGTGGTTACAATGTGTGACCATGGGTGGATTTACAATGTGTGACCATGTGTGTTACAATGGTTTTACAATGTATGACCATGGGTGGTTACAATGTGTGACCATGGGTGGTTACAATGTGTGACCATGGGTGGTTACAATGTGTGTGTTACAATGTGTGACCATGGGTGGTTACAATGTGTGACCATGGGTGGTTACAATGTGTGACCATGGGTGGTTACAATGTGTGACCATGGGTGGTTACAATGTGTGACCATGGGTGGTTACAATGTGTGACCATGGGTGGTTACAATGTGTGACCATGGGTGGTTACAATGGGGTGGTTACAATGTGTGGTGGTTTACAATGTGTGACCATGGGTGGTTACAATGTGTGACCATGGGTGGTTACAATGTGTGACCATGGGTGGTTTACAATGTGTGACCATGGTGGTTACAATGTGTGACCATGGGTGGTTACAATGTGTGACCATGGGTGGTTACAATGTGTGACCATGGGTGGTTATATGTGGTAACAATGTGTGACCATGGGTGGTTACAATGTGTGACCATGGGTGGTTACAATGTGTGACCATGGGTGGTTACAATGTGTGACCATGGGTGGTTACAATGTGTGACAAGGGTGGTTACATGGATGGGTAGTGTGTGACATGGGTGGTTACAATGTGTGACCATGTGTGGTTACAATGTGTGACCATGGGTGGTTACAATGTGTGACCATGGGTGGTTACAATGTGTGACCATGGGTGGTTACAATGTGTGACCATGGGTGGTTACAATGTGTGACCATGGGTGGTTACAATGTGTGACCATGGGTGGTTACAATGTGTGACCATGGGTGTGTTACAATGTGTGACATGGGTGGTTACAGTGTGTGACAGGGGTGGTTACAATGTGAGACGTGAGTGGTTACAATGTTCGACAAGGGTGGTTAAAATGTGTGAAATGGGTGGTTACAATGTGTGACAAGGGTGGTTACAATGTGTGAAATGGGTGTTACGATGTGTGATGTGTGTTAAAATCTGGCAACGCATAGTAAACTACGGTTTCATATCACAAAATTACATGAAGTGTATTTCTGTTGAAATATTTGTGCATGACAATTGGATCTATCATGTCACTGTCATACGGTTGGTTTAGTGACTAAACCGGGTCAAATGAAACGCGTAACAGGGAAGTGACATTTCATCAAATTGTTATGATGTCAAGACATCTATAAAGGCTCACCAGCTGACTTGAATAAGTTGTTACAGTGCAGTGAGTGTCGAATCCAATGGTGGTAGTTATTCATTACTACAAACTTCCATTTCAGAATCAAACAAAGAGGCTGCAGGATCCGCTGTCTCCCCTGCTGTCCTGCCTGCTCCAGATGAACAGATGGAAATATCCAAGGAGATAAACACAGAGGATAGGTCGGACATAGATCCCTCTAAACATCCTGACCAGGGTGATAGTCTTAAAAATGACAGTATTACACTGCCATCTTCCAAGGAAGTGATTGTGAACAGTTCTACACCTTGTAAGGAAAGTGTTGACACCGAGGGAACAGTGCCTGTGAACCGGTACTCGGAACATGACACACACATGGAAGTTGATCAGACTGGTGAAGAACAAACCCCTACCCATGTGCCTTCTTTAGAGCCTGGTTGCTCCCAGGAAATGAACGACAAAAAGATAGATTCAGAAAATTCAAATGTTGAGTTGCCTGATGCTGCAGCTGAAGAATTAGTGAATGGCTCAGGTAAAGAGAGCTTAGAAAACAATCTGAATCAAGTCTGTGAGTCATCAGATAACATGGTGGGTCAGGAACAGTCAGATGAGCAAGGACTATCAAAAACAGACGAACCCATTGTGGAGAGCATAAAATCTGCAGAACACTCTTCTGAAGACCCTACAGTTGATGATCAGCAGACGGCAGATCAGATCATGGATGGTCTGGACAGTGATTAAGTCAGCAATAAGTCAATCGGTTCATGATAAGTCAGGACAGTAAAGATCCACCAGGGCAGAGGACTGTTAGAGCTGCAGATGTCCCCTCTTCCTTGATACTATACGTGAAGCCGTGCAGCTTGAATGTGCAGGAATTTACCTTGGTCTTCCCAGAGACTTGTACATCACTGAGCCTTTTATACCAAGTTATGGATTACTGCATAAAACAAATACTGCAGTTGAGCATTTATTTTCAATAGAGAACTGAGAAGAAACTTTTGTTAAGCTGACTCGAGAGCTAACACCTACACTGTAATGAGATCTGACCCTGTATGCTGTCTACCAGATTACATATTGTAATGGCAATATCACAGTGCGTTAGCACTATAAAAGCACAAGCAGACACACACTACATCACACTTGTACATGCACATCGCAATGTAAGTAGAATAATCTTGAATGCAGGGAAATACCCAATTTGACGTCTCCCCATTCTTTGATAAAGTGTACTTACTTGAGTATGACAATGCGAATAAATTATTACACCACAAGTAATGATTCCGTCATGTAATGTTACTCAAAACTGAAGTATTAGTAGTACAAAACAGAAAGGTCCAGTACAGACATAGTATATAACTGTAGTCCAAATAAACAAAGCTGCTGTTGCTTGTTTTGTTTGAAATAATATATTCCTAAGGCTGTGCCATTTATTCACAGATATGAACATGAAAAAATAATGTGATATATCAACTGTTTTATTATATGTATATTAAATCAATTCACAGGCTTGGTTTTCTTTTCATTGCTAGGGTGAGGTGAGGTGAAATTGGGTTTTACATCGTGCTTGAGAATATTTCGCTCATATGACGACGTGCATGCGTGTGTATGTGTATGTGCGGCTGCTTGTACTAGCCCAGATTTAAGCTGGTTTTATAGTGCTAGCCCACTGAGATACCATGCCGCAGTGAAGCATGAATACCCCACTCAGACACATTATACTGACTCCAAGCCGACCAGTCCTTGTTGTACCCATTAATGCCGAGCGCCAGGCAGGGACCAACAAGTACAATATTTTAACGTCTTTTGTATGACGCGGTTCGGGGATCGAACCCGCGACCTTCCGCTCTCCGGGCGGACGCTCTAATCACTACACCACGGAGGCGGTCTCATTGCTAGGGGGGAGGTAGCCTAGTGGTTAAAGCGTTAGCTCGTAACGTTGAAGACCCTGGTTTGATTCCCCACATCTGTACATTGTGTGAAACCCATATCTGGTGTCCCCCACTATGATATTGCTGCAATATTGCTAAAAGCGGCTTAAAACCATACTCACTCGCTCATTGCTTGAGGGATATAGGTGAAGAGTTCAGGCTAACAATATTCCATTAATAGAAGTGTGTGGTGGAATCCTCTGACATCCTGTTGGTATTTGAGGACTGGTAGATTACTTGTTACAATGTCTGATGAGTGAAGATGAGGAGGGAGTTGAAAAATGTGTGGCCTAACTTAGACTGCCATTGTGTTAGGAATGGGTTGTAGCTGATAATCTCTACCATGTCTACTGTCTCAGCATTCTTCAGTATGGTCAGATACAACTATACTGTTCAGAGGGATTCATCTTGATCCGACATGTCTTCCTGATGTCTTCTATGAGCAGGATATTGTCAATGCAACTTTGGTTTTTAAGAACTCAACCTGCCAGCACATGACAGGGTTGACAGCAGCAATACAGTCTGCAATGTAGAGTTGTTCCCCTTCCCTTCTCCAGGTTTCGCAGAGATTGGTAACTATGGACATTTCTCCCATAAGCATGGTAATCTGATACTCCATGACAACAGAAATACCCTTCAAAGCTGTATTAACACAACACTTAATCTTCAAAATAGCAATCAATTTTAATCAGCAATGTATTTTTACACAAGTTTTAGACACATTTACAAAAGTCAAATAATAAAATATGGTCCTGATTGTGAAGGTAACTTGGAAATCATTAGGAAATCTGATGCAGTCATGACACAATGCTTGATGATACAACCATTTACAAGGCGATGTTTTGTTTGTTTTAGAGAAGGTATCAGCCTGATATCAAAGTTCATTGACAAGTCTGGTGCTGTTTTATGTTAATAATGTAATACACAAAGTATTCAAGTATGTTTCAGTCCTACTGTAGTGACGAGACAAAGTTCAAGCTGATATACAGTGTATCTTCCTATCTGAAATCATGATGATGCTGTAAATCCTGTACCTCCCATTTTCACATTGTGCCCAGTGTGCTCACTGAACTAACATTTTGTGAAAAATTATATGAATGTAATGCAACATTTACAAGTAAATGGGTAGTTTACAACAAATACGAATATAGTAACCTAGCCCAGCTTTAAAGACTCAAAATCATGTGTTTTGAAAGCATTATATTCTCAGGTAATTAAGAACATAATGAATCCAACCTAATGGACCTCTAAACAGCAACACGTCGAACACTTTGTGGCCAGATTCTCTCTGGTATATACTAGTATTTGCCAGATAAGCCAACTGCAAAGTTACCAATGATCAATTAATCTATAACAATTTGCTTTACACAGTAACAAAGGTTACACTTAAATACCACTGTTCTCATTACATCATGCCATATTATTTCACAAAATCGTGCTTCAACTTGTTTGCAAGCCATAGCAGGAAATATCTATTGGTTTTCTGACTTGAATCTGTTTATCGTTTAACTAAATGTACGCTTTAGTATGAACTGCCACTCATTTAAAGTTTTATTACACCCACAGCAACTGAATGGCCAAAGAGACAAACTTTATTTAGTCATCTTTTTGAAGAAGCACATCTGCGACAGGTTTACACATGGCTTTGTCACAACATGCACAACATTAATCTGATGCCATTCCCAGGTTGCTATGGTTACATGGGTGGAATGTCCACAGAAGACCAGCTTCTGCATCAGGTGATGCTCCTTTCAAGAAGGCATCAGCTCATCCTCCAGATCATCCAATCCCTGGATTTCATCATCGTCGCCACCAATAGCTTTCCAAAATGATACTGCGATCTGAAACAAAATTTGCTGTTGTAGTGACCTTAACATTTCTGAGGCCAATTCTGGGATTCAAACCACAGACCTGATCAAAGGGATGCTGTGTTCAACCACAGACCTGATCAAAGGCTGGGATGCTGTGTCCACATGACCAAATCCCTGTGTTAACCTGGTGTGTCAGTGATATTGCTGGAATATTGCTAAAGCGACGTAAAACCACTCAGTCAGTCAGTCAGTGGAACAAGCCGATTGGTAAAGCTGTCCTGTGGAACAAATCCACACCCTACACAGTCATAACAACATGTGAAGGATTTATACTGCAATATTTTCCTTTCACTAAGTTTCAGGGAATAGTCAGCATCATAAACATGTCCTCAGGATAAACCCAAGTGGTAAACATAATCTGGTGACTTGGCCTTTTTCACATGGCAAATCTGCTCGAGTTCTTCAGGCTTGGATCACATTAGTAACTACTCGCCTCTTTCCTTGACCTACAAGAAGACTCTTAACCCAATCTTACCCCAATTATTGGCAAGAATCGTGGCAAACCAATAATTCAAAATACTCAATTTATCTTGGAAAAAATACACACATCGTAGAATTCCACACAACTGATAGATGTCGTGGAGTGCAAAACCTAGAAGCTCTAACCTTTTAAAACAGCTCCAACCCAGGCCTTAGGCTGTTCTTAATGAACATAACATTGGTGTGATTTCTGTTAAGTGAGAGACACCAACAGGCAAAAAGGGAGACAACTCACTTTTTCAGCATATGCTTTTCTCTGGTCCATGGGCATGACTTCAGCTTTCTCTGCAAATACAAGACATGTTCACCAACTTAAATTACATTTGTGACATCATTCCATTGTTTGCTCACTCCATTACTTTTCGGGAATGGAGCGATGTGTAGCAGTTTCAAATTAAAGCCTTCATTTTGTCATTTTGACATTTAATTTTGATAACAGAAATTTCCCCAGTTCTTTGAATGTAATTTAAGCAGGGTAATATCCTCGTAACTCTCCATTCCTTAAAAATAATGTGCCTCGGCCCTCCGGGGCCTCGGCTCCATTATTTTTAAGGAATGGAGAGTTACTCGGACATTACCCTCTCTACATAGTTACAGATGTATTAGAAATTCTACAAAATTAACCAGGGTCCCAATCCACAAAGCCTTCGTAACGTTACAACCTATCGTAGGTTTACAAATGTCGTAGCACTACGATTTTTTTTTAGATCGGGCCTGTATTAGAAATCCATGTCAATCATGCAAATTTTCAAACAATTTACTCAACAGAGATATATTGAAAATTAAATGTTATGTGAACAGGTCAAATAGCGCATTCAGGGGTGGAAATAACCCATTGCCCGACGTCAGAGTCCAGTGGTTTTTTCTGTCGGGCAAGCAAATTTGTATATCACACCGGTGTCCAGTTAACTTTCCAATGTTAATTATGTTGTTTATTTTTAAAAATCAACAAGAAAACGGCCAGTATAGTGGAAAAATTATCAGGGCAAGTGGTTTTACATGTGCCACTTTTCCGGAGTACACTAGCAATTTTAAAGTTATTTCCACCTCTAGCATTATAGTAAATGAACATTTCCAAGGTACACTAACACAAACTGGGGAAAAGATGTCGCTATGTAGCTGGCCATAAGTCATCAGCCATCTAGTTACTTCCCCTTACAACCTTGACATGATCAAGAGTTCACTTTCAGAAAGTAAGTTTTGTATTTTCTTACAAAAACAATTTCAACCATCAGTTCATGAATTTAAGACCCATGCATGCATCTGTGAACAAATTAATAAAGCAAACCTTCTGGCTATACCAGGGGACGCATAACATAGTGAATTAATTAACCAAGGTATAAATAGGACTGCAGAGTATTACAATATATTTTTCTGGCAACCAGTATATTGAGTAAAAGAGTGTAACAGGTTCTGTGATTATCTCTATAGTTTAAGTTAATATCTACAGAGACTTTTATTCACAAATGATGTTTCCCAAAATGGTACACTTCACATACCATAAAGTGGTATAAAAAACATAATACATTCATTAAGGAGCAGGGCCCGGTTGTTCAAAGCACCGTTATTTTAACGTACCGTTAAACACTAACGACCCGATAAATAGCTAACGAAAAGTTAGTTAACAGTACGTTAAAATTTGGTTGCTGGAAGGTGTTTTTAACAGATAAGATTTAGCTCATGTGGGTACTGTACCCACTGTAATATTTTGGAGTGGGTATTATGAATGTTGAGTGGGTATTTCATTTTCCGTTACCCACTGCTTTCAAATATGTGCGTATTTCAGTCATATTACTCACCTAAGTATTATGTCATTGAGTAAGTTTACTAAGCAAGTATGTTCTGCCTTATCTAATCAAAACCAAGTTAAATATAATGGAAATGATTTCATAAAAAAGCACTCATCCTATACTGACAGTACAACACTTGTCCTATACTAACAGTACAACTTGATAGCAATTGATGTCTTTTTCATTACGCAAGCGATTTTTATAAATATATTCCGTACGCATTTGTTTTAAATTTTTTGCGTATCCAACATTTTAAATGCGTAATTGGTACGCAACAATTATTTTTGAATGCGTAATTGGAAATTTTCTATGCATATTTTACCCGGATACGCAGCTTATCTGGGCCGCTGAAGGAGGTGTGTGGTCCTGTGCATAGAGCTCAGGTCACAAATCAGTTGAAGTTAAGCAACGTTGGTCAGGGACAGTCCTTGAATGGATGACTGTTTTGGGCAGCTTGACTCCTGAGAGTTTCTAGGATTTCAGTCAGGCCCCACAACGAAGCTCATGTGATACATGTGGTCTCGCCTTTGGTAAGCGAATTTGTTCAAACTTGCCTCTGTTCACCCAGCAGAAAATGCACAAGCGAAATAAGTCGTGAAACTAATAACCTTCTTCAGGCCTACCATACAAACGGTCAACAAATCATCAAAACTGAACTCATATACACCAAAACAGAACATTCACGGAGAATGAACAAAGTTTTTGTAAACTTTTTAAATCACTAAAATATCGTAATGTTGAATGTGATGCTATGAATACTTTATTTACAAACTGAAGAGAAACTGTAGCAGGGCATGTTGACAAGAAATCCTATTCGGTCGAACGAGGGACCACATAGAATTGCAAGCCTGACACTAAGAAGTATGGACATAGGTTTGAAGCTTACTACAATAGGGGGTTTATGCGCTACATCCCGATATCAAATTTTCAAGATTAGACTCATAGTGAAAAACAATTATGTACCAAAGCCTATTCGTCCCCATCACGCTGCATCTTTGACACATTTGTATGTGCCGCTTCGATGCTATGACTGCCGCGGTTGGGATGCTATGAATGCCGCTTTGTACCGGGCTTAATCGCTCTCTTCACGCTCTTGTAGCTGAGTTTGAGGTAATAATGATCAGGTTGTGAGCTCAGAGCAGGATATCTAGCCTGGAAATGTGTGTTATAAATATTCTTATTATTTACTATCCACCTAATTTTGAGATTGCTGTTATCAGAACCATAACATAAATTTCTAGGGTCTCAGTATTAACAAAATAAGATCTGTATGTAAAATCAGTGTCACTCTCTGTCAAACACTTTAGCTTCCAATATGTCACAATATGTACTGCAGTATGGGTACCAGTATCACAATATATTGCAATATAATTTATGTGCCAATATATAGCCCTATAAATATCACCTTTCATTATTCTCAGCTTTTCAAACATCTCCTCAAAGGACTCCTCTCCTGCATCCTCATTCCCCAGGGAGGCCAACAACGCCATGTCATCCTCAGGAAGGAGGTTGTCTGTCACAGAGAACACTTGGTCGTCATGTCATGCACACAGCTCTGGTCAGGGAGTGAACTCCCTGTTCATACAGCAAATGGGAAACACAAGAACCTTGTACAGCAATGTTCAGACAGTAGTCTGGGTGAAGTGTTTCAGTTTGCTAACACCAATAACTCAGAGCTCCAGATAAGATTTAGCTCATGTGGGTACTGTACCCACCCGCAAGCGATTTTTATAAATATATTCTGTACTCATTTGTTTTAAACCTTTTGAGTATCTAACATTTTTAAATCATGCACAAGTGCCCACCAATTGGTGCATAACAATTATTTTCAATGCTCGTAATAAATTGGAAATTTTTATCTATGTGGCGATTTTACCCGGATACGCAGCTTATCTGGGCCTCTGAATAACTAATGTCATTATTGCAAACTAACAGCTGACAAACTTCAATAGTGGAAAGATTTGTGATACCTCCTGCACAAGTAATTGTTTGGAAGATTAACTTACTGATTCAACTAATAAGACACCTGGGTATATATCTAGGTTTTATCTAAATGCCAATATCAGTATATAAGCGTTTCTCATAATTAAATAACTAACCTTAAACTTACACTACTCAGTACAGTCATATAATGCATACTTTGAATTGTTGTAATATCACTGCACAAGTGTAAATATCTCAGTAAGATTTTCATAAATAGGGTTAACAATGCAAATTGTGAGTCAGTCAGTTCTTAAATCATCTTTTTAGCAATATTTTAGAAATATTATGACAGGGGACACCACAAATGGGAGTCACAGACCGTAAGCATGTGAGGAATCAAACCCTAGTCTTTGGTGTGACAAGTTAATCTACCACCCCTGTGAGTGAGTTTAGTTGTACGCCGCACTCAGCAATATTCCAGCTATATGGCGGCGGTCTGTAAACAATCAAGTCTGGACCAGACAATCCAGTGATCAACAGCAGGAGCATCGATCTGTGCAATTGGGAACTGATGACATATGTCAACCAAGTCAGCGAGTCTGACCACCCGATCCCGTTAGTCGCCTCATACGACAAGCATTAGTTACTGAAGGCTCATTCTAACCCGGACCTTCACGGGTCCCTTGAGATGAAGCAAAACCAGGTCGTCCAACCAGCAGTCACTCACCTATTATTTCATCTTTACAAGGCTTTTCCTTTTTGGTCTCCTTTCCCCCCTCAGCTTTGTCTGCAGAAGCTTCATCTGTTCCGTTACTGACAGGGTCCCCACCCCCTACAGATGCCCCATCCACAACAGGGTCCCCACCCCCTACAGATGCCCCATCAACAACAGGGTCCCCACCCCGTTCAGGTGCCCCTAGGGCAGAGTGTCCAGATTCTCCCTCTGACTGAGATCCAGTCCCAGATTTCTCACTGTCATTAGTTGACACTGTTTCATTATCACAGGATTCCTTGGAATTAGATTTGACTTCATTTGCTTTCAGCTCAGACTCTTCTTTCAAAAGTTGACGATAGTAAGGACTACCAATCACAGGGTTTTCTGAAACAGAACTATTCACGTTACTGACAATACATTTCAAACAGGAAACAATTATCTCAGCCATTCTCAGGTGCACTCATCAGTGTTAAAAACTGAGAATAACAATCAAGGGTCCTTGCATGTCACCTAATGTTGTACAAAGTTACATTAGTACCAGTCGGGCTATACCAGTTGTGTCCACAACATAGTTTAGCCTGAAAATTAAGCAATAGTTTCCGATTATTACTTACCAGTCGGGCTAGCTATACCTGAAAGTTACTTGTCCACAACATAATTCACTAGCCTGAAATTTGAATGTAGAAACTAAGCAAAAGATCACAAAAAGGTAAAATACCATCAAAAACAAATAACAAAAACACATGGCTGAATTTCAGAAATATTTTGTTTATGCAGAAATAAATGATGATGATGAACAATTTTGTCAGGCCATTTAAAAGTGTATTATAACTTAACAAGTCGGAGAGAGTGATATATTTACAAAATGACCCCATGAAAATTCACTAGCCAGTGGGGCCAGTGACTGTGGAGATTTACTGGCCTGACCAGATTTTTAGTGGGCCAGGGGCTATTTCACACACTGGTACAGGGATACTTGGAATTCAAACACCATAAAGATAATCTGATTCTAGGACATCCATATATTCCGAATACTGCAGAAAATCTGTATAAACATGTTAAAAGTGCATGGATCAAATTCTTGCCCCAACACAACAACCTAAACATCCCCAGCCCCTCAAAAACAGCTTTATTAAGGAGTAAGTGATGTCTACAAAGTGATGAGTCTTACGTTTCAATATCAGATTCGGCCATGTGTGGGCATGAAGAGCCTGAATAATCCTCTTAATTCCAGTTGTCTCCACAAAGTCATCTTCCAGATCTGCAAATATAGGAAAAGGAGTGGTGTACATGAACCCAAACTCACAAAAAAATACAGTTAAAGATACAATTAGGAACCACTGATTTCCCTCAACAACTGTAGCACTCCCTCCCATCTCCCAGCCAAGTCTATCCTTATACCTTCATCTTCGTTATCCAACTCTGGGTTCAGCTCCACCAACTCAAAGCTGTTGTCTATACACCACTGTTGTGTTGATATTCTACCCACAGCTGTAGCAAAAAGAAATATAATGACAATTAAGACACCACTTTCAGAGGCCCAGATAAGCTGCGTATCCGGGTAAAATACTCATAGAATTACGCATTGAAAAATAATTGTTGCGTACAGTACCAATTACGCATTTAAAATGTTAGATACATGAAAGTTTAAAACAAATGCGCACTGGAATATATTTATAAAAATCGCTCGCGTAATGAAAAAGACATCCATTGCTATCAAGTTGTACTGTTAGTATAGGACAAGTGTTGTACTGTCAGTATAGGATGAGTGATTTTTTATGAAATCATTTCCATTATATTTAAGTTGGTTTTGATTAGGTATGACATAAGGCAGAACATACCTGCTTAGTAAACTTACTCAATGACACAATACTTAGGTGAGTAAAATGACTGAAATACACACATATTTGAAAGCAGTGGGTAACAGAAAAAGAAATACCCACTCAACATTCATAATACCCACTCCAACAAAATACAGTGGGTACAGTACCCACATGAGCTAAATCTTATCTGGAGCTCTGTCACTTTCATATTGTACAATAACTCAAAGATCTCAACAAATCATGTCTAGCTCTACAAAAAAGATAACCTATAGACCTACCACTTATGTAAACGTCTTTTAGTCTGTTTTTATGCATATAAAGTTGACTGTATTTCTATAATGTGTCCAACCAAGTGAAAACAAAATGTTCTGTGTGGCACAAATGATATTTCAAGTATTGACAAAACTAAATGGACCTACCATCAGTGTGAGAGCTGTTGTTACACACAAGGATTAGAATCTCTGGTTCAATCTGTTCGAGATATGGCATCCATGCTTTCACCAACTCAAATGTTGACTCCTGGAAACATAAAATATTTTCACATGAAACAAATCCATCTGTGTGACTGGATGCTACAACAGAAAACATGTTCATGTTAGACAGGAATCTTATGTACAGTTTATGAATAATTTGTGAAAGGCTTGAAATATTTTGGTAGCCCTGACACTGACAGAGTGGCTTCAAGACCTTTAATATATTATTATATGCCACATTTCTATAGCACCATATTTGAACTACTTCTAGATCACTCTAAGGTGCTTCACAAGTTGTTTTTCCCTCTATCATTGGATGTCAATCTCAAACGGCACTTTGTATTATCAATCTCAACTCCCTGGGGATCATACAACTCTTGCAGTCACTAGGCATGAGTTAATATGGCTTTTCCATCCTTACGAGGTACCCATTCACAGCTTGGTGGACTGGGACACTTAGTCACAGTACTTTGTCCAAGTTTTACTGCTTGTTGCTGTACCTGCAACTAGGTGTTTGCATGTTTTCATGTGGCCACCATCTGGTCATTTACCAATGGATTCGTGGGTTCTTTTAAGTGCACAGGGTTGTGTACTGCAACCTAGGGGTTGTGAGAACACTGAAAGAGTCTGCGCCCAAAGTTGACTCCAAGGTTTTTACAACCGGTCACAAGTGGGCTCGATCCCACTCGTTGGATCACTAGCCTGGCGCCTTAGACAGTTCACCCACCATACCCCATTCAACTTGTTGAACACAAACTAGTTTCAATGTGAAAACAATTATGAACAGTGAATGTTCTTCTTTTCCAAATACATGTCAGTAATGTCCGGGTTAGACATGGCCACTGGTGTGTTAGTTCCAGACTAGTGAGAATCTAAACATGTTAAATTGACCAGTTCTCCTAAAATCTAGTAACCACTACTGGGCTGTTGACACATTGGATTTGACAAATGGGGTCTATCCCTGATTGTTTAAGATAGGTGTAACCTTCAAGCAATGTCTGGTGCTCACAGGCCAAAGAGACTAACATCTGAAATTGTTATCCCTGACCAACAAAGCTTAGGTGAGGTGAGGTGAGGTGAAATTGGGGTTTACGTCGTGCTTGAGAATATTTCGCTTATATGACGACGTGCATGCATGTGTATGTGTATGTGCGGCTGCTTGTACTAGCCCAGACTTAAGCTGGTTTTATAGTGCTAGCCCACTGAGATACCATGCCGCAGTGAAGCATAAATACCCCACTCAGACACAATACTGACTCCAAGCCGACCAGTCCTTGTTGTACCCAGTAATGCCGAGCACCAAACAGGGACCAACAAGTACCATATTTTAACGTGTTTTGGTATGACGCGGTCAGGGGAAGGAACCCACGACCTTCCGCCCTCTCGGCGGACGCTCTAACCACTACACCACGGAGGCGGTCAACAAAGCTTAGGACAGAAAGAGATCTTTTTACCTACAAAATTACACATCTCTGCATTAAGGTCTGAGGACACGGGTCTACAAAGAAGGTTGTCAAGTGACTCCTGAGCGAACTTTGAAGGTCTACCAGTTCAGAATCTAAACATGCTAAATGAAGGTAGTCAGTTGCCAATTTTCTTAAAGGATCTGGCTTCAATTTTAATTTCAATTTTGAATATGATGCTGTGAATACTTCACTTACTAGTACTCAGAATTTAGAAGCCTCAAAGCTGATTGGTTGATTGGAAAGTTATGATACCACTTATATACCACTTATGGCGGTGTCTCAGACACTCATGCAGAGAGGCAGAAATTGAATTCTGTATGGCAGGAACAAAAAAAACCACAGAGCCTGTAATTTCCCTGACACTAGGAGATATGCAGCTAGTAGATGTAAACACATTAAATTTATAAAACTGATCTCATAAAGTGTTGCATTTAACAACGAACCGGTACCTGTTTAGGGTCAAAGTACACAATAAAGGCCTGCACAGCTGTAGCAAACTCCTGGTTGCCGATAGTTCTCCTTAGTGATGTGCACAGACTCACATCAGCTGTGTAGTACTTGGTATCAATGTGCCAGTCATAGGCTTTTATAGACTCTGTAACATGCTGAGCAGTGGGGAGATTCTCTTTTCCTAATATTACTGCAACAATACAAAAGAAATTTTCACCGTGACAAGAGACAGAAAATACTTGAAAGGCCTAAAAAAAATAATGTTGTGGTTCCGATTACCTGACCGACCCTTGAATTCTGGTGCCGACCCTATTTTTTTTTAAGCGGTATGAATAAAATAAGCTTTCAGATACCATTGTTTTTTTCCCGGTACTGACGGACATCAGTGATTCTGATAGAGGAAGTCGACATGATGGCTGCAAGCTTGATTGAATTAACAATTACACATTGATAAATGTGTTATTAGTTTGTACTTTACTTCTAAAAAAAATGTGAAAAATAAATCCTACCTACCTAGCTACCCTAAAAGAGGTTTAATCCAAACCACAACATTTTTTTTATAACATATGTTATATTTGGGATTACACTTTCTTAGTAAAGAACAAATTCTAGTACTTTTTTTAGTTGAGCCCCATCTGGGATTCGAACTCACACCTTCAGAGTCAGGCACCTAATCGCCAGCACACAAAGTCAGCCGCCTAACCCGCTCAGCTACCGCGACTTCCACAATCGTAATCAAAACATTTTTTTTATTTGGCCAAAGGCACATATAATCAACAGAAATGAAATGTATGAGCATGATAGGTAAGATCTACGTGTTTGGGCATTGACCGTTATTTAAACACAAACCTAGGGACTTATGGCTACAGGGGTGTGGGGTGTGTGTGATGATCTTTATGGAGAAACAATGTGCAATGTGAATGACCCCGACCCAGATTTATGTACAAAGAAAGTGACCCCCCTGCAAGTCATGTACTACATCAATTTAAACCCCCACCCCCCCTAATGTTTAAGCTTAATTTTAAAATATTTTTATGCACAAAAATTTCTTACCCCTCCTATATAGTACGTGTGTACAAAATTGATGACAGCCCTACCTCCCACGACAAAATGGGTGACCCTCCCTTAAAATCATCAACCCCCACCCCCACCCCACCCCCAAGCTATAGTTATGAAGGGTCCAATACGTAAACCATGTACACACTCATTAGTTTTTAAACAGATGCTCACCGACACAAGGTTAATATAGCTAATGCTAAACTCTCACAACCTAATTTACACAACCAGCGCCAACCAATATTCCATATTTCCCTTCATTATGCCCACTGGGTTCCTGAAGAACACTTTTACAAAGTGGGCGTGACCAAGCATTTCCTGATATTTTACTGTATGGTGCATGCACACGAGTCGAAGCTCTTAGTCGTTTCTAACATGGAACAACAAAATTTAATCCTGAGGCATAACGTCAACATTAGATGTACATATATTCACCTATCTCAGACGACTGAACCAAGTATATACAATGCCAATCAGATCACGTTACTCACGTTTTATAAACTCGTCTGGATCGAAGGCGCCAGTACAAGAAGCAAATAATGCACAGGGCGCCGCCATGTTTGTTGTTGTCTGTGTGCTACGTCATTACTTCTTGCTGTTTGATCTGTTGCTGCGAAACGTCAGGGGCTTGACATGTGGATCGTACCTCGGATTGTTGTTGATAGCCCCTCGTCCATAAACATCAATGATGGAGTTTAATTCAGTGCAGTAAAGGGAGTAAATAACCATCGAGGCTTCCAAAATGCCAGTTATGACTGAGTTTGAAACCAAACCCGAAGATGTTGGCCAGATCCTTGTCAAAGTAAGTCTCCTTCAACACAATGATAAGGGTCGTGTCAAAGTGACACCCATTTTCCTAGCTAATGAAGCATGCAGTGTGAATATGACCTATACCCTGACATTTTCATCGGATCACTATATTTTTGGAAAGAGTTTACAAATAAAATGTGGGCAGAATATTGTATGTATTAACCAGCTTGATTTAAGTGTAAATTTACATTGGCCTAGCTTGAATCGAAAACATTTCCAGCTGAATCCAATCCAACACACAGGGTAACTGGGTTCATTTGCTTGACACCTCATACCTTCAGGTAAATATTTTCATTTGTTCCTTACAGCCAGTGGAAAGAACACAATGTTGGTATGTCAATGTTGTCATGATAATGCACTTTGACTTAAAACATTTTATCTCCTGTGACATTATTCAGAACTGGCATGGTAGTCATGTACAAAGTGGGTACAAACAGTCCTAATTCCCCTTGATAACTAGATCTACGCCTGGCATTCAGGGATTTACCTGAGTCTATCAATTTTCGAGTCCAGGGGACTCTTGATGACAAATATGATAGATCCAAGTCATGAAGAGAGGATTTCCAGGCTGTCGATATGTGTTTAGAAAAAAATAACAATTGTAGATGTTCAGTATGCGCCTTAGCCTCCAGTAGAAGAAGGTTTCAGAGTTAGATAATCATCAAACTGAACATTTTCGTTTATAGAATGACAGTTTATATGTAACATATCATCAATTCATATTTTGTAGATTCAATGATTCAAACAGCCATACCTTTTTAAGACCAATAGGTCTCATAATTGTAGACAAACATTTCAGCGAGTGTACAGCCCTGGCATATAAAACAAATAACTGACTAATTGCTAAAGAGTATTTGTAGAACGTTAAAAGAGACATGTATAATTTATTCACATCCAGTGTAGTACATTTATATATTGGCAGTTATGATTCAGGACTGTTGTAAAATGTTTAGAACCCTCATGGCTAATTTGTCCAACAGTAGTACAGTTTACCTGATGATGGGGCCAGAACAAGCCCTGAAACGTTGTACTCGAGAATAAAAAGAAGATGTAACCCAGAAAAAATCTCTATGTTCATCAAATATCATCTTCTAAAATGCCAATCAAGCAGCTAGTAGTACTATTTACCAGATCACTTACATGTTTTGTCTGTTGATTAGTAACTTATTCCCTCATCATTCAAGTTTATTGCATATGTCAGTTATGCGGTTACCTCCCTTGAGCCTTGATATGACAAATGGCAGATAACATACATTCTAAAAGATTATGTCTTTATAAATATAGACAAGAAGCCTTTGCTACTGACATAAGTCTTGGCAGATTCTGAATTGCCAAAGCAAACAAGATAGCTGTGGGATTTCTGCACCTCTTGCTTAAGACAAAGTTAATAAATGCTATCATGGCCAAAGAATACACCTTTGAAGAACTTTATGTTATGTGTACCTATGCCTACAAATTCATCCTACTATTAAGTCAACATTCCTTGTACTGATTTCTTCATATTCTATGCAAAAGGAAGATTGCCTGACAGAAATAGCTCTGTCTGGACAAAAAAGAGGGGGTATCTCCCTTTATTAGTGATGTTGGCTGCAAAATGCAATTTGTCTAATCAGAGACAATCCATTCTCCAATCTTTATTAGTGATGTTGGCTGCAAAATGCAATTTGTCTAATCAGAGACAATCCATTCTCTAATCTGCTAAGTGTAAAGAGCAGTCCATTTGTGGGCATGGGCTATTTTATTATTGTTCACTGAAACACAAACCAAGAAGAAAACAGATAAATTCAAGATTCAGGTGTTCTATATCGTTACCATGTTTTAAGTCAAATATGTAGTTATCCTTTTACTTTCAGTTAGATTATTCTATGATAAACCAAAACCTCAAATGGATTAGAGAATATTTTCTCCGAATGATTTACAAATGACAAGCTATTCTGAGGCACTAATAATTGGTATTATATAAATTTGTTTTCAGGTTCAAGATGATCTACGGCAGCTGAAGGAACAATTGCTGGCCCAAGGGGATGGTCGCACCATCAACGTAGCTGACCTGGAGACTGCCCTTGCCAAGACAGAGAAAGGGCTGCAGGTAGAACATAAATGTGTTCTTTCTTCAGACATGACACTCCCCAAAGTTTCCCAGTTCCCCATGCCTGTTGCTAGTCTGTCTCACAGTCCTTGAACCACATCATTTTCCCTACTGCCTAACCCACCCTGCAATGCTAAAGCCCTAAATGAAGCAAGTCTAGATTTCCTCAGAATCTCTGGTCTCCCTGGGGCTCCTTTTCAATTTAAATGGGTTTGTTTGTTACTATCAAAATTATATATATTCAGAGACTAAGCGTTAGTCTAGCCTGTTACATGTGGTATGTGGTAACTAACATTAGGATGGTTACAATGTGTGATGCAGTGTTCATGGAACAAACAGATTTAAGAGGTTTCACTGCAAATATAATTTCTTTATTTTCTTGCTTCTTGATTAAAAACATGTCAAATTTGTTAGAATACACCTCACTGGTTACATTTCATTTGTGTCTGACTTCAGACGCTTTATATAATAACTGCATACATGGCCAGGACACTACTTGATCTGCCTATGACAGTGTATGAAATAAGCCCAAAACCCAGCTTGACATCAGGGCTGGTAACTTCAAAATTGTTACCTGCCCAAAATAGATTTAACCAGGCCAGACACCAAGATATGGTGAATTTGCTCAGATGTATGGAGGGGCGGTGGGGTAGCCTAGTGGTTAAAGCGTTGGCTCGTCACGCCAAAGACCCGGGTTCGATTCCCCACATAGGCACAATGTGTTAAGCCCATTCCTGGTGTCCCCCGCCGTGATGTTGCTGGAATATTGCTAAAAGCAGCGTAAAACTAAACTCACTCAGTCAGTCAGATGTATGGAACATCTAAAACTTTTACTAGATGATCGGGGCAGCTAGCTGTAAATTTAGACCGTTCATCAGAAATCTAGCCCGTCTCGGGTGGTCGGACGGGCTTTATTTCATGACCTCTATAGCCCAGGCAACCAGTACTGGTCATGGAGGCGCCAAGTGGATCGGGTGATTAGACACAGGAACTGGGTAGATGCTATGTCATGTAGTTGCAGTATGTCGTTCACAATCATTGTATTATCTGGTCCAGACATGATTATTTAAAGGCCTCTGTGACATACAACATGCATACATAGTTGAAATATTGTTGAGTGTGGTGTTAAACAACAAACGTACTTTATACAGACAGACCCATGGTACCTTCAGTATCCATTCTTACAGTGACAAACCTGCTGTAATCTCTCTTGTTAAATCACCTGATCATTGGGTCTTGCTGTGTCATCTGACGACACTACCATATTCTTATTTTGCAGAGACGAACAGAAGAAGTCGTCCACCAAATCAATAACTCTGTAACAACATTGCCGTTGTCGGACTCAAATATCCAGGATGACCACTTCACTACGCTGGACACGACATGGGACCTGCGGCAACCAGGAAGGTTGGGAGTTTCTAAACAAGCTAGTTATCTCAGGTAAAATATTACTATGTGGGTTACACCTATTTTGATTTCTTTTTTCAGATGTTTCAAAAGATCAAGACACGGACCTTTACTTTTAACTAATAATCCTATGATAAATTGCATTTTTGGAGTAAAGTCATTAAGTGCTGAGATAACACTGTTGAAATTACCTCCGGATGATCATATGTATCCTTGGTTAATCACACTAGTGGTGTGACGATTCATCGATACGCATCGATGCATTGATCCATGGGCTGCTGATACAGGGAATCGATACAAAGTTTTACATTGTCGTATATCCCGATACGATACTTCAAATGGGCTCCAATACATCGATGTTGAACTTGGAATCTTGCTGAATTGTGATATCTGTCATGAAAAAAGGCTTACTTTTGTTTGATGATTAAAATATATACTTACTTATTTTCCCTTCATAAGTAAATGTTTTCTGGGAAATTCTTGCGTCAAGAACTGTGTCAGACATAGTGCTCGCATGTTATTTTTACATTCACAAAGTCCGTGTATAAACTTAATTATCTCGTTTCCGAATGAACATTGAAAAAACGCTGGCGGAATTTGACGAAATACTTTAAAATGGTTTTGTTTTGATCTTAAGGTATTTTATAGTTGGTGTTAGAATTAAAGATTTTAGTACCATGATACGTAACGTATCGCCACCCTTATATCGGGATTCGTATTGTATCCCAGATGCAGTGCACAATACTTTGGCAATATATCGTCGTGACTAAAATTTTAGTTTCGTGATGTGTTGTATCGCAGGTTGTATGCCAATACCAGCACTAACTCACACCATGATTAGCTACAGATTTTCCACTTTGATGACATGTACGTCCTTATACTTTCTGCGTAACATACCTCAGAGACTAAAAAGCTCAAAACAACAGTTAAGATTGTTAATACAATGTACAGTTACAAGGCTTGAAACTTTATTCTAGCACAACATTTGTGTGATACTTGATTCTGATTGGCTGAGAGCTCATGAAACCATACTTAAATGGCAGTTTAGCACAACCTTTGTGTGATACATCGAACTTGTTGATTGTTTGTAAACAAAGAGTCTCATCTATTTCGGCAAACTTTGATGTTTTGAAATGGCGAAAGGTTTAAGAATTTCTTGACTCTAATCCGAGTGAAGAAAACGAAGTTGGATTCTTCAGAGTGCAAAAGCGGCAGTATTCAAAACCGGGTCATCTAGCGGGCATGGCGCCGACAACACATGCCGGCGCACCGTCCTAACCTGTCTGCTCCGTCCGGCGGTAGAAGTCCTTCCACTTCCACTGTTGGCCAACATTTCCGTCCGGCCGTAGATGCCCAGTCCTTCCACTTCCACTGTCGGCCCATACGTCCTAACCTGTCCGCTCCCGTCCCGGCCGTAGATGCACAGTCCTTCCACTTCCACTGTCCACGTAATCCACATAACACGTGGCAAGTCAGGTCTTTTCCAAATTGGGAATAGTAGGGTGGTTATCAACAATTATTAAAAAATTCCTTGAATACAATTAGCGGCGACTAAACTTAGCAAGTTCACGGCTTGAATTGGGACGAGTCGATTGCCATACAGTAGGGGAGATCAATAATTCGCTTGAGAAAAATCAAATAATTGTACTTGCGCACAGCATAAACTGTATTTTTCAGTTATGCATGCTACTTGTTACAAATTACAAATAAAATGGAAATTTACTGGTTCCTGAACTAAAAAAGCATTTATGTTGTTGAATGATGTTCGTCTTTTACCCGACATCAAACGATTTTGTTCATTATGAACAACCTGTTCCTCAACAGGATATTGGGAAATAGGCGATTCTGATTACGTAAAAGGAAAATATAAAGGAAAAAGGCACAGCATGTTATTTCACAAAAGGAAAAAGCCATAGCCCTTCTTTCATTGGTTTATCGCATTATAAATGTAAGCTTGTTGCAGTTGTATTTCACAGTAATGAAAAAAAATTGAAAATCCCGCACAAGCATATTTCTGAAAAGCCAAAGCCCCTTTCATACCTTTGTGTTCTTAAGGCCACCAAACTGATCGGTTTTAAAAGCATGGGCTTATCAGTCATGTTAGAATGAAGATAAAGCTACCCTGTTTTCAATTTTCAGTCCTTTATACCAAACAGATCGTTGATTTAAGACCACTAAATGTTTAATTTAAAACCTGCTAAATGTTTAATTCACGCTGTCGTGTTCGGTTTTAAAATTACATTTAGAGGTCTTAAATCAATGATAAGGACCGCAAAATGTAAAACAGAGTAGCTTTATCTTCTAATTTACGCATGTATCATTACAATCTGTAATGCATGAAAAGTAGGTTGCATGTCTGGTAATTGTCAAGGTAATCTTTGTAAGAATTGTAAAATGTGGTCACTGCCAGTTACGTTTAAACTTTTAAAATGTACAACATATAGATAATTTGATCATTTTTAGATCTGGAAGTGGTGTGTTTGGACTGGACGTTCATGGTATTTTAAATTTTGGGAATTTTTAGGAGATGGCTTGGAAGGGAAGCCTCTGTAAATTCTGAGTGTGGCAATTTGTAGCTATTACTCTGGAGAATGAGGACAATTTTATGGATATACAACTTCTTTATTCTGTATAGGCGACGTTCTAATGTGGTTGCCAATCAAAATGTACAACGTGTTTGGTGTTCACCACTTGCTTGGCAATGACATTAGAATCGTCAAAACGTCGCCTGTACAGATTAAGAAGTTGTATATATATAAAATTGTCCTCATTCTTCATCTCCTCAACTTCTAGAATGCCAATCAAAGAAGACGTTGCACATTAGCAGGGTTTTACAGGGAGCAAAATATGTCACATGTACACACAAATTAATGTATGCAGAAACTCTGCACTTTGAGTCCCACACATAAAAGTATGGGTGGTTTTATCTGTAAAACTTATTCAACCATTACATGCTTGTAGATCGAAATGACCTTTCAAGCATGTGCTGTTTATATTCAGGTGTGCCACATTTCATCAGTATGTAGACATCAAGTGACACACATTGCTCAGCAGCGTCCGCCCGGAGAGCGGAAGGTCGCGGGTTCGATCCCAGACCGCATCATACCGAAAGACGTTAAAATATGGTACTTGTTGGTCCCTGCCTGGCGCTCGGCATTAATGGGTACAACAAGGACTGGTCGGCTCGGAGTCAGTATAATGTGTCTGAGTGGGCTATTCATGCTTCACTGCGGTATGGTATCTCAGTGGGCTAGCACTATAAAACCAGCTTAAGTCTGCGCTAGTACAAGCAGCCGCACATACACATACACACGCATGCACACGCATGCACATCATAGGAGCGAAATATTCTCAAGCACGACGTAAAACCCAATTTCACCTCACCTCACCTCACATTGCTCAGCCTGGTTCTATGTACAGTTGTTAAACCAGGGACCTTTAAAAACATTTCCTGAGCACGCAAGACTAACAATTAGATAGACCCTACAAATTTGAGAAATGACAGTCTTTTGTTTTTGACAGTTGGGTAGTGTATCCTCCATGCTGCAGCAGTACTGGCAAACAAGGATAAGTTGAGCACCGACCTGACAATTGACCCGTATTAGCATGTATGAGTGCCGCCCACTGGCGCTTGACATTGTTAGCGAAGGGGTCCCAGGTTGTCCGCGATCAAGTGTAGTGCGACTTGCTACACCGACGTGAGAGTTTTATGAGCAAGGCGTGTGCAGCTATGCGCGGAATCAATTTCATTGTCATGCAATGCACGTGCACTAGCCTACATCTGCTCTACCTTTCACAAACCAAATGGGTTTGTTCATTGCCGTGCACCGCCTACTTCTCATCAACACGTTCTCTGCGCCGGTCCAACTTGTCCTTGTTTTCCAGTTAATGTTGTGTTTTGGCTGGATTGTCTTTCAGCAATTTTGTTTTCCATTGCAGTCAGCAGTCACATCCAGCACTGGGGGGCAGACCATCTTTCCAGCCGCTACCCCCAGGGGCTAAACTTCCTCTCAGACAACCAGTGCAGAGCCAGGGACTCACACCAGGACAACAGGTAAGAGTTGACAGACCAGGATAGTTTCTTCAAACCATTGTTGGTTCATGTTGTATTTAAGACACCATAAATACTATTCATAGTCTCATATTTTGTTTAGATTTGTTTCTAATGTTTGTTTTACGGGGAAAAAAATATAACAAAACAATGAGATCTTATTAGGTGCCCACTAGAAAAGGTTGAAGTATTTAGTCTACCCATCCTTGTTTGAACAGAAACACCACAGTGAAGATCTGGGTCAGTAGTTATCATCAGCAACCCATGCTTATTGTAAGAGGCAGCTAACATGATTGGGTGGTCAGACTCTCTGACTTGATTGATGCAATTGCATAGATTGTTGCTCATGATGTCAATCACTGGATCTTCTGCTCCAGAGATGGTTATTTACAGACTGCCTTTGTTTGGCTGGAATATTGCTGAGTGAGGCATTCTATTAAACAAACACACATTAACAGTAGCATATATAAATGGAGTGAGTGAGTGAATGAGTGAGTTTGGTTTTACGCCGCTTTTAGCAATATTCCAGCAATTTCCCGGCGGGGGACACCAGAAATGGGCTTAACACATTGTACCCATGTGGGGAATCGAACCCTGGTCTTCTGGGCGTGAATGAGCCTTTAACCACTTTAACCCAGCCCTATTAAACAAACACCCATTAACAGTAGCATATATAAATGGAGAAGCAGTGTAGTTTTTGTCACACCGTCTTTGAATCTTGTGTCAGCACAAGCAACAGTGGGGTCTGCGTGCAGTCTACAACCCATACAACTCACAGAGCCGGAATGTCCTTCAGGAGAACTACGGCATCCAGCTGCCACTGATTGCGGACAAGAGAGATGCCAGGGTATGTATAGGGTCATAATTATACGTCACAAATATTTTTGTAAATAAAATATTTTTGTAAATATTTGTATTATGAATTCCTGTGGATTATTCCTACTTTCCATTCTAAATACAAGCAATGAAGACATACTAGCTGGGATTATTATCTCCCCTTGATCCTGCGTGGTGTGTAAAATTTGTGCAGCACTTAAGTACATAAGTGATGAAGTTTTGTTCATGTTCCCTTGTTTTCAATTTTAGCCTCCACCAAAGCCAGTGATGGGTTCGACTATAGAGCACTTGAGTGTGTTGCCAAAAGCCAACAGGGTTGACGCTCAGGTGAGATATTTCTCAAAATGTGTAGCATGACAAAACTTTCAGATTACAGGTATTTCAGGAAATATGCAATCAGATGAAAATGAGATCTTTTACTGCACACTTCACTGTTATTGCTTTATTACTCTATTAAATTCTTTTACTGACACATGAAGAGCCAGGTTAGAATTGATCTTCAGCAATCCATACTTGTCATACATACTTAGAGGTGACTGACCACTCGCTCGATCCTGTTAGTTGCCTCTTACGACAAGCATCGTTGCTGAAGACCAATTCTAACGCGGATCTTCATGGGTGCAGTCCTGAATTACTTTGATGGACATAGTAACAGAGTTGTTTGTGTGTACAGCTTGCCCCTCCCCCTATCAACGAGGGCGATGCTCAGATGGGGATCCTGAGTCTTTTGGAGCGAGGCCTGATACCTCCAGCTGCCCAGCTGACCCTTGACCCCTCCCCAGTCAAACAGATGGTGGCACCCCTACATGATCCTCAGGACAGAAACAAAGCACCAGCAATATCAGGTAACCAGGGAGGGGATGTGCCCCACCCAAACCTTCCTTCACCCCTTCAAGCAAGTTTGCCTGGGTCTGCCAGTCATTCCTGGAAATATGTTCTCACTTAGTATAGACAGACATATTCATCCAACCAACTTTCCTTCACCTTCACACAGATATATGGAACCACCAACATCGTCATGTTTGAAAAAGCCTTTCAGTCTTTTATTTGTGTGGTCTGTCATACAGTCCCTGAAACAAATGTATCAGTACAGCCCATGCAAGTCTATCATATTTAAGTCAAGTCTATCATATTTAAGTCAAGTCTATCATATTGAAGTCAAGATTACTGAGGTGTCAGGAGAAGTTTGCAAGGACTGCTATTTTAGGTGGAAAATTTAAGTAGAATGTCCTTCAGTATATCCCACTGTATGCTCAGACCACCTACATTTTAATCATTTCTTTGGTGGATATATAGAGAATACTATAGAGGTCTCATTACATCACTAATTATACGAAGCGAAGTGTCCTTCCTATGGTATCTGACCGGTTTAAAAGCGGAGGTCAGATAACATAGGAAGGTCACGAAGTTTTGTATAATTCGTGATGTAATGAGACCGAGTGTGGTATTTTATTTATTACCCACGCCTTACATGCATTTAATTGACAAAATTGCGTATTTTTGTTATGTTTTTTTGTTTTCAAACCGAACCGGTTTCATAAAGAGGTTCTTGCGGAAGAGTTTTGTACTGTAGTACAATATTTGCATGGCGCCACTGTAATGACGTCACTGCCTTGGTAACCGACGCCACGATGCATGTCAGTTGTCATCGCCGCATACAGCCTCCTACAGTAAACTACTCCGTAGCACCCCGTTTCTTGGTTTCCAGTTGCTTCATCTCGGCTAACATCACTGGTGGAAACATTGCGTTTATGTTTTTCGACAGATATAATGTCTCAGTTCGACTCACAATTAAACAGCGACAACGGCAACGCTCGCAATGTTTACATTCCCACAATGCATTTAAGTTGTAGAATGAATGAATTCACGTGTTTGTTATGAATGAAAAAATAGTTACGTCAGAATGTGACCTAATTGAGAGGTCATCGGTTATCCAATCAATCGTTAGAATTTCAGGTCAAGTCGTTAACGACACAGGTCAACGCGATCACGACACTTTCGTGTGACGCACGAGATTAATATGCAACTACCCATACGTTGACCCACGGGTAATAAATGTATTTGTCTACCCTGTTATGTGTCACCTGAACATCCAAACTCCACTGCACACAGCCATCACCCCAAGACAAAGGTTAATCTCATCTCACGGTGTGCTTACAGATTCAAGCCATCAGTATGCGGAATCCACCTAGACAACCAATCACGACAGCAGAGTGACGGAGTCCTACATTTCCTCCAACAAGATGCGTCGATGACATCTAAAGTCTGCCCCACGCCAGAAACCCGTTCCACGTCTGCTCGCACCAGAATGTCGTCTGCTACTGGTTTCTCCAAAACCCCTGCCACCATCAGGACGTATGAGATGCCTCTCCAGCCCTTGGTGAGTACCTGCTGATTTCTTGTTTCTATTGAAGAATTTAAGACCAAAAATTTATTCAGTATTTTACAACATTCAAATGTATCATCCAAACTATTATCAACTGACATAAGTATGGAGAAGGGCTATTTTTGTTTACTCATTTGCAGGTGCTACAAAATATAAACTAAATTAAAGTGTGTAGAGAAATATTATTTGTCAGAATAGATCATTTCAAAAGGAATATCTATGAAAATGTGTGAAGTTGTATTCACAGTTATTTTCATATTTGTTCAAATATTTGACCATCAGTTTTACTATAATCATGTGTTATTTTTGTTCCTATAGAGATAGTTCTTTGTTGTGCCAGTGAAGCCTTGGCTTTTGTGTCATAGATAGTTCTTAGGTTAATAGTGTACAAAATGTGGCTTGTAGCCATTAGTGGTATAGATAAAACAATGGTATGTTCATATTGTTTTGTAGTTTGCAGCTAACATCACAGGCCCTTGTGTGTTTGCGAGGATTAAAGATTTTTAAAAATGTATAAAAAGTTTGAGATGATCCCGACTTGAAATGCTTCATGGACACTTACGATGCACCCCACCCGCCTGCTTTGCCTGATTGCTACGATTGATACGCTACCGTCGATGCAATCGTTTAAAACTTAATGTAAACATAATCATCGATAATTGGCCTATCGAGCACCACTCATGACACCTACCAATTCTTTATTGTTATTTCTGCAAGTCGATTGAAACCCGATTTTGACTCTCAGCTAAACGATCTTGACACAAATGGATGATGATATGTCCGCGACACAACGAGGATGTGGTGAAGCAAGCCATCTGGTTGGTTGATGCTTGTTAAGGAGACATTTACAACTGATGCTTTCTTTTGAGAAGCCATTGCTGGAAAAACATTTTTACATTTCCTTGTCAAGCAGTAAACAAAAGTAAAATTCCCGCAAATTTATAAAGAATGTGAATATATACAAGCGTTAACCAATCACAGGGCTTGCTTCGACCACACCCCCGTTGTGTGTGGATATATCATCATCCATTTGTGTCAAGATCGTTTAGCTGAGAGTCAAAATCGGGTTTCTATCGACTTGCAGAAATAACAATAAAGAATTGGTAGGTGTCATGAGTGGTGATCAATTGGCCAATCATCCATGATTATGTTTACATTAAGTTTTAAATGATTGCATCGCGGTGGTAGCGTGTAGTGATTGGCAAAGCAGGTGGGTGGGGTGCACGAAGTGTCAGCCTTGTCATGATGTATTGTACTGTGAAGCATTTTGAGTCGGGGTCATCTCAAAAACAATATTTTTTCATCTTTAATCCTCGCAAAGACACGAGGGCCTATGGCTGACATTGTAGTACTTTGCCTTGTTTATGTGTCATGTCATATGTCATGTAATTGATCAAACTTTGTTTATCATAGTTTTAGGCATATACAGTAACAAAGGGAAATCTTTCATTGTTTACACTTTTATGTTAATGCTCATTGACATGTAGGTGCTTGGTAAGGAACTTACTAAACTCTGTTGTGTTTATGTGTGATTTTGATTCACAAGAATATCAACACATACTGATTCTGGTGTTGACACTTTTATCAAATAGCCACAGTTTAGCACAGCTTTATATTTATTTATTTTCTTGCTGTCTTGAAGCAAATACATTTTTTGTGATTTTATCATTTCAAACACTAAAATTATCACAATGTACAACTAGGACCATATGCACATGTTGATACTCGTGTAAAATACCAGGGATTTACAGGACGTGAATTCCTGCATCCTATACGAATAAATATTGACAATGGACGCAACAAAATATATTAGCGTCCACAGGGACTCAGAAAAAGTCCAAATACTTTTTGTAAAAATTCCAATTCCTAGTTTGCTACTAGCTGGGTTATGGTATTGTTTGCAATTTAATTACTGTAACAATGTGGTGATCATGATACATAACACAAAAACAGTATTAATAATAATATTTAAGTGTCTGGGACCCCCATTTTGTTGTCCAGGACCCCAGAAAATTAAGAGTATGAGTCCCAGGGACCCTCAAATACAGGACTCCATGTAAATACCTGAAATACCATACACTAAATGGGTGAAATATTGCCAATGAAACATTATCGATGACAAAATATATGTGTGGAGTATTTACCGCTGTTGTTTTAGGTAAAAACAAACTAATTACTGGTTATTCAGAACTCTTCCTAAACACTTGTAGCCTGTGAAGATCTGGGTTAGAATTGATCTTCAGTAACCCATGCTTGTTGCAAAAGATGACTAATGAGATCGGGTGGTCAGGCTCGCTGACTTGGTTGACACATGTCATCATAACCCAATTGCGTAGATCAATGCTCATGCTGTTGATCACTGGATTGTGTGGTCCAGACTCAATTATTTATAGACTGCCGCCATATAGCTGGAATATTGCTGAGTGCGGCGTAAAACTAAACTCACTCACCCACTCTTAAACACTTGCTGTTTTGTATATTGTATGTATCTTGTGAAAACTAGACTAATTAAAACTGTACCATATGATCATTTATGTCTCCCTTTGATATGATTACGTATGTTGTATATAAATGCTGAAACGGTTCCTGTACAAGATGTTCTAGATATTGTAGATATGTGGACATGGTTAGGTGACTTAATGTTGTCATGCCTGTACACATTTCAGCTTCCACCATTGGTAAACACAAGTTGTCACCTCTGTCTGTGCTGTCTGTGCTGTCTGTGACTGCATGCATCCCCTGTAGCCACTGTCTGCCACATGGTAGACGGGCATCCTTAGTAGTCAATTCCTGATTACATCATTCCAAAGTTGGGTCATTCTGAACTTCGAAAAAAGAAGATATGAACTTGATCTGGACAACAATCTGTGACTTTTAAGGGGTTATTTTGGCTTTGAAAAGTCAAATTTAAAGTAAATTCCAAGAAATTGTTATACTCCTGTTTGAATGCTAAGACATCTGAAAGTTTTAGTATTTCAGATAATGTTTTTGGACAACAATCTGTGACTTTTTTTAAAGGTTCATTTAGGTATCTTTGAGAAAGTTTTAATATTTGGCTTGAGGGACCCAAAATTCCACAAGGACACAATATGCCATTAAAATGTCCATACTGTTATTTTTCTCCAAATATAAGTAACTACCAAGGGGATTAACTCTTACCACTCTGAGGTGAAAGACAACATGAATGCTAATGACGTGAATGTGACAAATGCTTAACAAACATTAAAGTCTTGTCAGAATGTGCAGGAGCTTCTAGATATTTCAGATATAATTCAAATCCAAAACAGTGTAAAAATTGAAAAAAGTCCTTGGATCCTTGAAGTTAGCTGTTGTGGCGCTTGAATCTCTTGACCCCTTATCATTTCAATTTATAACCAGGGCCCAATTACTTTAAAGTTGAATTAAAATCACTGGTAGTTCAGCATTTTACATTGCTTTTGATTTTAGCCTCACTTTACAAATAGAGCATTATGCATAATATAAGACTCAGGTTTTAGATTTTTCCATATTTTCTCATAGATTTTTCTATATATTCTAGTCGTAGTGGCAATGCATGCACACTGGGTATTTCTCCTGTTCATGTTCTGTGTAACAGTGTAGATGTTCTGTGTAACAGTGTAGATACTGTTCTCTACCTGTATGTGTCTGCTGTAGATGCCTTCCTTATGTTGTTCCATCCGTTTACATGACAAGAGCTATCTTACTTCATGTCACTGACTGCCTTTTCCATTTGAGCCTCTGTATGATCAAATGTCCTTTCACAGCTTGTCTTTTGCATAAAACTGAGCTTTTATTTATTATTTATGTAATAAATGGTTTCAAAAGAAATCTACTCAATGATATAATAAACAATCTATACATTTGGAATGGTTTATTAAATTAAAAATACTTAATTAAATGAGCGATCTAATTTATGGCATTAATTCTGTTTTCACTCATTGCTAGTCTATCCTGCTTCAGTTTCTGTCAGTCACTGTCCTGTTCTGCATAATATATCTTAAGTCCATGTTCAGGGCTATATTCTGTTTACTTAGTAACCTTGATAACATTTTCTGGGCCCTACTTCACATAGGAGTTTTAGCACTAAGATTACTCTCATAAATAGTACTGACTTATAACAGTATTTGAGGAGCATCACTTGTGGATGGCAGTCTGTACTTTGAAGTTTTAGATTGCATTAAAATGTACTGATGTAATTTCCTAGTTGTTAAAACTAAATTATAGTGTCTTTTTAATTCATTTTATAGATATGGTAGTGTAATATATCTATGTGAATAGATTTTCATTTTTATCATTTTGTACCATAGCTCATTATAGTTAACTTGTAAAGATGTCTAGATAGCCTTGTAGCTGGAACATGTAGATGTCATGTAGGTTGTAGTTTTAAAGCAACCAATAATTTCATTTTATGTAAATATTATCATTAATGAACTATTACATATGAGGCTAACATCGGATGTAGCCTGTACCATAAGCCATGTCTGCTTCAGCCTCCCCCGACGACACCAGCCAGCGGGGACTTTAAAGCCCTCAGTCACAGGTTCGCTCTGCAGAACGGGAAGGCGCGGGATACACAACCAGAGTTCCTGGCCTTCAAACAGCACTATTGTCTCACCTGGGGCAGGTGAGTCATGGAATACACAGTAGCATGGTAAACTGTGGGGAGCTGTGCTTCACTGGCTGGTTGTCACTCAAGGCTGGATGCTGTGATGTATGATGCTAAGGACATTATCTCTGTCAATCTGGCATTGACTTTTATATATGCACAGAGATGCCAATCATTGCGCTTCTGCAGTATTACACTTTTGACCATTAAATAAGCCATTACACTTAATTAATCTGCGAAATTTACTCTTTTCAACCCATTTTTGAAAAATCAATAAAAGTGGATAAAAATTTCACAGGGAAGTGTTTTAATTACAGGTGCAGGGGTGCAGAAATGGCCTTGCACCCGATAGGAATCGCTTACTCTTTGACTCATTTCAATTGTCGCATAAGGGAATTAAAGTATTTTTGAGTAACATGACCAACAATTTTCGATTTATGGAGCTTCATGCTGATTGATCACATGTGTTTCTGTCTGGAATCTTCCTTTCATGAAAATGTGTACCATTTTAGGCGATACAAAGGACTACACTTTCAAGGTCCAAATTAGCTTTTGACCTCAAATATTGCTTAGGCCCAAAATAGGGTTGGCATCTCTGTATATGCAATCTGCAGTTTATGCTGGCAAGTTAGTGAACTCTTCAATGACATACTAGGACAGCCAAATGGCCTCTGCTTGCCCTGTGTGTCTTGGATACTGTTTTATGTATTTCATGTTCTTTGACAAATTCTTCAAAATAATAATTATTTGGGGGGTTAAAGCCATCAGCTCATGTAATTTCTTCGTTTTATTGCTCAAAGTGAAGCATTATGTCTATGGATTTCAGGTGTATTCTATTGTTGAACTGCATTGTTTTACATCACAAAATACACCTGCAGCAGTGTTCAACAAACCAGTCAGGTTGACCTCTGGTCATGTGACCTTTTAAGGGGTGTCAGCGTTCATAACTTTGTGTTGGAATTCTGTTGGAGCATTTCTTACTGTTTTTACACATTTTTGTACTTTTTGTAGCTGAAAATCGTAGACTCACCTTTAAACAAGGCTTGTAAAATTATTAGGGCTGAGACAATACACTGTGTCCGCGATCACGATACATATCAGCGATATTTTTACCTCGCGATGCACACATACATGACAATACATACACCTTGAAAGAATGACACAGTATTAATGTTTAAAATGATTTATTTCAAGGTATTTGTGTATAACAATAACACTATTGTAATAAACAAAGCGAGTAACTCTATCACATATACTTGTGTATTTTTCTCTAGATAAGTACTTAACATGTTTAAGATAATACTGTTTTGAAAAGACTTGTGTATCGTTTTGTATCGATACACCAGTCGACGATACGATAGCTGTATCAAACTTAAATGTATCACGATGTATCGGTGCATCGGTGAAATGATTCGTCCCAGCCCTAAAAATTATATATAAATCCTATTTCATTTTGAATGCCAATATTCTTAACCTTAATAGGGATGTCTCAGTAATCATTATTTGTATTGTAAACTGCATATACTATAATGTTTTCAGCATAGTTTCAATGATTCGCCACCTGGAGAGACTGATGACAAAGTACTCTGTGCCAGTAAGCCTTCATCAGTGGAGACAAGTGAGTCCAACCTGTGTTCTCCTCCCAGGGTCTTTGAGGTTGGCTCCAGACATTTTTTAAACGTAATATCCCCCAAATAAACTATTGACATCAAGTCTATGACAAGGATCCTTTTTCCTTCTGGATAAATTTGATCTCAGTTCATTGTAGTGCTCTAACATTGAAGTCTATGACTAGTAGGATTACCGATATGTCAATTGTGCAGCCGGTAAATCAACATTCAGTTCATACAACATTGTTGTCATAATGCTGGTGTCATTAGTAGGAAGGACTCTCAGTCCAGCAGAATAACAATAGGATTATGATTTTGAGAATTTACATGCGCTCTTCGACATACTGGGTAATTTGTATTTTCCACAAGACCTCTGGATAATGTGTTGTGACATGTATCCCCAGACTGGCCGATCTCTCCATGGAGTTTGAGCTGGAAATGGCCCCAACTGTGGATGATCTGCTGACAGTTGTAGTGAACCGAGATGACGTGGAGGCCATCATACGTAGGCCGGTATGTAGTACATGTAGTAGCCTAGACACAATAACACTGAACTGTGCGAGAAGGGTTTATATAGTAGGCTATCGGTAGTCTTGTTTTACATATATTACATTTTACATATTTTTACATATATTACATTTTACATATATTACATTTTACATATATTACATTTTACATATATTACATTTTACATATATTACATTTTCACATGTCATAATACTGAAGCAAGGAGAAAGCATTATGAATATCCTCTTCCAAGATGGTAGTATTTCAGGATGGAAGATGGATGTTTTCAGGGTCGTCGCTACCTTGGTTACAATGGCCAGGAGGTTGCTGCCACTCACATCCAATCATCATGGCGCCGGTACAAGGACAGGTCCGTGTACCTGGACTATCGGCGCCACAAGTGGGCTGCAGGTGTGATTGCGATCTCCTGGATCATGCACATCAAGATGGTGAAGGTCCGGCAGCAGCTGAAACAGACCAGACTAGACCAGCTGGAGAGCTTCAGGATGAGGTCAAAGGTTAGTGGAGACACTGAGACAGACGTGTTCAGTGTGGCCCACAGATAACCCTGTCATAGTGTAAAGTCAAATAATTATTACTCCCCGGAAGTTTCGGAATGCATGATTGGACATTAACAACATGGCGACTTCCCCAGTCAACCATGTGGTTTCAGCCCGCTCATTGTAATGTATGATGTATACATTTCTAACCCCTCAATAACAGTGGAATAAATGGGATTCTGGTCCAGGTTACAAAAAAACCTAGGGCGGTTCAGTTCAATTTCTTGTTCAGGACCTCCTTGAAATAGCCCATATATTAGTGTGTCATGGCACGGTAAATAATGGTTAAATGACAGAAATGACACGTTTAAAATGTTCCGGTGCCCTTTTGACACTCGAAAACTAATAATTTTTATAAGAGACATAACTCACATTTAGTCATTTAATCCCCAAAACAATTATTTTTTCCAAATTAAATAATACCATACATATCTGAATGCTCATAAACCCATTTCTTTATTTAACAATATATTTCAAATGATCATCATCATTGTCATTTATTCTAAAAACTTGTGGGCACACTGATTGATTTCAGAAAGGCACACCTAAGATATTTGTCTGGTGCCTTAAGGCACACTTAAAAAAAAGTATTTCTATCCCTGTTGTTGTAAGGACCTCCTTGTGTAGTCATTGAGAGAAAATTATTTCACAAAAGAATGCAGTAAATAATAGTTATAATGAACAAATTTTGACTAAGATATACAGCAATTGGCTAAGACTATAAAATGGTTTGTTATATCCGTCAGTTCGTTATAAGTATGTTTGTTATATACATAGTATTGTATGATAATCTTCTGTGATCTGCCAGAAATTTGCCTTGGCCTGGGATCGGATCAAGATGTCCAAGCGTGTGGTCATCCACCTGCCGTCTCTCGGACTGACTCAGAGTATTCGTGACAGTATACACGAGTTTGGGATCCGTCAGAACACTCAGATGGCCCGACTCTGTGACATCAGAGGTGGGTACTCCTTACTACTGTTGTGTCTAACCATGATTATTTACAGACCTCTTTAGTAAGTGTTTGTTTTGTTTGTTGTTATAATAATAACACTGCACTCAGCAATATTCCAGCTATATGGTGACTAGTGTTGGGAATTGGTTAAAATCTCATAATTGATGATTGGTCCAATACAACCGATCAATCATCGAAAATAATTGGTTAGCGTCATTTATCAAATGTTCCTGTTGTCTTTGTAAAAAATAAAGAAAAACATGTAGTAATTTGGGTTTTTTTGCAAATTAAACAAAATCCATTTGCAAATTTTGCATATTTAAAGGATTATTAGTATGTTAGGAACACAGATTTCCTGGTTCTTTAAGATAAATTCAATCATGACTTGGAACGAGCTTGTGCTTATGAAACGTAAATTTAATGACACAGACAAAAGCAACCTTGTGAAAAATATTGTTGATGCAAACAAGTGTTCCAAGATTGGTTGCGTTCGATTATGAGAAAACATGTTCGATTGCTTGGTCGTTTAGTCACTGCGACCAATCTTCGATTATTTCAATTAATCGGACCACCACTAATAGTGACAGTCTGTAAATGCAGTCTTTGACCAGACAATCCAGTGATCTACATCATGATTGATATACCCAAATGGAATACAATGTGTCTACCAAGTCACCCAATCCCATTAGTCACCTCTTACAACAAACATGGGATGCTGAACACCAATTCTAAACACTTTTGCGTTTCTTCCATATCATCCAAGTATCCACTATGTGTCCTCTGCCAGTTAATGGTGTCTCTGGAAAACATGCGCCAAGATACGGAATGTAGTGACAGATTATCTCACATATCGGTAAACCTGTTTCAGATCCCAATGTTGATGTAATCTTTGTGTCCCCCGTGCCCCTGAGTGACGAGACGCTGCAGTACTACTTCAAACTACTTGGGCTCAAGTCTGCGGTGGACAGCGGTATGGTCGAGGACCAGTGTGACATGACAGAGAGATACAAGATCATCGTCCCCGAGGCCATCAAGAGTTTTCCAGTAAGTCTCACAGCACACCCCCGTCTACATCATGCTATAGAGTGCCGTGTAACTGTAGACCTCAAATAGCCTAACCCTTAGTACATGAAATAAAGTTATGCTAGTTAAATAGATATATATACATATATACATCTACAAAACCCAGAATAAAATCCAAATGGAGCCAGGGTGCCGTTCCACCTAACCCGATCTTAGCCCTATGCCAGTCGTAAATCCCTAAAATCCCAATCTTAGCGTGGCGTTACGATATCGGCATACCGTTCCACTAACCAATCTTACCCAAGTCAATCGTAAAAGTTAAGATTCAAAGTCTAAGTTGCTCATGACCAACTTAGGATAGCTAAAATCAATCAGAGAAACCAAAATGGTGACTTTCCTATTCTTTGTGAAAAATAAGAGGCAGCATTTCACCGTAAAGCGTCCCCTAAAGTCCCCATGAAATGAATTTGTATATTTCTGTGATGTAAACAAACACTGCACTGAGCCTTACAAATGTCAGGCCAGTCTGACCACTGTCGTCATATGGGAACACAACCCGCGAAGTCGGGTGTAACACATTTGTACAACAATATTGCAACGTCATGGTTAAGAATAGGGACAGCGTGAAGTGAACAATGTTCTGAAGCAAAAGATACAAATATGTTTGATTTCACTGCGCATATTTGGTGTGGGATTCTAAAGACAGGCGGCGTGTTATTCAAGACCACTGACAGATTCTACATCGTTATATATAGCCTCGTCAGCATTTGTTTATTCTGATTGACAAGGTTCAGGCACATATTAAAAGCTCTGACACAATTGACATTTTTTAAAGTCCAGACTTAAAACCTGTTCCTCAGTATATTACTTATAATCACGGCTGTAAATATTCTCGTGTAAAATTATCTGTACATAGCTTTGAGCATGCCCCAGGATGTGGAATAGGCACTATAAATATGCATATATTATTATTATATTATGCCTGATACCCAGCGTTCAGGCGGCACCCAGAGTGGGGATGTGCACCCCCACCCTCCCCTCCCACCAAAGAAATTTCCTTGAGAGTCTTTTCCCCCTAATCTTTGGACTTCAGGATGTATGTGCACCCCCTTCTCCTAAATCCTGGAGCCCTGAACAATACATACTTTCAGGCCTGTCACTCTAGGCTTGAACTGGATTATGTGTTTTATCTTAGCATCAGACTAGTCCTCACACCGTGGACCTGATTATAGTTTTGTTTTCACATCTAGATCATCAAAAAAGGATTGCTGATATTAGATGTATCGAAACACTGAAATATAGGGGAAAAATCACCTTGAAGGGCTTCTTTTTAGATGTTGTCATGTATTTTATGTCATCAAATTATCAAAGCATTTGGAGAATAGAAAAATACATTGTGAGAATGAACAACCATTTGCACACCATGAGAATTATTGGTGAGAATTTATCCCCAATGCTGATTTTAAGAGTTGATTTAATGGATTGGGTCTTCTGGCTAGGTGACTTGTTTGATAGTGCGTCATCATACCCAAGCAGTGTGACCGCCTCCGTGGTGTAGTGGTTAGAGCGTCCGCCCGGAGAGCGGAAGGTCGCGGGTTCGATCCCCGACCGCATCATACCAAAAGACGTTAAAATATGGTACTTGTTGGTCCCTGCCTGGCACTCGGCATTAATGGGTACACCATGGACTGGTCGGCTCAGAGTCAGTATAATGTGTCTGAGTGGGGTATTCATGCTTCACTGCGGCATGGTATCTCAGTGGGCTAGCACTATAAAACCAGCTTAAGTCTGGGCTAGTACAAGCAGCCGCACATACACATACACATGCATGCACGTCGTCATATGAGCGAAATATTCTCGAGCACGACATAAAACCCAAATTTCACCTCACCTCACCTCACCTCACCCCAAGCAGTGTGGATCATTGATCACAATATCAATCATTGGATTGTCTATTTCAGACTCAGATTATTTACAGGTTGCAATCAAATGGCAGGAATATTGTTCCGTATGCATTTAGACAATAAACACACAGCTTGCAAAACATCCAATGACAACACAGGGAGCATGATCTGAACACCTTCCACTTCAGACACATCGCATGTGTCTGGCCACGCTGCTCAGATACAGCCCCGAGACTCTGAAGAGGATCAAGAACCTGATCCGTGGGCGTGAGGCGTTCATCGTGACCGGGGTCCCCCACAAGGATGACCTGGGAGTGGCTGACATCCTGGATGTGCCGATCCTCTCCCCGGAGCCAGACGTAGCTCACCTGTACTCAACCAAATCGGGGAGCAAGAGAATCTTCAACAGTGCTGGTGTGGACATCCCACCTGGAGAGTATGATGTGTACAGTCTCGGTCAGGTGGGTGGACGAGAGGGTGTAGTCTGTGTGTACATGGGACCCGTGAAGATTCGGCCCGAGTTAGATTGAGTTACCGAGTTTGATCTTCAGTAACCCATGCTTGTCGTAGGAGGTGACTAACAGGATCGGCTGGTCAAGCTCGCTGACTTGGTTTACATATGTCATTGTATCCCAATTGTATAGATCAGTGCTCATGCTGTTGATCACTGGATGTTCTGGTCCAGACTTGTTTATTTACAGACCGCTACCATATAGCTGGAATATTGCTGAGTGCAGCGTAAAACTAAACTCACTTGCTCATAGTGTGTACATGGTGATGTTGATGGATTCCATTCACTGTTGTGGCTATGCATCAATGATCTTGTCGTCTCCCTTTGATCATGTTGTGACTCACATTAAAGCAATGTGGATGAATAATGTATGTTGAGGTGAAGACAAACTTAAGAGAGGCTAAGGTCAGTTGTCATGGAAACAAATTCCTCCATTGTCTGCTGATGTTATTTCTATCAAAAGTGACATCATTATCTGTCTTCATATACAGAATCTGCAACAGAACATAAGTGATAACTTTCGTGTTGTTACTGCCGATGAAAATAATGGGAAAAATATCCTCCATTCCATGTAACACAAACCATGTTGTCAAAGTGAAACTGATCCAAATTTAATTCAGCAAGCATCTTTTAACTTCAAACAGTTTTGGGGGGCGGTGGGGTAGCCTAATGGTTAAAGCGTTCGCTTGTCAGGCCAAAGACCCGGGTTCGAATCCCCCACATGGGTACAATGTGTGAAGCCCATTTCTGGTGTCCCCTGCCGTGATGTTGCTGGAATATTGCTAAAAGCGGCGTAAAACCAAACTCAGTTAGTCAAACAGTTTTTTGAAAACTGAAGCTGCTACATACATCACATGGTGTTTGTTCCCACAGCTTCATGAATGCCTTGCCCAGCTGGTCACAGAGAACCTCGCCGTCAAGCGCTGGCTGTTTAAGCTGGATGATGAGTTTGATGGCCGTGGTATTGCATACTGTGATATCCCCAGCTACCTCAAGTGTTACAACTGGGCTCTCAAGGAGTCACACCGCTATGGAGAAAAGTGGAGCAAGAAGTGGGCACAGGTCAGTCACCAACTAGACTGTGTGGAATAGAGATCATTTATGTCATAAACTACTTTTGGGGGTCAGGTATACTTAGCTCAAGACACTAAAATTTCTGAAAGAAACCATGAAAAGTAATCGAGTGGTGTAACATGTTCTGCAGTTGTCATCAGAGTTTTGTCATCTGTGGGTTTGGAAGGAACAATTTTACAACAACATACAGTTGAAACTAGTGTTCTGGGCCCCGTGCCATGAAGTGATCTGTAGTGTTAGAACGCTTACAACTGTCATAAGTCTGTGTTAAAGTATGGGAGTAATTGGATGACATTAGTGCTAAGATTGGTTTTGGAACGTGGGCCCAGGATCTTTGGAAGTATGTCCGGTCATCTGTAGCAGATGTTAGAACACAGACTCTGTGGTGCCACAAACGTATATCGTCTTGTACTTATTGTGTATACCCCACGGGTATTCCTGGTTATGATTGGTTAGGCAACCAATGCTGGTCATGAGAGATATCCTGATGAAATATTTGTTATTACTCAGTGACTTGGCTGCTTCCATGTCAATTATTGTTGCTCATGATATCACTCACTGGATTGATTACACAGTGCCATTTAGAAAGTGGTCAAATGTAACATATGTTATATTTGGGATTACACTGTCCACTTATCAGAGGGGTACACAAAGCCCGCAGTCTAGACTACCAGTTGTCCGACTTCCATTTTGTGGAAGTCGCGGTAGCTGAGCGGGTTAGGCGGCTGACTTTGTGTGCTGGCGATTAGGTGCCTGACTCTGAGGGTGTGAGTTCGAATCCCGGATGGGGCTCAACTCAAGAAAGTACTAGAATTTGTACTTTACTAAGACAGTGTAATCCCAAATATAACATGTTACTCACTGGATTGTCTGGTACAGACATGTTTTTTGCTGGTATATTGCTGAGTGCTGTGTGACAGCAAGCAAGATACACACACTCATTGCTGTAGTTTGTGGCACCTGTATGCACTGATTGTGGTAGATGTTTGTCTCTCACCTCTGTTTCTGTGTCAGGAAGCGGCATACATCAAGATTCACGCCGAGATACCCGATGTCCTCACTGAGCATGCAACACCCATCAACACTGAAATATACAAAACATGGGACAAATTTCTGGAAGCATTTTTAAGTCAAGGTACAAAAATTCAGTCTTCTTGTCTAAGAATAGTTTTGTTCAACTTCTACATCCATGGGCAAAATAGACATTATGCCTTAAAGAACATGTAAAATCTCCAAATCATTACCAACAGGTTCTATGTGTGTAAGGTTATTGTAAATAGGAAAATGTTTACCATAAACGTCTCGGATGTCATCTAAGTTAATTTCATTTCATTCGAATTGGTTAGATTACAAATGTAAGGTTGGTGGTCTGATAACATCTTCCTTCTTCTCACCAGGTGGAGTTATTGAAGCATGTCCACCTTCAGAGAGCATCACATGTGTCACGGTCGACATGATGATTGAACCCAGCGGTATCATCAACATTCTCACCTGTGGCGATCAGATCCATGCCGAGACACCCTTCTCCTGCTGGGGCCTGTCTCTCCCTCAGTCTTCCATTGAGCCCGAAACTCTTAACACAGCATGCAACAAAGTGGCTGAGGCCTGCAAGTCCAGGGGCATTGTGGGATATTACACCATAGACTTTGTCACGTTTATTGATGGAAAGACGGTAAGCTCAATGTTTTGAATCTATGCAATAGGTTATCTCAGTTTTCTAGAACAAATCATGTTAGCCTTACCATGCAATTGCTTACAGTTTGCAAATGCCAGTATTTGTTTTACAGTATTTCTCTTCTTGTGTTTTAGTTCAGGTGTTTTTCAGGTTGTCCCATTATTTATTATCTTCCTTGAAACCTGCTCTAGTGTTGGTGTAGGATCTGGTCAATTTTCTGAATTGTCTGAGTCAATATACAGTGCAAATGGCATAGTCATGACTCCATAAGTCTAAAGCCCTTCATTCAGACTGTTTTTGAAACACAATATAAAATTAAAGGGACATTAATTTTATACTTTAATTCATTAATCTGATAATTGTTAATCCAGATTATTTCAGTGAAAACAATACAGTTTCATGTTTCATATCTGTATAATGTCAGTGACAATCTGAAATGTAAGTTGGCACACTTTCCCATGGGGAGGAATATCTATGAGTAGTATCAGACTCATGATGTGAATAATTTTTTCTTTCATGCTACTGATTTAAAAAACAAGCATTGTTGGTGTTCAGTGTTCTAATAATTTAACATTTTTAGTTTTATAAAATTTTCCTAAAATGCTCCTGAACGTTCAGTTTATTAACAATACACATGAACATCAGAAGGACAACTATTCAATGCAGCAAATATGATACAATTCATTCAGGCCAATAGTTGTTAGGTATGAAATATTCAGAAATTACATTCATGAAATGTATTGGATAAAAAAAATCAAGGCATGGTCAAGGGGAGATAACTCTGAGGTCAGATATCACAACTTGCCATAGATAGGCATGATGTTTTGTCCTCAGAACATGATGAACAAATGAAATGATGAGAAGTTGTGCTTTTTTGTTTTTCAATTGTTTTGATAATCCATGTTATTATGTCTGTGGAACACTCCCATGTTTAACTTGTCCTGTGGGTTCAGATGGAACAGAAGCTGTGGGCCCTGGACTTGAGTCTACGTTACAGTGACACCCTGGCCATGTTCCAGCTGGCATGCCTACGTCACGTCGGGCTCCCTCGACACCAGCACACACACGCTCAACGTCTCACCAAGCAAGACGGACAAGAAACCCAAACGCCGGCGGCTGCAGGGGCAGGAGGAGGTTTGTACCTACCTTCACTTATACATACACTTATCATATAATGCATAGTGTAATTGGTGGATTAAACAAATCTGATGATCTTACAATCTGATGATTATGCAAATGAGTTCACTCGTCAAGAACTACTTAAAGCCATACATCTAAAATCTTTGTCTACTGAGCTCAGTTTCGAGAGTCACAGAGAGTCACCAGACATTTTCATTCCATCTTTACACTGATATTGGTTGTACTTGTTGTAAATCTGGAATACAACTGCCAGATGTGACTATGACATCATGTTGTATTTCTGTGCAGGTCTCACCTAGTTCTACTCGCTATGCTGTAATGAGTACACGTCTGCTCCACACCAACCTGGCCGTCGTCCATTATAGCGTGTTCTTCCAGATGTGACTATGACATCATGTTGTATTTCTGTGCAGGTCTCACCTAGTTCTACTCGCTATGCTGTAATGAGTACACGTCTGCTCCACACCAACCTGCTCAACGCCGTCCATTATAGCATGTTCTTCCAGATGTGACTATGACATCATGTTGTATTTCTGTGCAGGTCTCACCTAGTTCTACTCGCTATGCTGTAATGAGTACACGTCTGCTCCACACCAACCTGGCTGTCGTCCATTATAGCGTGTTCTTCCAGATGTGACTATGACATCATGTTGTATTTCTGTGCAGGTCTCACCTAGTTCTACTCGCTATGCTGTAATGAGTACACGTCTGCTCCACACCAACCTGGCCGTCGTCCATTATAGCGTGTTCTTCCAGATGTGACTATGACATCATGTTGTATTTCTGTGCAGGTCTCACCTAGTTCTACTCGCTATGCTGTAATGAGTACACGTCTGCTCCACACCAACCTGGCCGTCGTCCATTATAGCGTGTTCTTCCAGATGTGACTATGACATCATGTTGTATTTCTGTGCAGGTCTCACCTAGTTCTACTCGCTATGCTGTAATGAGTACACGTCTGCTCCACACCAACCTGGCTGTCGTCCATTATAGCGTGTTCTTCCAGATGTGACTATGACATCATGTTGTATTTCTGTGCAGGTCTCACCTAGTTCTACTCGCTATGCTGTAATGAGTACACGTCTGCTCCACACCAACCTGGCTGTCGTCCATTATAGCGTGTTCTTCCAGATGTGTCGGGCTCACGGTATAGGATACGACATCAAGGTACGCTGTCTTAATGACACAGATGAATATTTAGACTAATGCTTAGTCTCTGAATTCAGGGACTGTGAAACAGACTTATCAATATTATGTTCTCCAAAAATGCAAAACACAATAATGTCAGTTCTTTAAAACTTTGCTGAGAAATACAAGTCTTCTTTTGGACTCAGCAGAAACAATCCATTCATTCAATGCCAGTGTTTCAATCTGCAACTAATGATGCATGAACTGTGTACACACTGCCATACACACCTGAACGTGGTTAAGGGGAGATCACTCTATCTGACCTTGATATTCATAACATGTTTTGTTTCCATGGTTACAGGAGAAGCAGGGTACTGTGTTCACCCTAGTGGACAGCTTCAACAGAGAGAGACTGGGAATGCTGTGAGTAGTTTTCTGTATCTTATTGGTAAAAATTTCAGATACCTAGTAACAAAAATTGTTATTCCAACTAAGGCTGGGACGGGTAGCTCGGATACCTGGGATGGGTGGATAATGAGTTGGACCCGGGTACCCGACTCAATACCCGGACCCGTTATGATCATGTGACTAATAGATTAAACAATGTTATATGTTATTCTTTCATGATTAAAATGTATTGTCTTTGAAGATTTAGACATAATTACTGTCACTTCTATTGAATAATATACATGGTTAAGATATTGAAAATCTTGAAATATTAGCCTCCGAGCTGAAGAATGTTGCCATTTCTTACAAGTTTGATGTCAGGAATTAACATAACGGGTATCCGGGTAGGGTAGGGTAATATGGGGTGGGGTACCCGGGTAGAATATGTGGATCTGTCCCAGCCCTAATTCCAACCCTGAATGCTTTCATTGTGTTATGGGGCGGTGGGGTAGCCTAGTGGTCAAAGCGTTGGCTCGTACGACGAAGACCCGGGTTCGAATCCCCACATGGGTACAATGTGTTAAGCCCATTTCTGGTGTCCCCCGCCGTGATGTCGCTGGAATATTGCTAAAAGCGGCGTAAAACCAAACTCAGTCAGTCAGTCAGTCCATTGTGTTATGGATGAAGTGTATGACCAGAGAGGAAGGTCAGTAGCTCAATCACCAGGCCACATCATACCTCAAACTGTTTAAAGGTGGTACCTGTTACCTTGTCGGGGGCGATGGGGTAGCCTAGTGGGTAAGGTGTTCGCTCGTCACGCCGAAGGCCAGGGTTCGATTCCCCACATGGGTACAATGTGTGAAGCCGATTTCTGGTGTCCCCTGCTTGATATTGCTTGAATATTGGTAAAAGCGGCGTAAAACCATACTGACTCACTCACCTTGTCGGCACACAGCATTGAGGGTTAGAAGGACTGTTTGTACTGAGTGTAATGTGTCTAGTCTGGACTAGCACAAGCAGTCAAACACAACTGCAGGAGTCTTTGAACGGCATTTAGAAGTGATACACACAAAGGTTTGAATTTACCTGATGAAGGTGAGGTGAAGTGAGGTGAAATTGGGTTTAACGTCGTGCTTGAGAATATTTCGCTGATATGACGACGTTCATGCATGTGTATGTGTAGGTGCGGCTGCTTGTACTAGCCCAGACTGAAGCTGGTTTTATAGTGCTAGCCCACTGAGATACCATGCCGCAGTGAAGCATGAATACCCCACTCAGACACAGTATACTGACTCCGAGCCGACCAGTCCTTGTGGTACCCATTAATGCCGAGAGCCAGGCAGGCACCAACAAGTACCATATTTTAACGTCTTCTGGTATGACGCGGTCGGGGATCGAACCTGCGACCTTCCGCACTCCGGGCGGACGCTCTAACCACTACACCACGGAGGCGGTCACCTGATGAAGGAGTAAGAACACACTCCAGAATGTCATGTTCCCAGGGATGTCAATTTTCCGCTGATCCGCAGATTTCCACTGATTTTTATCCCACCGGCATATAATGCGGTGGGATATAGTCGTCGCCTCGTCCGTCTGTCCGTCCGTCCATCCGTCCGTAATCATTTTGTTGCCGGACCATAACTCAAAGACCGTTCAATATTTTTTAACCAAAATTGGTAGATATGTCAAAAATAACCTAAGGTGGTGCCTTTTGCTATTTACAGATAATTGTCATTTTTATTTTTCTCGTTTCCATGGAAACGCTTTTGGACTTAGTCTTAAAGAAGGGTGGGCTTGCTTCCGGAGCATAACTCAAGAACCATTCAATATTTTTCAACAAAACTTGGTAGATATATCAAACAGATCCTAAAGTTGTGCCTTTGCATTTCACAGATTTTGGCATTTTTATTTTTCCGGGTTTCCATGGAAACATTTTGAACTTAGTCTCAAAAGTAAGGATTGCTTTTGCTTTCCGAGCATAACTCAAGAACCATTCAATATTTTTCAACAAAACTTGGTAGATATATCAAACAGATCCTAAAGTTGTGCCTTTTGCTATTTGCAGATTTTTGGCATTTTTATTTTCCCCGGTTTCCATGGAAACGATTCGGACTTAGTCCCAAAAGTGAGGGGTGGGCTTCGCTTTCCGAGCATAACTCAAGAACCGCTCAATATTTTTCAACAAGACTTGGTAGATATATCAAACAGAACCTTAAGTGGTGCCTTTGCTATTTGCAGATTTTTGGCATTTTATTTTTCCCCGGTTTCCATGGAAACGATTCGGACTTAGTCCCAAAAGTGAGGGGTGGGCTTCGTTTCGAGCATAACTCAAGAACCGTGATAATATTTTTCAACAAAACTTGGTAGATATATCAAACAGATCCTAAAGTTGTGCCTTTTGCTATTTGCCGATTTTGGCATTTTTATTTTCCCGGTTTCCATGGAAACGATTCGGACTTAGTCCCAAAAGTGAAGGGTGGGCTTTTGTTTCCGGAGCATAACTCAAGAACCGTTCAATATTTTTCAACAAAACTTGGTAGATGTATGAAACAGATCCTAAAGTGGTGCCTTTGCTATTTGCCGATTTTGGCATTTTATTTTTCATGGTTTCCATGGAAACATTTTGGACTTAGTCTCAAAAGTAAGGATTGCTTTCGCTTCTCGAGCACAACTCAAAACCGTCATAATATTTTTCAACAAAACTTGGTAGATATATCAAACAGATCCTAAAGTTGTGCCTTTTGCTATTTGCAGATTTTTGGCATTTTATTTTTCCCGGTTTCCATGGAAACGATTCGGACTTAGTCCCAAAAGTGAGGGGTGGGCTTGGTTTCGAGCATAACTCAAGAACCGTTCAATATTTTTCAACAAAACTTGGTAGATGTATGAAACAGATCCCAAAGTTGTGCTCTTTGCTATTTGCCGATTTTGGCATTTTATTTTTCCCGGTTTCCATGGAAACATTTTGGACTTAGTCTCAAAAGTAAGGATGGGCTTCGCTTCCGGAGCATAACTCAAGAACCGCTCAATATTTTTCAACAAAACTTGGTAGATATATCAAACAGATCCTAAAGTTGTGCCTTTTGCTATTTGCAGATTTTGGCATTTTTATTTTTCCCGGTTTCCATGGAAACGATTCGGACTTAGTCCCAAAAGTGAGGGGTGGGCTTCGCTTCCTCGAGCATAACTCAAGAACCGCTCAATATTTTTCAACAAAACTTGGTAGATATATGAAACAGATCCTAAAGTTGTGCCTTTTGCTATTTGCAGATTTTGGCATTTTTATTTTCCCCGGTTTCCATGGAAACATTTTGAACTTAGTCTCAAAAGTAAGGATTGCTTTTTCGCTTCCGAGCATAACTCAAGAACCATTCAATATTTTTCAACAAAACTTGGTAGATATATCAAACAGATCCTAAAGTGGTGCCTTTGCTATTTGCAGATTTTGGCATTTTTATTTTTCCCGGTTTCCATGGAAACGATTCGACTTAAGTCCCAAAAGTGAGGGGTGGGCTTCGCTTTCCAGAGCATAACTCAAGAACCGCTCAATATTTTTCAACAAACTTGGTAGATATATCAAACAGAACCTTAAGTGGTGCCTTTTGCTATTTGCCGATTTTGGCATTTTTATTTTTCCCGGTTTCCATGGAAACAAGAACCGCTCAATATTTTTTTGGACTTAGTCTCAAAAGTAAGTGGTGGATTGCTTTCGCTTCCGGAGCATAACTCAAAAAGAACCATAACTCAATATTTTTCAACAAAACTTGGTAGATATATCAAACAGATCCTAAAGTTGTGCCTTTTGCTATTTGCCGATTTTTGGCATTTTATTTTTCCCGGTTTCCATGGAAACGATTCGACTTAGTCCCAAAAGTGAGGGGTGGGCTTCGCTTCCAGAGCATAACTCAAGAACCGTTCAATATTTTTCAACAAGACTTGGTAGATATATCAAACAGAACCTTAAGTGGTGCCTTTTGCTATTTGCAGATTTTTGGCATTTTTATTTTTCCCGGTTTCCTAATGGAAACGATTCGGACTTAGTCCCAAAAGTGAGGGGTGGGCTTCGTTTCCAGAGCATAACTCAAGAACCGTTCAATATTTTTCAACAAGACTTGGTAGATATATCAAACAGAACCTTAAGTGGTGCCTTTTGCTATTTGCAGATTTTTGGCATTTTATTTTTCCCGGTTTCCATGGAAACGATTCGACTTAGTCCCAAAAGTGAGGGGGGCTTCGCTTCTCGAGCATAACTCAAGAACCGCTCAATATTTTTCAACAAAACTTGGTAGATGTATGAAACAGAACCTTAAGTGGTGCCTTTGCTATTTGCCGATTTTGGCATTTTTATTTTTCCCCGGTTTCCATGGAAACATTTTGGACTTAGTCTCAAAAGTAAGGATTGCTTTCAAGTTTCCGGAGCACAACTCAAAACCGTGATAATATTTTTCAACAAAACTTGGTAGATATATCAAACAGATCCTAAAGTTGTGCCTTTGCTATTTGCAGATTTTTGGCATTTTATATTTTCCCCGGTTTCCATGGAAACGATTCGGACTTAATCCCAAAAGTGAGGGGTGGGCTTCGCTTCCGAGCACAACTCAAAAACTCTCTATATCTTTCAGCAAAACTTGGCAGATATGTGAGGCAGATATTGAAGTGATGCCTTTGCTATTTGCAGATATTTGTGATTTATTATTTTCTCGGTTTCCATGGAAATGATTCGAACTTAGTCTCAAAAAGGAAGGGATGGGTTTTGTTTCCGGAGCACAACGCGAAAACTTCTTAATATCTTTCAGCAAAACTTGGCAGATATGTGAGGCAGATCCCAAAGTGGTGCCTTTTGCTATTTGCAGATTTTTGTCATTTATTTTTTTCATGATTTCCATGGAAACGATTTGCACTTAGTCTAAAATCAAGCTGGACTTTAAGGAACTGTCAGATGATTTGTTCTTTCAAAGATGTTGGGGCCGGGGGGATATGTCATCTTCTGATGACTCTTGTATTTCAAATTGTTCAATTGTGAATCGTCTAAATCCATTAAGAAACCCTTAACTCGATGACACAATATTAAGTTTTCCGCTGAAAATAGATTTTCCTGTGTTCCTCGAATAAAGAAGCTGACATTCATAAATTCTCGCCTTTAACTGCAGGAATGTCATGATATAAGCAAAGTAATCTTCAAAAAGTCAAGGATTCAAAACACAGCAAACTTCCATGCTTTTATCAGTGTGTATAAATATTTTCCATGGTAAATAAAGTCCATCATTTGAAAAAAAACATGTTGTTCTGCATGACAACATAAATTATGCATCGAGTGTATATTGACTTTCAAATTCATTAAAAAATGATCAAATTATTCAGTCTATGTCAGCATTCAGTTGTCATGATATCATTTGACATCATAGCATTCCAGAGTAATTATCATGTTTCGCCGCTATTTGGGTACACAGGAACAGAATGCTGTGTCTGGTTACTGATGGCATCATACATTTGTCATGTCAATAAACATGATGTCCTTTCCTGTTGACAGCACCATCGGTGACAACCTGCAGGGTGGACTTGCTACGTTTGCTCTCAACATGTCCGTCATCCACCAAGAGATCTCGGCACCCAACATGCAGGGCAACACAAACTTCAAGGTAGACATTGAACCTTCATATTTGGGGAATGGTTTGCTGTTTCATGAAACCCCGGTGTTCTGGTTAAGTTCTGTATGTCTGAATCATTTCTGGGATGGTAGGGTAGCATGCATCCTCGATAATCTCCAGGGTATACGTTACGATCCTCTCCACTATACCCTGGATGCATCCACGGCTTGGCCCGATGATATTATTACCTCCCTTGGCTGGCTTTTTATCCAATCAGGCGTCTACGCTGGGAAGTTGAGCGAACCAATCACAACTCACACACTTTCACTTCTTAAATTATCTAACCGTTTAAACTTGGCAACACAATTAATGCAGAGGTACTCTGTAAGAGGTAGGACTTCTTTTATATATTTTTTGAAAGTTTCAGATCTGTCAATTTGTCAGTATTATTTCCTAAAAATCTGAGTGGCACTGCGAACAAACCTTCGCGACTGCGACCGCTATCTTTGTTGACACTGGCAAGCTCGGATGTAACGGCGGTTTAGCTGATTGGCTACTGTGAGAATGCGGAGCCAGCAAAGGGAGGTAATATAATTATCGTGCCAAGCCGTGGATGCATCCAGGGTATAGTGGAAGAGTGATGTAACGTATACCCTGGAGATTATCGAGGATGGGTAGCATGTGGTGATGGAGAATTCAGCCAAGGGTTGATTCTCCACATAGGTACAATGTATAAAGCCAATTTCAGATGTCTCCAGCCATGATGTAGGTTTAACAGGAACTAATTAAAATACAAATGTGGATTGATTTTATACTATATGATATACAATTTGTAACAATAATAAAAAAATAAAACATGAAGGCAAAAGAAAGCATATTTCAATCAAACAACAAACAGCATCTTTTTCACTGGATTTTTAGTGATTGCATTGAGGTGATTTGCACATAATTCCTGCTACAGGGCGCCATTGAGGACATAGAGGGAATTCTGGGAACTACAATCCAGAACGCTGAGCAGCAGATGGAGGAGGCCAAACAAGAGGAGGAGGAGGCCTAGGTCCAGCATCACCATCATCACAGGAGATTGTCCGCCGAGATTAACATTCCTAAAACTGCTGAACATTGCAGGCAGCAAAGAAAAAGCCAAAATGATTTACAGTGTATTAATGTACATGATTTACAGTGTATTAACGTACCCTTCGAAACTCATTCACTCCAGGAGTGACCAGTGTTTATGGATGATCAACTTCTGTATTGTACAATAGCAACGTTTCGGTATAAATGCTTATACCGTTTTCAAGCATTCACTCCATCCAAAATCTTCCGTTTGAACTTTCTTATATATAATATTTGAAAATATGCCTAGCATTTGATATTTCACTGAATAAATTAAATACCTCTAACTAGGAAATTCAGGACTAAAGTGTCAGAAGTTTTTGGTAGCTTTACCATAGTTACAGGCAATATTGTCAGGGTATAAAACCAGCAGCATTTTCTGATGTCATGTTTGTACAGATTGTTTGTGTAAAAAAATAAATAAAACAGATGAATTGGGGACGTATTACATAGTACTATTAACGACAACACCATGAAACATACACCTGTTGTCTACTACAGATGTATCGGGGACGTATTACATAGTAGTGTTAATGACAACACCAACATGAAACATACACCTGTTGTCTACTACAGATGTATCGGGGACGTATTACATAGTACTGTTAACGACAACACCATGAAACACACACCTGTTGTCTACTACAAGTGCAACCTTTGGGACCCCTGCAGCATCATCACAACTGTCTATGGCAATACATTAATGATCACTTAAATATCAACTGTTTGCAGTGTTGATTATTTGTGTCTCCTCAATCCAGAACACGACTTGCTATAAGAGACATATTAATAGCCTTTGGAAAACTAGGTTATCGACAATAATAATAGGTATCTCTGTTATTACCGATCTGCTGAATCTAAGACATAAACGGTTCTGTCATTGTGTCAAATTAAGCAAGGAAATCTATGTTGGAATGTACAAGTAGTTGTGAACCTATTGCAGTTATAAGAATGACATCAACAGTCGCCTGATTATGATATTTTATACCTCTTACATAAGGGTACATGATGCTTAAATGAAATGGAACAAATGGTGTGAAATGTTAAAAACCATCCCTTTCAAAAGTTAATCAGCATAAAGTCAAACACTTGTCTCAAACTTTGATGTGTAGACTGTAGGACTGTCTTGAGACAAACCTCCATATTCCTTATTTAGACATCATTCTTAAGTTTTTCTCCAGCCTTGGATAATTTGAAGTATACATACATAGATCCCTTCAAGACACATTGTTTGACTGCATATACTTGGTGTTTGATATCTCCTGACATCAAACACAAATGTTTGAACTATGCTGCAGTGTTTGAACATGATACCATGTTTGAGAATTCTGTTGATGCTGTGTTTTGTGAAGCATTTGGTTTTCTGACAGGTTGGCACTTTCACTTCACTAGGTTTAAGACAGTTGACTCAAATCTTACTGAACAATCGCTAATCATGATGATCAGGTTTGGTTTACATTGTGGAAACATTTAAGATTTACAGGCTGTGTCTATGTTTGATGTTTCATCTTAAGTCAAATGTCTTTTTATTTGTAAATAATTACTGTAAATATTTAATCACGCAATGTACATAATTGTTTCATCATTTAATCAAATATGATCATTAACCATGGGTGCAATTTTTTACTATACATATATTTGTGTTTTGTGTAAATTATTGTGCATCATTTTCCAAGTATCTTGCAAGTAGATGTCCACAGTGAGGTACGCACACTTTCTATTCTATCTCTTAGCACTATGGGAAGCTTTATTTTAAATTAACTGATATTCTCGGTTGATCCCCCATTTGCAAAGCAATTGTGTATTGACATTTTATCTTTTAAATTTTTTTATTTTATATCATTATCCGTCCACAGTAATAACCAAAGTATTAAATATTTCTATTCCCTATATTTTATACTTATGTTCGTGACACAATCCTGTCTGGATGTGAAGTGTCGGATTAAAACTGTGATATGAAGTTATTATGCATGATTTATTGTACATTGATTCCAGCAGAAGACTTTGTTTCTATAACAACATGTCGCCAGTAGTGTCTGTCTTCCATTGAATAGTCAAGGATAGCACCGTAAGATACCATTTCCATAACAGCATGTTCAATGAAGTTATGAAGCAGGGCCAGTAATTTGCTGACTTTTTTACATTTTGTTATAATTAAGGATACGTTCAGAGTATTCTTGCCACAGATTGTTGTTTTCTTTCCAACATTTGGGTGTTACAATGACTGTAATAGTTTCTGATTGATCCAGAAAATGTAGCAGAATGTGAAATATTGCATAGAAACATTTAAGTCAAAGATGTTGTCAAAGGTAGTTATAGTATCAGCACCAAGAATACTTTAATCTATTTCAGAAGAAATTGTTTGTAGGAATGGTCTACAAAATTGAACCACTGAAATCTCACAACCTAATTTGTTTTTGTATAGTCCTCTCTGCAATTATTCCTAACCAACAACCATTGTACAGTGAAACCTCATTAATGCAGTCTGTGAATTTATCTGGATAAGTAGATTTCCAGACACACAAATTGTAGACACCAAATAATGTTTTGTTAAGTGTATACACTGCTTAGGGGCGGTGGGGTAGCCTAGTGGTTAAAGCGTTGGCTCGTCACTCAGAAGACCCGGGTTCAATTCCCCACATGGGCACAATGTGTTAAGCCCATTTCTGGTGTCCCCGGCTGTGATTTGCTGGAATATTGCTAAAAGACTAAAACTAAACTCAGTCAGTGAGTCAGTATTCAAAGTTAGAACAACAATGTTAGCCATATGAAAAATCAAACCCAGTGTTCTTCAAGGTTTTTTGTGTAGTATATATTCCTAACATTATGACCAGGTAAGCTTTCGCCATATTTGTTATATCATGAATGCTAGTGACATTGCTCCAAGTGCTTGTTGTTTGCTTGAGTGATGCTCTGATGCTCAACACTGAATCAGTGTTGTCTCAGTACCAGACTTTCTCTGTGCTCAAAGATGTCACACCAAAGGTTTCTCAAACTGCTGTCTACATGAATATTGCAAACATTCCATTTCAGTATATAAACTTGGAAGTATTGTCTACAGCGTTTGTTTTCTGTTGTCATCTCTTTCTGTGAACAAACTTTATATCTTCCCTGATCCCAAATCGGAGTATTGCATTGAGTGAGTGAGTTAGTTGGGTTTGATGCAGTTTTGAACAGAAATCCAGTTATATCATGGCTGGAAGCTTTATGTGTGAGATGGGAAAAGCCGAGAGTGATACAGTTCTTTGATGTTTACACTGTGATGAAACCTAAAAATATAAGCATGGTGCTCACAGAAAGAGTGCTGTTTGCTCTCATTTTAGCTCTATTGTTAGCAATCATATGACTAGACCCCAAGAATGGGCATTATACAATATAATCACCTTGAGAATCAAACATGGATCATTACCTTGAAGAATTAATTAACCACTGCCCACACAGGAGTATTACAAATAACAGACAAATAAAAATTACTAAGATCAAGTTTAATTAATTTAATATTCACATATTTACAGCTTTTTTACAAAGACTCCAGTATCACCATGGTAACTATTGTCTGACACACAACTGGTATTACAGCACTGCCACCAAATATCCTTCCTTCCTTCCCTATTTATGCAAAGCACTGATGTTGATCAATATACCATATATATATATATATATATATGAGCTTTACAAGCTGTAATTGTGCTAAGTCTGCTCCATTTCATGGTTGTAGACACAGCCGTCTCCAAGGTCACACTCCCCAATCTTGTACTTCTTGCATGGGTACTGCTTCAGGAAGCTCTTGTCCCCCTGGAAGACAAAATACTGACATCATAGGTCCATCATTACAATATACTGGTGCAAAAATAGTCATCAGTTTACAAGATTTCTCTTCTACATCTATTCATGAGTTTCCATTACTGTTAATATCTGTTCACTAAAGGAATTTCCGGTACCTTCACATCAGTGTTTGCAATTAATGTAGGTCTGCTTGTCGGAGACTTTGAAAAATTTTGGCATGACCAGCAACATGTACGGTATATATGCACTGCCACTTCTATCATTATACAGATGGTTACCATGGTAACTCTGTAGGCTGTTCATTTTTGCGACCATTTGAAAAATTATATATTAGGGACCGTTCATAGTTTATGGCTAGGGGAGTGATGATGATTTTTATGGAGAAGCATGTACAATGTGAATGCTGCTGCTGCCTCCCCAAAAAACAACAACAAAAAAACATGGTAAAATGTAAATACACACACACACCCTGCATCTGCATGTCATGTTCAAAATGCCCAAAATTTTTAAGTATAAAGTTATAATAAGCATAAAGTTATAATTTTTGGGTACCCCAGAACAAAATGGGTGACACCCCCAACCCCCATCCCCCTTAAATCAAGATATATGCCAAGGTTAACTCTTCACCCCTCACCTGTCTTTCCTTTCTCTTGCCCCGACATCTGTCTCTTTTCTCACTGAGACTCTCCTCCGTGTTGGACTTCTTGGCCCGGGGTTTGGGCCCCCAGTCTGGCTCGGGGTTCACCTGCCACCGCAGCAGCCCCTTCTGGCGTGACTGGGGGTTGGCATCAGGGTGAAGGCTGAAGGATACCTCTGTCACTGGCTCTGTGTCCAGGATTGCCTTAGCTGGTGTTTCACTTTGAAGACGACTAGCCTTCACTGGGTGATCCTTCACCCAGGCACGCATTATGTCCTGTAAAAACAGACTGCATAGTAGAAACAATCATCACTATGTTTGTTTGTTTGTTGGAAATTCAAAGCCACACTCAACAATTTTCCAGCTATATGATGGTGATCTGTAAATAATCATGTCTTGACCAGACAATCCAGTGACGAACAGCATGAGCATCAATCTTCACTACTGGAATATGATTACGTGTCAACCAAGTCAGCGAGCCTGACCACCAATCAGGGGTGGAAATAACCCATTGCCCGACATCCGAGTCCAGTGTTTTTTTTCTGTCGGGCAAGCAAATTTGTATATCACACTGTACCGGTGTCCAGTTGACTTTCCAATGTTAATTATGTTGTTTATTTAAAAAATAAGCAAGAAAACTGTCGGTATAGTGGGAAAATTATCAGGTAAAGTGACCTTACATGTGTCACTGTACCGGAGTAAACTATCAATTTTAAAGTTATTTCCACCCCTGCCAATCTCATTAGTCACCTCTTATGACAAGCATGGGTTGCTGCAGAACAATTCTAACCAGGATGTACACCGGTTTTATCATTATGACATTCACTGTTCACATAACGATAGTCGTCATAGGGGGATCTTCAAACCATGCTCACTTGTATTGTGAAACACAGACTGCATTGTAAAAGCCATTATGTTCACTTTACATACAGCTCTAACCATGTGCAAAATATTGTTTCCTAGACAATTAGAGGATGCATATTCACTGCAGGTACAAAGTGGATGCAAGAAATTCTGTTCTAGCATGCCGAGTCCAGAGCTGCAGTTAACTTTTTTGGTCATTGAGTTATGTACTCGCTTGTGGTCATCTCAACTGGGTATCCTAATTTTCCTTTGAGTAACCAAATAAATTGTACCCACGTCACTCAAACTCAATTGGGTATTTTGTCATTTTCCATTAATTGTTAAAATATAATAAAGTTTAAATGTTAGTGTTTGTTATTTATATTGGATCTGTCATATGAGAAACGATAAGAAAGACTACAAGTTGTCAAGTTCATGTCCTGAAATAGAACCTCTCAGTATACCTCAGTTATTTTATCTATCCACCAGTATGCAAGTTATGATTTGACATTTTTGTGTGTACGCATGTAACATCACATCTATTGAGTATTTACAAAAATTCAAGCGTACTTGTACGCAATAGACTTAATAGGAATTGAGTTTTCACATAAATATTTGCATAATTTATGCAGATACGCAGCTTATCTGCACCTCTGCTGAGTAATTAAAACTGACTGTAATATGAACCAACAGCTAAACAAAATTTCAAATCACAGAAAATACAGAGTTTGGACTGTCCTATTTCATTATGAAGCAGACACACTCCATATCTGTACTACATACCCACACCACCTTCCCCGGTGCATCAGTCTTGTGGGCGTTCTTGGCACAGTGGGTAAGTGATGCCCGATACCCAGCGTTCAGCACAGCAGACCTTTGGCAAATGAAACAAATATTATAATGTTTACCATGTTTACACCAGACATCAGCTGACACATGCCTCAAGTATTTTGGGGGGTAACTTTGTTTATAAAAAGTCAACGCTTCTCTTGATTAACATGGCTAATGTATAATTCAATATATATAAAAAAACATAATTAAGGCAACTGACACCACCCTCTAAACCAACTCAGAAGATTTGTTTTTTAACATGTCAGCAGAAAGTGTGATGATATTAGTTGGTGCTTGACATATATTTTAAATGATAACTTAATACTGACAATAAATATTTGTCAGTTTGACTTCTGTAAACTTAATTGTTAAGAGCCAGAAATTCTTTGCTAATGCTAACATAGTGATGAGAGACAGATCAGAAATGAGGCTGTAGTAGGTCCAGGGCATTAATCAAAATATCTGGTCTTCAGACTGGTTCTATTTCTGGTTGTCAATCAAATTGTTACAGAAACGTTTTTGCAAATTGATGCAGGAGATTAAGTGATTAGGGTTTTACATTGCTTTAAGCAATATCCCATTTGGGGACACCAGAATCTGGGGAATAGTGAGTGAATGAGTGAGTTTAGTTTTCTGCTGCTCTTGACAATATTCCAGCAATATCATGGCAGGGGACACCACAAATGGGCTTCACACATTGTACCCATGTGAGCTATCAAACCCAGGTCTTCGGTGTGATGAGCGAATGTTTTAACCACTAGGCTACCTCACCGCCCCTCAGGGAAATAGAACCCATGACTGTTGCATGAGGAACAAACACTTTGACCACAAGGCTATTCCACTGCCCTTTGGCACAGAAGAATGTCCAGCGGCACAGATGAGCTGCGTATCCGGGTAAAATACGCATATAAAATTTCCAATTACGCATTGAAAAATAATTGCTGCGTACCAATTACGCATTTAAAATGTTAGATACGCAAATAATTTAAAACAAATGCGTACGGAATATATTTATAAAAAACGCTTGCGTAATGAAAAAGACATCGATTGCTATCAAGTCGTACTGTTAGTATAGGACAAGTGTTGTACTGTCAGTATAGGATGAGTGATTTTCTATGAAATCATTTCCATTATATTTGAGTTGGTTTTGATTAGGTATGACATAAGGCAGAACATACCTGCTTAGTAAACTTACTCAGTCACATTATACTTAGGTGAGTAAAATGACTGAAATACGCACATACAGCAGTGGGTAACGGAAAATGCAATACCCACTCAACATTCATATAATACCCACTCCCCAAAAATACAGTGGGTACAGAACCCACATGAGCTAAATCTTATCTGGAGCTCTGATGTCCATTGAATACATAATAAAATAAATAAAATAGATGCACTACCCTTTATGATCATGCACATAATGATATTGATAGATGGAGTCTAATGGATCATGCTAAATGTAATACATAGAGAAGACAATATGAAGAATGATTTCTCCAGTATTACCTGAACTGAACTATACTAGGAGCAGTACAGTGGAGAACGTTGCAGACCTCATCCAGTGTGTAGTACAGTGGAACATCTGCCAGCTCCTCGGACATCATGCTCAGCATTCCCAGAATCCTCTCTGATGTATTAAACAGTTCCTGATTGGATGATACTCGTTGTATTACCTTTGTAAGAAAGTCTCTATCATGCATGGGGTCAGCCCATATTGGGCCACCAATGTGTTGCTTAAATCCACAATGATCACACACTTGTTGTGCCGATGGCGCCAGTGCAGGTGTGAATTTGTAGTTATCTCCCTTGGTTGGGGTTTTGTTTGCAAGTTTTTGCAGGACATGTGATCCACATCCTGAGCAGTGATAAACATGAGCTAATTTTGTAACAGACTGTTTCACTTTCACTTGGCCTGTGAACACTTTGACGAATACTCTCACATAGAAATCAGCACTCACTGAGATAAGTGGTTGAATGTAGCGGGAATATCGATTTGCTGCTGATTCGATCGACTGGAGGATGATTCTCAATGCCATTTCATGACAAAATTTGGCCTTCAATGACACAGATCCATATTTTGAGTAGCAGGTCTCGCATGAATTACCGCACAAGACAGCCATGTCTGTACAAGTGACGCAGAGTAGGCCTCCATCTCTCACGGCCTGGACAGCAGAGTCAAGAAATACAGACGGACTGCCATAAGGGTCAAGGTCAATAACATCAAATCTATCTTTCAGACCTTTATTTTGGTACATGACCATTGCAGCATCTCCACAGTTCGACCGAACGAGGCCTGACAGTTTGTTCTTGGAAATATTCTGGTCGATAAAACCAACAGCATTTTTATCAAAATCATTTGCAATGACTTCTTTCACACCAGGAATTTCTAAACCAAAGCGGACTGATCTCAGTCCAGATGCTGCCAAACCCTCTAAAATTCTAATTCCATTTAGGTGGGAGACACCAGCTGTTAACTCGACATCATCAACTTTAGAATCAGTGGCATTGTCTTCATCACTGCCTGTCTGTTGCTTCACTTTCACAGCATCTTCGCCAGATGTTGCCTCATTTTGTTCTAATACTTTCTTTCTCGCTGATTTGGCTTCTCTTTCCCTTACTGTATCAAAGTGGTCGTGGACAAATTCCGAGATGACTGCGATCGTCAGATCTCTGTTGAACTCCTGTACAGGATTGTAGAACACGGAGGAAGGTGTCAGAACTTCTGCCTTACCCTCCTTCACCTCATTTACCGGCACATCTATTGCCGCTGACATCTTGCATCTGACAGACACAGCAACAGTCCTTTGCCTTTTATACCCAAACCCGGTGATCAAATGACGAAACTTCGAGCAACTGTGTACGATATGGAAACCCTTGCTCCAAACTGAAAGCGCTATCATTGAAACCAACAGTGCATTTTAGAAATCTGAGAAACACACGAGGACATCGTACTAAAATATTACTGTAAAAAGGAATGAAAATAGACAGCTTTGACTAACTAAATGTATCAGATATGATTATGTTTTCAATGATAAACAACGCAACCACTCTTCCACATGGCGAAATCCGCTAACTTGTGTGTTAAACTACATCCGTTACCGTAAAGGAGGCAATCGAAAGTCGACTCCGCATCAAACTGCTATTAGACTCCATTGTATAGTGGTATGGTTAATAACATATTTTCACATTTATTGTTTAAAATTATATTCAACACTTTGTGACTTAAACAAATGGAAAGGTGTAATGGATTTCTTGTTTAACTTCGACTTGCATTATCGGAAATGAGACACATTTGTCCTTTCGACGCCCTGTTGTGATAACGCGAGTAAACATGGCACACGTTCCGGTAGCGATTCTTGTCTTCAGTGGAAAGAGAAAATCCGGCAAGGACTATGTAACTGAGAAGTTATTACAACGGTACATTGCGAATACGCATTTTATGTTGTGTGTGGATTTGAATCATAAATAGTTTGTGAGATGACAAGCTCCATATAAGACAAAACTTAACGGCCTTGTTCACCACACCAAATCAGCTGACCAGATTTGGATCAGGTGATAGTCTGGCCATGACGACACATCTACATATCTATGTTGTTTGCGTTGTTTATTGACTGTTTAGTCAATGCTTTTTTTTCTTACAAAACGATAAACGATTGCCATAGAACTGTTTGAATATATATGTTCTTGATCAGGGCATCAACTGTGATATTGAGTGTTTTTTCACAAGTTTAAATTCACATTAATTAATTGTTGGAATATGTTACTATAGGTCTTTAATGTATTTTTACTCCCAGTTTTTTATTTTTACAACTGTAAATAGACGTTTAAAAAAATAATTTTATGTTGGAACTGAATGATTATAATTAATATTATCAATTTCATTCATACATTGTAGAATATGGACTTGGACTCATCCTGGATGACTATACATATTTATTGTCATTTATATTTCAAGATTTGCCATTTTATTTGTTTGTCTATGAACTCACTGTGAAATTTGTCTACAACTTGGGAGTATCTATACATTTTTCAAGGCTAAAGGTAATTTTGGTTACAAGTTCAATCACATCATTATTTGTTTCTCACCTGCTAGCATATATTTATCATATATACCAAATCAAATAATGACAATTGAAATAGTGGAAGCAAATTATTTACTCAACAGTTATGTGTGAATTCATAATTTATTGTTTCATTTTATTTTCAGGATTGGAAATGAGAAATGTTGCATTATGCGTTTGTCAGCTCCCCTCAAAGGGCAGTATGCAAAGGTGATAACCAGTTAATATTTGACACAAACACTGAGAAGTCAACCAACTGAGCACCATAAATAATTTCAGTAATTGTTCAAGTCACTAATTTTCAACATATTCAAAGTCATTACAAGTTAAACCAATCCTCAAAGTTTTTTAAAAGAAGCATTCTCACCCAAAATGTTAATATCCTCCCTTTACTACATAATTTTTAGGTTCTCGATGAATCATTCTTTGTTTATAATCATGTGATTAACGAGAACTGGGTACATTTCTTGGTCCTTCCTTGACCTGAACGATTTCCTCACTAGCCTAGCGTGCCTGGACAAGCTTTTGTTGTCGTCATTACCCTGGGATTCATACTAACTGACTGTAATTTATCTTCTTATCAATGTCAATACTTCTTGCTATTCATGCAATGACTGGTTTAAGTTGCTGTAATCAGTACCCCAAATCAGTATACTTTTAATGAATGTAATGTAATTATTATCATGCAGTTACTCACTTCTGACATGGCTGTATATATGCATGACTACAATAAAATATCAATATTTCAAGGGACCAATCAAATGTATCCAAGTTGATCAAGCCACAAAAAGTTATACCTAAGCCTACGTTTGTGGATGTTTATTGATCAAAGCTGTTTCCATCCTAGAAATTAGGTCATTGTAACACAAATCAGCAACATTTGCTTGATCCCTTAAATTGTAACCAGAATCTACTGGATGTATTTTGCTTGATCTCTTGAATCCGACAAAGACGTAACTGTCTATCTGTATTCAGGAACACCAGCTGGACATCACACGCCTATTAGATATCTTCAGGTGTGGATGATGTTATGGTCACCATGTTACTTCTTCAGGTGTGGATGATGTTATGGTTACCATGTTACTTCTTCAGGTGTGGATGATGTTATGGTCACATGTTACTTCTTCAGGTGTGGTTGGTCACCACTCTTCAGGTGTGGATGATGTTATGGTCACCATGTTACTTCTTCAGGTGTGGATGATGTTATGGTCACCATGTTACTCTTCAGGTGTGGATGATGTTATGGTCACCATGTTACAGGTGTGGATGATGTTATGGTCACCATGTTACTCTTCAGGTGTGGATGATGTTATGGTCACCATGTTACTTCTTCAGGTGTGGATGATGTTATGGTCACCATGTTACTTCTTCAGGTGTGGATGATGTTATGGTCACCATGTTACTTCTTCAGGTGTGGATGATGTTATGGTCACCATGTTACTTCTTCAGGTGTGGATGATGTTATTATGGTCACCATGGTTGTTACTCTTCAGGTGTGGATGATGTTATGGTCACCATGTTACCAGGTGTGGATGATGTTATGGTCACCATGTTTCTTCCAGGTGTGGATGATGTTATGGTCACCATGTTACTTCTTCAGGTGTGGATGATGTTATGGTTACTATGTTACTTCAGGTGTAGATGATGTTATGGTCACCATGTTACTTCTTCAGGTGTGGATGATGTTATGGTTACCATGTTACTTCTTCAGGTGTGGATGATGTTATGGTCACCATGTTACTTCTTCAGGTGTGGATGATGTTATGGTCATGTTACCATGTTACTGTTACTCTTCAGATGTGGATGATGTTATGTTATGGTCACCATGTTACTTCTTCAGGTGTGGATGATGTTATGGTCACCATGTTACTTCTTCAGGTGTGGATGATGTTATGGTCACCATGTTACTTCTTCAGGTGTGGATGATGTTATGGTTACCATGTTACTTCTTCAGGTGTGGATGATGTTATGGGTTACCATGTTACTTCTTCAGGTGTGGATGATGTTATGGTTACCATGTTACTTCTTCAGGTGTGGATGATGTTATGGTTACCATGTTACTTCTTCAGGTGTGGATGATGTTATGGTCACCATGTTACTTCTTCAGGTGTGGATGATGTTATGGTCACCATGTTACTTCTTCAGGTGTGGATGATGTTATGGTCACCATGTTACTTCTTCAGGTGTGGATGATGTTATGGTTACCATGTTACTTATGGTCACCAGTTACTTCTTCAGGTGTGGATGATGTTATGGTCACCATGTTACTTCTTCAGGTGTGGATGATGTTATGGTCACCATGTTACTTCTTCAGGTGTGGATGATGTTATGGTTACCATGTTACTTCTTCAGGTGTGGATGATGTTATGGTTACCATGTTACTTCTTCAGGTGTGGATGATGTTATGGTCACCATGTTACTTCTTCAGGTGTGGATGATGTTATGGTCACCATGTTACTTCTTCAGGTGTGGATGATGTTATGGTCACCATGTTACTTCTTCAGGTGTGGATGATGTTATGGTTACCATGTTACTTCTTCAGGTGTGGATGATGTTATGGTCACCATGTTACTTCTTCAGGTGTGGATGATGTTATGGTCACCATGTTACTTCTTCAGGTGTGGATGATGTTATGGTTACCATGTTACTTCTTCAGGTGTGGATGATGTTATGGTCACCATGTTACTTCTTCAGGTGTGGATGATGTTATGGTCACCATGTTACTTCTTCAGGTGTGGATGATGTTATGGTTACCATGTTACTTCTTCAGGTGTGGATGATGTTATGGTCACCATGTTACTTCTTCAGGTGTGGATGATGTTATGGTTACCATGTTACTTCTTCAGGTGTGGATGATGTTATGGTCACCATGTTACTTCTTCAGGTGTGGATGATGTTATGGTTACCATGTTACTTCTTCAGGTGTGGATGATGTTATGGTTACCATGTTACTTCTTCAGGTGTGGATGATGTGGTCACCATGTTACTTCTTCAGGTGTGGATGATGTTATGGTCACCATGTTACTTCTTCAGGTGTGGATGATGTTATGGTCACCATGTTACTTCTTCAGGTGTGGATGATGTTATGGTCACCATGTTACTTCTTCAGGTGTGGATGATGTTATGGTCACCATGTTACTTCTTCTTCAGGTGTGGATGATGATGATGTTATGGTCACCATGTTACTTCTTCAGGTGTGGATGATGTTATGGTTACCATGTTACTCTTCAGGTGTGGATGATGTTATGTTATGATCACCATGTTACTTCTTCAGGTGTGGATGATGTTATGGTTACCATGTTACTTCTTCAGGTGTGTGGATGATGTTATGGTTACCATGTTACTTCTTCAGGTGTGGATGATGTTATGGTCACCATGTTACTTCTTCAGGTGTGGATGATGTTATGGTTACCATGTTACTTCTTCAGGTGTGGATGATGTTATGGTCACCATGTTACTTCTTCATGGATGATGTTATGGTTACCATGTTACTTCTTCAGGTGTGGATGATGTTATTCAGGTGGATGATGTTACCATGTTACTTCTTCAGGTGTGGATGATGTTATGGTCACCATGTTACTTCTTCAGGTGTGGATGATGTTATGGTCACCATGTTACTTCTTCAGGTGTGGATGATGTTATGGTTACCATGTTACTTCTTCAGGTGTGGATGATGTTATGGTCACCATGTTACTTCTTCAGGTGTGGATGATGTTATGGTCACCATGTTACTTCTTCAGGTGTGGATGATGTTATGGTCACCATGTTACTTCTTCAGGTGTGGATGATGTTATGGTCACCATGTTACTTCTTCAGGTGTGGATGATGTTATGGTCACCATGTTACTTCTTCAGGTGGATGATGTTATGGTTACCATGTTACTTCTTCAGGTGTGGATGATGATGTTATGGTCACCATGTTACTTCTTCAGGTGTGGATGATGTTATGGTTACCATGTTACTTCTTCAGGTGTGGATGATGTTATGGTCACCATGTTACTTCTTCAGGTGTGGATGATGTTATGGTCACCATGTTACTTCTTCAGGTGTGGATGATGTTATGGTTACCATGTTACTTCTTCAGGTGTGGATGATGTTATGGTTGAGTACCGCTTGATTATTCAACAAACTGGAAGGGAGTATGATTTGTTTGTAGGGTAATGCCACACTCACCAGTATTCCAGCAATGTGTTGGTGGTCATAAATAATCGAGTCTGGACCTGATAATCCAGTGACTGACATCATGAATATATCAACAACCTGATGTCATTTGTGTTTGTTTAATATAATGCCAGACTGATATCAATATCTCCAGCAAGATCCAGTGATTGACATTGATCAACCTGTTAATGTGTGTTTGTCATTTAATGCCTCACTCAGCAATATTCCAGTCATACAAGAAGGCAGTCTGTAAATATCCATGTCTGGGGCAGAAGATCCAGTGATTGACATCATGAGCAACAGTTGATGCAAATGGGATATGATGACATGCATCAACAAAGTCCGAGAGCCTGACCATCCGATCCCATTAGTCTTCTTTTGTGTAGGGGGCGGTGGGGTAGCCTAGTGGTTAAAGCGTCACATGGGCACAATGTGGGAAGCCCATTTGTGGTGTCCCCTGCCGTGATATTGCTGGAATATTGCTAAAAACGGCGTAAAACCATACTCACTCACTCACTCTTTTGTATAGAGGTATCTTCCTCGAACTGAATGAGAGGTGTAAGTGCAGATATAATTGATGTAGCAAGAGTGAGTTTAGTTTTACACCACACTCAGCAATATTCCAGCTATATGGAGGCGGTCTGTAAATAATCAAGTTTGGGCCAGATATTCCAGTGATTAACAGCATGAGCATCGATCTACGCATGTTGGGATACAATATGTGTCAACCAAGTCAACGAGCCTGACTACCCAATCCTGTTAGTTGGCACTTATGACAAGCATGGGTTACTGAAGATCAATTCTAACCCGGATTTTCACGGATCGATGTAGCAAGATATAATTGACAAGACACTTAAAAATAATTAAATTCTTTAATCACATTCACATACACTCTTAAAATTCTCTTTCTTCATCAAACCTTTCACAACTAGCAATTTGTAGTCACACTGCTCCTTGTAGTCCACTGGTCAGCTCGGACATTGTGAGACACACTGGTGGCGAGACCAGCCTGGAGTAGATTTTGTATCAGAAGAGAAACATTTTGTCCAGTCTTGTTGACAGTCTCATCAAATCTTTGCACACCTTACCACTACACACATATCTTCTCAAATCGTCACAGCGAGCAATACAAACAAATTTTAACGAGATTGCAAGATATTTTAAGGTGATATTTTATGCCCATCGATGTTTGCAGTGTTAGGGGTGAGGTGAGGTGAGGTGAAATTGGGTTTAACGTCGTACTTGAGAATATTTCGCTCATATGACGACGTGCATGCATGTGTATGTGTATGTGCGGCTGCTTGTACTAGCCCAGACTTACTTTGTATTGTAAATTGTGTTTACATTTCATCATAACCTGACTAAATTATATGAGACGATCCCGATAATGAATATATACATGTACTAGAGAACAATTGAAAGTTAGAAAACAGTACACACCGCAACAGACCTAACCAAGATCTCATTCAAATGCTGCTTCCTGCTGCTTCATGTGTAGCAGTAGTAAGCACTAACATGGGATATTTATCACTTTGGAAAAAAAGCTTTCTTTCATCCAAGGAGTCCAGGTACAAAAGGTTAGTTTGAGAAACAATGCATGATGAAGAGAGAAGCTGTGCATGATGAAGAGAGAAACTGCTGATGAAGAATGACGGCAGGTTCTCAACCAGTAACAGTGGATGGGCTTGCTACAAACTGACCTGCATTGTGGTTGGTATGTAACCTACAGCAACAGTGGATGGGCTTGCTACAAACTGACCTGCATGGTGGTTGGTATGTAACCTACAGCAACAGTGGATGGGCTTGCTACAAACTGACCTGCATGGTGGTTGGTATGTAACCTACAGCATGTGCTGTACACCCACTTCAGAAACTAATCTCTTTGTTGTTTGCATCAATGAAATCACCACAGGCATTTCAAACTGTATTTTAGGAAGTAGGAATATGTCGGTAACCTTTTCAAACATCTATACAGCAGAGGGTTCTGTATTTTCATTCCATATTAAGGGGGTGGTGTTCACAGGCCCTCGTGTCTTTGCGAAGATTAAAGATTTAAAAAAATATTTTTTTGACATGACCCCCGACTTGAAATGCTACACAGTACAATACATTATGACAAGGCCGGACACTTCGGTGTACCCTACCTGCCTGCTTTGCCAATCGCTATGCTACCATCGCATGTAGTCGATTAAAACTTCATGTAAACATAATCACGGATGATTGGCCTATCGATCACCACTCATGACACCTACCAATTCTTCATTGTTATTTCTGTAAGTCGTTTAAAATCCGATTTTGATCCTCAACTAAATGATCTTGACACAAATGGATGACGTATGTCCGCACAAAACGGGGGGTGTGGCATTTCTTGACTGTATAGGACCGCATCGCGGCTCTCGGCTAAATGTATACTGTCGGGTATTTCGAGTCGGGGGTCATCTCAAATGTGTTATGTTTTCTTAACATCTTTAATCTTCGCAAAGACACGAGGGCCTGTGGTAGTGTGGTTAAAGCACCCACTTGTCTCACCGACAACCTGAGTTTGAATACCGCATGGGTGCAGTGTGAGGAGCCCTTTGTCTTCTGCCATAATGTGACACTATTGCAAACACTAACATGAACCCTACTCTCACATTTCATTGAAATCAAGTGCATAGCACCTGTCTTAGAAACTCTTAAAAAGGCTGATCTTATTAGACATATCAATATAATTGAACATCTTTTGCATTTGAAATTTACAAAATTTGGTTCAGATATATCTTAATTATTTAAGGTCATATATACTCTGGTCAACTCAATATGTCAATAAATGTCCCACTACTCACAACGACTGGTCATCTATGATTAATATACAAATTATTAAGTATTAAGCCCCCCACCTTGCATACACTGAAAATTGATTAAACCTTTCCACATATTTCTCGAAATTGTATTTTGTTATCAATTTTCATTAACAATAACCACAGCTTCTCAGTTGGTACCACCAGATGGTTGATGGAATCACAATACAGGCATTGTCCATTCATTTGTCAGATACTTCATAATGCAGTGTGTTCCAAACACATACTAGCCCGAACTTGGATCTTAACATCATTTTTTAGTAGAATATAATTATATAATGTGGACTCTGATTTGCTGAGTTTTTTAGTCAAAAAGTAATTTGAATAGACTAGGTCTTAAGAATAGTGGCTATATTGACATAGTAGAATGTCTGACCTAAAACGTAAATGAATACACAATGCCATTTACAAGGTGGTCAAATGCAACATATGTTATTATGTGATTACACTTTTTCAGTAAAGTACCAGTTGTCCAACGTCCATTTTCTTGTGGATGTAAGATGGCTGAGTGGGTTAGATGGCCGACTTTGTGTGATGGTGATTAGCTACCTGACTGACAGTGTGGTTTCGAATACCAGATGGTTCTGCCTAACAAAAGGACGAGAATCAATACTTTACTGAGAAAGAGTAATCCAAAATATATCATGGTGAAAAGTCAAGTGAATGAGAAATGTTAGAAATACTATAACTTATTGTTTCAAGTTTGAAAAGTATCACAGCTGCCATAGCAACCAGCCTTGGTGACTGATTTAATCAGGTTATCCATCACTCAACCCTTAATTAGGATTCCTTGGGATTTCAAATTATATTCACAAAGTCAGCCATGTACCATTTTGTTAATCTGTGACGTGAGAACAAATTTGACCTTTGAAAGGAGTAAAGAGGCCATGTCAAGTGTTGATAATGGTATGAACATATCATAATTACTGGTCACAAACTGACCTGCTGAACACAAAGGGGTCCAGTTGAGGTTACAACTGAGCCATCTTGACTGACAACAGCCTAGTTTGGTTATATATTAACCTGGTTAATGTCTGAACCAGTTCCAGGAACTATCTTGGATAGTATGGAATCATGATCACCAAACCAAACAAGATGGATGGACGGGTGACCAACAAATCTTGTTTAATTATGTTAAATGTCATCTTATCTTTCTCTTGACGTCCTGATGAGAAAGGATAACAATATTGGGATGGATAACTTCTTTATATTCTTTTCATCCATATTGTTATCTTTCCTTACTGCTCTAACTTATAAATGCCTAAGTTGTGAGGTGTGTTTTAACCTTTGATGACTGTATGACATATGTACAGTGTATATATATAGCAATGTAGTGATGGTCATCTGGTCATCAAGTCTTGCCCTGCTTGTATCTCTGTCTGGCTGCTCCAGTGCCGCCCTTACGGTGGCGTTTTCCTGATTCTGGCACTTCTTGGGAGGATTCTTCAGGATTTGTCTGGCCTGATGGCTTGCCCTCCATCTCTGTGAGATGGAAAACATGGCATTATAATGTCATTGCCTTGTCATGCAACATCCTTACAGTGTCATTACATTGTCATGCAACATCCTTACAGTGTCATTACATTGTCATGCAACATCCTTACAGTGTCATTACATTGTCATACAACATCCTTACAGTGTCATTGCATTGTCATGCAACATCCTTACAGTGTCATTACATTGTCATGCAACATCCTTACAGTGTCATTACATTGTCATGCAACATCCTTACAGTGTCATTACATTGTCATGCAACATCCTTACAGTGTCATTACATTGTCATACAACATCCTTACAGTGTCATTACATTGTCATACAACATCCTTACAGTGTCATTACATTGTCATACATCATCCTTACAGTGTTAATACTACAGCCATACAATATCATTACAACATCCTTACATTGTCATGCAACATCCTTACAGTGTCATTACATTGTCATGCAACATCCTTACAGTGTCATTACATTGTCATGCAACACCCTTACAGTGTCATTAGATTGTTATGCAACATCCTTACAGTGTCATTACATTGTCATGCAACATCCTTACAGTGTCATTACATTGTCATGCAACATCCTTACAGTGTCATTACATTGTCATACAACATCCTTACAGTGTTAATACTACAGCCATACAATATCATTACAACATCCTTACAGTGTCATTACATTGTCACGCAACATCCTTACAGTGTCATTACATTGTCATGCAACATCCTTACAGTGTCATTACATTGTCATGCAACATCCTTACAGTGTCATTACATTGTCATGCAACATCCTTACAGTGTCATTACATTGTCATGCAACATCCTTACAGTGTCATTACATTGTCATACAACATCCTTACAGTGTCATTACATTGTCATACAACATCCTTACAGTGTCATTACAATTGTAAAACAACATCCTTACAGTGTCATTACATTGTCATACAATATCCTTAATGTTATTACATTGTCATACAACATCCTTACAGTGTCATACAACATCCTTACAGTGTTATTACATTGTCATACAATATCCTTACAGTGTTATTACATTGTCATACAACATCCTTACAGTGTTATTACATTGTCATACAACATCCTTACAGTGTCATTACATTGTCATACAACATCCTTACAGTGTTATTACATTGTCATACAACATCCTTACAGTGTTAATACTACAGCCATACAACATCATTACAACATCCTTTAGCATCATACACCATCCTTATGTATTACAACATCCTTACAGTGTCATTACATTGTCATACAATATCCTTACAGTGTTATTACATTGTCATGCAACATCCTTAGTGTCATTACATTGTCATGCAACATCCTTACAGTGTCATAACATTGTCATACAACATCCTTACAGTGTCATTACATTGTCATACAACATCCTTACAGTGTTAATACTACAGCCATACAATATCATTACAACATCCTTACAGTGTCATTACATTGTCATGCAACATCCTTACAGTGTCATTACATTGTCATACAACATCCTTACAGTATCATTACATTGTCATACAACATCCTTACAGTGTCATTACATTGTAAAACAACATCCTTACATTGTCATTACATTGTAAAACAACATCCTTACAGTGTCATTACATTGTCATACAATATCCTTAGTGTTATTACATTGTCATACAACATCCTTACAGTGTCATACAACATCCTTACAGTGTTATTACATTGTTATACAATATCCTTACAGTGTTATTACATTGTCATACAACATCCTTACAGTGTTAATACTACAGCCATACAACATCATACACCATCCTTATGTATTACAACATCCTTACAGTGTTATTACATTGTCATACAATATCCTTACAGTGTCATTACATTGTCATGCAACATCCTTACAGTGTCATTACATTGTCATGCAACATCCTTACAGTGTCATTACATTGTCATGCAACATCCTTACAGTGTCATTACATTGTCATACAACATCCTTACAGTGTTAATACTACAGCCATACAATATCATTACAACATCCTTACAGTGTCATTACATTGTCATGCAACATCCTTACAGTGCCATTACATTGTCATGCAACATCCTTACAGTGTCATTACATTGTCATCCAACATCCTTACAGTGTCATTACATTGTCATGCAACATCCTTACAGTGTCATTACATTGTCATGCTACATCCTTACAGTGTCATTGCATTGTCATGCAACATCCTTACAGTGTCATTACATTGTCATACAACATCCTTACAGTGTCATTACATTGTCATACAACATCCTTACAGTGTCATTACATTGTCATACAACATCCTTACAGTGTCATTACATTGTCATACAACATCCTTACAGTGTCATTACATTGTCATACAACATCCTTACAGTGTCATTACATTGTCATACAATATCCTTAGTGTTATTACATTGTCATACAACATCCTTACAGTGTCATTACATTGTCATGCAACATCCTTACATTGTCATACATCCTTAGTGTTATTACATTGTCATACAATATCCTTACAGTGTTATTACATTGTCATACAACATCCTTACATTGTCATACAATATCCTTACAGTGTCATTACATTGTCATACAACATCCTTACAGTGTTAATACTACAGCCATACAATATCATTACAACATCCTTTAGCATCATACACCATCCTTATGTATTACAACATCCTAACAGTGTCATACAACATCCTTACAGTGTCATACATCTTTACATAAAAACGACAAAATACTTTTCATATTTATAAGTAATCTCTACTGAATGCAGAGTTGATTATACAATCCTAACTTGTTTATAAGGATGTGTTTACCTGGCACTATCAACCAGTGATGACACCAGGTGCCCATGCTGAGTGTATCCAGCCCCACCTGTACTTGTACAGTATACAACTGGTACTTTTACAGTGTACAACTTGTACTTGTGTAGTATCATACAATTTCCGGGGCGATGGGGTCGCCTAGTGGTTAAAGTGTTGGCTCGAATCCGGGTTCGAATCCCCACATGGGTACATTGTGTGAAGCCCATTTCTGATGTCCCCCGCAGTGATGTTGTTGGAATATTGCTAAAAGCGGCGTAAAACCAAACTCAGTCAGTCAGTCAGTCATACAATTTCCAAAGTGAACATTAGGTCACAGTGAACTAAAGTTCTTATTTAAGCTAATTTCTACATAAGCAATTGACTCTGGATTGAAAATCCCCATCTCCTCGTAGCTTGTATCCCCGATACTCACCCGACAGTAAATCTATTGGTGCTTCCAGTAACGAGGATTTCTGTGAGTTCATCACAAACCTAAACCAACCAACAGAAACAGAATAACTGACATATTCTACAGCAGAACCACAGATGCTTTCACTATGGTGAAACTATAATGTATATATCAGACAATGACACACATTAGAAAGCAGATATATGATACAATAGATGTATCTCAGACTGCAATACATTGACAATGCCCCAGATATCCATTTTACAAAGTATTCACTCGTCACGCCCAAAACCCAAGTTCAATTACCCACATGGGCACAATGAGTGAAGCCCATTTCTGGTGTCCCCCATCATGATATTGCTGGAATAGTGCGAAAGGCGGCGTAAAACCAAACTCACTCACTCTATTATACAACCACAGATATACATCATATAACCAGATATATATCACACAACCACAAAACTTAGTCAGCAGACATGTATGTACCAAATATATCTCAGACAACAGATGTCACAATATACCACATATATATCTGAAAATGTGAAGATACTTCTTTTTTGTTCTGGATGTGTGTGTTAAGCATGATATAAGCAAGAATATACCTGTATCCGAGGGCAATGACATAGCCTAGAGTTGCGAACACCAATACCAGCAACAGCTGTAGCACCAGGTACTGAAACAACAGACACAAACTACTGAGAAGACTGCGAGGATGAAGGATCCTTGCCCACCTCTTCTGTTGGTTATGTATATTTTACATTTATAGATCAGTCCTGTAATTAAAATTACACAATGCTAGGATATATTTCTTTGGGTTAAATAATAGTTTTATGCATTAAATTCATCCCATTATATTATTGCGTATGTTGTAACTAAATCACCAGTAGATTGCCGGGAAACGTGTGCATAGCTGATTGCTATTTCTGGCTACAAGACAAATACACACTGCAATCTTCATCCATGCATATAATACAATGCCTAGCAACAAATTAGAACTTAAAAGTTAAATAATCTTGTCTAGTGATGTTTAATTGCAAATTTGACATCTTTACTGACAAAGTAGTCTTCTCTTGTTTGTTTCTTCACGTGAAGAGATACGATGTTGTTTTCTTACCCGCTGGAAAAAGGTTTGATAAAAGTGTAACCCATAGATAAGCCGACCCCCTTCTACAGACTGCTATTTTTGGTCCTCAAAATTTGGCTTATCTATGGTAATATATGGTACACTAATATCTGAGCTGAAAATCAGAAAATTATGTATCCCTCTGGCATATTTTTCTCAATAGTCAAAAATACTGTAGAACTTTATCATCAATATTTCTTAACAAAAACAAAGTTATGTGGGAGGACATTCATGGCACATTTTGGAGTTAGTGAGTTTCTTTAAGCCACATCAGCAACATTGCAGCAGTTCATCTACTGGACACAACCCTTCAATATAATGTCTGCAGAGGAGGGTTTTATTTATAGTCTGTTTGGGTCAAAATGGTACCGATGAATCACAATCTAACTCCAAATCAGTTCATGTTCAAACATTCATTTCAACACAGAATATAATGAAAACATCTGACATCAAGTCCAGTCTTCAAAGTGAAACACCTGATGACCTCATAGGCCTTCACCTTGACCCTGGTTGTGACTCAAGACTCAAGGTCAAACAATAACCGTGCACTCTCAAGTAACAAATATCTGCCCCATTTGCCAGTAGAAAGTTTGGAGAACATTCCATTGAAGGTAGATGGTGCCGGAGGTCAACCTCTTCTACATGATGGATTTGTTTGACTTGCTATGTCTCTGCTAAAGGAGTTGCTGGTACAAACGAGGAGGTACGTCTATCATCTTCGTTTTCCCAGATACCTCCTGTTCAGAAATCCCTGTTATGGTTGGCATCAGAACATTCAAGAGAATAGCAGAGAAATGCCAGAAGCAGAAGAAATCAGACCTTTTTATGCACCCTGCCAATAAAGAGTGACGTGGCCCATATCTTCACCAGCATTGTTTCCGGACGCCTAGGAACTGTCCAACTAACTGGGAGGAAAAGGATAACTGTATCACCAGCAGGACAAACTATGGAGATCTGGCGTATAACACGGCAAGACATCAAAGGTCAACGTTCCAATCTTTTCCTCCCCAGCACATCACTGCACAAAACATTCCAGCCCAGGAAAGTATTAACCATCAACAGTAGTATGGAGACGGTCTTCAAATCATGAATGCTGTTATGTCTACCACAGGATGTCTCCCAAGAATAAAAGTATTTGTCCACAATTTATCATCTTGTGACATAACCATCTCTCCTCGGCAAGTACTGACCTGTACCTCCCCAGGACATCACTGACCTATACTGGGTGTATAACCATCTGAAGTGCCGTGGTACAAAGCGATCTTAGAGCTAAGGTGACCGTAACTCCCATACCCTAACATAGGCTTAAGGTAGCCTTAGAGCTAAGGTTGTTTTGTACAACGGCACACTGAAGAAGGAAGAAGCAGCCATGTTACCTGCTCACTGTATGGGTACACAACTGTCCAGAGAAGAGCCGTCTTCGGAACAGCAAGAACTGAACACTGACTTTGCCAGAAGACGACAAGCAGGGATTGTTAGGAAGCTTCATGCCATGAGAGATGTGTTTTCAACTTATAATTATGATATTGGGAAGACAGGCCACTCATGCCATTAAGCTGACTGACAAATCACCGTTCAGAGAGAGAGCTCGACAGTACATCCTCAGGACTTCGAAGATTGTCGCCGCCACTTACAACAGTCGGTAGATAATAGTCCAATAACCTTCATCCGCAAGAAGTCAGGAAGCAAAGGAGTCCCAAAGAAATGAACAGGCAAGAAAAGAAGTCCATGGCATATTTCTCAAAATGTTGCCATCTCCACCATCTCCATCTCCAAGGAAGCAGTTCCTGACATTTTGGTAAAGCTACCTACAGTCCTTGATTGAGTTCAATTGTCAGTGGATTGGAAAACAGGGCAAGCACTGGACTAAGAAATTTGTAAAATCATAGCAGTGATCAAATCAAAGAAGGAACCATACAAAGCAGTGACATCCAAACTTTATCCTGACATACATGTTATTAAAGATGACATTCTCTACAGAATGCTCACCAATGCCAAAGGTTCAGAGCAAAACCCACTTGTTATCCCCAAACAATATCACAAGGAGGCAATTCATGGAGTTCATGATCAAGTTGGACATCCCGGCAGCAACAGAACTTTGTCCATTGTCTGTCAGGGAATCTTCTGGCCAATCAGGGCTACCTCTTTCCAAGCTTAGTGTTCAAACTGTGAAAGATGCATCAGAAGGAAGGCCAGGAAAGAAACTGCGCCACTAGAAGCCATCTTACCCTCTGTTCCGCTTCAACTGATCTGCATTGACTGCCTGTCCATCAAACCAGACAAAGATGGCTATGAAAATGTACTGGTGATCACGGATCACTTCACAAAATACGCTATGTCAATTTCAACAAAGGACCAGAAAGCTACCACAGTAGCCAAAGTTTTCTTGGAAAACCTCATCTGTCACTATGGTTAACCTCAGCAATAACAATGGTCCTGTTGCTACAGATGAACCACTCCACTCCAGCATCACTAACTCAGGGGACTCGTGGGTCCTTGCAGATCACAATGGACGACCCTGACTCTGAGATGGAATGTGCAGGGGAAGAGCCTGATACATGAGATGTGAAAGCGCAAACGCATTTAAGAGACTTGAAAGGAAACATTTTCTTTTGTCATCCTGCATGGTTTATGTGGACAGCTATGATAATTCTTAACTGTGTTGAGGACATTGGCATTCCTGCATATGAAAGATCATTTCCGATTCAAGGTACACACTCTTGTATTCAAGGTTCCAAATGAACCAACATCAGCTTAACTTGCTGATCTTATGCAGGCCAATAAACCTTTATGTGCACACTAAAGTCAGAGAATGAAAATTTTCTTCAGTGTGTGTGTGTGTGTGTGTGAAAGGAGAAAGAGAATGGAGGGGATGTGTGACCATGTTCAGCAGCACAAAGCTTAGAGTTTTCTGGCTTTGATCCTGCAATTAACTGAGGCATGTGTGATGTCTCCAAAATATGTCTCTGTTCACCCAGCAGTTAATGGGTACACTGTGGGATGATATGGTAATCGTATGGATAACCGTCTGGGTTGCATGGGCTGTATTCCCCAAGGGAGTAGAGAATGAAAACCTTGATGTAATCTGATCCACTGTTTGGGGTAGAAATAATGACACTCTAAAAGTATTCACTTGGTAAATGGAATTTGGTGCAAAATAAATGGTCTTTGTTACGTTTTGACATGCTATAAACACTCTATGAGGCAAAACCCATATTGGTAGATAAGAACTGACCTCAACTCTATTTGTGTCACGGACTGATCCAGTAACCCTGGATTTTATGTAGAGAAGTTATGTTTCCACACTTGCATAAACATATTGAAGTCAATTCTTAAAAATCCACAATAACAACTTCACAGACCACTTCTTGAATCATTATATATCTGTAGACCACTAGTAGGCATCATTGACATAGTTCAACACAATAACACAACAATCTATTGTCAACCAATCTGGAAAAACTAGTCCACCAAATTCCATGGCTAATGAATCTTTTGGTTTATGGAAAAATACATGAAAAAGCTTTACTTGATTAGCCAATCATTTAATGCCAAGGAATAATGTGTTTCTTGTGTTGTACTCACAGTTATGGAAGGTTCTTTAGCGAGGTACTGATCTGCGATCACAATCAGAAGTCCCATTCCTCCACCACCAGCTGCAAACTTCCACGGCAGACGGGCATTTGCTGAACAATCAATACATCACTTTCAGTATTTCACTTTACAGATAATGGATCAGTCCTCAATATCTAACTTCACATGTTCTGGGTCAGTCTTTAGTTCATCACAACAAACGTCATACAACAATGAACAAAATATCTTTGACAAACATATGAAAATAACGGAGAAATCTTTGACAAACATATGACAACATTTTGAACTATATTTGGCTGACATAGGAAAACTATATGGACGGCGTATGCTTCTGTAATATGAAACTGTAATTTCCAAAGACAACATTTTGAACTAACAATTTGGCTGACATAGGAATAACAATATACCATGGACTGTCAAACCTCATACAAATATTTAGTAAAATTTGTTTATCTGTGTACAGACTTCATTTTAGTATTTAAGAAGCATCCACTTTTCTCTGCCAACCAGGGTTTGATTCCCCTTCATCGGGTAGGTGCGTCTGAAACCCATTTCTGGTGTCCCTTCCAGAAACTGTAATTACCCACTCACTCATCCACCAAAATGTAGTAGTACCAAAAATCCACAAATACTACTTGACTGAAGTTGTTATATGAAAGACATAATAACTTGGTGCGCTTGTTTCCTGTTTATAAATCATATGATTTGTTAATAATTTGGAATGCCAATTCCAATAATAAGAAATGTCAAATCTGAAATGTAGTCTGCTGTTTAACTGCTTTTTCATTCTACCGCCTGATGGGTCCTTTGAATTTTCAATGGGTCAGACAGACATCTGAAATGCCTTACAGGACCCAATTTCCTATGGGTCCTTTACTTTGGGTCAGACAGAACACCATTAGTGAACACTGGTGACACCACTTAGTTTCCAACCAATGATGACCTTGTACCTTTTCTCTCCTTATTCATGGCTGACCTTGTCCTGTTGATGGCATCTCTCACCTTCACATCAGTGGCATCCAGGACCATGGCTTTCTGTGGAGAAAAACCCACAAGTATAACCTGGCTTATCAGGGTGTAGTTTCATATTTCCTGTTTGTTTAACGCCAAACTCTATATTCCAGATATATGGCGGCGGTCTGTAAATAATCGAGTCTGGAACAGACAATCCAGTGATCAACATCATAAGCATCGATCTTCGCAATAGGGATATGATGACATGTGTCTACCAAGTCAGCGAGCCTCACCACCCAATCCTGTTAGTCACCAAACATGGGTAACTGAAGATCAATTCTAACCTGGATCTTCACGGGTTCATATTTCCTGAACTTCTTGACATGACATTGTACTCTATTTGATGAATGTCTAAAATACCATCAACTACTGCAGAAAGGTTATTACAAAATACGCTCCTGTATGTTTCTTGAGATGGTCTCAGATTTGTTTTTCTGTTCATTGTTTAATGACACATGCAGCTATATTCTAACTGTATGAAAGTAGTAGTTTAAATAATCTGTAAATAATGAACATTTCGATCTGAACTAATTGGAGTGAGTATGGTTTTAACCGCTTTTAGCAATATTCCATTACAACATACAGCGGGGTAGACAACTGTATTTCTTTTCTAAGATGCCAAATTTAATACTTTCTAAGGATAATTACGACAATTTAAAGAAAACAAACGACGGTGTCGGTGACAAAGGGCCATAAATCCTCCACAGGCTAACTGGCGCAGTTCTATTCATGTGGCCCCCTACGTTAAGAGAAACGTCAGAATAAACAAATGATAATATCTTTGATGACGGTTTACGCTCGATAAAATATCTGCATGAATTATTTTAATTACATCCGTGATTGTATAGCAATATAACCGTGATTTTACTACCAACATAAGTACATCCAGATGAAGCTGAGATAGTCAAGCCGACATTCCACGATTGTATTTGGGAATATGGGGCCCCGTGTCGCTGAAAACTAGTGAGTCACCTTCGTAAAACTCCACCAGTGATGTTAGCTGCGTGAAGCAACTGCAAACCAAGAAACGGGGATGCAACGGAGTAGTTTACGGATGAGGCGATGTGCATTGTGACGCCGCTTATATTGTCATCAAAATGGTTGACGCTGGGCACACAGAAATGGGGACGGATAATGTCATTCATTGTTACGCCATCCACCTTTATTGTCTGATAATGTATTTTTTCGATTGTTCTAACCGCTAGTAGGCATCACTATTCTTGGAAAAATAATGAAGTCTGAACCAGACAACCCAGGTATTGACATCATGACCACCCCTCTAAGCAATTGGAGTGATTTGTATAAGTAGCAATATTCCAGCAACATCACACCAGAAATGGTTCACACATTGTATCCAGGAATTTAACCATCATGCTACCCCACCACCCCCTAAGCAATTTGCTGACAATAGCTGCCAGTTTGATCACTCGCCTCTCTTCAAACCCACATCTGTGCATGTCGGACAAGTACTGAGGCATAAGGGTAGTCAACTGATTGACTGACTGAATTTGGTTTTACGCCGCTTTTAGCAATATTCCAGCAACATCACAGCGGGGGACACCAAAAATGAGCTTCACAAATTGTACCCATGTGGGGATTCGAACCCGGGTCTTCGGCGTGACGAGCCAGCGCTTTAACCACTGGGCTACCCCACCGCCCCTATAAGGGTAGTCAAATAACCACTGATAATCAATTTCAGTTTTCATGTATCAATATACATATGTCAAATTGTCACAATAGTATTTCAAGTTAAATTAACATAAAAATAATGGCATTTTTATCACGGAACTATAACAAATGGGGAATGACATCACTGTCAATGTAAAAACTGGGGTAGCATTTTGATTTCTTGCACTGCTGTAAGTTGAACACAGACAAGATCACTTCATTCATAAAACAGTGCTCTGTACATATGAATCATTAGAATCAACAAACAAAATCAAGATGACTGTATCATATCTTACATTGTAGGACAAAATGGCATCGTTGTAATGTCCTACTGCAAACTCAACCTCCCCTTTCCTGAAGTAGCCCTGAAATCAACAGAAAATGTCAGACCAGAAATATATTAAACAAGTCATGCAGATAAGGAATAAGATATATTACAGATGTCAACATTGTCTTCATAAAAATATATAAAATAACCCCTGAGCATAACACAAAGAAAACAATAGAAGGTGTCTGCATGCTTGTATTTTGACCTGTGTCTTGTAAAATGTTTAATACCATGATTATACAAGACTTTGTAGAAAGAAGCACTGGTCAAGAACCTAAAGCCAGCATTTGTCCACAATATTTCCGGTCGATATAATGTCAGCCAGACTGAAAGGTGATATGTTACAGTCAGGATTATATTTTCTTAGATACCGGTGGGGTAAGTACAAATTCTAGTTCTCTGGGCTTCGGAAGTTCTGCCTGGGATTCAAACCTACGTCCCCAGGAAAAGGCACCTAACACAAGCACACAACACTGACGACCTAACCCAGTCAACCAACAACACAAGGCTTCCACAAATGACAGTCAGACACTTGTCAGTGGCATTTTTGGACTTTGTGTACCTCTTTTATAAGTGTAAACTGTCACGCCCCTATGATTAAAAGCTATGAATAGACAACACATTTCAGAAAGTGATTAAATGTAATATATTTCATCACAGGGATATTTAATGATTACATTTTCTCAGTTAAGTACAAATTCAAGAGCTATTTATAACGCAGTAAATAGTAATATCACACAAGACTATACCAAACCTTTGTCCAGTTGGGCTGTAGTTTGATGGTCTGTTTGGCATCATCTAAAGCCAGGAAGTACTGCTGGACCTTGAGGAAGGCTAAGGACCGGTTGCTGAACACAAGGTGATTGAATGGGTCCAGTTTGATGGCGTGTGTGTAGTGGATAATGGCCTCCATGTAGTTGTCCTTCTTCACACATTCATTGCCCTGCTCCTTCAACTCATCCGCTCTCTGGATTGGGAGGAAACCAACGAAGAATTGGACATTTGATTTTTAAACAGTTTTGTGAAACACTTTATTTTGAAACTCATCCTGGTCAAAGAATAAGTTTCTGTCAGTATTCATTTCCAGTTTGTACAAACCCTTGAGAACAGGTTCAGAATTGTAACCCCCAACGTAATTAATAAATATGTTAGCTGTCCTCAGCACAATTTAGGTGTCTCCAGTAAACAGACCAGCATGAAATTCAAAAAGACTGTAGAATGTGGGGCCCAAGTCAGACACTTCAGGGTTATGTCACGACTGTTAGGCACTCCCTCACGGCTTGCTGCTGGACATGGTAAACTGATAGCTATGTATTTTATACCATGGGATTTACATGCAATATTCTTGATGAATGTGGGTAGAGAAACACCAAGTTTGTTTTGCCTGTACACACTTATCATGACGGTCTTTCAATTTGAGGGTTGTTTTGTATTAAATGTAGTATATCTACTGTATCTACATCTACTGTGTCAGGGGTGGAAGTAACTTTAAAATTGCTAGTGTTCTCCAGTACAGTGGCACATGTAAAATCATTTGCCCTGATCATTATCCTCTATACCGGCCGTTTTCTTGTTGATTTTTTAATATAACAACATAATTAAAAGTGGAAAGTCAACTGGACACCGGTACAGTGTGATATACAGAAAAAAACTGGACTTCGGGCAATGGGTTATTTCCACCCCTGCTTGCCCGACAGTGATAAAAAAACACTGGACTCGGACGTCATATCCAAGCCAAGCTGCTCTCTCTCTCTCCCTGACAAAGTTGATATGGTCATATAAAGTTGAACGCAATACCAATCTTCATGATCACATGATTCAGCACTTTCCAAACAAAATCGTGATACTTCGATTTACTTTGCTAAAATTCAAATACACATGGGATGCTTTACCTTGGCATTCATGCTGATCAGTTACTTCATGCGATTGATATTAAACGAGGCGATATTTATCCTGGTCTTGTTAATCGATCAATATCTGTTTCACATTCTGTAAGCCGACCAAAATCCGAGCATGACCGCAAATGGATTCCCCCTCTTCCGGTAACGTCAAAAAGCGCAACTTGTTTGGAATAAATACCCTGAACCAATTGTGCTTGACATGGTACGTGGACAGTGTATAACAGATTAACTTGTCAACGTTTAGAAGACGGACTTCTCTTCATAAAACCTCACTCACATGGTGTTTTAACCAAAGTTTTTGCCAGTTTGGCTATTTTTAGTAACATCAATTTCAAGGGGATTCCCGGAGACAGGCACACGTGCTTCCGGCTTGGAATGTTTTGATTTTACTCTGGTCAGAAATGATCAGCGTGTTGACCTAATAGATCGATTATAATATCGTCCTGATAAAGAGATGAATGAAAAAGACAGCTATGGCTGACAGAAGTGAGTTTGAGACCCGACAGATCCATGCTGCATAGTCTCGGCATCGTTTTATCATTTGGTAGCTCTCAAGGGTTCCTCAACTACCATGTCAATACAAACTCGATCTTCCATTTGGGGAGGTGGGGGTGGGGTGTTGAGTCCCATCCAGGATTATTTAAGGCCTTCCAGCCTCTGGGCATCACTTGATAAGCTCCTTTAAATAGCTTGTTTTAGGTGTCATATATGTTTCTTCAGGCTCAGGCTCAGCTCCTGAGGGCTTTCGCATCGGTTGATATCTTCGACTTCGACGTAAACAAGGGAAAATACCTTGCATAGGGACGATGTTCTGCTCTCTGCCAGGAAGCAATGTCATTACAAATTCCCAGCTGATCTTCTTATTGTATAATCACTCTTTTGGCTTGTAGGGCTTAATTACTTGTATTATGTTGTATCACTAGCTGTTATATATACTGTAAGCCATTAAAAACGCAATTTGACATTCATACTTTCTTTACTCACACCAATTTCAACATATAGAAACCTAACTGGCAGATATGTTTTAAGTGAACATCTGTGAATAATTTCATCTGAAAATGTCCAGTCAACAACAACATCAGTGACACAACAACGACATCAAACAAAGGAGGGGTCACTTGCAGTCAATATCGTGTGTGTCCAGCGTGCGATGCAAGACATGCTCGCAGTCTTTGGGGCATTGAAAGACACACATTTCTCAGGAACATCTGTTGGATGGTCTGCAGCCTCTGATGGTCTGTGGTCTGATCATGACACCACCTCCTCCAAAAGCGATCATGTTCAAGGACACAGTTTGGCATAAGTCTTTCTCGTCGATCGTCTGTGGGCGTCCATCTGCAAAGGATAAGTTAAACCTGGATTCATCTGACAAAATGACATCTGGCCATGTCCTGTTGCCAAGATTGGCCCCATTTGCTGCCCATCGCTGTCTGGCAAGTCTGTGGCGATGCAATAAGGTTGGACCACGATGCGGGTGGCGACATTGGATGTTGAAGGCAGCAAAGCGTCCTTGCACCTTTTGGGTGCTGAAATGGCGTTGACTTGTCCCAATTGTCCTCCTTGCCTAATCAACAGCTGTTTGGGAACCGATTTCGCAAGTGTGAAACTTCGGATATTGCGGTTTTGTCGAGCTGTTATCACAGGTGGTGCACAAGGTCGCGGACGATCAGCAACACTTCCGGTAGCCCAAAACATTGTGGAACTTACAGTGGATGGATGCACATTAAAGTGCCTGGTAATCATCACATCTGAAGCACCCTGGCTGACCATACCGATAACCTGATTCCTTTTCATCTTGTGTCAAGTGTGGCATTTTCTCAAAGTGATTGAGTTCCACAATTCCTTGTGCTTTTACAGGGCCTGGGTGCAGGTAATGCATGTGCACAAGCGTGTTTCATGAATGTGGTTGTGTTTACGAGAAATGTCAAAGGTTCAGTTTTAAGTATCAAAGTTCATGTGAGAGGAATGCTCCGGGACTCGAACTCGAAATGGGCCAGAATAACAGCCTTTTATCCCTACATCCTCTGTATCGCAGGCAAAAATCTTCAATAGAACTTTTGTGAGTTTCAGGACAACAAATACCAATTGCGTTTTTAATGGCTTACAGTATATGATACAGTCAGATTGTGAAATCAGTCATTTCGTGAAATGACTAAAAATTTCAGTCATTTCATGAAATGACTGAGGATCAGCTATTTCGCTATTTGCTAAATAAATAGGTTTGGACGTTTTCATCAAATTTGATGTATTAATGTGCTTGATAACGATTACCAATGTTCGTGATGCACGAAACAATTAAATCGCCAAAATGCATTTTGTGGTCCCGACTCTCAGAAACACGAAACACATGTCTTAGTCGGATACATTGGAAATCGATGCCGAACATCAGTATAAATGGCCTGTCCAACACTGCAATATCACTGCACATAAAGTCACACAGAGAGAATGCCAAGGTTAACCCTAACCCAGGTAGAAAGAAGAATGAGCAGTAAGGATAGTTGAATGGCTGACCCTCTTAGTTATTTCACGAAATGACTGAAATTTTTAGTCATTTCGTGAAATGACTCATTTCACAATCTGACTGTAACATATATACTGTGTTGACAGTGCAAATAGTTTGTTGTTGAACACTATTGCATTAAATGCAATGTTTAAAATGCCTCCTAATTTGAAAAAATAACACCTTTAATATTTTTAATTTTCCCAGCTTGCCTGTGAACAGTAAGTTTGGAAAAGTTGATAAATCCCCATATAATGGTGATAACAGATTTATTTAATGTTTTTTTAAAACACTGATGTAATATTCACAGGCTGACCATATGATGCTATGGATGAAACTCCTGGCCTGCCGCCTTGGACACACCCATTGCCGGAGAGTCTCTCAACAAGTGCTATATGGTCGGGGAACAATCTTTGCCCTCTCGTCTGGGCACGGCAGATCTGGAGTTGCTGTTATCAGGGTCTCCGGACCTTCCACATCAGAATCACTTCGACAGATGGTTAGAAGAATCCCACCACCTCGGAAAGCGGTTCTACGACGGATTTACCATCCACAGTCCACAGAAGCAATAGACAAGGGACTTGTGCTCTGGTTTCCAGGTACTACATGTTCAGTGTTTTCTGTGAAGAAAATGTTATATTCTAGTGCAAGGTTTGTTAGATGTGCTGATTATATAGAAATATTCAAATATGTAATGTTTGTGAAAAAAGAATGTTTGGACCTTGTACTTCTGATTTTTATAGAATTATATGCTTTGCTTCATCAGAAAATTAGGAATATACCATTCAAAAGTTTCGTTGTATGTGATAACATGTGATAATTAATCTTGCAAAAGAATGTACAATATTGATTTCATAGTTAAAGAGTCATGTGAATGCACAACATCTTTACAAAAATGTCTTCATGCAGTAACCCATGCTTGTCGTAAGAGGCAACTAATGGGATCGGGTGGTCAGGCTCGCTGACTTGTTTGACACATGTCATCATATCCCAAATGCGTAGATTGATGCTCATGCTGTTGATCACAGGATTGTCTGGTCTAGACTCGATTATTTACAGACCGCCACCATATAGCTGGAATATTGCTGAAAGCAACATAAAACTAAACTCACTCACTAAACAGCTGTAAGTTGTTTTAGATGCATGCATTGTGCAGTTAACATTTGGAGGTAGTAAATGGTGGTGAAGTTAACAGGTGTGGGTAGCGAACAGTTAACTATCTGTAGATAGTAAGGGCTAAAGTGACAGTGTCATTCCAGGGCCGAAGAGCTTCACAGGTGAGGACTGTGCAGAGTTCCAGGTGCATGGCGGTGCCGCTGTGGTGACAGCGATGTTGGGCGCTTGTGGAACTTCCCGGTTTCCGCCATGCTGAAGCTGGAGAGTTCACAAAAAGGTAAGAAAATATTCCTCTCACACTCAAAGGGCTTCCAGCTTGGCATAAACAACATTTGGTTATTTCTAGTTAAGCATACAGTTTAGAGACAAGTAAAAGCAAATTCAATCATTCATTCGTGAGAAAAAATCAAGCATAAACAGAACAGAAAATAATAATGCACAGCATAAATGTGCATTTGCAGAAAGAATAGTGACAATGTACTACAGCTAAGCTGAATCTTCTGTTTAATATACTTACAGCAGCAGTAGTAGTAAGATTGCTTTGTACAAGCTTGCATAAGCTTCCTTTAAGGTGAGGTGAGGTGAGGTGAGGTGAATTTGGGTTTAACGACGTGCATGCGTGTAATGCGTGTATGTGCGGCTGCTTGTACTAGCCCAGACTGAAGCTGGTTTTATAGTGCTAGCCCACTGAGATACCATGCCGCAGTGAAGCATGAATACCCCACTCAGACACATTATACTGACTCCGAGCCGACCAGTCCTTGTTGTACCCATTAATGCCGAGCCCCAGGCAGGGACCAAGAAGTACCATATTTTAACGTCTTTTGGTATGACGCGGTCGGGGATCGAACCCGCGACCTTCCGCTCTCCGGGCGGACGCTCTAACCACTACACCACGGAGGCGGTCCTTCCTTTAATCATTCAGTTACTATCATCGTGTCTAGTCATCTGTAGCTTGGTTGTTTAATGCCACACTCAGCAATATTCCAACTTTATGGAGACGGTTTGTAAATAAACAAGTCTGGACCAGACAATCCAGTGATAACATCATGAGCATTGATCTACGCAATAAGGATTCGATGACATGTGTCAACCAAGTCAGCGAACCTGACCACCCAATCCCATTAGTCTCCTCTTTCGACAAGCATGGGTTACTGAAGATCAATTCTAACAGTCATCTGTAGGGTTTTGGATAATTTGAATTTTTCAGTGATCCATAGAAGCATTCACTATACCTGTTCCAAAACTTCAGTTCTCTTCCTTGTACAGAGTAGTGCTAAAAATATTCGGACACTTAACGTAATTTCCATAGACTTACATGTAAATTTAATGTAGCATAAAAAAATTCCCTTTTTTATATTTTGTAAGATCCAAGTCAAATTTTGCACATTTGTAAAGAATCATCTTACCTACAATCACATAATTTCTGTTTAATTTTCTGTTGCTCATTTATCTAATGGCAACAATTTAATCAACATATGTACAGTGCCATGAACTCCTTTAACATGGCGGCCTATGTGATTGTGCATTGTGGAACCATACACGAGTTGATAAAAGTGATGTCATTAGTTAAATAGTGGTCGGAAAATGAACTGATATTATGTACGCAGAGCAGAGATGATTTCAAATATGCCTGTCAAATTTTACAAAGATCCGTCTTAAACTCACTTTATGAAAATTATTTATGCTACACTGAAATAACATAAAAGTCTATGGAAATCACGTCAAGTGTCTGAATACTTTTTGCACTGGTCTGTAGAATAATTCCAACTCACTGTGATTTATACCTGTCACTCTCTGGAATAATCAGTGTTGTTTGTTGGTTCATTTGCTTCTTTGTTTTTAAAAAAAATGCAGGAATATTACCTAACCCAGTGACAGCATTTTGCAGCTGGTCAAAACTGAGTTGTGTTGTTATTTGTGAGAAGAACATGGTGCCCTTATTCAGACATTTCCGTCCACCAGGGCCTATATGAACGGTCAGCTTGACCTGACGGAGGTGGAGGGTCTGTCTGACCTGATCTCAGCAGAGACAGAAGCACAGAGACGCCAGGCACTACGCCAGATGGAGGGGGATCTCGGGAATATGTACATGGCTTGGAGGAGGAGGATCATCAAGGTCAGAGACTCAGTCGTACCCTGGTGAATCTGGAGCTAGGTTCTGACAGGTGGCAAAACATAGACTTGTACCCAGACTTGCGTAGTCTGTTTCAGTGTTAATATGCCACACAACTAATTATTTGTTTTTCTTACCTAAGCTACAGCTCTGTGTAAATACACCCAGGTGCTGCACCATTTTCTTCTAAATCTGCAGCGCACTTTAAAGCAGTGATTGTGGGGGTTATCTCCCTTAATCAGGAACATTAAGAACCCATGCTCGAGTACTCAATATTTGTCAAATCCCTGATACAAATGGTGAAAAAAAATCGCAGTTGAGGGGAAAGATGTTAAAACAATACACTATTTTGTGTTTTGTGATGAAAAATGTTACGAAATATCAAGATGACTTTCTTCTGTATTTATTGTTTGCAAGGGGTCAGTAGTTTTAATAAATTAAGATAAGTTCTAAGGTAGTATCGCTGCAACCTACAAGCACCTGCATAACCTTGGCCATTTAATCTTATAAGCAGTGGCATCCTCTGTAGCCTATGTTTCCCCTTGAGTATATTTTGTGATAATAAATTCAAATTCAGGGAAAAGTCATAGTTACAATCCCATTTAACATTTTTTATCCAATCAGATGCTCCTGTTTATTTTATAATCCAGAACAACCTATGAACCTATTATCAGTTGTATACAAGTTGTATACATTTCATACAAGTTTAAATAATGTTCCAGTGTCTCGCCAATGTAGAGGCATATATTGACTTCAGTGAAGATGAGAACATAGAGGATGGCGTTTTAGATCATGGTAAGTCTTACTATCAAGAATTCTAATTAATTACTTTGAGGGTTGATTAATTTGATTTTAAGGTTCATTTCCCCAAATTGATACATATTTTTTCATAAGAATTTGCCATTTCTGGTGTCCCCTGCCGTGATGTTGCTGGAATATTGCTAAAAGCGGTGTAAAACCAAACTCAGTCAGTCAGTTAGTCAGTCAGTCATAAGAATTTGGTTTGTTTGGCTTTTTTGTCATTTAATGCCACATTCAATGTCAACAAATAAATGAACAAGTCTAGAACTGACAGTCTAGTCATTGATAGTCATTTAGAGCAATGATCCACACGTATTAGTGTGGCATGCGATCAAGCCAAAACTCTGAACCTTATGCAAGTGGCTTCTTACAAACAGCATAGGTTTCTGGGGAACCATTCTTACCAGAATCCCTACATTGATTCAAAGAATTAAGAGATGTATCAGATGTTATTATGGGACATTTCAGCAAGGTCAGAGGTGCAAGTGATGGCAGAAGAAATGAAAGGCCATCTCCACGACAACCGTAGAGGGGAAAGGTTACGATCTGGAGTACGTGTTGCGATCATTGGAGAACCAAATGTGGGCAAGAGCAGCCTCCTCAATGCACTGTGTAAGTATATCGACTGCTCTCATTTTTACCTCCCCAAAAGGAAAAGTGAGCTTATGTCATTGCAGGTTAGTCATCAGTGGACATGCCCTGAATTCTCTAAAAATACACTTCCTCACTCTGAAACTGCTAAACATTTCAATTTGAAACTTCACATGCTAATTCTAACCAATGATGACAGCTGATTTTGTCAAAAAAGTTCAATCTCTGGCAGATATATTAAAAAATTGTAATGCATATTATGTTATTGATAATTTATGACTAACAGGATCGGGTGGTCTTGTTGACTCATGTCATCGTATCTCAGTTGTAAGATTGATCTGTTGAAGATGTCAGTCACCGGTTTGTCTGGTCCAGTGTCAAGTATTTACAGACCATCATAGCATACCTGGAACATTGCTGAGTGTGATAAACAATAAACAAATATAGTTTATTAAATTTATGATAAGACAAAACATATATACATGTATTGCATTCTTAAATTAATAGGTAATGTTTGAGTGAACAGGCCAATATATTTCATATTGCCAATTTACAACCATGTTTGTCTACAGACAAACCCCTATCCAAGCATATTGGGAAAGTTTGTAATACCAAGTTTGTTGAGTTTGTTTGTTACATCACTAGCTAACACTAGCCATTATGCAAAAACATCATAATCACTTGATCCATATTTAATGCAGGACCAGTGAAGATCTAGATTAGAATTGGTCTTCAGCAACCCATGCTTGTTGTGAGAGGCAACTGATGGGATTGGATGGTCAGACTTTCTGACTTGGTTGACACATGTCATCATATCCCAATTGTGTAGATTGATGCCCTTGCAGTTGATCACTGGATTGTGTAGACCATTTACAGCTTGCTGTCATATAGCTGGAATATTGCTGAGTATGGCCTTACACATCAAGATTGGGATCTTCAGAAGCATGTGTTTATACATTTCAAATAGTTCAGACCCTAGGAACATTGCCTCAGTTCTCCTTAGCTCAACTCGTTAAGAAATGAAAATCTTTACGTGTGTTGGCGAATATTTTCTAATGTTTTTACCAGATGTTTAACATGATTTGTTTTAATGTGTGAAATATATTTGTATTGTATTTGTTGGATCTACAGGTCAGAGACCAGCTGCCATTGTCTCCCCTATAGCTGGCACTACACGGGATGTGGTGGAGACGGCGCTCAACATCGGAGGTTACCCGGTGCTCTTGAGTGACACAGCAGGACTTCGAGAGACAGGGGATGCTGTAGAGAAGGAGGGTGTCCGACGTGCAATAGAGAGGTGGTAAATGTAGACTTCTGAACTGGAAAAAGCAATGCTTTGGTGCAGAAAATGTTTACACTGAACTTTTTATAGGTTATCATATGAACTAACTGTAACATATACTGATGGTAAAAAGTTAAACAACACCTAAATTCTGACCTCACGTGGAACAGTAGAGGGTTATGGAAGCAGTCGGTAGTCATTGGAAGCAGGTTTTTCTGGGGTGTAAGCAAAGGCCAAACATTACGATGTTACAAGACGAAACACATTTACTAACGAAAACATTACAGTACAGAGCAGAACAACAAAAAAGTTTGGAATCATTGTGATAGACGTTGAAAAATCACAATGGAGTAGTATGTGTAAGGTTGTGAATGATCGTGAATCTTGTGCACACCTCCCAGCATGGCATGGATAGTGCTACTGTCTTATCCGTGTTCGTAGTTCTGCAATTCACCATTAGCTAAATATTTTACTCACAATGCAGCTGTTTAACTTTTTACCATCAGTATATTACAGCTTTATGATTAACACTTGTATGTTAATTTGAGATGCCAAGAAGTGATCCTTATTTCCTCAGGTGCTGTATATCTGCTCAATCTGCAGACCCGTGAAGATCTGGGTTAGAATATTGATCTTAAGTAACCCATGCTTGTCATAAGAGGCAACTAACGGGATCGGGTGGTCAGGCTCGCTGACTTGGTTGACACATGTCATCGGTTCCCATTTGCGTAGATCGATGCTCATGATGTTGATCACTGGATTGTCTTGTCCAGACTCGATTATTTACAGACCACCGCCATATAGCTGGAATATTGCTGAGTACGGCGTAAAACTCAACTCACTCACTCACTCAATCTGCAATATTTCTGACATTTTACAAGGATTAATCTGGACCTGCTCAGATATGAATATTCAGCCCTAAATCGGCAGCAAGCTTCCACATACTCAAATCGTAATCACAAACTTCACTGTTAATGTCATATAGCGAAAACTAATATTATGGTCATGTACATGCGACTTGAATTATACTAACCAATTTCAGTGAAATCATTATTTTCCCCATATTACCTGCCAAGGACATTAAGTTTGGTCTCCTGGATACATCCTGTACAATGTCAAGAACAATGTCAGATGGAGAGAGGTTTTTATGCTTCCTCGTTTTGGTACCACATGTTTAAATCCTTATTTGGATTTCAGGTATAGGATATGTCCTACTATGTAATGCTTATCTCCCCTTAAAGTTCTTGTAGCAAGTTACTTCATATTTATAAATGAATGTCCTCATATCATATGCTTGTCTCCTTTTAGTGCTCTTTGGTACCTAAAAAATCGTCAAAATATATATCTTTAAATATCTTTAGTGTTTGTCTCTCAAAAAAAGTTCTGAAAAAGAAATTTGGAAATTCTTTTTTTTCTTAAGTGCTCATTTCCATAGAAACGTTTTGGAAAGTTGATAGCAGCAGATAAAAGATTTATTGGACATTGGAACAACAGAGTTGCCTGTTGGATAATGGACTTCCAATTGATTTCAAATGATTTGTCATTCTCTTCTTCAGAGCAAAGCAAGCAGACATCAAAATAATTCTTGTGGATGCATCAAAGTTTTCATCGGCTTACACAGACTGTGATGTGGACAAATTTGTAAGGGACCATTTGTATGACCTTGGAGTGATGGACACCACACAGCATGAAGACAGTGAAGCAGATAGACTGATGCTGGATGCTGGAGATGCTGTCCAGCTGGATGAGGACAGACAGACACTGCTGGTGGTCAACAAGTGTGACCTTGTGCCCTCATGGAACCCAAACTTTCCCCCTGGGGATGTTGCCACGGCAGCACTGTCCTGTACCACAGGGGAAGGAATGGAACACTTCATAATCCTTCTGGCGGAGACGGTGAAACGTGGGTAGGTGTCACTCTGTATTTGTTGTATGTTGATGGTATTGACATCCTTTACCTTTAAAAGTCAGTTTTCCTGGAGCAGATCTTAGCTCAGTGCATCTCTGTTTTTATACTCAGTGTATAGTGGAAGATCATAGCTCACTAAGTGTCTGTTCAGTAGTATAGTGGAAGATCTTAGCTCAGCAGGTGTCTGTTCGTAGTATAGTGGAAGATCTTAGCTCAGCAGGTGTCTGTTCGTAGTATAGTGGAAGATCTTAGCTCAGCAGGTGTCTGTTCAGTAGTTCAGTATAGAGGAAGATCTTAGCTCAGCAGGTGTCTATTCATAGTATAGTGGAAGATCTTAGCTCTTAGGTGTCTCAGTAGGAAGTCTCAGTAGGTGTTTGTAGTATAGTGGAAGATCTTAGCTCAGTAGGTGTCTGTTCGTAGTATAGTGGAAGATCTTAGCTCAGTAGGTGTCTGTTCGTAGTATAGTGGAAGATCTTAGCTCAGTAGGTGTCTGTTCGTAGTATAGTGGAAGATCTTAGCTCAGTAGGTGTCTGTTTGTGGAAGATCTTAGTAGTATAGTGGAAGATCTTAGCTCAGTAGGTGTCTGTTCGTAGTATAGTGGAAGATCTTAGCTCAGTAGGTGTCTGTTCGTAGTATAGTGGAAGATCTTAGCTCAGTAGGTGTCTGTTCATAGTATAGTGGAAGATCTTAGCTCAGCAGGTGTTTTGTATACCATGGTGGGAGATCTTAGTTCCAGCAGAGGTGCCTGTTAAGTAGTATAGTGGAAGATCTTAGCCCAGCAGGTGTCTGTTCGTAGTATAGTGGAAGATCTTAGCTCCGCAGGTGTCTGTTCGTAGTATAGTGGAAGATCTTAGCTCAGCAGGTGTCTGTTCGTAGTATAGTGGAAGATCTTAGCTCAGCAGGTGTCTGTTCGTAGTATAGTGGAAGATCTTAGCTCAGCTGGTGTCTGTTTGTAGCATGGTGGAAGAATCTTAGCAGGTGTCTGTTTGTAGTGTGGTGGAAGATCTTAGCTCAGCAGGTGTCTGTTCGTAGTATAGTGGAAGATCTTAGCTCAGCAGGTGTCTGTTCGTAGTATAGTGGAAGATCTTAGCTCAGCAGGTGTCTGTTCGTAGTATAGTGGAAAATCTTAGCTCCACAGTTGTCTGTTAAGTAGTATGGTGGAAGATCTTAGCGCAGCAGCTGTCTGATCGAACTACAGTGAAGATATTGGATCAGTGGGTGTCTGTGCATATTAAAATGGAAGATACGTGAGTATCTGAGTCAACAGTGCCCCACAAATTAAATATTTGAGATTACAGACCATTTAAAAAATTAATCCTGTAAGAAAATCAAGACCATGAATCTTGTAAATTTTTGTCACAATGAACTGAAAGTATGTGAATTTTCTTAGGTTAATTATTTCCACTTATAATGCTGAGATAAAATGTGTCAATGACTGAATAAGTTGATGGAAGGAGAATATCAGGGGTTGACCACTTCATAGTCAGAAGTGGGGATGGTATTATTTTATTGAAGAAAACAATGTCCACTGAATTGCTTTAAAAAGTGTGAGATTCCAACGAAAAAAAGTAATTTGTGCTTCAAACTGTTGATGAAAAGTTTCTGCCCCAAAAATACCTTGTTGCAAGATGAGGATAATTTTTTTAAGATTTTGGCTGATAGGTTATAAAGAAATCCATCTGGTTTTGTAGTGCAGGAAAGAAATATTTAATCTCCAGTCACAGTGTCAGGTGATGGCTTTAGTCAACTTGAAACATCTGGAACACAGACTGAAGCATATATAGTGCTCCAGTTCAGTGACTGGGAGAATCTGTATGACTTGTCAGTATAGCTGTAAACCTGGGTAATGTAAAGGTTCAGGGACAATATTGTGAAACATGATGATGTTATCAAACGTCAACCCCAACCTGTCATACCCTGCACACATGTCTGTGTCAGGAGATCATCTCCATGTCTTCAGGGGCCCGTTCCTCACAACGATCGTATCGCTAAGATGATAAGTAACTCCCATACTTTAACAGCTCCATGTCTTCAAGTTACGGGTAGTTCATGTACACACTATGAAATATTTTCATTTTTCATTGATTTATCTAGGCCTGTTGAAAATGAAATTTTGAAATTCTAGCTGAAGTTATTTTTTTAGCTTTTGATGCGAAGAAAATCTGTTTTTCTCAGATGTGGAAATCCTCTGAGTGGCAACCCAAGTCTTACCAAGGCCCGTCATCGGCACCATCTCACTCGGTGTGTCAGCCATCTTGAATCCTACTTCAGTCTGGAGCAAGACACAGATATTGTTCTATCTGCACAACAACTTCCAAAAGCAGCTCGGGAACTTGGGAAGATCACTGGGAAGATAACTTCAGAAGATATTTTGGATGTTATTTTTAAAGATTTCTGTATTGGAAAATAAATATTGGAAGTTTCACCCCTTGATACTAATTTAAAGGTCACATAAACCCTAGGGGGTAAAATACATAAATCACTAACTCGCATCGTTATAAATGAAACCTCGTCATTAAAACTACTCATTTCGACCTTTAATTGACTTAAATCGACCTTTTTTGACAACAGTGCACAATTCTCACCCATGAACGAAATTTCAACCAATCAGAGCGGCGCGACTCTGTGACGTCATATGAGGAATAGCTTGGAGGGCCTGTGCAGAATTCATCTACATTTTAGGGGTTAAATTATGTTGTTTACAGGCTTGTATAAACCTGAAATCGTGACAATTGTTGTGGAAAATGAAAGCTATATGTTCTCACAATCTACTGTCATTTAATTTTGTCTCCTGCTTTGCCTAGTTTCCGAGTTACAACTTGTTTTCATAGACGATTCTGTCAAAATCGATTGGTGTCGTTAGGCCCTATTTGTATAATGACTGATCCAAATTGATCCCATTTCTGTGTTTTTTTACCTCGATATTTAATCATGTCATGTAAAAATCTGTTTGTATTCTCAAAACAGTGTCGGCCCATAAGTTTTCACATGCAATACAGCAATTAATACTACACATGTTATTTGTCATCATTCACTTGATGGTCAGTTAATGAATTTATAACAGGTATAATTAGTGGTAACACACTTAAATTACCCGACAAAGGTTCCCATTTGGCATTTCTTGTGTCTGGAGTAAATATTCAACATTATAAACATCGATCAAAGGATTAACCGATAACACGGTGATTGATTAATTACTTTTATCTTACACAGCGGAATTGTCAAAAAGGTAGTGTTTATGTATGTAGATTTACTAATCTATACTGAATACACTCTGTCGTGTCGGTGTCTGCGTAAAAAACAACGTCCTTCTTTCAAAGGATTAACCGGCAATACATTGATTGATTGCCCATTATTGGCTAACTAAATTACTGTTTTTAAAGAAAGGCGGACATTATGCAATTGGTTGCCAGGTGTGCTATCTTGGGTGACCAATGAGACTATACACCAATACCTGAAAAGATTTATCACTTTTTCGTATATTAAACTGTTAAAAGACACATCATTTGGAACAGTTTTGTGGATATTGATGGATATTGTTCCTATAACTTTAATCTGTTTTAATTTTAATATTTGCATTTTGTTTTTATTCATTTGTCGTAGCATTCAACAGAATCATTGTTTTCGCCGTGAAGTGTAATGAGACAGACAACATGCACTAGGGTGTGTGTGCGAATTATGATTCACATTGGCAAACTATAAAATGTCTAGATATTACAGTTCTGTTATAAATTCACCATAAGTATCAGCAGATCGTCTGCTTTTTATTTAGTTTCAAAATGCATACAAGTATGATAATAAACTAATTAGGATTATAAGACCAAATATAAAGACGCACATTGACTAGTATCTACATACTGGTGAGTGGACATTAACCATGGGAATGTAGCAAGAAATTTATCGCACAGTATTGTGACTTCGACCCCCACCTCGCTTCCGTGGAAGAAATCGTTATGTTATAAGTTGTGTCATGCAAAATCCGTTTGGTTATGATTCCAATACATATTTAACTACGAGTAGAAAGTAGTCTTGATTTTCTAACTTGATGAAAACAAACTATAATCTCATTAATTCTAACAGATTTTTTTATTTTTAAAAATGGCGGCGCCCTATCGGGAACATCCGCCAGTCTGAGGATAAATGGTATTTAGGTTTGTTTCCACCGAGTTACAAAATCAAAACTACTTTCTACTGGTAGTAAAATATGTATTTTATTGATGGCCAATAGGATTTTGCATGACAAAGCGTATAACATAACAATTTCTCTCGTGGCAGCGAGGTGGGTGTCAATATAATACTACTTACAATATTATTGTTACTTCGACCACAACCTCACTTCCGAGGAAGAAATCGTTATGTTACAAGTTGTGTCTTAGAAAATCTTTATGGTCATCAATCATATGCATATTTTACTACAACTAGTAAGTAGTTTTGATCCTTTAACTTCCGTGAAGCGATCTGAACACAAGTAAGATATCGTTTCAGGTTTCCACAACGCTCGCTTCGCACTCACAAACATAACCCATTTAGCACGAACTGCGGGGTCCTGTGGAAATCTGTGCATGGGGACACCATCGCCCGACCCCCTAGGAGCAATTGACGACAAAGCAACGATTCGGCATGTCGTCGTTGATGTCGAGAAATCATCAAAATGATGAGCGTGCTACACATTTTCTATACAACTAACTGAAAATCGTTCCTCATATGACGTCACTGCAGTGCTCCGGCGACAGAGTTACGTAACCTGTCTGTGGTTTCGTTGGCGGGCGAGAGGGAAGCAGGCGACTTTTTGGCAACTTTTAATCGCTCGGTATTAAATAACCACAAGTTTTAAAGAATAAATTTGGTGTTCCGCATAAGACTAACCACAAATCTTTCATATGTAATGGTTAAAGAGTAACAAAAACAAAGTTTAGTGGTTCTTTAAGTACTGCTTAGTAACACATCTCATCAGTTCCATTTGTACCTATACTCATTTACATACCTATATGTTTCTACAGCAACTTTCATAACTGCATGAAGGGCATAATTTTATCAGGATTGTTTCTGTAAACAGTAAGATCAATGGTTGGAAAAAAGATACATGTTTGAAAAATAATTACTGAAATTAGTTTGGTTCATTGCCCATTTTGAACGCAGCTAATGCATCTTGTAAATATTGCTGGTTGAGCATGCTGGATGTATTTAAGACACTCAGCAATATTCCAGTCATAACTCGACAGCCTGTAAGTAAGTAACTCTGGGCACTGCAAACATGTGTTGCCTGTATGAACAAAATTCACTGTGATGAAAGTCACAACCCACAATCAGCCATTCAAATCATACATTGTGGCCAGTCAATCCACATTATGTTATTTGTCCACTCTATGACAAGTATGCATTACTGGGAATCTAATCAGCACCCAACCCTCTCGTGTCCAGTGTCAAGGAAAGAGAGGTCACCTGCATTTTGACAACCCAACCAGTCAAGAACAACCACACAAACTGCTCATAGTGTGAGTGAAGACCCTGTTGTCATGACTACACACACGTATATGCATCAGCACAGAATGCACTAAAGCTTGAGGAGGAAGGTGTCCAGTCCCTGTGGTTTATCAAATTTGTTCTTCAAAATAGTCTCGTGTCGACACAGCAAACTTATTGCTACTATTCTGCAGTTTCTGAAGCATGTGGGTTCAACTTGACGACACAACGTTCATTATGCTATGTTAAAATTTATGAGTTTTGCTCAACCGAGCGATATGATGATCATAATGCCATGTTAAACTTTGGGCGTTTTGTTCAACTTGATGGTTGTAAAGTATCTGAGGTAAGGTGAGGTGAAAGCGGATGCTCTAACCACTACACCACGGAGGCGGTCGTAAAGTATCTGAAAGCATAAGAGTTGAGATCATCTGAACTCAAAGACTGCTATGAGGAATAGGATCCAAATCTCAACAAAGAATTCACAGCTTAGCCACTTATCACAAACAGGTCGTTCCACAGTCAGCCATTTTCCAGGATATAACATCCGATCACCAATCCATCCAATAGAATGTATTTGGGACGTGGGTGCTGCTGTATGGAACAAACTTGGTATTACGACTGTCTTCAATCGTTGTTAAAGTATGATAGTTCAGGGGTGGAAATAACCCATTGCCCGATGTCCGAGTCCAGTGGGTTTTTTTTGTATATCACACTGTACCGGTGTCCAGTTGACTTTCCAATGTTAATTATGTTGTTTGTTTTAAAAATCAACAAGAAAACAGCCGGTATAGTGGAAAAATTATCAGGGCAAGTGATTTTACATGTGCCACTGTACCGGAGTACACTAGCAATTTTAAAGTTATTTCCACCCCTGTAGTTAAGATCACCTCAGCACTAAGGTCGTTTTTTTCAATGGCACCCTGGTACTGCCACACTGCAAAGACCCGTGAGGATCCGGGTTAGAATTGATCTTCAGTAACCCATGCTTGTCGTAAGTGGCAACTAACGGCATCTGGTGGTCAGGCATCGCTGACTTTTGACAATATTGTGTAAATAAATGGTCATGCTGTTGATCACTGGATTGTCTGGTCCAGACTCGATTATTTACAAACTGCCCATATCGCTGGAATATTGCTGCAGGCACATTAAACAAAACTCAATCAATCAATCAATTCACAGTGTAAAGAGCTGTGATATTGCTGTAAAACTAAACTCACTAACTCACTCCACGCTGTAAAACATCCAACAAAGCGCATTAACTGGTGTGTATATAACAATTTATTTCCCTCAGTTGTCTTCGCCCACAATGTACAAAATATGTAAACCACATGAACAAACATATATTATGCACATCTGTATAAAACCCACACATATAGGTAATGAAACAACCCCAGTCATGGATACAGCTCTGCTGTCACCTGGCAACCTGTAAAAGAACTGTCAACCAAACTATTTATTCATAATTGAAAAGCTTCAACTTTCCAATATTAACCAGTTTTAATTATTACTGAGATTAGTTACAAACCTTTAATCATCCCAATTACAAACTCTTTCACATTTTGAAACAAAACATACCCTTGACTGGAGAGGATGAGAAACGAATGTGGTTGAAAAATGACATAGGTGATGGTGGACTTCAATAAGTTGTGAAACAAAGCAGATGTTATGTGAACAATGTTGATGGTCTCTGAAAACAAGTACTGTTACAGCACCAAACATAATCTCAAATCATTAAATTATTAATACCAATTTAGAAATGAAGTAAATCCATGACACAATGTCAGTTTTAAACTTCAATAATACCCACTTTGTTTTATAGAAAGCAATCTGCTACATTACTACCAGGTACTATAATGGTGTCTAAGGATATCTAATTAACTAGTCTTATGAATAAAATTGGGTGCTCTTAATGTCTATTGAGTATGATCTGATATGAAGCTTTCAGTCCTATAATGAATGGAAACATGCATCTTACATAAGCCTTATTAACAATTACTGGACAGCACAATTTGGATGAGTGAAAGACTTTCAGTCTATAAATATGATGGAACAAAAAACAACCACATTAATTCAATTTGGAAATTTGGACTGAAGGAGATGGATTTAACAATTTGGTGCCAACGGACACAAAAAAGAGTAGCCCTGACCTTTACACCTTCACACATAGTTGTCACAATTGTAAAATGAAAAGTAAATCCTACAAACTGCAATCGCTTGCATTATCCATGAAAAACAGACATGCTAAAATGTCCCTCCTATGAAGAACACAGAACAACACATTGAAGCTGAGAAACCAGCAGATTCACATGTCATTATCCCCATCGATTCACATGTCACTTTTCCCAACTTATTCACATGTCACATTTCCAAACTGATTCACATGTCACTTTTCCAAACTGATTCACATGCCATTTCCCAACTGATTCACATAAATGTATGTACATGCATAGTGGATCATAATTGTGACAGCATATCTAGTCAGATCATGACTCTGTTCAATATGACAGTGAGGATCATGAGAAAAGAACTGACACACACATATAATACTCACTACCTGGTGCAAGGATTAAGTTTCAGACAATCAGATCAAGATAAATGGAAATAATTACAAAATCAGTCTGAACAATGCTACTGAAAAGTTAAGTTAACTAAAACACACACAATGGACTGCAACATGGGACATTCACAAATTGACAATTGGAAGAGTTACTTCCCTTTATATATTCATCAGCTCTTGAGGATTATCCTTGTTTTGAAACTGTCACACAGCAAAAATACTATTATCCTAACTCTTCTCCACATTTGAGAATTAATTTGTTGACATATTTTAAACCAAACAAATAAATCTACCACATGAGATGTTAAGAACAACGAATTTTTGCCAAGAATATCAAAAAAATTATGATTCAGTTTCATGCTGGGCAGAATACTTTCCCAAAATTCTCAGTTAATCATATCTTTGCCAAAAAAATAACATCACCAGTTTCATTACATTTAATAACCTCTGATAAATATACAGTGGGTAATTTAAAGACACCACTTGTCACACCTCACCAAATAACATAACTATTTTCCAAGACAATTTCAAGGGTTTCAAACTGAGCAAGGCTACTACAAAAGAGTGAAAAGATGTGATTGTATCGTCATTGTCAGGAAAACCATTGACAAATAAACAACATGTCACACCACGTAACTATGTTACCAAGAAAACTCCAAGATAAAGGTTTTACACTGAACAAGTGGCAAGAGATAATCATAGCCTTGTTCAGTTTCCTAATCAGTGGATGATTTTATCACAGTTTCATACACAACAGAATGGTTTCTACTGACATTGTGATGTACATAGTAATATATGAATGTTTGTTCCCAATAGCTCCTGATAAGCTACAAACACACAACACACAAAAACATAACAGAACTAAATATGAAAACATGATAAAATCTGACAAAATAATTCATACAAGGATTTTGTAAATAAATTCATCTATATAAACATGACATACATTACTGAGACCCCTCGTATCAAGATATTATTTTTGTGGTTGCGTTGGACTTTGTTCTGTGCATGATTTCTGTGTTTTGTTCAGCTGACTCAATCTAAAAACTAAACCTAAGAAAATCTGATGAAGAAACAGTAAGTGCAAGTTCTTTCAGCAGCTGAGGTCTTCTCAGGAACCTTACTCCACCCAAGAGAAAATGGGATAAAATTTGAAAGTCACTGGGTATAGTAATCTTAGCTGATATCTTTCTTTCAAAGATAACATCTTTTTTATATTTATTTTGACTTAATGTTTGAAGGTTGCATTCCGCAATATTCTAGCTTTTTGAAGTTTGACTGCAAATATTCAAGTCTGGACCAGACAACTGAGTGATTGATATTGTGTGCAGTGACCCATCAACGTACAAACTTACAGACTCTGATCAGCTGGTCACTTCCTGCGAATAACACTGGTTGCTAAGACCAACACTGGTTGTTAGGAAACCATCCTAAGACAGAATCCCCACAGGGTCTTACCATCAGTGAGTGAGTAAAGTTGAATCCAGATGCAAGCAGCGTTTCAGTTATATCATGGCATGTTAGTTAAATATGAGTAAAGCCTGAAGAGAGGCAGGAGTTAACCACGGGTGAACCATAAATAAGACATGAGTATGGTACGGTACCTAGAAACCATATTTCATATCAAGGTCAAATCGTCATCACATTCTCCGTTGAACCCAGAAAATATCTAAGTTGCCCTTTTGAAAGAGAACAAAGCAATAGAAAGAATTTCTTCACGATAAAATAAACAGAGTACTGCGATCAGGAAGCATTACTTATCATCATCATCATCATCATCATCATCACCATCATCATCATGAAGTGACAGAAGCTGAGGAAGTAACATGCTGAATTTACTACGTCTTACTTGGGAAACAAACCCATGACTGAAGTGCTATGGTTACCACCTGACATGCTGGGCTAGCCTCTTATGAGACCTGTGTCAGAGAGAGCATAACAAGTTACTTGTTACAGTTGTCCTGTCAACAGCTGGACACAAGCACCTGTCATATATCTAAGTCACAACCTAGAATAATGTTTCTGTAAACAATGTTCAGTTAACAAGGCTAAGTGAAACACTGGTCCAAATACTTGTCACAATCGTTCTAATATTTTCTGTAAACCTGCAGTTTTGAATAGTAATAGATCTCTGGCAAATGCCAGTTACTTCTGGACTTCAAAGGCAATATATGTATGTACACGTACATCAGAAAATCACTAAAAAAATATGAATATTTTGTTTTCACTGTTATCACACAGATGAAACGTGAAGTACCATAGCTTTACCGACAACTATACTTTCAATATACAGAAATAATGACATCATTCAGTGTTTGAAATTAAGAGGGGCCAGGCGTCATTAAGGTTTCCTAACGTATGTGAATCTACAGACTCCTAATTCTTTAACTGCTAAGTTCTGGGACCTCTTGACTCTCATGCTTAATTCCAAACACAGAAATTTCCAAAGCAGGTACGACAACATTTTCTCAGCAAGCAGCAATCTGTGCTATTTAGTCTATACAACAACAACCATCCCTCTCAAACACACAACTTCAAAGACACAACATGAATCGTGGAATGTACTGCAGAATAGGAATAGTGTTAATAGTTAACATGGTTAAAGCAATAATCTTTTGCAAAAATGGTTCCATGAATTTATGTTTTGCAAAAATCTTAGGAGGGTAGGGAATGGGACAAAAGGTGAGTGATGCTGACATGATATACTAAATTTCTGATCATTTTTGGTAAAGCAATGAAATTGCATAAGCAACTCATTAAACTACTGATATACTTATTCCATTATACTTTCTTTGAACTGCTACATTATCTTTCCCTTAAAGAAACATTAATAACATCGAAAATTCTAAGATAACAATGCTTTTCTCCCTCCTAAGCATTTTTTACACATTTTTCCATGTTGCAAAGTGAACATGTCAATTGTCCAATGATAAGATATGACTTTCTCAAGGACACAGCAAGCCCCTGGTGAGATTGGAAAGTATATATTTGTGTGAACTCTGATAAGTGCATATGTTGCAGATGGTACTAATAATGGCAATAAGTACATTTAAAGACTGAAAGCTAGTGAATGGAGATTTCAACTTGAAAATGCACCATAAATCCAAATTCAAGGTCCCAATTCACATTGTGATTGTAGCGCTACGACATTCATAACAGTATGCAAAAACTATGGAGTTATGATGTCATAACGCCACAAACACTTTGTGCGATAGTTAAACATTCCTGATGTAGGTATACCTTGTGGCACAACAAACCCGTGCATGCATTAACAGCTGACCATATGGAAAAACCCAATATTCTCAGATACAATAAAATAATCTAAATCTATAGCTGAAAAAAAAAATCAAAAAGCAAAGATACTGTATTGAACTATGGATCCTGCTCCAAACTATCCCTACAGTATAAAAATATTTTCAATGTTAGAGACTTACATCCTTCTCAGGTGTCCATTATTTTCATGTTATTAAATGTCCTTCACTAGATACTTAATACAAAATTCAGCGCTAAATACATTAAATACGGTATCTGTATCCCTGTTAGCTTCCCAAGTGTGTATTTTGCAGAAGTTGAAGCATTACTAAGATGTCTAGTCTCAGCAACATTATCACATTCCCTGAATACTGAAGCAAGCAACATGTCCATCACAAACAGCCAACAACAGACAGCACAAATCGGTCTGCCAGTCTACATGGTCGAGTGACTTCAAATAATACTCTTAAGAATTGATATTTTCAATTTTGCATAATACCAGCTATTCGTTGTTGGATTTCTCTCATGTAACTTGACCACAGCAACATAAATGTTTAGAAAAACACTTCTAAAAGTAAAATGTATAATCAGGTAGTCTTGAATTTTTAAGAATCTTTCAGAAACATGAAGACATGACTTTGCCCTGATTATTGTTTCATAGATAAATGGCATAAATAAACTAAATAAAAAAATTCTTTAAAAACAAAAAAAGCCATCAGATATCTTGCAATAAATATTAAGTGGTCATTAACTAAGTATACTACAGTTTATGTCTATATTCCTTCACTTTCTTCAATCTTGTATGATCCTTCTGGTTTCTTGTCATCAAGTGCCATATTGTCTTTCATACGGTCTATGGCATCTTCTTCCCTCTCTAAATCTGACGGCTCTTTCAGGTCTTCTCTAAGCTGCAGAAAATACAAACATGAAATCATTATTCCAAATGAAGTGTCTCAAAATTCAAAGGTGATATCTTATTGCACCCAATACAGGTTTACCAACCACCACAGACTTTTACCATGTCTGCCTTTAAGGGTCCTTTAGCTCCAGTTTCAACAAGACAGTTGACATTGATTTCGACATCTATTCAATTCAACATTTAGCTACAGATGTGTTGCACTGGAAAAATAATAATAAACAAACTAAGATTAACAATTGGACTTTTGTCTTTAATATGGTGTCATTATGACAGACGATGACCGTGCTAAATGCTTGGTTGTTTCATTCAGAGTAGTTATGTGCATCCTTTCATCCATCAGTCCACATGATCAATGATTCATTCCAGGCTCTAAAGAAATTATCAAAACGTACAGTTCTCTACACCGTTACTTCACCGGAGCCTCACATCACCTCCAGGGACCCCTAAAACTATTAATTGGGGGTCTCTAGGACCCCCATGTTAGCAAGTCGAGGTAAAACCCTGTAGATGTCACAGAAATCTTGTCAAAGCACCCTGTGAAATCAGTGACTGATATTAAGCCCATCCATTCAGTCATATTTCACGACCAGCACAGGTTGGGGGAACCCAATTCTTACCTGAAAACCTATCGTGAAGAAGATCAAAAACAGCATGTTGCACAAAATTGAATTAATCAGAGAGAGCCACAAGGCTCTGAAGCTCACCTCACTATGAAATAAATAATTTTATCACACTTCAACATTATTGGGGCACAAACATCTAGAGTGAGCTTAAGAAAAATCACTGCCAAAGATAGTAACATCTCACAATTGATAATTGGTTCATTACAATTGATCAATCATCGAAAATAATTGGTTAGTGTCATTTATCAAATTATCCTGGTTATGTTTGTTAATGCACAAAAATATAGAAAAAAGCGTGTAGTTCTTTCAGGTTGTTTTTGCAAATTGCACAAAATGCATTTACAAATTTCACATCTTAAAGGATGACTAGAATGGTATGATCCTAAATTTCATGGATAATTCAATAATGACAAGGAATGAGCTTGTAGTGCTTGTGAAATGTAACAGACAAAACCAACCTTGTGAAAAAATGGTAGTTAATGCAAACAAGTGTCCAAAATTGTTTGTGTTCGATTATGAGAAAACATGATCGATTGTTTGGTTGTTTAGTCTTTGCGACCAATCTTCGACTATTTCAATTAATCGGACCACCACTAGTTGAAACAAAATAATGTTTAAAATATCACTTCCAACAATGGCACTGACTGCTGAGAGTCATGCCTAGAACAAAATTTGTAAAACAAGTTAGGTCCCAAATTTCAATTAATACTGAAGGCATACTGTCATAACAATGGCTTTCAATGGGTCTTAAAAATATGGTCTCCATAGTGTCCATGTTTAGAATCAGATTATTGTGCACCATTACTAAGATCACTCATGCTAAGTGTCATCTTCATGCTCCTTGTAGTTTCAGGAGAAATGTCACAAACACAGAAGCTAATGATGGATGAACAACCATGACAAGCGCTCACTTGACTTTTGATCAGGTGAACCAAAAATTGAAAAGATTCCTATTCACAATCCATGTCCCATTGCATACAAGTAAGTAAATGACATTTACAAACCCACAAACCATAATCGTACTACAATAAAACTAACAGGGCAGTACCAATGGTGGCTCAAACAAATGCACAAAAAGGGGGAAGCCATGAACCAATAACAGTTGTGTGAATGAGGTTCACCCAATCATCAAACATGGTGAAATGTGATCCTCATACTGGACGAAAGTAACAATCGTCTTACTGGAGTGATGCCAAATATGTACCTATAAAGCTCCCTAAACGAATTGGGCAATAACGGGCATACCACTTTATAGTTGGGCGACAACGACTGACTGACTGACTGAGTTTGGTTTTACGCCGCTTTTAGCAATATTCCAGCAACATCATGGCGGGGGACACCAGAAATGGGCTTCACACATTGCACCCATGTGGGGATTCGAACCCGGGGTCTTCTGCATGACGAGCCAACGCTTTAACCACTAGGCTACCCCACCACCTCGGGCGACAACAAATCACTACAAGGCAACAATGATACACATCACTTATACTGAGTAACGAAAACAATAACAAGTGTGATTTTGATGTATTATCCATTACATTCAGTGAAACAGTAACCAAATAGATATTTGACCATGTCGACAGTGTTAATTTATCACGACAATGGCCAATGAGCAGATTACTGTTAAATTAAATATATACGAGTTTTGGTTATTATCCTGCCTAGATTGGATATATCCCATTTTAATATATAACACCCAGATGCAAGTACAGTCTTTTTAAAATAAATTCATGAATATTCTCTTCTAGTGTAACTAATCTAATTCGTACAGAAATATGGTTGGATTCAGCGAATACGCAGGTGTATCAATACAGCCCCACAACTTTGAGCAAGTCTCTTATTGCTAATGTCAGTGCTTCGAAGTGAAAATGTTGTAAATATGATATGAATGTTCAAATTAACAGTGAACAATTCAACATCGCAATGTTACCACTACAACTTCTAGTATGTTAAATTATAAGAGTTAGAATTACCTTAGTGCTGAGATGACTTTGTGAAATCAGACTAGGGACATCTTTCCACAAAGTCATCTGCTATGAATCTCTTAAACTTATGTCAGCCATGGGAGTTATGATCATCTTGGCACTAAGTGAGTGAATTCGGTTTTAAGCCACTTTCAGCAATATTCCAGCAATATCATGACACCAGATATGGGCTTCATACATTGTACCCATGTAGGTAAACTTACATCAAGCTATGGGAGTTATGATCATCTTGACACCAAGATGATTGTAAACCTACATCAAGCTATGGGAGTTATGATCACCTTGACACCAAGATGATTGTAAACCTACATCAAGCTATGGGAGTTATGATCACCTTGACACCAAGATGATTGTAAACCTATGTCAAGCTATGGGAGTTATGATCATCTTGACACAAAGATGATTGTAAACCTATGTCAAGCTATGGGAGTTATGATCATCTTGGCACCAAGATGATTGTAAACCTATGTCAAGCTATGGGAGTTATGATCATCTTGGCACCAAGATGATTGTAAACCTATGTCAAGATATGGGAGTTATGATCATCTTGGCACCAAGATGATTGTAAATATGTAATCATCTTATGTCAACCCTATGGGAGTTATGATCATCTTGGCACCAAGATGATTGTAAACCTATGTCAAGATGGGAGTTATGATCATCTTGGCACCAAGATGATTGTAAACCTATGTCAAGATATGGGAGTTATGATCATCTTGACACCAAGATGATTGTAAACCTATGTCAAGCTATGGGAGTTATGATCATCTTGGCACCAAGATGATTGTAAACCTATGTCAACCTATGGGAGTTATGATCATCTTGACACCAAGATGATTGTAAACCTACATCAAGCTATGGGAGTTATGATCATCTTGACACCAAGATGATTGTAAACCTATATCAAGCTTTGTGAGTTTTGTCAAGCTATGAACATCTTAGCAATAAATTTGTCTTTTTTGAAGAAGACTGCTTCCCACACTCTCCTTCAATGGAATGATTTACAAGCTCTGCCATAAACCAAACAAAACCCTGCACCAAACAGCTAAACTAGTATGTTTACCTCAATTATTTTTTCTGCTGGAAGAAAAACACGCAAAACAAAACATACATTAAACTGTACAAGAATAGGTTGCAAAAACAAATGCTGTTTCAAAGCACTTAATGTTTAACAAACAAAAACAAACATGAGGTATATATTTGCTGCTTTATATAATCAAGGAGAATGTAGCTGAGGTGAACTTTCCATGTCTCCAGGGTATTTAATTTGGTATAAATATAAGGATCATGAACAAAAAATATCATACAAAATACTCCTGATTGTCATTTTTGTGTGATGCATATACTATAGTTGTTATCCAATATGTATAAAGTATGTCTGAGTTACAACTACAACAATAGCTTGGTTTTACATTGGTATAAAATTGCATGATTGTCAAAAGAAACCATCAAATTTTGTCTGTGTTTAGAACTGGAAGAAAAGTCATCCAAAAATGACAAATGCCCCTAGTGACCAAAGTACACAAGGCAGACCTGTCAAATTGATGAGACTTTATTTCTGAAATCAAACTGCAACTCTGAGTCAGATCTCTGTAACAACCTGTCACATTACTCTCGGCTGTGTTTGATGACAAACAGCTTCAAGAAACACACATAACTTCAAGTTGTAATGTCCCATTAGGCTAGATTTTTATACACCACCTATAATCCTTGAACAAACATGGAAAGTTCAGTTACAACTCACACCCTTCCTTGTTGGTTAGCAAAAACAGGACACATGTATAGCTGAACAGGGCTACAGATAAGAGGCGCACAGGCGTAATGTACGCCTCAAAATCAATGAAGTACGACATAATATAAGATTTCAAGCGTATCGGGTTAATAAATAAAATAAATACCTTTTAATGTCGCGTCTCGGATCGTGCAAATGGAAATCTATTTCGGATAAATACTTGTCAAATTTATTTTGCGAAACACGATTTGACACATGAGGAAACCCTGACAGTAGGAATCACTTGCGTTGCCAAGCAACGATATGCATCACTATTTTTCGATTGGCTAAAACTACACTGTTCCTATTTATATCCAGTCGGACCTGACATTTCGCGCATCACACGGTCGCTCAGTTATTTCTGCCCGCGTCTTCAAATACAAATACATGGTTGGAAATAGTGATCGATGAAACGTCCAGACAAACATCACCAACTCGCTCACACAAAAACATGTCAGTACTCCTTCAAAATTATCAGTACACCTCCACTTGCAATATGATGTGTAAGTACACTCGCACCCCAAAAGTTATCTGGAGCCCTGGCTGAAATTCATGACAGATCAATGCCTGGTGATAGCTCACACTGCAAACTGCTCACTGTCCAGAGACAGCCATATACTTACAGGTTCAAACTTGAGTTTATCGTCACCCTCTTTGTGAGCTTCCTGCAAGTCAACGGAGATCAGTTAATACATGTTTTACAAACATCACATTGCTCATTTGCACAAATTAAACACATAATGTGGCTTCACACATTATACAGCTGTTTATGTTTGTAATAAGTAGAAGAATGACTTAAATGCACCCTTGCTGATACAAAGTACCCAAGCTGTCACCATCAACTTGAAACCTTGATACTTCAAACCACCATAGTCATTACCAAGGTCAGTGTAAAACATTATGGATTATTCCCCTTTATATTAATTCAGATATTGAGTCCTTGATAACATTAACTTCTTCAACAAATTGATCCGAGTGATTTGAGAATATAATTGTGCCATTAATCACACTATCCATGAACCAAGATATTGTAAGTACTGTACATGTGTGTACACAATTTCTCTCTCTTGATATCCAAATGATATACATAGGTTCATTTGGTATTTCAGTTTGGTGTATTTATTATTGGTTAAATAATAAAGATAATGTGTCATGGTTAAAAAGTTTACCTTTAACATGTTAAACAAAATACAAGCAAAGCATCGCTCATAATTTTAGTATTTATCTCATCTTGGAGTTTGACCGTTTTGAATCCTTTTTTATAATGCAGCACTTCAAAATATCCTAGAAACATCAGGACAGCCTATAAGGTAATGTCTGGGCCAGTCAAACTAGCGATTGGTAATATGAATGCCAAATGCCATCAGATATCAGATCGATGCCATGCAACCAAGGCACCAAGCCTGACCACCCAATCCCCTGGTACAGATATGAATATGAAGTTAGGGTCGTAGACCAGCTGCCCCATGGGGACGAAAGAATCAGAACAAAGAATTAACATTAAAACAAGTCTGTTGCATTTTCAAAAGCTGATGTCATTAATGCCTACCTACTTGAAGTGAAGCAAATTTGAAGATTTTCCTGTCAAACAAGTTTGATTTGTTTGTTATATAACATCACACACACACCAATATTCAAGCTATATGGCGGTGTAAATAATTGCTTCTGAACCAGGCAATCCAGTGATTGACTATCATGAACATAAATTATGGAAACGATAATATGCATCAACGGCGAACCTGACAACCTGATCCTGTTAAAGGCTTAGACAAGCGCGGGTTGCTGAAGACCGAAAACTGTGATGTAACAGGATATACTGTTAAACAGAATAACACCCAACTCACTCACTCACCCACTAAGCCAGGTCATGAGGACAGCAATGGCTGAACAGTTAGTCCCCATACAGTAAGGTAACAACACCATAACCTAGTATAAGCTTGCTTATACCAGGAATACTGTCACAGAGAACTACTCGGCACCTAGAAGAAGATGGTACAGATCTAAGCCAACTGTCAACAGCACCTACATGTACATTCTAGTGCACCTCAACACATCAGCATATTCTACACTATGTGACCTGATGTATTCTAAGCATGTGTACTCTTGCAGAAATACATGGCAGCATAAGCTACATTAAGGCAGAGCAATGTATGTGTCTGTTAACGATACATTTTCCTTAATTCACGGGGCTACAAATAATATCATAGTGTTGTGATAATCAAATAAATACAAATTTAGTTCAATGAATTTGAGCTGAAGTGTCTGTTATGTTTAATAGTTAGTTACCCTTTACCTGTGAAAATTTTGGATATACGAATTGTGTGAGGTAGCCTGTATTGTTATTTTTGCACAGGGATCAAAGACCTAGAACACTTGCCAAACTGAGACAACCTCAATTTGACACACAAATTCCTTTTGCTACAATCTTTAAAAAATTGACAATTTTTGCTATGAGTCTTTCATTCTACAATACATTATTAAAATTCAAGTAAATAATTTCATTATTGATGGAAATTTGGTACCCACTTTTGAAATATCACCACTTATGCGAACCAGTTTCATGAGTTCTTGATAAAAATCATAAATTTGGTAAATTGGGATACAATCACATGTGTCAAACAAGTCAACGAGCCCATTAATTGCCTCTTACAAGAAGCACGGGTTACTGAAGACCAATTCTTCACAGGTCGTATTTGTGACAACTCCATACAATCATTACATAAAGATCTATAAATCAATACACATTCGCAAGGTGAAAAGGTTACATTATGTAATAAGGATATATTTTGGATATTTTATCTAAATATGCAGGTGATCTGGAGCAATGTTACACAAAAGTCCAGAATGATCTGTGCTCTATGCAAAGCGAGGTGAAAGCTAAATATGCAGGACTGGCATACTGTACTGGTAATAATACCTCCTCGCAAGTCATCAAAACCTTCAGTCATCTTGCCATCGACCTCCTCACGATCAAAGACAATGTTGTCTCCATCACCAACTAGCAAAGGAATTGGGTGGCCTCTCCAATCAATCATAGGGGTGGCAGGGTGCAAAGGATCTTCCTAGATGGTACCAGTTTGGTTGGGTAGGTAGGAATGAGCAAGGAATTGGCAAGTCAGGGGGAGTAAAGAAAACTCAAAATTCAAGGCTATCCAACTCTCCCATACCCTCCTCCCCACACCTTTGCCACCTATTCTCTCTCCCTACCCCCTTTATAACTGGCAGCATTTATTTATGTCACCAACAACCAAAGTAGATAGATTGGAATGACCTAGGAACCAGCAGGGTCCTGTTTCACAAAGACATCTTAGCACTACAACTGTAGTAAGTCTAAAGCATGGAAGTTGCAATCACCTTAGCGTTACGATCGCTTTGTGGAATCTCGAAACGTTCGTAGCCCTAAAAATTCTTAACTTTGATCATACCAAATGTGTTAAGAATGTGCTTAAGAAGTTCGTAGGGCTACGAACGTTTCGAGAATAGCTAGCCTGGTGTGTAACAGTGTCACACATGACCAAGCAAACCACCATCCTGATATTTGCACATCAATATTTTGTATGATTCGGGCACATTCTAGTTAAAGACACAGGGGCTCCATTGCACAAAGTATTCTCAGCACTACAAGCCTTTGTTGATCTTTGGTAGTTATGATCATCTTAGTTTTGAGACAACTTTGTGTAACAGGTCCAGGCATATATCTCTGGTCACTTAAGGAAAATCTGATGCAAGTTAGCAACTATAAACAGCGCAATTACAAAAAGACAATCAGCAGAGGCTTTGGTCACATATATAAAAGGACATGTGATTAATTTCAGGTGATTTACTTGTGATTGGGTTTGACAAGAATAATTCCAGTCTCTTTAGCAGTGGTAAAACTCATGTATCAATTTTCAAAAGCTTTTCAAGGTTTATATTGAGAGATTGTAAAGACAGGCCTTGACCTTCAAGGCATTTTCAAAAAATGATCAACAGCATGAGGAACTGCCACATTAACGTGAACAGGAACTCAATTAATAACAGAATCATGTCCTACCTGGTTAGCAGGGTCCTTGTCACCTGAAACACAAACAGAAATCATTTCAGAAACAAGTCATCCTGCCGTAACGTGGATCATGGTCATCAGCTTCCAAGGATACACTTGATTGCCAATTACAATTTTACTTTCATCATAATATTCAGTCATACCAAGCTTGTTCCATGTATGCATTATCTTCTGCAACATTATTTTATCATGCTTACCAAACACAGTATCAACACTGATTCTTACATCATTAAAACATTAACACTTATTCTAGGTGTTAGTTTACTATGGCAGAAACTATGCCCACAGAGTACCTACTGTCAACTTCAGACATATTGATGTTTGAATCATCTGATTCTACAAGTTATCTGGATTCATGACAGTGCGTGATTGAGTCAGATTTTTTAAAAGTATTTCAGCAGTGTTGCAGCGTGTCGGCTTGGTACTGGAGAAAAGACTGAAGTGATGCACATTTACCATTATGGTGAAACCCAAGTTCAGTATGGTGCTGTAAAACTTGTCCAAACTGGGATTTGAGCCCTTGATCAAATGATTACAGTTTCAGTATGTCTGGCATTGACAGCAATACCAGATGTGGTCTATTTCACAACAATTTCATTACAATCAGATCTCAGTTTCTGCTACAGCTCCACAAAAATCTACCCTCAGAGGTAATGTCAGAACAAACTTTCACAAACATTTACAAACCTATGAAATAGCAAAATCAGCCAATCAGAAATCAGCTTCTTCAAGCTTTAAAGCACCAGTTTCAAACTGCTGACTTCCATTCTAGACTATGAAAAAGAAAGTTCTGGATTGTCTAATATTTGGACAAGATTGTGAAATGTCCTTCACTTCAAAAGTTCATCCCCTTGATGTGAAGACATACAATGTCTGTCAAGGAGGGAATAACAGCAATTATAAACCTCCAGTGACGTCACACTATTGTCTCACCAGGTTCTTCTTTTACCGAGTAAACCTCTACCGGCTGTTTCATGGGAATTCTCCAAGATATCCCGTGGATTTTCACTGAATTCGATTGTAAAATATCTCATTATTGAAAATGTCCAATATATACTTCCGATACCTGGTTTCAAACCCGCAACCCTTCGCTTACTAGCTTGGCGGTTTTATCCACTAGGCTACGACGGTTCGCTGTGAAGAATGAGATTGTTTGTCAGCATGAACCCCTGTGTTCCTCACAAGATGGGTAGCGAGAGCAGAGTACATGCATTGCGCGTGCAAGGCAAGGTGTCGGCTGCCAGTCGCATCCCAGTTTCCACAGTAAATACCAAATATCAAAATTATATCTAAAATACATCTTTGGTCGGTTCATAACTTGCATCAAAACCTCCTCCTTGGTTTTGTTTGAAAAAGTAAGCCTTGGCTTATCGGCCCTCCCCAATTTCCCTCTGCCGCAGGCTTACTGTTTCAAACAATACCTCGGAGACGACTTTGATCCTTTACTTATACCCTGCAATATTTCGGGTGAGGTTGAATCATTAGAAGATGCATTCTGACAGTCATATTCCCAATCTGGAAAGGGACCTCTGACTGCCCGGACAAAAGGTCATTCTGACATTACCGTTGACGTCCTTCTAACTTTGTTAGCAGTAGTGACAAGTAAGATCTGATTTTGTTGAGATTGCAAACCTAATAAATATTCTATTTATAAACTAAGGCAGTGTTACATATAAAATACAGTCATAAAAAAGGGACAACAAGATAGTTTCAAATAAGACAAAACAGTGCACAAACAATGTCACTGTACAAAGATCATAAAGATAAAGAACAAACAGATTTTGAAAATGGACATGTCTGTCTCCTTGATAATTCAATGGGTCCAAACAATCATAGTGAAAAAACAACATATAACAACCACATTAATCACTGCGATGATAAAAAAAAGTGCAAATTTAAAAGAGTAGTCTGTTGAAAATGTTTATAAATAATTAATATTATATAATATGAATTTTCAGTATAAGAATATGAAGAAATCAACTGATCAAATCTATTATCACTGATGATTATCAATTGAAAATGAAGCTGAATTGGTTAGGAAAGCTGAATCTGGATTAGGCAACTCTGCTCTTTAAATAATGATAAAGCAGTTCATGTTAACATAGACTTCACCTGATATGATCATCAAATTCTGTATATGTGAGTGAGTGAGTGAGTTTATAAATACTGTTATACAAGCTGAAACACTTTATACAGTTGATAGTGATGAAGCAGTAACTCAATGTGCCTTTGTTTTGTCTGTACATGTAGAAGGGGTGGGTGGGGGGTATATGGGGGAGTGGGGAGTGGGGTAGAGGTTAGGTTTGGGTGTGGATGTCTGGACAATTAGTGCTAATCCATTGAGACAGCTTGTCTGTACATGTGGGAGGGTGGGGGTGTATGGGAGAAGGTAGAGGTTGGTTTGGGTGTGGGTGTCTGGACAATTAGTGCTAATCCATTGAGACAGCTTGTCTGTACATGTGGGAGGGGGTGGGGGTGTATGGGAGAGTGGGGGTGTTGGTGGGGTAGAGGTTAGGTTTGGGTGTGGATGTCTGGACAATTAGTGCTAATCCATTGAGACAGCTTGTCTGTACATGTGGGAGGGGTGGGGGTGTATGGGAGAGTGGGGGTGTTGGTGAGGTAGAGGTTAGGTTTGGGTGTGGGTGTCTGGACAGATTAGTGCTAATCCATTGAGACAGCTTGTCTGTACATACTTCATGTATGGGAGAGTGGGGGTGTTGGTTGTAGAGTTAGGTTTGGGTGTGGGTGTCTGGACAATTAGTGCTAATCCATTGAGACAGCTTGTCTGTACATGTGGGAGGGGGGTGGGGGGTGTATGGGAGAGTGGGGGTGTTGGTGAGGTAGTGGTTAAGTTTGGGTGTGGGTGTCTGGACCACAGACCTGGTTGCAAGTAACACCTTGTGGTATAATTGAGCCTATTACCTACTTCATCCACAAGACCATAGACTTGGTTGCAAGTCTTTAGATCTCAAAGGTCAATTTCAGACAGTGGCAATGCCAAATTGTAGTACCTTAAGATGCATTGTATTACGATTTTTCAACAAATGTCCAAAAGGGAGATTGTTGGTACAAGTCCTGTCAATGTACCTATTTTACATGAATGCAGCTGTCCTTCGATGTCATAACACTTCTCCATATATGGCCAATAATGATGTGTACTTTGTCAGTACATATAAAATCCACACAAATCCTTTACCATGATGATGAAAAAATACTCACACAAAACATTGTTAAATAAGGTATTAAAAACAACATTCATCAGAAATGTTCTAAGCTGAGAAACAGCATGTGACGCTACAAGCAGAACCAGAGATGACGTACTTGAAAAGGGAGGTGCCAAATGTTTCACAAAATCCAGGATAGGGTGTGTATCACATAAATTTGTAATAACTATTCAAAAAGTGCCAAAGATAACTTATCTAAATATCAGTAACAGATGTGTGATGCTTTCTGATCCATGACCTTCAAGAATTGTTTGACCATAAGTCATCTGTAATCGATGTACTTACTGAATATTACATGTATACTACACTGTCAAGATACACCCTATCCTGGTCACTGTTACCTACCTTCAACCAGAGGTAATGAAAGAGTGTCAGCTAATATCTTTTAGAGCCCCACCTAGCTTACCATTATTGGCCATATCAACCCTCTTCAGCTTGTTTCAAAGCGTCTTTGTCTTTCCCGTTCTGTAAAGGGTCTTGACCTTGTTTCGGTCTTTTACTCCATTTCCATTGTCATCTGCATCAGGTCCCTTGCCGTCGTTTTTGGAAGCACCATTTGTGCCAGTCTTACTTTTTTCAGTCTCCTTGAGTTTCTCAGAGCCTCTGATATCTGCTGGAGACTCTTTGCCTTCTTCCGCTGGTCCTTGCTTGGGTTTACCAGTTGTTGTCGTGGTTACTCCAGCTTTGGTAGTTTCAGTCTTGTTGAATCTCACAGTTTGATTGGAATCTGTTTCTAAGCTCTTAACCTTTGTAAGAAACCTCTTAGCATTTGTAAGTAACCCATTCAACAGGCCTCCATTTGATGCTTCTCCAGTCTTGTTGGTATCTTTGCTCTCCTGCACACCACTGGTGGTTACATTTGATTCCTTTGCAAGTGCTATTCTATCAGATTTTCCATCAATACTTGGCACCTCCCTATTGCCCTGCTCATGCATGGTACTACTATTTACACTGGCAGACACACCTACAGCATGCTCGGAGTTACCTCCCTTCCCTTTTAACCCAACAACATTCTGCTGACCTTGATTTCCATCCTGATTCAAGTTAGGTTGCTGAACAACATTGAGTCCCTGCTGAGGTTGATCGGCAGGATTCTGGGGTGCTTGTTGATCAGGTTTAAGGGGTGGTTGATCGGCACCATTCTGGGGTGGCTGTAGATTGGCAGGGTTCTGTGGCTGTTGCTGATCAGCAGGAATTTGTAGCTGTTGCTGATTGGCAGGATTCTGTGGCTGTTGCTGATCAGCAGGATTCTGTGGTGGATTTAGCACTTGTGGCTGTCCAGCAAGGTTCTGACCAGGCTGGTTCTCTCCTGCAGGGTTCTGTCCAGCAGGGTTCTGACCAGGCTGGTTCTCTCCAGCAGGGTTCTGTCCAGCAAGGTTCTGTCCAGCAGGGTTCTGACCAGGCTGGTTCTCTCCTGCAGAGTTCTGTCCAGCAAGGTTCTGTCCAGCAGGGTTCTGTCCAGCAGGGTTCTGTCCCTGGTTGTACGGTGGCTGTTGATCACCATTCTGTGGCTGGCCTGCTTCAGCAGGGCTGCAAAGGTAAGCATGAAATAGTGAGTGTGAGAGTTTAACATCATTAACAACAGTGGTTCACATTTATTACCATTTAATGTTATGATGGCGATACAGATGTGCAAGATAGCAAGCTTTGGCAAATTCTGTATTGCACTCGATATCTGTATTGCATGGCTGCCAGATCTACTTTTTCAAATGCTCAACAACACTAGGATCCTTCCGTAAACATGCATATTTAAGCATTATTCAAGTCATGGGTTTTCCCATTTTAACAAGATCTATAATTTTGAAGTTGTCTTGTGTCTACTCATTTCTCTCCTAAGATAACATCTTCTCGTTCAATACATAAAGACATTCTTTACATAAACCAACGCTTGTCAACTTGATGTAAGAGCAAAGACCAAACAGATGCAGAACATTCCACAAGATTCCACAAAACTCACTTAGAATCAGTTGCAAATAAATTATTCAAAATATGGTTACAACTGTTGTAGGGATTTAAAATGAACATTTTAATTTTATGTACCCAAAGGAGGATCTCTATGAAAAAGAATTCATATTCCCAAATATGTGAGATTGGTTTCATGCCACTCTGAATAGAACTTCAGTCATATCACCATATCAGTTCATTATGCCACAAGTGATGCAGGCCGTAGACACACCCACCCAAGACATTTAAACAGAAGTGCTACAACACTGACATCAGCTACATGTATTTGGTGATAATGTTGATGTCTTGAATTATAGTCAAATATATCACGACCGCATCATACCAAAAACGTTAAAATATGGTACTTGTTGGTCCCTGCCTGGCGCTCGGCATAATTGGGTACAACAAGGACTGGTCGGCTCGGAGTCAGTATACTGTGTCTGAGTGGGATATTCATGCTTCACTGCGGCATGGTATCTCAGTGAGCTAGCACTATAAAACCAGCTTAAATCTGGGCTAGTACAAGCAGCCGCACATACACATACACACGCATGCACGTCGTCATATGAGCGAAATATTCTCAAGCAAGACGTTAAACCAAATTTCACCTCACCTCACCTCAAATATATCACACACAAAAACACAGCAAAAGGAAAATGAATCGTGTTTACTACTAAAGGTTGGTTCAGTTGGTTGGTGTATTGTTTAATGCCGCACTCAGCAATATTCCAGCTATATGGCGGTGGTCTGTAAATAATCAAGTCTGGGCCAGACAATCCAGTAATCAATAACGATCCAGCGATCTACACAATTGGGACACGTGTCAACCAAGTCAACAAGTCACGGGCTGCTGAAGAACAATGTTTACTACTAAAGAAAAGAGTAAATAACAAAATCAAGGACAGGCTGAAACAATGAACACCCAGCACTGACAGGGTAGTGGGAACTAATTAGAACCAGGATCCACTACAGACCAAATAACAATGCAAGTCGTTTTCTCTTGTTCGTTCATGCAAAGTGATATGATGTCATTTCTTACCACCAGAAAAAAAGTTTCACAAAAGTGTAACCTTCAGTTAAGCTGAGCCCTTTCTACAGACAGATTTTTTTATCCTCAAAACTCGGCCTATCCACAATCATTTCTGAATTCTGCATTTCTTAAAGGAGGGGGTAGTGGAAGTTGTCAAGTAATCCTCACCAACCTTCCTACAATTTAACTACTATTAGTCTTGTGACAAACACTGGAACTAGAAGGGGCCTGTACTGACCAAGGAATCTCTGTGAACCAAAGAGTCTCCCATTACGATACAATATGTTTACAAAACTTGTTAACTGCCACAGGTGAAAGACTCACATAAACTTGTTGGCGTCGATGCCGCTGTTCTGAAGTGTGCCAATGATCTGCTGCCTGCCCAAACTGTTCACCAGCACAGTCAGAATGTTCTTGATAGGTTCTTCACAGGCACTGAAAACAAACAACAACATAAGCGAGAGATGAGTTTCAGCTTTACGTTGCTTTTAGCAATATTCCACCGGTGGACACCAGAAATGGGCTTCACATATTGTACCCATGTGGGAATCGAACCCAGGTCTTCGGCGTGACAAGTGAACGCTGTAACCACTAGGCTACCCCACCGACCCACAACAACATAAAGAATACAGTTAGTCTCACTTTCAGTTTCAGTCACTCTTTATCTTGGTTTACCAAGCATAGAAATTAAATACACTAACTAAAAGTACAACCTAAACAAAGGCTGATCATGTACAGAACTCAAAATACATGAAAGAAAAAGTGATTCTTCCATTACTTTAGTTATCAGTGAGTGAGTACGGTTTTATGCTGCTCTTAGCAGTAGACGAGGGATCTGATTTCGGATCCGAAGTTCTGGGGATCAAATCCCAGTACTGGACTAGATTCCAGCAATTTTATTGCCCCTTGATTGGCACCCAACATTGGGCTGAGCATGCATGCAACTATGAAGCCCATGACGTATGTAGCAGGGTGTGACATCATCTCACAAAAGACATCTGTACCATGTCAGCTTGCTGATGGGGTTAACCTCTTTTGTCATGCAGACAAGGCATCCGGAATAAAAGGTCATGGTTCGAATACCATCACAGGACATTACATTGTCCCTACATCAATATCTGGCATTGTGCTTTCTTAGAGTTAGAATCACTTATGTACATTTAAAGCATTGAGTCTATGATGCTATAGATCCTTTAGCTGGTTCACAGTCCATGTTAACTGATTGGCAACTCCCATGCTAGAACTATTAGCATGATCTTATGTGCTGGTGAGTAATGGTGGACCAGAACACTATAGTTGTGTACTTTAGTCGAGAATCTTTATTGAGTTAAATGTCAATTTGTCAAAACTGTTCAGCTGTTACTATATATCTTGGCTAATCCTCCCTATTGAATTTCTTGAGACAAAGTTTCTGAGATAATTAAACTACTCTGAATGGCATTTAGAAGCTGATATGATGAACAGGAATGGGTTTTTTTTATGGACTGACAACTTCTTTATTGCAATGGCTGCTATGTTTTGGTGCAGATGCTAACACTGTTATCAAGCAAGTGATGTGTATGGTATGTACAGCCAGTGATAGTCATGTAACACATGTTATATTTAGGATTACACTTTCCCAGTAAAGTACTGATTCCAGTACTTTTGTTGATCCGGGTCCTGTCCGGGAATTGAACCCACACTCTCAAAGTCAGGCATATAATCGCCAGCACACAAAGTCAGCCATCTAACCCACTCAGCCACCAGTGTCCCATCCAGGATTTTCACGGCGCTTTTTATTCCAGAACCCACACCCTCAGCGACAGGCACCTACTAGAATCTGAACTTGACTGACAAGCGTAATCCAAAAACATGTTTCATTTGATTTGACCACTTTCTAAATGGCACGGTGTATTCAGTGATAGTCATATTCAACTTGGTTCAGGCTTGTGGTTAATAGGGCTGATTAATACAGATAATTGGAAATATCAAAGAGAAGACTTATTGAATATTGATATAAGAATTGTCTCATTAATAGAATCACACAGAACTCTTTGTGATGCATGTTAATTTATATGAATATAGTAATTTTGTATTTTCACATACCACTGTTGGTGGTGGTTCGAGAAATAAATTGAATAATTTTAATTTACCGACTTACACACAAAACTATGCTTCTATTCATGGGCTGCTGCTACAATATCTGGTTACCCTTGCATAAATGTTTCACCACTCATTAGTGAAGCATTGATTTCTTTCACACAGTTACTAAGTGAGTCAACATTAATACCAGAACCATATGGACTCCATTCTGTCTACCATATCTAAAAATGTCACAGGGAGTGTAGCATGAAGGTCACTGTTTGAGACACAATACCACATCAATATGAGGCAGAAAGTTTGCTATACACAATTGATTACCAATGTCCTCTGGCAACAGATGGGGCATGACAGATGGACAGCTCAGGGCAACATTGATTCTGGCTTCAGTGGCTTAGAGACAAAATTTGCCTCTGCACAAAATTATCACACCCTTCCAAGAGCTTCAAGTTAACAACTTTCTCTGAAATCATCATTTTTCTTGCACTCATGATTCAACCTTGCAGTAAACCCTCAGATGGATTTAAGTCATCCCATTGTATCATGTATATTGTTTCACTCTCTGACTTTCCAAAGTGACTATGATTATCCATAGATTCAATTCTTCAATTACTTAATATACAGGGCGGTGGTATTAGCCCAATGGTTAAAGTGTTCGCTGGTCATGCCGAAGACCCGGTTCGATTCCCCACATTGGTACATGTGTGAAGCCCATTTCTGGTGTCCCCCGCTGTGATATTGCTGGAATATTGCTAAAAGCGGCATAAACCATACTCACTCACTCACTTGATATCCACGTGACTTTCTAACATACTGGATACAAATGTTCCAAGCAACTGATAAATTGTTAAGCATAATTTAGATTTCCAGGACTAATGGAAAGTGTCCGTCTTGACTATGAAAGTAAAATGTGTTTAAATAAAGGGATTACTCACACAGTAGCTAGATGTTGATTTTGTTATTTAGTTAACGAGACCAAAACAAACTATGCCAGAATCATGTGTTGTACTAAAGGTCAAACTGAAGTCAGAAGAGTAGGTGAGTGAGTTTAGTTTTATGCCTCTTTTAGCAATATTTCAGCAATATCATGGCGTGGAACACCAGAAATTGGGCTTCACACAATGTACCTATGCAGGGATTCGTATCCGGTTCTTTGATGTGATAGCGAACGCTTTAAGCACTAGGCTACCCCACTGCCTTGAAAGTCAGAAGAATCTGAGACAACAGCGTGAAGAACTACACAAGTTGTCCTCATGCTTCAGGTCTGATCTAAATCCACTCTATAATGTTATGTGGTAAATCAACCTCATGATGGCCATCATTCATACTGGGATGCCCACCCTACCTACCACCACCCAGCAGTTGGGATGCCCACCCTACCTACCACCACCCAGCAGTTGGGATGCCCACCCTACCTAACACCACCCAGCAGTTGGGATGCCCACCCCCTACCTACCACCACCCAGCGGTTGGGATGCCCACCCTACCTACCACCACCCAGCAGTTGGGATGCCCACCCTACCTACCACCACCCAGCAGTTGGGATGCCCACCCTACCTAACACCACCCAGCAGTTGGGATGCCCACCCTACCTAACACCACCCAGCAGTTGGGATGCCCACCCTACCTAACACCACCCAGCGGTTGGGATGCCCACCCTACCTAACACCACCCAGCAGTTGGGATGCCCACCCTACCTAACACCACCCAGCAGTTGGGATGCCCACCCTACCTACCACCACCCAGCAGTTGGGATGCCCACCCTGCCCACCACCCTAGGTTGGGATGCCCACCCAGCAGTTGGGATGCCCACCCTACCTACCACCACCCAGCAGTTGGGATGCCCACCCTACCTACCACCACCCAGCAGTTGGGATGCCCACCTACCTACCACCACCACCCAGCGGTTGGGATGCCCACCCTACCTACCACCACCCAGCAGTTGGGATGCCCACCCCTACCCCTACCACCACCCAGCAGTTGGGATGCCCACCCTACCTACCACCACCCAGCAGTTGGGATGCCCACCCTACCTACCACCACCCAGCAGTTGGGATGCCCACCCTACCTACCACCACCCAGCAGTTGGGATGCCCACCCTACCTACCACCACCCAGCAGTTGGGATGCCCACCCTACCTACCACCACCCAGCAGTTGGGATGCCCACCCCTACCTACCACCACCCAGCAGTTGGGATGCCCACCCTACCTACCACCACCCAGCAGTTGGGATGCCCACCCTACCTAACACCACCCAGCAGTTGGGATGCCCACCCTACCTACCACCACCCAGCAGTTGGGATGCCCACCCTACCTACCACCACCCAGCAGTTGGGATGCCCACCCTACCTACCACCACCCAGCAGTTGGGATGCCCACCCTACCTAACACCACCCAGCAGTTGGGATGCCCACCCCACCTACCTATGCCCACACCACCCAGCAGTTGGATGACCACCCAGCAGTTGGGATGCCCACCCTACCTAACACCACCCAGCAGTTGGGATGCCCACCCTACCTAACACCACCCAGCAGTTGGGATGCCCACCCTACCTAACACCACCCAGCAGTTGGGATGCCCACCCTACCTAACACCACCCAGCAGTTGGGATGCCCACCCTACCTACCACCACCCAGCAGTTGGGATGCCCACCCTACCTAACACCACACCCAGCAGTTGGGATGCCCACCCTACCTAACACCACCCAGCAGTTGGGATGCCCACCCTACCTAACACCACCCAGCAGTTGGGATGCCCACCCTACCTAACACCACCCAGCAGTTGGGATGCCCACCCTACCTAACACCACCCAGCAGTTGGGATGCCCACCCTACCTAACACCACCCAGCAGTTGGGATGCCCACCCTACCTAACACCACCCAGCAGTTGGGATGCCCACCCTACCTAACACCACCCAGCAGTTGGGATGCCCACCCTACCTACCACCACCCAGCAGTTGGGATGCCCACCCTACCTAACACCACCCAGCAGTTGGGATGCCCACCCTACCTACCACCACCCAGCAGTTGGGATGCCCACCCTACCTACCACCACCCAGCAGTTGGGATGCCCACCCTACCTAACACCACCCAGCAGTTGGCAGCATATGGAATTGTAACAATGGAGAAATAGTTTGTCACCATTAGCAAAACTAATTTTACAGGTTCCATAAAAATTATCCATCCATAATGTTTCATCATCCAGCCTTCTCAAAATCAATAAACTTTTCATATCATAAGCTCACAAGCTCAAGTGATCAATTGATTTCCGTGTATAGGACAATGCTTGTCAATAACTTGACTGGGAATATTTTTAAAGTAAATTGTAAATTTTATGATATTGGCTGTCAATGTGTCATGATAGAGTGAGGCCATGATGTATCCTGATAATATTGATGTAATAAGATTTGTTCCAACATTGTATAGTCCGTTTGGCTCAAAAGCAGGCCGATGAATTGCAAAAACATAAAATACTCAATGAAATGCTGATCATAATCAAAACATCATACCCACTCTGTGAGGTTTTTGCAAAAAAATTCCTAAAAATAATAAAGTTGTTTAACAAACTATCATTAAAATATTGACACAGTTCACTATTTTTTATGTGGGAGGAGTGCAGAGAAAGGGACAGCCAGGTGTTCGAGAACGGATGGAGACGGCACAGCACAGGTTAATGAATAAATACCTTTTTCTGTGAACGTGCTTCTCGAACTAGTGAACTGTGTCAATATTTTAATGATAGTTTGTTAAACAACTTTATTATTTTTAGGACAAAAATACTGCAAAAACCTCACAGAGTGGGTATGATGTTTTGATTATGATCAGCTTTTCATTGAGTATGTTATGTTTATTAGTTTTAGAGAATATATTTCTTCCCTTTTTGCAAGTAAATCAGAACCCTGAAATATTTGCTATAAATTTTCAGATAGCAAGGATGAGATACTGTAGGGAGAAACAAATAACATTCTGCTGTTCATAGCCAACCAACCAACTTGAGAAACTGCACAAAGTGGTTCTTGATCAGCTTCTGTCATTATTCATGTTTTACATGAACACAACTTGAAATGAACCATAATTTGAAATGAGCCTTGTACCATGATACAAAACTTTATGGCGGTATTGTTACATCACTAATTGGCAGTATGTGGTTCGGCATAATGTAGTGATCCATTCCACCCTTATCATTAAGATCGGGATCTTGTCTATTACCCACCAACAGGGTAATATACCCAACCCTGAGGACAAACTTAATCATGATAGTGTTCCTATTGTGTCAGTTAGATATCACATTTCTTATCAACAAGTATGAGGTACATAACTTTGCCTGACCCGAGGCTGTAAGTTGCCTCCAGATACTGAGATAGTGAAAGGCTTTGTATTACCTGGTGTTGTGATAGGCACTATTGGTATAGATTATCCACTACTGATATAGATTATCTAGGAGCCTGTTTCATGGCCGAGCTGACCGAATCTGTTTTATAGTTGAACTGATAAACAATGTTTTATAGCTCATGTTCCATACATCACATGGCTGAACCTACTTCGAGTTTAGCCATATTAACCATGTCTTTTTCAGTGGGGAGGGGGGTTAAAATGGTAAACTTCCGCTCTGATCCCTTTGTACAATACAAATAAGCCACTGTATGGAAAGAATTCTAAGGAACCTTCAAAGCAAAGACAGGTCTAGCCCCTATGTATCTCCAGGAACTCCTCCAGGGGTACAACCCCGCGAGGTCTCTTTGATCCATGGGACAAGGCATGATGTGTGTTCCACGCGCAAAGACCACCACCTACGGAGATCGATCCTACGCCAGAGCAGCTCCATGACTCTGGAATGATCTGCCATTAGAACTGAGACTTGAAAATAACTTGGCCACTGTTAAAACCAATCTCAAACCAAACCTTTCCTCAAAGACTTATGCCTAGAGCGAGTGGACATTGTTGACACATGTGACATGCATGCTCTCAAAGCGTTTTAGAGTAGTTATACTGACTAGATTCTAGAACTATATAATTTCTTAGTTGATGATGATGATGATAAGGAAGAATCCCCACAAGGATTCAACAGAATGACAATACTCACTTCTGATCACACTGTGCTGGCTTCTTGTCCATACTCCCCTTGAGAGACTCAGTCTCCTCTGAAACGTAAATGAACAAAATGTTAATCCTGCTACCGGCCTATATAATTTCCATTTCTGTAACTAATTCTATGGCTCAAGAAGGAACATGCATTTAGTACAAATGACTCAGAAGAGGTTTTAAAAGCCTTAGATTTATGTTGTATGCAGTTGTAATGAACACAATAACAAAATACACTGTCATAACACCTGAACCATGAAGAAATGCCCAAAATGAACAAAATAATGATCAGAGCCCAGGGCCTAGATTTTCAAAGCTCTCTTAGTGCTAAGATGGTCACAAGTGCCATACATTAACATTGACAATCTTTGAGCTATGACAGCTTCGAAAATCCTGGCCCAGGAACACAAATCTGAATAATGAATTTATCCTAGTGCATATATATATATATATATAACACAAGTGCTTGAAATGAAGATTTCAAATCAAAGGGTCTTTGTCCTGACCCATAAAAAGACAAGTAAATCATTTAAGGTGTCCTCGTACTGCAGGAACATGCAAAGACACAAGGCCCTAATATTCCTAACCGAGTAAACAAAAATCATTACTCCTGTGATCTTGTATGAATCATGGACATGATCATTTACAGGAACATTACTTAATACATAAAGGTAAATTACCTTTCAATTTCTGGAGCTCTTCTTTAATCCCATTGGAGTCCTGTTCACATTTAGTCTGGAATCACAATACAAGCATGATTAGCAGGAATGCGACACTACACACATTTAGTCTGGAATCACAATACAAGCATGATTAGCAGGAATGCGACACTACACACATTTAGTCTGGAATCACAATACAAGCATGATTAGCAGGAATGCGACACTACACACAGTTAGTCTGGAATCACAATACAAGCATGATTAGCAGGAATGCAACACTACACACAGTTAGTCTGGAATCACAATACAAGCATGATTAGCAGGAATGCAACACTACAGCAGTTACACTACACACATTTAGTCTGGAATCACAACACAAGCATGATTAGCAGGAACGCGACACTACACACATTTAGTCTGGAATCACAATACAAGCATGATTAGCAGGAATGACACTACACACATTTAGTCTGGAATCACAATACAAGCATGATTAGCAGGAATGCGACACTACACACATTTAGTCTGGAATCACAATACAAGCATGATTAGCAGGAATGCAACACTACACACAGTTGAGTGATGCTCACAGGTCGTGGTGTTCTCATTAATTGAAATAATCGATGATTGGTCACAGTGACCAAACGACCAAGCAATCGAACACATTTTCTCATAATCGAACACAAACAATTTGGGACTACAGTTTTAGTGTTTGAAACACTTGACAATGGAGGTGAGGTGAAATTGGGTTTAACGTCCTGCTTGAGAATATTTCGCTCATATGACGACGTGCAGGCGTGTGTATGTGTATGTGCGGCTGCTTGTACTAGCCCAGACTGAAGCTGGTTTTATAGTGCTAGCCCACTGAGATACCATGCCGCAGTGAAGCATGAATACAGTCCAAAACATTGTGCTCCTCATAATAAGAAGTTGACATCTATAAATTCTTCCCCCTCTTAGTTCAGTGTATAGAGAGTGTTCACAAAGTTGCTACTTCCTCAAAATATCTGACAGACCCTTGACAACATCTCATTCATCAACCAGGATACCACAAGTAGAGCAGTCCACCTTGACAGTGATATAGTAATCTCCCAGGTTTGCCCAAGTAGAGATTTTGTATGCTCCCCAACTCTAAAAGAACAGTGAAGGTTTGAGAAAAGGAAGGTTGCGAGGGCCAACCTTCAAGGAGTGAGGGAGAACTAGGGTCGGTTGTATCATTAAACAAAGCCACAGGGAAAGTCTGAGAGGAAATGCAAGAGGCAAAAATATCAATATACAAAGCCATCCTTTCAGTCGTTATGCCCAACATGGAATCTTAGGGACCTAGTATTCCATGTTAATAAGGGCAACCCTACTTAGCTATTTTACAGTAGTGAGTGAGTTGGGTTTTCGCTGCTTTTAGCAATACATATATTCCAGCAATAACACGGCAGGGGACACCAGAAATGGGCTTCACACATTGTACCCATGTGGGGAATCAAACCGGGTCTTCGGCGTGATGAGCGAATGCTTTAACCACTAGATTACCCCACAGCCCCTCTATATCACAGTATGGGCCCATATGTATGGCATTGATTGCAGTCTTCATATTAGATTATAGATTCTTACACATGTATGTCACAACTTACATGTATAAGATAAAGATGATAATCTAAAAGCGATGACTAATATTAGTTTCTTATAACCATAGTGTATTATATCCACATCAACTAAAATATACAGAAAGTAATCATTATAAGAGTGTTTCTTCTAAACATAGTTCTGTGCAGGGGATGACAGTGGCGTTTATCATGTCATACAATGTCTTCAACTAATTTTGTATTGCAATTCAAATATGGCCAGAATGCAAATTACATTTTATCATGAAAACCTTTAACATTGTTGGTAATGGTCAAAAAGATGTATGCATCACGCTTAAAGCTGTTCATAAGAGAAGTAAAGGTGCTATGCTAAATCTCGCTAATAATTTATACACAATTTCTGGATTTATCATCCAAGAAGGAAATCAAGTGCTTGTCATAATATTTACGATCGTCTTTTCATACACTTGTGCTTAGCTTCTGAAAATATATGATATGCATACAAAAGAACTTAATTTAAACTGAAAACGTGCGAACGAGTGATCGGAGATTCTGCACCTTAGCAAGGAAAATCTAGACTTGCTTCATTTAAGGCTTTTAAAATTACAGAAAGGACTGGGTGGAGGGGGAAATATCGTTTCAGGGACTGAGAGAGAGACTAGAATTTCGCCGTATCTATTTATGTTTTTAAGAAGTTAACCATTATCCACTGAAAAGGATCAACTCACCAGTGATGCTCCTTTGTTGTCAAGTTCAGTGTTCGAATTCTTCAGTTCGTCTTCTTTTCGACCGAGTTCATTTTTAACTGATTCTACTGCTCTAATTTTTTCTTGCATCTCAGCCACCAAACCTGCGTTTCGCTTCTCGAGAGCACCAGCTTTGTCATTAGAAGCCTCACTTCGTTTGTCAGCTTCCATTTTTCGCGTTGACAGTATCCTAACTTCATCTTGGAGTGTCACGATTTGTAAGGCTTGGTCGCTGCTCGTACTTGCAACACTCCAGTAACTGTACCCAAGGATACACATAACTACCAAGAGGCCAATTAGGAGAAAAGGTGGTGTACGACCTTGGGGTCTCATCGTTCCTCGACCGTTTGCTGTCATAATCTGTACCAACTAGAATTAAGACGTGTTTCGATCAAAACTGAAACACAAGTCTTGTTGCTGTGAACGTGTCAGCGAGAAATAAAACAAGTCTACAGCGCCCTCAGTGGTTCAGTTCGCCAACTCAGGGGAGTTAACTCTGAATCCACCAGTTAATCACAACAACGAGTTGACACGTTGGTCACTGGTCATCCTGGTTCCTGGGCCTCTCATTAGTTTGTATAGAGTAATGAGAGGCCCGGGAACCAGGATGGTCACTGTTTACTAATTTCTTTTCTTATTCAATAAGTATTTTCATCTCTCTCTATAGATATAGAGCCTGGTGTCTCAACCAATAAATCATTTAGGAAATTATATCAAATTAAGTTGTCGGTAAATAAAGGTCAACTCGTGTCATGTCGGAACAAGCCTACTACAGTAATATTGTTTTGTGTTACGGAAATATACGATTGGTGGCGAAGGATTCAAAGAAAACTTCAACCAAAAAATCTGAACTGACTCGCATCCAAACTTCTATGCATGATCATATATGTTTGTTCATTTTACGTTATTTGGGCGACAGTCGATATTTGATCAACCAATAAACAAATTTTGTGTACAAGGAAAGTCAAATCACATTGCCGAGGAGCAGTTTACGAGTGAGTGAGTTTAGTTTTACGCCACACTCAGCGATAAACCAGCTGTATGGAAAATATATCCAAGAAAGCCCACGCAACCTAGAAAATGTGGCAAGTCTAGATTTCCACGGAAATGAAGAAACTCACAGGGCTCCTTTCCATTATATTTTATTTTTTTTACTATGAACTTCTTTTCTGTAAGATATGTTCATTTCAGAGACTATTATAGTTGTAAGTCTACGAGCCTGACCACCCGATCCCGTTAGTCGCCACTTACGACAAGCATTGGTTGATGAACACCAATGACGGAGTGAATGTTATGTATCGCCGTATATCGAGCTATACGATGGGGCCTTGACATGAGTGAGTGAGTTTTAGGTAAACATTAACAGCCTTTCCTGTTGGTGTATAAAAGGAGTAGTGAGTTTAGTTCTACGCCGCACTCAGCAATATTCCAGCTATATGGCGGCGGTCTGTAAATAATCGAGCCTGGACCAGACAATCCAGTGATCAAAAGCATGAGCATCGATCTGCGCAATTGGGAACCGATGACATGTGTCAACCAAGCCAGCGAGCCTGACTACCTGATCCCGATAGTGGCCTCTTACGACAAGCATGGGTTACTGAAGGTTCATTCTAACCCGGATCCTCACGGGTGCCTTAACATGACAAACCAGTGGTTGATATAATGAGCTACTTCGCGAACATCATCGGCGTACGATAATTCATAATCAAGCATGTGACCGAGTCTGAAGAGCAATTGAGTAAACGTTTTGGACCCTTTATAATTTAACCCACTCCATTATATTATATCCATTGTACACAGTAACTCAATAATTAGCCATAATAATATTTCAGACCATACTGCTGTATATCTAAAACTAGGAATAGTTTTACATCATTAGTTCTGTCTTGGGACTAAACAAACATAGTTATTCACTAGAGGTGTGACGATACAGACATTTCACGATACGATACGTATCGCGATATCTTGGAACGATACGTTTCGATACGATGCGTATCACGATATGCTATCTTTAGTTATTTTCTCTAAAAAGTTTATTTTGACAACAAGTAATAACAGTGTAAATTTTGACATAACAGTCAATTTCTAGTGACAATTTACAATTTTTAGGTAAACGATACATATCACGATACGAAAAAAGGTATCGATATATTTATTGTCAGAAAAGGTATCACGATTATCGATACTGCGATATATCGTCACAGCTCTACTATTCACCCTCTTAGCGCATTGGGTATATATAATGAACTGACTGGGACTGCATCGGTGAATGATCATGACTCATGTTGAAGATAGAGGTGATTAAAATGTATTGGGTGTGTACACTCCATATCTGTTTTGCAGGACCAGGCATTAATGTTTGAAACAGATGATGAAACACGGGCGGATACAGCTTACCACAACTCATTAAGAATAGAAGTATGGAATCTTCCATACACACATCACCTATCATTACCTAAACAAAGTATTCATTATCCAGTCAACATTTCCTTGTCACCTTTACCCATAATTTAGGTGTAGGGGGTGTTCAATATATCTAAGAGTAGCATTGTTGTCATAGGTAAATCCCGTATTTCCTGTATTAAACGCCAGTTTATAGACTGGGCCACTCGGCATGTGTCATGCGCTATTTCTAATATACTTAGAGGCGTGTCTCGCATAGAAACAGCCTTAGAAAGATATAGGTATATAGACCCTACCCTATGTGTGTGTGTGTGTGTGTGTGTGTGTGTGTGTGTGTGTGTGATAACATAATCCGTTTAACTGTAATCACTTCTCCCTGAAGATAAAAGTGAAACATGTTGGAGAAGATCCGTGTCGTGTGATTATTTCAGAAACTTCTTCTTATATATGTACTACTGTACGCTCGGTATTCTCATAACTTTCTTTATATATATCATAGGCGGATCCAGAGGGGGGTGCAGGGGTGCGCACTCCCCTTTTTGTGCTGAAAGTTTGTTAAATGACCATTGAAACTCGGGTGAAAACGAAGTGTGCACCCCTCCTTTTCTCAATAGTGTGCACCCCCCCTTTCTCAAAAAGCTGTATCCGCCCCTGTATATATATATATATATACCGAGCGTACAGTAGTACATATATAAGAAGTTTCTGAAATAATCACACGACACGGAGTGAGTGAGTGAGTTTAGTTTTACGCCGCACTCAGCAATATTCCAGCTATATGGCGGCGGTCTGTAAATAATCGAGTCTGGACCAGACAATCCAGTGATCAACAGCATGAGCATCGATCTGCGCAATTGGGAACCGATGACATGTGTCAACCAAGTCAGCGAAACTGACCACCCGATCCCGTTAGTCGCCTCTTACGACAAGATAGTCGCTTTTCACACGACACGGATCTTCTCCAACATGTTTCACTTTTATCTTCAGGGAGAAGTGATTACAGTTAAACAGATTATGTGATGGAATATATATATATACATGTATATACTTTGCAGTTTCGTACAACGGCGTCAAGCCGAAGACTCGGGTTCGATTCCCCACATGGGTACATTGTGTGAATCCCGTTTCTGCTGCCCTCCGCTGTGATATTGCTGAGGGACGTTCATAATTTATGGCTAGGGGTGTGATGATTTGTATGGAGAAGCATATACAATGTGACTGAACCACCCACCCCCACCCCCACACACACACCTAAAATTCATGTACAAAGTAAGTGACCCCCTCTGCATGTCATGTACAAAACCCTCTCCCCCTTCCCATATTCTGTAAGCATAACTGTTAAATATTTTTATGTACAAAATTGACGACACACACTTCCACACACACAATCCCAGAACAAAATGGGTGACCCTTCTTAAAATTATCACCACACAACCCAACCACACCCCATAATTTATGAATGGTCCCTAAATGCAGCGTACAACCAAACTCACTCACTCGTAAAAAACGGAGTTGAACTCGGAGGCCAAGAAACTACAGTCTTAATATCGGAATAACCATCCCTTCTGCCTTGATATAAATTATGTTGTATGTCAATATATTTGTGACTAAAGCTAATGCATAACGCACCTAACATGTCAAGCTCCGCTTCCCTGGTAATGGGTCTCCGATATCCTGACCACTGGAGATAAGAGAACACATAGTAAATATCAGTATTTACTGTCAGTATGCTTATATTCTGAATGCACAAATATTTAGACAACTTTGAAACATGCAGATGTTAATAGGAAGTATGGATTATAGATCCTTGAATGAATTTAGTGTGAGCGCAAGACCTTTTAATTCGGGAGACACTGACAACATGTACTCACCTGAGGCTGATAAAGTACTTCCCGAGTTCAGAATGCATTTTTTCAGGGAATAGTATACACAGAACGAGGGAATGCTGATTATCTTTCCATCCTGAATGAATGTTGAATATTCATCGAGTTTAATAATGTATTTCCAGGACTGTTAATCCTTTAGTATACGGGGGTTGATGGGGTAGTCCTAGAGGGTAAAGCATTCGTCCGTCACACCGAAGACGCCGGTTCGTTTCCCTTCATATGTACAGTGTGTGAAGCCCATTTCTGGTGTCCCATGTAACGATTAAAACTGGCATGAGGTATATATACTGTCACTGACGGGGTCTTAACACAGTTTTAAGCCTGTACAAGTTCCTGTGGGCATGGGCATAGTCTGCCATACAGACCCAAATACACCCAATGTAGCTGATCTTCACCTACAACAAATGTAGCAAGTTTTGGTTACAGCAACTTATGAAAATGAAGAAAGTCTCGGTGCTCCTTTTCATTAAAGTTTATGAAGATAGTGAGTCAGTTTAGTGTCATGCCACATTCAGCTATTATTACCTACTCAATATTCCCACTATATGGCCGCGATCTGTAAACAATCGAGTCTGGACCAGACAATCTAGTGATCAACATCAACCAATCTTCCAGCTAAATCAGGTAGCCGTGACACAGTCTGACCAACCCATGAAGATCCGGGTTAGAATTGATCTTCAGCAACCCATGCTTGTCGTAAGAGGCGACCAACTGGATTGGGTGGTCAGACTCGCTGACTTGGTTGACATGTCATCGTATCCCAAATGCGTAGAACGATGTTCATGATGTTGATCACTGGATTGTCTGGTCCAGACTCTATTATTTATAGACCGGCGCCATATAGCTGTAATATTGCTGAGTGCGGCGCTAAACAACCAACCAACCAACCAGTCTTGACCATCTCATCCATTATAGTCACTGGGGAACAATTCTCACATGTACCCACAAGCAGTGTTCATGACGGATGATATACCACAAGCTTAATGGACAAGGAAGCTCCTCTTGACTTTGGTGATAACTGATGGCTCCTGTTAATACTAGTATGCAACCTTAAAAAAAAGACCTTCATGTGAGCTAATTTGAATAACTTGAGGTATTAACATATTGAATATTTCAGGTGTATGACATGTTTGGGTCTGTGTGGTTTTGCATTATTCAGGACTAATGTTGTGTTATAGTCCTAGAACATTCATATATGTCACTGTTTATATATGAATATCTACTCATTACGCAGTATACAGCGAGTGAGTGAGTGAATATAGTTTGATGCCGCTTTTTGCAATATTCCAGGGACACCAGAAATAGGCTTCACACATTGTACCCATGTGGGAAATCGAACCCAGGTCTCCGGGTGGTGAACAAATGCTTTAACCACTAGGCTATCCCCACCGCCCCCACAGTATAGTCAGAGTGGACTGGTACTGTTTTAACCCCAAGATGCTGAGTGGCCTTTTGTATGTCACTGGTGGGGGATCGAAACATCAACCTTCCTCACTCCATGCAGATATTTTAACCATTAGACTACAATGGTACTGACTCTCCACAGATTATGATGAGGATGAACCTGGGATAAAACACAGCTGACAATAGGGTGCATCAAGATCATAAGATGCTGGCAAACTTGGGGGAACAAACTGTGGTAACTTACAACCTCTGGGCTATTCTAATCTATTTGGGGTGAATATACAGAACATATGTAAGTTGCAGATGATATTTGACACGAGGAACCTTATCAAAATCTCAAGACCCTGATACAGTGATAGAATAGTAGAATACTAATAATATTGTGTTTAACCTCACACTCAACAATATCCCAGCCATATTTCACTGTAAATCAAATTTCGATCAGACAATCAAGTGAATGAGATGAGCATAGTCATCAATCTATGCAACTGGGATACAATGACCTGCGTGAGTCAGTTCAAAGAGTCTGACCCTTTGATTGTGTTAGTCAGCTCTTTGACAAGCATTGAATCTGTAAACCTGGTAAAGAACAACACTTGAAACCTGAATTTAATTTTTAATGTTTATTCCACATTTCACTTCCAATAAGTTATCACAAGTTATTCAATGCTAATACATGTGTACAACTACTCATGGTGGTTGGTGTACCACACTCTCTGAAACTGCATACACTGGAACTACAAATGGCACTCGTACTATTGACATAGATGCCATGATTACTAAAGTTCATTTCCAAAAGCAAGCTACAATAACCGTTATCAACAGAAAATGTGGATCATCCTGGTACCCTTGGTACATCTTTCAATTCAATAAACGTAGTTCCAGTATATTTATGATTTGTTTTAGAGCAGCAACTAAATAATCATCCCAGTCTTCTTTTTCTAGTTAGCCATGCATTTCCTTCTATTCTGTGACTTCTTGGTCTTTCAAAATTGAAACCTGGAATTTTAATGTCCAGCGAAGGCAACACTTTCGTTATCACACCAGTAAGGGCAGTCAGCTTATTTTCTCTAACTGTGTATCGTTGTCCGACTGAGAATACCATTGGCTTTCTAAGTAGCACAGTTGCTGTAACAGTGTCTCCTCCCATCACCATATCCCTACCTTCAGGGAGCTGCACCATTGCTGAAATGTTCCACATGTTGCAAAATAACATTTGAATGTATTTGTCTGTCAAAGGTTTTGACCGACCACCTTCAGTTTTTGTTAAGACATAGAGCTGAGTCTCAAAGGTATCTCTCTGTTCAAACAAATCAGGATGACAAAAAAACATTCCTCTTTGAACAAATTCTGATTTCACTCCTCTCAGAAGAATGCCAACATTTTCACCTGCAGTACACTGTGGAACTGATTTATTGAAAACCTGAATATCAGATGCTGCTGTTTTCAGAGCATTTCCGAATCCAAGAATATCAGCTATCACCTCTTTTAATAACACCCTGTTGCACAGTTCCAATGACAACAGTTCCTCTGCCACGGACAGAAATTGCCCCTTCTATCGGCATGTAAAACGGACCAGATGTGTCTCGATCAGGGATCTGCACATGCTGATCTATGCCTTTCAACAAGCTGTGAATTGAGTCCTCACCAATATCTGGATCAGTCCCATGTAAAGCTTTAAGAGCTGATCCGGCAATAACAGGAGTGGTATCTCCATTGTATCCATATTCAGTCAATAGATCTCGAATTTCTAATTCTACAAGCTCAACAAGTTCTCCATCTACCATGTCTGTTTTATTGATGTATACAACAACATTCTTTATCCCGATCTGTCGTGCCAGAAGCAAGTGTTCTCTTGTCTGTGGCATAGTGCCATCTGTAGCAGCTACCACTAATATTGCTCCATCCATTTGCGAAGCTCCTGTAATCATGTTTTTGACATAATCAAGATGACCTGGACAGTCGGTGTGCGCATAGTGCCTGTTATCAGTTTCGTATTCAACATGAGTAGAATTAATTGTTATTCCACGCAGCTTTTCTTGGGGCGCTCTGTCAATTTCATCATATTTGATAAATCGGGTTCTGCTCCCCGTTTTACTTGCAAGTACTTTAGTAATTGCCGCTGTCAAAGTGGTTTTACCGTGATCAACGTGCCCTATCGTCCCAATATTACAGTGAGGCTTATCAACAGCGCTTGTCGGTGGTGTATTTGTGCAAAAAAGCTTTTGGGCATTCCAAGTGATTTTAACCTGGGTCTCACTCAACAGCATCCTGGTGGTAAGCTGATTAAAACGCCCTGGCACACGCCACAGGTACTGAAACATGTGCGCGGCCATGTTTATCCTCATTGACCTTGACCCTGCGTAATAATAAACTTGATATGTAATAGACCAATAAAAGCCACTGCACCGTCCTGATTTTTCACGTTTTTGGCTAAGAGAAATATATTTACTTGTATGTACCCAGTGTTCACCTAGTACGTTAGTTTCTGAAAAGAATTTGCAGAACTACTTTTGCGTGTAGATACTTCTTGTCATGTGTTATAAGGCACTTCCGGAATTGTATTGCACAACTTCCTTCAACTGATAAACCAACAATTGGGTGATATTGGCCCTTGTGGTGCAATACCCGCTTGGTGTATATATACCGTCGTCGTCAGTGATCATTGCTCCGTGCCTCTTACTCCCTTCTGCAGGAGTGAGGTAGTCTCGTAAAGTTCTTTAGTGAGAATTTAATTTTTGTAGTTATTTTCGGCTTTGTTTGTATTTAGGTCTTGACCTAGTGAGCAAGTCAGATAGGACTGTCACCTGACACAAACGAGTGATTCTTTCCGTCAACTCTTTTACGGACTTTCTACAAGTAACGTTGTTGCTGAAACCTTCAAAGAGAAGAGGTAATTTAATCACGTTCAAATCCACAAGTCCAGAGGGTTTGAAAAAAATATCAATCTGTTCAAGCAACAGTCCCAAGAAGGTTCAGTTGACCAGGTTATGTCATTTGCATCAGGACAATTGTGCAGATTTTATTCAAGAGGAAAGGTATGTCGATACGGTGACGCTTGTCGATATCAGCACACAGTAAGGGATTTATCAACGTCTACTGATCATCTACCGGGTGGACAACTTGTTGAAGAATCCCCTCCATCACTTCTGAACCCAGACAAAGAGGTTTATCCCAAGATCACTACTGAAGGTAACAATGAAGGCCTAAATCAGGAAAACTGTGATCAGATTGTTTCTCAGACGAGCAACATTTCAAGTGAAAATACCACAAGTATCAAAATATGCAGCTTTTTTGCTAAGCGCAAGTGGTGCAGTTTTGGTAGGAAGTGTCGTTTTCTCCATGAAATTCCTGACACTCAAAATGCAGTAAATCAAGCATCTTCAACTGCTCCTGTTCCATCCATTGAAGATTCATTATCTTTTCAACAAAAGGACAATGATGATTTTCAAGCAGTAGACGGAAAACCAGCACCTGAAACTTCTCAGGATGACAAGAATAATGAAAGAAAAATTTGTAATTTCTTTGCTAGAACCGGACGTTGTCACTATGGGCAACGATGCCATTTCAGACATGACAGAACCCGTCGGAAGGTTGTTAAACCTTCACAAAATGTCGACCAAGAAAGTAAGAAAGAGACAATGCAGGCTCCAGAGAAATCTGAGAGAGCGGCTAATCAGTCTGAACCAACCAGAGGTAACAAGAGACTTTGTCCTTATTTCAAGAAAGGATACTGCAAGTGGGGAGAGAGATGTCGGTTTTGGCATCCCGTGGACATGATGAATGATTTGACTGAAAATTTTAATGAGTCAGTTGAAATTCAAGAAACACCTAATGATGGTGTTGAATCCACAAACGAGTCTGGAGCCAGACAACAGACAGGCTCAGGTCGAAGACAGCAGACCTTCCCCAACAGGCCCCCTGTAAGGCCCCCCAATCAGAAAATCCTTTTGAAGAGAGAGACAGCCTCACAAGAGGAAATGGATAAGCTAAGGAAGACAGAGGTTGATCAGCTGCAAAAAAGATTTCCCAAAGACAGGTGCAAAGTCATTAAAGACGGTCCAGACACTTTTCAGTGTAATGTCAACTTCCATCCAAGTGACCCTGATTGGGTAAGTATTTAAACACAATGCTGTGTTCTGGAATATGTTGAAGAAACATTCAATAGCTATGTTAAATTAATGTACTAGAATATCAAAGAACAAGTTACTATGCATGTTGTACCAATTTCTGAAGATCAACATTTTGCCAAGCGTGATAAGTTTATGTTTATTTACTATTTCTTTGGGTTAATGATAGCACTTTCTTATATTACTATTACATCGTTTTTACAGCCATATGATGTCAAGAACTTTGAACTTGAATTCACTATTCCTTCAACCTATCCCCAGGAGGTAAGTTTGAACCTTAATTACCCATCAAAAGAGGTCTACTTTGTGTTCCTAGTTGAATTTAAGAAAATGTCAAGTTTTTCACATTCTTTATACATTACCATACTTGTTTGGAGACTTTCTTTCAGTAGAATTTTCTTATTTAAATTTAACATGAATTATAACCAATGACCACATATATAACAGATAAAACAATACAATTGATGTGCAGCTTTTGTTTCAATATCGGGCGGTGGGGTAGCCTAGTGGTTAAAGCGTTGGCTCGTCACGCCGAAGACCCGGGTTCGAATCCCCACATGGGTACAGTGTGTGAAGCCCATTTCTGGTGTCCCCCATCGTGATGTTGCTGGAATATTGCTAAAAGCGGCGTAAAACCAAACTCAGTCAGTCAGTCAGTTGTTTCAATATCATGATCATGATCTGCTGAAGTTGTGAAATGCAGTCGTGATTCTAAATATGTTTCAGATGTTGAGTATCTCTCTGCCAGAGGATCAAGATTTGCCTGCTACAGTGAGAAGGTAATTGCTGTCTTATTGTTAACATGTTGACAAAAACTGCGGAAACAGTTAAGACATATAATGATGAAGTAATGATGCTAGTACTATTCCTAACGAATCAGCTTGGTTAATATGTTTCTATTCTACCAGAGATTTAATTTTACAGACATATCTCATGATACTTAAAGATGATCTAAACTGAGAAAAACACATTTGTATTTCATAAAGATGATGGACACACTATCGTAATATAAATAATCATGTTTATAGTCACCTAAATGAAAAATATTATACTGTGAAATCTGATTATTTGATGAGCCTAATCTCTAAGACTGTATGATTTCCACAGATACTTGAACAGTTGTGTTGTTGGCTGGGTGAAGGAGAAGCGTGACAATTTGGAATCGCAAGGAAATTATGAGATTATCTTCAGACCATTTCTCCGATGGTTTGACAAAAGCCTTGAAGCAAACGTTACTGAAGCATTGAGACAGGTAAATCATGCACTGCTACACTGGTAATATAGAGATTGCTAGGAATAGGACTTGTATGTTGTATTGTTCAACACACTGATACAGTAACTGATACAGAGATTGTTAATCTTTGTATATTAGGAAGAAGACTTGTATTGTATGAAGCTGTGGTGAGGACAGTATATGAATTTGATTCGAAATTTTTATGTTTGCAATATGGAAACAATATCATAAAGTACTGTTAGTAATGGTTTGACACAACTCCATGGCTTGACGAGTGCTACACAGTTAGGCCCCTTCGGATTACAGAATTCAGTCAGTCAGGGTGACTTTCTAGAAGCGTGGATTTTCAATTTCTATTACAAAATTCATGAACAACATCTATTACAAAATGTAGGTCTTTTTGTCCATCATGAACAGCTGTTGGTTGACACAGTCACAGAAATGTTGGTCACGCTGAAGACCGGGTTTGATTCCCCAAAAGTACAATGTGTGAAGCCCATTTCTGGTGTCGCCCCGCTGTGATATTGCTGGAATTTTGCTAAAAGCAGCGTAAAACCATACTTGCACTCTTGATTGACTTTAGGTTCGCAGTACTCCTTGTTTGTTGTGTGAACTAAGATGAGGATAGTTTGTTGTTACAATGTGTAACCTGGCTGGCTTAGGGTAATTGAACCACCATTACATAGATAACTAATGCCTCTGACTTACAGGGCGAAACTTTAATATTCAGTGTCAAAGTAAACAACACAGACTAAAGTCGCCCTCTTTCCTTATACTGTGATAATGGTACGTCGTAACGATGTCTATTTTCTAAGTGTATGATCGTGAACTTATAGCCTAGTAGGTAAATCATTTGTTTTTCTTGCTGAAGGCCAGGGTTTTGTTTCCAAACATAGGTACAGTATGTACAGGTTGTTTCTGGTGTCCTCTGTGGTATAGGTGAAACTAATTTCTTCTGCTCACTTATTTCATCATCCATTTGAATTCAGAGAGGGTCTGCATTTTGTTACAGATGAAAAGAGAAATCGTGGCTAAAGCAGCTGGCTTTGAGTTCATTAGTGCCACAGAGCTGCAGGAAAAGTACAAGGCATCGGAAAATAACGATGACTCTGAACTGACCGGCTCGGAGGAGGGATCGGATGAGTTCACCGACATTGATTCAGAGGAAACTGTCTCGGACGAGGACAGTGAACCCACAACTGTCTCCAACAATGCTGACCGTGATGTGGACACAGAGAGGAAAGGAACACAGATCACTTTGAAAAATTTGCAGTTGCGAGAAGGAGCATCCACCTTGATGTATGACAAGATTCACATTAATATTCAGTGTGGACGATGTAAAAATCACACTGACTTCAACTCTCCTTCACAAAGAGTCAACTCGGTGTCCTGCAGCAAGTGTAACCAGACCCAGCTGCTTACCTTCAGACCAGTACTCATGCACCAGTTCTCATCAATCATGGGCTACCTTGACCTTGAAAACTGCACAGCCTTTGACCTCGTGTTACAAGAGTGTGTGGCAAGGCTTGGCTGTGACAACTGCTCCAAAGAGTCGAAGATTGATGTAAGCTATCATTTTGCCAACTTCATTTATATCATGCTTTATAATGGTATTGGCTGTTGATTTAATTTGGGGCGGTGGGGTAGCCTTGTGGTTAAAGCGTTCGCTTGTCACATCAAAGACCCAGGTTCAATCCCCACATGGATACAATGTGTGAAGCCCATTTATGGTGTCGCCGCCACAGCATAGCTGGAATATTCCTAGAAAGCGGCATAAAACCATACTCACTCACTCACTCATTTAATTTGTATTGTCTGCCCTGCTTGATTAATTTAGACTTATTCATATTTCTTAGACTGTATACTGAAGTGTATCCAAAGTCTGGATAGGGGAAGTAGTAATATAGGCATGTTTTTGGTGTATTCAGTCTGTGTTTCTGTGACTGGTAAACTCTCCATGCTCAGTTGTTTGAGTGATGCACTGGCCTAGTATTTGCTTCTTGTACCCAAAACAGGGATTTCTGTACCGATGTGAGACAAATATACAGAAAAAACACATTCTCGCCATGATTTTCTCTGCTGAAAAAAGCTGTCTTTTAATGTTTAGTAAGTATTGTATAATTTTAGAATTTTCTGTTAAATTTTAGGGTCTGTCTCCTGGTCAGGTGTCCAACACCTGGTGTCGTCACTGTCATCAGAAGATGAAGATTGCTGCAGACTCAGTACAGTTTTTTCAACTGCAGCCATCTGGTGTCGTGACAGGTAGGTTGGACTAGGAATATATAGAGAAGACCTGAGTTTGGTCGGTTGGTTGGTTTGTTTAACATCGCACTCAGCAGTATTCCAGCTGTATGGCGGCGGTCTGTAAATATTAAAGTCTGGTCCAGACAAACCAGTGATCAACAGCATGAGCATCATTCTACACAAATGGGATACGATGATACATGTCAACCAAGTCAGCGAGCCTAACCTCACGATCCCTTTAGTTGAGTCTTATGACAAGCATGGGTTGCTGAAGATCAATTCTAACCCGGATCTCCATGGGTTTAAGAAGGTCCGGAAGATAAACAGAAGTATCATGATTACATCTTGAATACTTTGGCATGCTAACAAGTAATTTAAGCCTGCTAAAGGGTGTGTACATCAGGAAATGTAGGGATCATCTTGTTTATGTTATGTATTTTCCTTCTGTTTGACTTCAAGTGTCATGAAAAACCCCATCATTAATCAAACCCAGAAAATAGTCTTAGGATCCTCTACATATTTTCATCTAACCTGAGTGTCAATATTGCAGACCCCAAGCAGAAAGTTCACGAGGTTGCCGCTAAGAAACGAAGGGTACCAAAGGACCCTGCAATCCAAGAGGGAAAACCACTGCCAGCCAATGGTACCTGTAAACACTACAAGAAAAGTTACCGCTGGTTCAGGTGAGACAACACTGTCGGGCGGAATAAACATTGATTACACACACAATGCCATTTAGAAAGTTGACAAATGTAATATGTTATATTTGGGATTACACTTTCTTAGTAAAGTACAGATTCTAGTACTATTCTAGTCCCATCCGGGATTCGAACCCACACCCTCAGAGTCAGGCACCTATTCGCCAGCACACAAAGTCAGCCGCTTAGCCTACGACTTCCACCATGAATAAACATTGTTGTCACGGCTGTAGCATTGTTGACCTCACATAGTTATGACGATTTGACGGATATAACAAACTCTCTGGTTTGGTCTGAGCCACTTGCTATATATTCTGTTCTGGTCTGAGCCACTTGCTATATATTCTGTTCTGGTCTGAGCCATTCGCTATATATTTTAGTCAAAATGTGGATAATGAAAAAAACGAAAATGTGGTTATAAAAAAACGAAAATTTCGTTCATCCCCTCGAGTTCATTATAACGGCAGATTACAATAAAACAATTCATTCATTTGATCATGAACTTCATATTTCACAAAAGTGAACATTCTAGTGTAATCTCTGTCTGATTGAGTGTGTAGTGATGTAGCAGCTATCGCAGCAAGTTTCCGACCCTCCTGACCGACTGTGGTGTATTGCAGGTTCCCATGCTGTGGTATGGTGTATCCGTGTGATGTGTGTCATGACGAGCAGTCCGACAGTCATGAGATGGTGTTTGCCAACAGGGTCATCTGTGGCTTCTGCTGCAAGGAACAGGTAAATGTTCAAATCACCATGAGATATTATTCACCCAGGTGAAAAAATAGTATATAGTGATATTTAGCGATATGGGCAATCTGATTTCCATCTCTTCAATAAATCTTGTTGAATCTTGTTACAAGTATCAGTCTAGTGGTGAAATTGTTAATGTCATGTATTTTTTTTACTTTAACTGAAAATGAAGGTTTTACTTGTTTATTGAGGTAGAACTCATAACGTTTTAAATATCTATGGATGAAGCATGCTCTACAAATCTGTTTTATTTGTGAACTAGTGCCATTTAATGATCAGTCTAGCTATTCTCGAAACAATCGTAACCCTACAAACTTCTTAAACCCATTCTTAACACATTGGCTACAATCAAAGTTAAGACTCCTTAGGGCTACAAACCTTTCCAGAATAAGGGCCCTGGGATTCTTGTAGTGGTAGAAATAGTGGTTGTTTCTTGACCCAAACTCCAAAACCATTAGATAATTCTTGATGAAACTTGATGTACAGGTCAGCCTGTTAGGTGAAATGGTGTCTTTTATGATTTGGGACATTGATAAACATTTTTGTGATACATGTAACATTTCTGTAATTATTTCTCCATTTAGATCTATGCCCCAGACCGACCATGTACAACTTGTCAGCAGATGTTGACACGAGGGAAGTCTTCACACTGGGAGGGAGGACTGGGTTGTCGCAACAAGGTCAAGATGAGCAAGTAAGGGAGCTGAATTTCTTCCATGGATAGAAATATATATGAATCTTATCGTTATATAAGAGCCACAACTTGCTCAACTTGAACATTTGAGGTGCTTTCAGATGAGTGGAAAATGGGGAGGTTCAAAGGGAGGTAACCCAGATCAGTAGGCATACTTTAGATTTAGTGTTTATGGGATTGGAGGGATTGTGAAATAGGTTGTGTTATAACTGAAATGTTTTATAGGCAAATCATTATGTAGTATCCTATTTGACAGCTTACCTTATTTTAGGTGAAATACATTTATGAATACAGCCTTGGCAAATTACTTTGTGATCTGTAAATGTCGTAAAATCTTCCATTTTCAAACCAATCGGTGTGTTCACTCATCAAGCACTGTACAATCCGATTTTACATAAATATTCATATTTACTGTTTGTGTTAATGGTTTGTTGTGTACCAGTGAAAATATGTACAAATAATGCCTTTTGATTCCTGAACATGGTTACAAGTATTAAGATTTGCACAGTAAATGTATTGTGCATAATTACCGTAGATAAGCCGAATTTTGAGGACCAAAAAAAAGTCTGTAGAAGGGGGTCGATTAATCGATGAGATTGGCATGTTTACAGTAAGTTAAATTAAATTATCTATCAATGTGATTAATCCAAGGAGGATAACTCATGATATCATCTTTTCTGACAGGAACGACAGTCAGAAGTACAGTAATACGAACAAGACCATATCCAAACAAGCTCAGAAGCTGAAGGAGAGCAGGCAGAAGAAGGGAGCCAAATCTCGACATGCCTAGCAACGCTTTGTGTGCTTGCTGTTTTGTCAGATTACTCAGCTGTTACCATGTTTGGAAGACATTTACATATCATAAACAGTGATGTTAGTGCTGTTAGCTGCAATCTACTAATATATAGAGGCAGTTAGATTTGAATTCAAGTTGAGAAATTCAGTCCTGCACATATTTGTTCAAATTAGAAATTAATTCTGTTATAATTGTAGTTATGTTTTATACCTTTCTAAGAACTTGATTATTAATGTCCTTAATGTTTTTCAACTAAACTTGGCATATGAATTGCTCATCAGCTTAACTGAGGCCTTTTGATGTTTAGAAGTTTTTCTAAATTTTGTTTTGTTTCCATCTAAACATTTTGGACTCATTGCCAAGTCAACTCTACAGCTAATGAATATTACATAAACCTGTACAAATGAATAGAAAAAATACTCTAGGGTAGATCCTGGTATATTTAATAACCTAGACGAATGAAATATGCAGATAGACACTGTGGCTTATCAGTGAATAAAGTATTTAGATATTTATTGGTTTGACAGTTTGTTGTTATTGCACAGAGACAACTATGAGTGGATGGGTGAGTAACGAGTGAGTGATGGCTTGCTGTAACGAGGTACAGACAGATGAGGCAACCTTCAACGTGTATTGGCCTGTAGCAGGGACAACATTTATTGGTGTTGTGGTACTGAATCATTCTGTCACAGAATGATGACTTAATTCAAGATGGATGACAGTTGAGTGGTGGCCATCAGAATGCATGTACTACTGACTGACTGAGTTTGGTTTTACGCCGCTTTTAGCAATATTCCAGCAACATCATGGCGGGGAACACCAGAAATGGGCTTCACACATTGTACCCATGTGGGGATTCGAACCCGGGTCTTCGGCATGACGAGCCAACGCTTTAACCACTAGGCTACCCCACCGCCCCAATGCATGTACTACCCCAACACAGCCAACAGTCGGCACTGGTAACTTGATAACCTGAACATATGAGTTTGGCACCTGCACCACCAGTTAGTTAGTCACATAAGGTAATAAAAGGAAGTATTTTCCTGTGTAAAAGGACCCGTGACAAGTGTTTCTTGTGATGACATAGCCAACTTAACAGAAAACGTTTTTACAAAAGAGGAGTAGCAAGGTACTACTATAAGGGTAATGCTATTTTTGAGGGCATTATCATTTGCAGAAGCCCGAGGTCTTCCATTAACTGCCCCAGGGCAGTTGACAGATGGCTTCTGCAAATGATAATGCCCTCAAAAAAGCATTATCCAGTATTGACTAAAATACATGGAATTTGTGTTGAAAAGAAAAGGAAACAATGAAGGAATTTGACTGTAAGTTTACCAAAATCAACTTCTGACGGGCCTGACTGCCCGAATGCAATAATCATCGAACAATTCAAGTGACGTCACAACAGAAAGTGACGATATTCGACCTTGGCCTTTGACAAGACCATAGCCTGCAGCATGTCAAACTATGACAGTGTACGGTTTTGGTCCATCAACAGTCTTAATAGTGCAATTGTTAAGGTTAGCCCCAACAAGAAAGCCAACATTACCGCTATTTGAAGCGGGAATTTGGGTTGCTTTAACATGTTTGACCCAGAATATCTGCCAGTCGAAAGCAAATTAATGTCGAACTATGACGTCACTTGACAACAGAACTGATAGTGGCCCGTCGTTAAGGTTGAGCGGTCCAATATCATTTGCAGCGGACCGCAAATTTCTGATAATGGGAGGGCCGTTTCATGATAATTCCATGTATTTTAGCTATAATCAGCAATATTCCAGCTGTATGGCGGCAGTCTGTAAATAATCCAGTCTGGACCAGACAATCCACTGATCAACAGCATGAACATTGATCTACGCAATTATAATACGATGACTTGTCAAGCCAGTCAGCCCGATCCTGTTAGTCGCCAGGACAACATGGATTACTGTAGATCAATTCTAACCCAGACCTTGACGGGTCACTGGCACTACAGATGATCCAAGCTGAAATTAATGAGTGAAAACAAATACTACTCCTAAAGATCATCATTTAATATACATTCTGTACATCAGCTGAAATTTTAAACACCTTTCAATTTACAATGATAAATGTACATGACAGGTCCTCTACAGCGAGTCTGGTGACACAGAATATACACATGCACTCCACCAATATATACAAACAGGATGGTTGTCTAGAACAGGTCCACATAGAAACAACAGATTTATATACAATCATTTCAGTACAAAACACATCATGAAAGCACAACCATATTGAAAAACAAAATGTCATTAACAATATTCACTGTAAAACTGACTACATATTCTGTGTATAAAAAGATGGCACACATATATCACTGTACAAAATCTTCACAATGAGTAAGTTAGGTTTCTTAGTCCCAACTTAGAACAGCATTTCAATTAAATCTAGCTGAAAATACCCCAAAATGATTCAAGTCTTGGACATTTACAACTTTGAGCATGTGTTGAAAAAACAAGGATCAGTTAGAGGTTTTCACCCACAGATCCTGGCCCACATAAGGGATGCAACTCTGAACAGTGAATTCACCACCTGTAACATTGGTAACACTGATCGTTAGTGTATTGGTCATCTTTAAATGAATCACAGAAACCTAATCAACTGCAAGATGCATGCCATAACCTGAAACCGTCAAGATTTAATGTGAACTCAGTAATTCAACTAAAGGAAAACCTATTAGATAGAATGAGAAGTTTTACATCTACTTATCAAATTTGTGTGGGAGACGACAGTTTAACAGCAAACTATTAGCACCTGGAAACAAATAATTCTAACATACTGAAACTAGGCAGTATTAATCTAAAAACACCAATCTGAAGTTGAAGTAACTTATTTCAATAAATGTTGATGAGTGTTTCAGCCCTTTGGCTATAAGTGAACCTGCAGTTACCTGATTCTCTTCTTCTCTGATGGTAGCTACACTTTCACAATCATTTGATTCCATGCAATACATACCTTGAACAACTATACCATTCAAAAACGGTTATGTACCACCTGATTCTTTCAATGAGACTATGTTAATTCAACTGTGCTTATCAAAATAATAACTGAATGACGGAAAAACAAAATGTGCCTTTTCAATAAATTAACGCAGAGACCGGTATATGGTCTCTGATTAATGAGAAGAAATGATTTTATGGTATGAATAAATAGGTGTTTTATACTTAATGATATTGAATGCTTATTTTACGATGTAATAATCAAGTGATACAGGTAATACATCAAACAATAGCACAGGTATGGTGCAAAGAAACAGGTTCAGAATATAAACAAGAGGACATCCACCCACAGTAACCATAGCCTGAATCTGACTGATACAGATTGGTTGGTTTGTTGTTTCACACCACACTCAGCAATATTACAGCTATATAGCAGCAGTCTGTCAATACAGTCTGGACCAGACAATCCAGTGATCAACAGCATGAGCATCGTTCTATGCATTTGGGATACGATGACGTGTCAACCAAGTCAGCAAGCCTGACCACCTGTAGTGATACAGAGATTATGGTGGCAAATACATACTGACAAATTGTAACACAGTGTGCAGATCAGCTCTTCTGAAACTTTAAGCAGACAGAAACGTATTGGCTACAATCTTAACACGAGAAGTCACAATGTCAGTGAAGTGAATTCAGCACATAAAGATGTCTCCCAATAGCTCCATTCCAGCTGGAGCTTGAGTATTCTCTTATGTGTTTACAGTCCTTCGACGTCATCAGCAACATTGAGTAAATACCATAGTTCGTATGCAGCTTTGGCATGCTGGTACGTGACCTTTAGAAACCAGGCTAAACATTACTGTGTGCAAACATTAATCAGTCGCCCATCCACACAAACCATTTGTCAACTTTCATGACTTTACTTTCACTTCTACAAACATCAACATGCCATTTTAACCAATGACCAAATTGAGCCACTTGTCCAAAGTCTGAGACTAGGATATACTTCTTTCTGTTTAATAAACTCATCCATATAGCACACTTTTTGTTACATTAATATTTTCTATTCCTACCACTGGAAACCACCAGAAGTAATTGCCTGTTTATTTAATCTATTTTAGTTTTGACTGAATTAAAATTTAGCCACGGAATAGGACTAAAAATAGTCCCATGTATGAGTTAGAGCTAGTAAACTCTACAGTTTTTCATTCGACTGGGCACCTATGGAAGTTAATTCTTGATTGAGTTACAAACTATAACCTTCACAGATAATTACCAAGGATAGTGAGTGAGTGTGTAAGTTTAGTTTTACGCCGCACTCAGCAATATTCCAGCTATATGGCGGTGTCTGTAAATAATCGAGTCTGGACCTGACAATCCAGTGATCAACAGCATGAGCATCGATCTTCGTAATTGGGAACTGATGACATGTGTCAACCAAGTCAGCGAGTCTGACCACCCGATCCCTCTAGTCGCCTCTGATGACAAGCATGGGTTACTGAAGATCAATTCTAACCCGGATCTTCACGGGTACCGAGGATAGTGACTTGTATTGAGTAACATATACTACTAAACAGAAGTTAAGGAATACCCAATTCTTCTACATTACCAATTCTTTCAGATTACTACAGTTAACTTGGCATGACAGATTAACCATGTGAGATGAAAGAATTGAGAGATCATTAACTTCTTTTGAGAAATATATATCCAGTTGACAGTATGACGAATCAGTACACCTGACATTACTTCAGCACCACCCTACTGACAAACTGTCAAGGTAGGATGAAACAGGACCTGCCAGGTGACAAAACAATCCTCAGTCAGGTGTGCTGATAAACATTGGACATATCCCCTGAAGAGTTTTGCCATCACAATCTGACCGGGCAAGTTATGACATAAAAGGCAACTGAAACACAGCCTTCTAGTTCAGACTGGACATCACTACCACACAGAGTTGTCCCTTAACAAACTAGGAGAAGTAACGTACAAAGTCACATTGATGAACACTGGGATTTATTTAGGATTTCAAACTACAAGACTGTGCATGGCGAACTGCTGATATTTACTTATTTTTCAAACTTGGCATCTTTTGAGAGTTTCCTTTCTTTTCATATAGGTATTTAACATCATATTCAATACAATAATGTAAAACTAATGATTATAGACTTATTCTCTTTATTGGGCCTGTAATCTGTTCATTACAAGTGACCTCAGCAAAGCCTAGTATTATCTCTAACCACACCATACACGATAAGATTATGCAAAATTTTGTCCTGGTATTAGTGACAGATTTGGGACTGAATATAGTGGCTTCTGACCAGTTGTGTATACATCCATGAACCGGCAACTCAGCTAATCTCAGTTATAAATATCATTTGTGGAAAGTAAGATAATATATTCTGTTGGCCAGACGTTCATTCCTGGATTAATGGCTCCAACCCAGTATGTCAGTTTGCCAATGTTTTCATTCTGTATGTATAGATATATGACCTAAAACCTCTAAATTAATAGTAATATTCTCAAGGATCTAAAAACATTGCAACAAGCATGGACTTCCAAAAACACATATCTTAACTGAAATCATTTTCATTCCATGACCGTTTTCTTATCTGTACTAATTAACAGTAAGCCTATCTGTAATATAGGAAGAGATCAGACTGGCCCTAAAAGCAGTACATACATGTTGTGATCAAGTAATCTAACATGATAATTCCAATAATGAAATGGTAATTGGTTTCCTTTACAAAAGTACAAAAATGTGTTACATACATCATAAACAAAGAAAGACAGTAGAATTTATATAAGATCTTGATTCATATTGCACTTTCGGAAACAAAATTGGCTTCAATTTATCCTCATCTGACTATGAGCAAATGATAAAAGACAACAAAGGGACAACACAGGTGTCGTGTCTAGCCCTGCAGTAAGCAATACTGTTGGACCGCCCTATAAGCTCACAACACTATGCACTGCACTGGTGCACCAACACATGCTTATAATTACCGTACATATTACATGCTCTTCAGTCTTATTTTATCAGCACTGTCCTCAATCAAGTCAGGAATTCTTAAGATTATGTGCATGGGTTTTTTGGATTCATAAGATCAGGCCCAGTATTGACAGAAATGTGTTGATGTCTTTATCATGGACAACTGGCATCAATACTGACACAGGAAAATATCACCTATCTGCTAAACTCTTCAAAACTAGATCATAATCAGGCACTTTTCTGTGCTAAAGAGTTTATACCCTGGTAAACAATATACTTACAGGAACATCAGTGCATCGCCTCCTTGCTGAGGTGATTTCTCGGACACATGCTGTGCGTTTATTCAGAACTCCTACATTACAATGACAATGCACACGTTAACTATGTTAACATCAGGAAGTTTTTACTGCAAAACAAGTAGGAAGTTTGTACTGCTACACTTTCTATAAGAAATGAGTGTGTTTCCATCACTGCTGTGTTTCCTCACAAATATCACAGTTTAGTATTCTACCCTATAACAAAAGTAAATCACTTGGCTACCCTATGAACAATCGGCTCATTCTAATTCATCTATTCTGATTCATTGCCTTCATCTATATTCACCCTCATACATACCTAGCCTAATGAATGTTTTATCGCGGCTTAGTGACAGATCTAGGGTCATAGTATGGCCCTGGGCCCCGTTTTCACAAAGCTCCCGTAAGCCTAAGATCTCATAACTTTTCTCGTAGCAATCGTACCTTCTATACTGTAACATTGACTTATGATAGTCGTAGCGCTACAAGAACTTTGTGAAACGGGCCCAGAAACAGAACATCTATATTTCGTACCTAATGAGAGCTAGTGTGCAACGCAAAGGCCAAATGACAGAGCAGAATGACAGCTTCACAACAAAGGCTATTTAGAAAAGGTTTCACACATGGTGTCCTTGTGAGGAATAGATTATGCGGGTTTGATCTGCCCAGTAACCCCCCAAGAGACCACGACCATGACAGATCGCAGGTCACTACATAAAACCTGTATATTACTTTAAAGTGGACTAGAATGAAATGCTGTTTACAACTGACTAATCAACCAGGTCACACTGTTACACTGTCTGCAAAGAGATCACCAGCTGAAAACAAATCTCAGTGGAGTAGAACTATCACACAGCTGTTCAATACAGGGGAGCATATCCCTGCCTCACAATATTGTTCTGGAGAAGGTTCCAGTATATCTGTGCATCAAGCCAGCCATGACACAGGTCAACTCTTGTCAGAAAAAATACATTTTTGCTACTTTGTTCGGTAACAGTGAATTGTAACATCAGAGTATTTTTCCTGTTTATAAAACAAATTTAACAGAAGAACAAAATTGTAAAACATACCAACTACTCCAGTTAACATAGGGAGTTTTCTAGTAGTTGTACATGTACCAAACTTGGCTAAAAGACTGGTGTAACAGACTTAACAATACAGGTGATCATAATGATGTATCTGCTCTATCTTGAGGCTCGTGTCACGCAGTGAGGAAGTCTAAAGCTTTGTCACGATCCATATTCTCCTTCACAAGAGCTTCTCTGATCTTGTCCTCACCAAATCCTAATTCCTGGAACTGCACAAACATCTCGAGGTACTTCACAGCCTGAAATATGAAGAATGTGCTAGTTCAAACAGATATTCAGTCGTTTCAGAGAATGAAAACAAGAAGGTCACCTTCACAGCCTGAAATATGAACTATGTGCCAGGACAAAACTGATATTCAGTCTTTTCAGAGAATGAAAACAAGAAGGTGGCCTCCACCTTCCTGAAACTACACTTCCTCCTTGAAACAGACAAACAATGAAAAACAACACTGAAACACATAAAGTTTACCATAATTTTAAAACTCTTTACAAATGTTCTTATATCTCAAGCACCAATGGATCAATAAATATCCCTTAAAAGCAAGGAAGTACAAGTAAGCTATTCATTTCTGTGCCTGAGGGAAATGAGTTTTAACAATTATGAACTACTCAGTAAAAATGTTTGGTTCACCAAAGGATCGAATAATCTAAGCAAGGGAAGAAAGCTATTAAACATAAAATACTCAATGAAGCTGATCATAATTAAACATCATACCCACTCTGTGAGAGGTTTTGCAGAATTTTTGTCTGATCATAATCAAAAAAATAATAAAGTTGTTTAACAAACTATCATTAAAATATTGACACAGTTCACTGTTTGTTACGAGGAGGAGTGCAGAGAAAGGGACAGCCAGGTGTTAGAAGCACGTTCACAGACAAAGGTATTTATTCATTAACCTGTGCTGTGCCATCTCCATCCATTCTCGAACACCTGGCTCCCTATGAACTACAACTGTGTCAATATTTTTAATGATAGATTGTTAAACAACTTTTTCTTTTAGGACAAAAATTCTTCAGCTACACAGAGTGGGTATGAGAATTTTGATTATGATCAGCGCTCATTGAGTATTTTATGTTTATTAGTTTTCGAGTTAGATTGCAATTCATTGGTCCGCTTTTGAGCCAAACAGACTATACATGTGTTACAATCAAAGTATAGCATTCAGCTACACAGAAGCAAAGTCTCCAGATGTAGACTACGCTTACTCTGAGAAACTATATGAACTTGATAGTAACAAAGAACTTCATTTAAATTGAAAAGAAGCCCCAGTGATATGGGAGATTTAGGACAGAGGATAACCTAGACTTGCTTCATTTAGTGTGTTTGCATTACAGTTAGGGCTGGAGAAAGGAAAACAATATGGTTCAGTGTTGCAGGTGCTAGTACAAAAACAGCACCCTTTTATAATACCCAGAATCAATGGGTGTCTTTTCTCTACTTTTCATCATTCCTTCACTAACTTATGTTGAAGGGGTTGTCTGAGGTCAACATGTTGTACATAAACCTGACCCACTTACCTTCAGAAATAGGTTTGACAACAATCAATACAACTGAGACCAATGACCAAATTGATCATTGTGAACATGTACATGCAAAAAAAACCCATACAAGTTTAATTAAATCTCGATGGAGCCAACCGTACCTTTGGGAAATTGTTGTTGAACAGATTCAGTGCCACCTCAGCACGGATTGGGTTGAATCCTTTTTCTACCAGATTGTTCACATGACACAAGTACTCCACCACCTGAAAACAAGATAGCAGTTAGAATATGTCTACCATGTCCACAGAGGCTTAACTTACCCATATCAATGTGCAGTAATCATGGTAATATTTCTGTATGTGCAAGTTATCTTATCGCCTATAACTGACAGTGATGGAGTACATTGTAAAGTCCTGAAAAACCCTATAACAGAATAAATTCCTGAAAAACCCTATAACAGAGTAAATTCATGAAAAACCCTATAACAGAATAAATTCATGAAAAACCCTATAACAGAGTAAATTCATTAAAATACACTATCCCAGAGTAAATTCATTACAATACACTATCCCAGAGTTAAATCCTAAAAGAAACAATTAACAGGCACTGGGTGTGAGTTGGTTTAAATATGAGGTTGCATTTTGCAGTTTCAGATTGCACCAGTTAAGTTCTAAATCTGTAAATAGAGCCCTCAATATGGTTCAGTGAAACACTACAGTAAATTATGTTCATAACAGACATGCTTAAAATGAGTGAGTGAGTTTAGTTTTACGCCGCACTAAGCAACATTCCAGCTATATGACGGCGGTCAGTAAATAATCCAGTCTGGACCAGACAATCCAGTGATCAACAGCATGAGCATCGATCTGCACAATTGGGAACCAATGACATGGTCAACCAAGTCAGCGAGCCTGACCACCCGATCCCGTTAGTCGCCTCTTACGACAAGCATGGGTTACTGAAGGCCCATTCTAACCCGGACCTTCATGGGTTTGCTTAAAATGAACTGACAGATAAAACAAACAGTTTCTTGGTCCCTTCTACCTGCTGTATGTGTTAGTTGTTATGAATGTCAGTGAGCGATTTGGGTTTTACGCCACTTTTAGCAATATTCTTGCAATTTCACGGAGGGGAAACTGGGTCTTCAGCATGACGAGCGAACGCTTTAACCATTAGGCTACACTACTGCCCTAGTTGTAATGTGTATAATGAACTATTAGGAAACAGCCACACAGAAATTTCATCTGAGAAAATCACATTGTCCCAGTTAAAATTTCTATGCTGTAAGAACCAGTTCAACATTCGCTCCTTTTGTTCAGGTTTCATGATCGGTGATGGAATTCCTCGACTTTTCTGCCAACCCATTGCATGTAGCTCAGTTCTAATTGTCTCCTTACAGACAGCCACAGTTTCTCTATCTATCATATCCAGCCTTAAGTTTTCTTAACTCCTTTGTTTGTTTTTAGAAACAAGAATACCAAGCCGCCGCCTCCTGTCACCGACAGTCAATTTTCTGGGCCTGCTCCCTGCTGCTCAATGCCATATCCATTTGCAATATTTTTCAAAACACGATAAACAGTGGACAAAGGGATGCCTGTTCTACTTGAAATGACTTTAGCTGATCTGGTGTCCTTGTTATAATACTCTAAAATCAACTTCCCTCTCTCTAAATCATCCATACTGAGGATCACTGAAAATGTCGTCTGCTAGCAAGTAAACAAAGGGGGATAACTCTTCACAAACTAATGAAAAAAGGATTAACGGAGTTGTCTCTCTTCAATGAAACCAAGCACTTGATAGCTGGTCAAGGTTGTTTATACAAGAAATCCAATAAAAAATATTCCTAAAATTCTCAATAATTTCTGGTCATACTATATATAACAAAATTATAATAGCTCTAAATAACAACAGTGATTTTCCAACAGAGTATGTTATCGCCTAAGTAACATCAGTGGTCATTTTGAGCTTGTTATAACCCTAGTTGACTGTATCAGGGTGTTACCTCGACTCACAGACATGAGTGTCCTAGGGACCCCAAATTATTTGCCTTAAGGGTCCTTGCGGGCCTATGAGTTTCCTGTGAAGGAACAGTGTAGAGAACACTACGTTTTGATAATTTCTTAAGAGCCTGGAATGAATCATCACTGATCATGCATGTAACTGCTCTGAACGAAGCAAACAAACTCTTAACAAAGATGTGTTGTGGGTACAGTGAATCATTTCTGGACACAGTGATTGTTTTTCGCGTCCATTCTCTACACTTGAGCGTACTGGAAGAACATTTGCGCATTGTATACCATCATCACCTGTTTTTCGTCTGTTCCCTGGCTATGTACAGCCCGAGCCACCTGCGGTCGGGAGAAGCCCATGGAGATGATGTTGGCAGCAAACTTCTGTGCCTCGCTTGAGAGGGACGCGTAAGGGTCGAACTCGGAGGGACTGGTGAGATCCGAGCTGCTGGAGGATGAGGATTGCACAGAGGTGGACATGACATCAGGGGTTGGGGGCAGGGGTTTGTAGGGGTTCCAGGTCTGAAACCACAAATACACATCAGTTTGACTGATGCATAAACTTACCAAGCTTAGAAATCTCCTTCAAATTATTTTTTGATTTGTTGACATTAAGAGTATGCGAGGCATTTGTTTCAAGCCACTTAGAGAGTTCTAATGAATGCATGATAAAAATCATATCAATAGTATGTCGGATACAAACTATGCGATCATACAGAAGCATATGTTTATCAAAATATCAATTAAATCTGAATAATTACTTTCAGGATCAGGATCAAATTTCTTAAAGAAAAACAATAAAGCAACAAAAGACAACCTCAAGTGAAACTCAAAGTGAATATAAAGAAACAATGATAGAGCACTGTAGTAGTTTGCATGCTCAGTTTAATGTAAACACGGTAACTATGGTAATACAGAAATTTCAGACAGACAGACAGACAGACAACAGAAAAAGGATGCTAAGCTACGAATCATGCACACATGCATATTTATAGTTTGCTAGTTACTAATCTAGAATGATTAAATAAGCATCAACTACTAATAATGAATGTCAATGATATGAAGAATCATGCCCATCATTATCATGACCATCAGTGCCAATATGACCTCACAAGTGTAACACTGTAAGTCACAGGTCATATGGTTTGTACAGGGCCAGGGCATCAGTAGGCATTTCAGCCATGTTGCTAAGCTGCAGGCAACCCACCTGTCCTGACGATGGCCTTGACGGTGGTGAATTAGATAGAGGATACACGGTAGAGTTGTTGCTATGCTTCGAGTACAAGTCAGGGTTACTTCGTGCAGGTCTCATACTTGCCTCGCTCTGTTGTGCAAGTGTGACGGGAGACCCCTCCCGATGTCGACTGTACTTGTTCAATACGCCATTCCTAACATCAGACGTGGTCCCTGCTACGATTGTCATACTGGGCTCAGGGACACTGTTTTCACTTAACGTCTTTGCTAAACTATCTAGCCCGGGGGACGACACTGGTCGGACTTTTGACACTTGGGTACCTATCGGGGGTAACACTTGTCTGTATATCATATTGCTTGCAGCAGGATCCACTCTGGGACCACTGTTGTCAACACTGTCTACAGTTTCGTTGTCACTGGCCTTGTAGGAGACACTGTTATTCCCCTGACTGTTGTAGTCTAGCCGCAGTTCAACATAATCACCCTCCTCGAAGGGCTGACTCCGAGGAACGAACACTGGCACAGGACTGACTCTCTCCCTGTCACTGCCAGCCTGCTGTGATGCTGGGTTCTGTACATCTGTATTTGACACGGCGCCATTGAAAGCAGGGCTGTTGCATGTGTTGTTTGACATGTTGGTATCACAGTTATTTGTACTGTTGCTAGGTGACACGTCTGTCGGGGGATTATTTTGAGGCCCTAGCAGAGTTTTGAGTTCTTCCATTTCATCTATCAACTGACGTTCAACATTCTCAAATGGGTCATCCTCCCTCTCAAACAGAGCGAGATCAAAGTCGACAGGCTTTGTGGTTTCTTGTTTAACAGGTTCAACAGTCTTTGCTGGCATGATGGGAACTGGTGTGAGGATATCACTGGACATGGTAGCAATTGCTGGCTGGGGCAGAAGTGCAGGTGCTTGCTGGGGGAGTAATGCACTTCCCTGGAATGGTACCTCAGCTGTTCCATTTTCCTCCCCACCTGAGCTATCACTATCATCTGAATCATGTGGTTGAGATAACTCTTGGATAGCATTGGCCACCTTTTCTGCCTTCAGCCGCTCTTGTTCTACCTTGGCCTCTTCTCGTGCTTGTGCCCACCGCAACACAGCCTCTTCTGTCTCAAACAGGTACTGAAAGAATAGCAGCATAGACATACAAATGGGTTAGTGAATATTGCTTCACTTCTTTGAGTGGCATTTAAGAAGTTGGGAAGTACAATATAGAACAAACTTTATGGATAAAAACTTCTTTTTATTCGTGAGTGCGACGTTTCGATACAGATTCTTGTACCGTCATGCTTGACAACGGTACAAGAATCTGTATTGAAACGTCTCACTCACGAATAAAAAGAAGCTGTTATCCATAAAGTTTGTTCTATATAATATTGCTTCAGCAAAATATCAGCAAGATCAGGTAGAAGCTCAAGAAAGGTACACACTTTATCCAATGCAAATCCAATCTACAACTTCAGTTCACTGGGCAAACCCTTGAGGACCATTCCACATATTGTTAGTACATCATTGTCACAAAATAAATGGTTCCCTTGTTAGACATGTTAGGCTTGTCATTCAGGGGATCTGTTGGTCAGACTCGCTGACTTGGTTGACACATGTCACTGTATCCAAATTGCATAGATTGATGCTCATGATGTTGATCACTGGATTATCTGGTCCAGACTTGATTATCTACAGGCCTAATAGCTGGAATATTGCTGATTGCAGCGTAAAACACAAATAAATCAACTAAAACAACAAGCAGTGTCAATCAATTGAATAATTATTTAGCATGTTTATTGTGGATGAAGCTAGAGATTATCTGAGCTGGTCATCAGGATCATATCTATCATCATAATGCGATAGTCCAAGAACAAAAAACACCTCTGCTCAAGTCACGTTTAAACAGGATAGAACAGAATTTCATGTTACCTGCAGTTAATGTTTTCAGGATATATACATTTATAGAAAATCTGAGGTGTAAGACACTGTATTGCACTTACTTCATCATTCACAACTCGGGAGGCACTGGCTGTATCCTTGAACTCAGGTGGTAGGAAAACCTGCAAATTGGTGAAATCAATGAAGACTTTCAAACAAGATATCAGAGAGATGAAATCGTGAGTGAAATATAGACCGGCATTATTACCTGTAAAGGAGTGATTGTGGTTTAACACTCCTTAACATAGTTCCAATTTTCCGCAATGTGCCTGTTCTATTTCTTTCAAACAGTGTTCCATTTAAGGAACTTGATTTAATTTGCAATTTGCGTGATGACAAGAAGACGTCAAACATAACCTGCTGTACACTTGACTCAGAATTAAACAAAGTTGAAACATAGGACAGTTTCACATTAATAAATGATACATTACTGTTAATTGTAAGAAGGAAATGTACACACAATCTAAAAATACCCACAGTTTATGACAAAAAGTCCCAGAGAGCAAGACAATTTATCCAAACCATAAGGATTAGTAATGTAGAATGGTGAGCAAAGTGAAGCGATACTGAGTGTGATCAACATGATCAAAGTAAATGTTTCGTCACATAAAAATTAGACTTTTTACACACACTTTGTGCATGCAGACCTTAATAGTTGGGTGCATTTTCAGTAACAGATGAGGTGAGGTGAAATTGGGTTTAACGTCATGCTTGAGAATATTTTGCTTATATGACGTGCATGAGTGTTATGTGTATGTGCAGCTGCTTGTACTAGCCCAGACTTAAGCTGGTTTTATAGTGCTAGCCCACTGAGATACCATGCCGCAGTGAAGCATGAATACCCCACTCAGACACATTATACTGACTCCGAGCCGACAAGTCCTTGTTGTACCCATTAATGCCGAGCGCCAGGCAGGGACCAACAAGTACCATATTTTAACGTCTTTTGGTATGAAGCGGTCGGGGATTGAACCCACGACCTTCCGCTCTCCGGGCGGTCGCTCTAACCACTACGCCACGGAGCCAGTCAGTAACAGGTAACACTGGTGCAAGACATATATAGCTACATGAAGCCCTGTACAGACCTCATTCATGATGGTAATACAAACATGTTACAACAGAAACATGTATCATGATGTATGACTTTCATGATCATAATAAACAGATTCACCTATAGAAACACTGGATCATTTAATGTGTAACAATACAGTGTGGTTATGTTTTTAGGGCTTAATATCAGGACATTATAATGCATTGCTGTATTGCTTCAAAATTATGGATCATATTGGATACAAAATTGTGCCTTCATTTACAACTAACATCCAACTGTTTATCCTTGTTTATCTAATATTTATTCTGGAATGTAATTTGGGAGTACACTTATTCTAGTACATTTGGGGGTTGAGTCCCATCCGGGATGAGGTATCTAATCCCCGAAACACAAAGACACAAAAAATAAAATATCTTACATTTGCATTGGGTATTTCGTCTGGAAATGTCAGGTCATGGTTGTAAACAAGAACTGGAACTTACCCTTGGTGGTGGTTTGAATTTGAGTCCCACTTTGAAAGGCACTCCATCTAGACAGGAATTGCTGGACGCTAGACCTGAAACATCATCCAGTCACCATGAGCAAAAAGTTCGAGGAGAATCTGACATAATTCTGACTGAATATCTGTCCAATTCACAAACATGCATTTAGCATGTTCAGCTGCGACTTACAATGTTTACACATACACCACAGCCATACCCCACAGTGTTAGAACATTTAGAGAGAAGGTGTTTTATCCCCAAATCTAGTTATGTTACCCTGAACAAGCTGAAATGAACCATGGGCTAGTTACTAGGGGTGAAATGGTACGCTCTTACCATGGTAGTGCACGTATAGCGATACAAGGCATACCATGGTACGGTACGTATAGCGATACAAGGCCTTCGGTTCGGTCCGTTTCGGTTCGGTATATGAGATATGATCATAATGCAGAAAATTGACAAGAGCCAAACCTTACATTGTTTAATATTATAATAACATGTGGGGAAAATAACCATAATCTTTGTTGTTTTGAATGAACTAAACTGTCATTTTATGACTAGATAGAAATGATGGTTCGAAAACTGACAATACCAAATTTTTGGATTGCACTACGGTATACCAAACTGAAGGCAAAATACCGCGGTTCTACTAATACCGCAGTATACCGTTTCGCCCCTACTAGTTACATAGTTACTAGTGTCTACATCTGAAAGCATGAACAAGCTGAAACACAGGAGTGTGTATTACCATTATTACTGTACAGGGATTGAAATAGTGCTTCATTGTGTGCCATGGCACGGTAAATATTGAAATGGCAAGAATGATACATTTTCAGTGTGTCCTGGTAGCACAACTATTGAACATTCTAAAAATAACATAACATGATTCATTTAATGGAAAATGGGACAAATCTGACCAACTGAAATGATTTAAATCCTACCTTTGCACCCCATCCAACTGTTATTGATGCACTCTCAATTTCACAGCCTAAAATGGGTGTGGCCATTTGGAATGCCAGTGTACATAACAGGAAATCTTGTTTTAAATGATAACTTAGTTTGTCAGTTAGTTTATGGGTGCAGGACAAATGAAGCTGAACTATTCTTGCAGTCATTATAGTGTTCAGGAAATCCAGTTCTCAAGTTTACAGGTTTACATGATGTTTACTTATTTATCAAACGATAAAATAATTTTGAGTAATTGTTTCATTGGATCATCAAAAGGTATGGGCACACATATTTTCACAAAGGCACACCTAAATTATCTGTCTCGTGCCCTACGACACATTTCGAAAAAAAATTGTATTTCTATCCCTACCATATTATTAACACTGTCAGACACCATTCTGCTGTAGACAACTGGCATTAGCATGCTCTTGCTTTCACTTTCAGTTTGCTGTTTAACACTGCACTCAGTAATATTCAAGCTAACATCATCACCACCACCATTGTCATTATATAGCAATAGGAATGAAAGATTGCACCTTCAATGGTCAGTGTACTTTACTTAGCACATGCTTAATCATGCTGTTAATGGAAGATCATCCTCAATAATCTCCAGGGTATACGTTACGATAAATCTCCACTATACCCTGAATGCATCTGCGGCATGGCCCGATGATTTTATTACCTCCCTTTGCTGGCTCCGCATTCTCACACTAGACAATCAGATAAGCCGCTGTTACAACCAAGCTTGCCAGTGTCATCAAAGATGGCAGCCGCGAAAGTTTGTTCGCAGTGCGACTCAGATTTGGGGGAAAAACATGCAGAAAAATTGACAGGTCTGAAACCTTAAAAAATATATGCAAAAACTCCTTCTACCTCTTTCAGAGTACCTCTGCAACAATATATTATTGTGTTGCCAAGTTTAATTGGTTGGAGATTATCGAGGACGATTGAAGATATGAATGAAATACTTGTAATAAGTACCTACCTGTGCTAGAACTTCTAGAATGACTTCTGTTGTATGGGTAAGCCATTTCTTTTGTGACCTACAAGAGATTGAACACACCAGTCAGAGTTTCAGAACATGGCAAGAAAGGATATTATTCATCGAAGTACACACTGGTACAATCAAAGTTTGGACATTCTTTGGGATTAAACATGTTACAGGTCCATTGCTCAGTGTTCTTCATGATCAAAACCATATTGATAATAATCATATATATACAAGTAACATACTTCCCATATTCATTGCTCATACAAATACAGTGTATGTAACCTAGGAACAAAACTGCACATACCAGGGATGGCAACAGGAAAATCTAGACAGACGATTCACAGAATTGATCAATTTGAATAAAATAGCGGAAAATTGCCATAACTGACATCCTAAAGGACAAAAGACAAAGTCATCCATATCTACAAAGTTACACAATGAAATTCTCCAAAAGTGTGAGTGAGTGAGTTATGCTTTACGCTGCTTTTAGCAATATTCCAGCAATATCACAGCGGGGACACCAGAAATGAGCTTCACACGAAATTCTCAAAGAAAATGATTATCAATATGAACGTTTGAAATGTATGATCAGCATCATCATATATCAGGATGGAAAAGGTTTAACAAACATTCACAAAAGTGTTGTTTCTGAACATAACACATTATTCTGGAACGTGGTGTTCCAGCATATATCAGGATATTCATATAGTTAGGATATAGATATAATTTAGCAGGGTTTTGGAAATTACTTGATCCTGATTGGTCAATTAAAGGTATCAAATTGTCATAACCATCCACTGGCTGAAACAGCCATATCACTGCAAAAATTATTTTTTTTTATAAAAAAGTACTTTGTTCATTGTTGGTTGGTAGTTTTGAACAATATATATGTAATATTTTCTGCATCACAACTAGCAGTATCATGTTATGACAGTGATCAGTGGGATGAGGAGGTTAACCTTTTCTTGAATTCCTTTATGTGTGCCTGCGCCTGCATGACACATCCCATCTACAGCTTGTTCAGCCTGACCTGATCAAGTGATGACTAATGTATTGCGTGACCGTGTCACAACTGGTTGGGTCTATTATTGTGATGGGGTGCACCTTTTTCAGTTGATTGTCAACATGTCCGAACAGCCGAGACAAGGTCGCCGTTTGACATCTCAGTGTCAAGAAATCGTCAGCAATGTCTTTACTTTCTTTGAAAAAAGAAGCTACAGATGGTTTAATGTTTCTGATTCATGAAATAGAAATAGTGATAATTGAACTGGGTTTAGAGGGTGATAGCGAGAGTGAATCGGATTGTGAAAGTAACTGACGTCTGTACGTTATAAAGTTAGTAAACCAAGCTAGATAGCATATGACTGTATAAACAATTCAATTAAAACATGAAATGATTATTTTTTCAGAAATGTTGTTTTCCCGGACAAGTTCTGTAACGAATCCATGTATGCATAAATTACATTCTCTGCTCCCCTATTTAATGAAGTTAACTCGACCTGCCGTTTTTGCCATTTGACCTCCCAGGTCATGCATATGTAGAGTAGCTCAGGTCAAGCTGAACAAGCTGTAGTGTTAAATGGGAGTAAGATAGAATGATGTTAAAAAACTTAAAAACCAAAAACAAATGTTTGAGAATGTCATGCACAAAACAAAAAGTTTTGTTAAATTGCTAGTATTCAAGTTATAGGTGTATCCTTTTAAAGTCAGTTTGACAACTAACTCCAAACCTTGCTACTCCACTTAATATTTTGCCTTGCACCAAAGAGTTTGCGTTGAATTTGGTCATGACAGAATGGAGGCAATTCAATTGGAGCAGGCTTTCATAATTTTCAGTAGAATTATTACATGGACTTTTATGAGATGAGCTAACGACACCAAACAAACTTTAATAGACTAAGGCTTCAGAGTCAGACTAGTGGCTAAAGAAGCAACCCTGTATATTTAACCTTACTAAACTGGAAACCTTACACTGCATGTCCCATGCCAAATAACTCTAACCTGTCTACAGGTTACCTCTGCATGTTAATCTCCTAAATGAACTCACACATAGTGAAAGTCAATATTTAAAAGGTTGATATGTCATCCTTCCTCTTGTTGGTTAACAAACAGACCCAAACAAGCTCAAAATGTGTTCGATAACAGCATGTGGACTTACACAACCAATGTAAACAAAGGATAAATATGCAAATGCAAAGTATTCTTCTATTAGGACTTTCACAATGAGGTTAATCATGTCATCAACATAAAACAGCTTAAATGGACTGTGAGATGTAGCAGAGGGATCTATGATGGCCACTTGGACCTTTTGTGTAGTCTGCAAAGTGACTGCATCGTCTGCGTGGCTTCACAGTACCGAGGCCTTCATATTGTATTTGTAATCTATGCTTTGATCAACACAGGCTTTTCATCCATCAAGCTGGCAAATAGTATCTTGTAACTCATGCATGAGAAAAAAACACTTGAGCTTTCTCTTCATTTTGCCAATGACAACATTATTTTGTGGATCACCTGTGTTGTCCACTGTGAAGAGATCTAAACTTTACCTGAATGATCCTGAAAGATCCAAAAGCGTGAAGTCACAGTTGGAAAATATTTAAATACAATTAAAAATAACCCAAGCATTCTTTATGTAATTGGTAATTTAAATACTGTGAAGGTGATAATGGGAGGAGGGAAAGGTGCACTTTGTAAAATACACACCTATTCAGACAATTGCCAATGCCACATAGTCTGTAAATCCAAAAGCAATTGTTTCATAAAGAGTAAGGTAAACACAATAAAAATGGACATTACGATATGCTATTTTCAGGTTATCCGGAAGCCATAATGTGAAAGTACTGGTCACAATCAACACCCTCAAACATCAGTTCCAAAGAGATGTAAACATTCTTCTGTTTTCTTTCAGACCAAACTGTCAACATTTTTTAAGCGCTTTTTCCTCATGTGTCATCTCTGAGCTGTCGCTTCAGACTGTTGTTTTGCGACGAGAACTAACCAAGCCTGCACGATACGGATAGTTGTTTCACAAAATTGGAACCCTTTTAAAGGTAACAAGCGAAGATAAAGCGTTTCTGAATAATCGGAGGCAAAACTCACACATCAGTTTATCTCCAATGAAACCATTGCGAAATCGTCACAAGATCTTGACATCTAGTTCCCTTTTACTCATTCTTCAGCCATTTTCTCCACAGACGTCACTTCCGGAAACAACAGAAGGGAGGTAACCAATATTTACACACGAATTCAAGTGATGAATCCTTTTAACAAAATATTCGATGTTTTGGTCCAGAGCGTATTTATTTTCTTCTTCACTTTTTGAGTTCACTTTTTCAGTATGAATGAATATCCTATCATTCAAACCAAAGATGAGAAAATGGACTGTAAAATACCAACGAGATGTAGTTTAATGCACTTCAGAGCACATGAATTCAAATCATAGTAATCAATCAACACTTCCTATCAACACTAGTATGTTCATGAACAAAAGAACAGAAGTGTTGTTGTAGTTGATTGTAAAATGACCAATAGAAATGAAAATCGTTTTATATCAATTGGTGAGTGAGTGAGTTAAGTTTTACGCCGCACTCTGCAATATTCCAGCTTTATGGCGGCGGTCTGTAAATAATCGAGTCTGGACCAGACAATCCAGTGATCAACAGCTTGAGCATCGATCTCTGCAATTGGGAACCGATGACACGTGTCAACCAAGCCAGCGAGCCTGACCACTCGATCCCGTTAGTCGCCTCTTACGACAACAATGGGTTACTGAAGGTTCATTCTTACCCAGACCTTCGCGGGTCTTATATCAATTGGAGAAACCCAGTTCGCTGACTTAGTTGACACATTTCATCGTATCCCATTTGTGTAGATCGATGCTCATGCTGTTGATCACTGGAATGTCTGGCCCAGTCTCGATTATTTACAGACCGTCGCCATATACCTGGAATATTACTGAGTGCTGAGTAAAACTAAACTCACTCACTCATCATATCAATTGGCTGAATAATTTGCAACGGATCGAGTGAAAGAATCTTCGTTTCACGTCGTTTTGAACAGTATTACAGTCATCACGATGTGTCAAATCGATGGACGAGGAAAGTCCGAAATAATCCTGATCTGGAATATTTACTCCTCTCGTGAAACAAACAGACTTTGATACAAAATCAGGGCGAATCAGTGTCTTTAATTCGAAGATACGATCATAGCTTCCCGACACATTCGCCAGACAAACTCCTTTTGACGACTTGGTTCACAGAAACAACAACAGAATATGATAGCGTGAATTACTCCTTGTGATTATACAACTGTGAGTCTAAACTAGTTTCTGAAATGAACATATTTTACTGAAAAAAAGTTCATAGTAAAAAAAAAATATATAATGAAAATGAGCCCTGAGACTTTCTTAATTTTCAGAAGAAAAACAACAATGTCGGCCTAATCTCTTCATTTAAGGCTGGTAGAAGTCTTACAGATGCAAATACTTAAAAGGAACATCCGGTAACCATTGATGATATATTTCTAATTGTACAGATATGAGTTTAAACCACTGCGGTATAAAATAATGAGATTCGACATCGTAGAGGTATTAATGTTTCGCGGTGATAAGAAACCGACACGTTTAAGATGACTTACCTCCCTTTGACTAGTCACGGAAGTTGTCACCAGTCTGTTGGTAAGCCCTTCCTTTTTCGCTATTTTCACGTACGGTGGACCAAAGGGGTGAGCAAAATGTATCAAGAGGATTATGATTCAAGGACTCTGTCAGGTCAATATACTCAACAGTTCTGTCATTGTTACAGTGTAGCTGTTATCGTCGTCCGAGGTATTCCCTGAAGCTGTTGTCCCTAGCCCAGAGACCACGGGCAGGCCAAATGGTTCAGTTGACAAGGGTTAACAAGCGGGGTGCTGTTTCTGTGTTAGTTGAATGCGTAGATGTTGCGTTGACCCAGTTCAGTCCTGCATGCTAATTGCTGGGTATTTTCTAACTTCGTACAATGGTGTGATTCTCATATGCAATAATAACGCTAGTGTATCCAAACAGATTACTGACAGAATAACATAGGGCGTGACCTATATTTGCTATTTTAGAATAAAGATCTCGAGTTACTGTCAGATTGAACTACATCACCCAACATATGATTGAAGACTCGGAATGTATGGATAACTGAAACCAATGAACTGTGGAATGCCTAATTTGAGACCACGCATGAGTTTTATACGAGACGGCGATTCTGAATTGTACCCCGCCCAAAGTTATATGGTCAGTTTAAGACGTTGTGCAGTTTCGATCCAATTTTCCAAGTTGTCAATTAAAACGAGCACGTACATTACGCCTGGGAAATATTAACTTTTGTAAACGTATTAACAGCGATTCTGAAAAAGAAATCATCTTGGTGAAATCGATCTCGTTCTCGGAAAGGCATTCATTGACTTGAATTCCCTCGACTATTCAATTACATTTCTCCGAAGGGGGCATGCAATATATCAGTATTAACTACCATGGCCGATCGCATCATGCATCACGCATTTGAACTTTTTAAACCCTAATAGAGACATGTGGCTATGTCTCCTTGAAGTGTTTTGTGACTGTCAATGTACGATTCAATGGGGTTCCAAATTAGTGTAGACCGTATGGGGCAATATTGCTCACATTGAGTTTCATAACTTTCCGATATATGCACGCTATGTTTATGAGGAGTATGACGTCACGTTTGAAAGACTTGTATGTCGTCATGTATTCTTCATGACGTCACATATTGATTTATGGGTAATATTACGGGTTATTATTAATCATATTCATTATAACCTGGAAGTGCGGATATTTGGCGAGGGGCAAACAGCATTCATTCCCAAGGTACAAACTTCCAACTTCTGAGTAGACACACGACCATTCTACCATTCTTGGTAAATCAGCAGACATCCTGATATATTTCTGGAATACTGCTTTAAAGCCGTTTTAATCCCATTTCACTTAGTTTTGGTATATTGTACAGTACATCCCCAGGACGATAGTATAATAGTACAGGGAGAGATAATCCTTTAGTGTAATATTAAATTTTTACGGCAATATTACACTAGCGTAATATCGCTAGACATATGACGTCATAATGGTTACAGTTATGACGTCACGATGCTAATGCCTCTGTCGCAATGGTATCAGACCTTGCTTGACTCGCGGAAAATTGATATGAGAGTCATCACACTGAAGGCAGATTCTATCAATTTATGGTGGAGAGTAATAAACAGGGTGCCGTTCCACTAACCGATCTTAGCCCTATGCCAATCGTAAACCCGTAAAATCCCAATCTTAGCGTGACGTTACGATCGGCATACCGTTCCACTAACCAATCTTACCCAAGTCAATCGTAAAGTTAAGATTCAAAGTCTAAGTTGTTCATGACCAACTTAGGATAGCTAAAATCAATCGTAGAGAAACCAAAATGGTGGCTTTCCTATTCTATGTGAAAAATAAGAGCGAGCAATTTCACCGTGAGCGTCCCCTAAAATCCCCCAGGAAATGAATTTGTATATTTCTGTGATGTAAACAAACACTGCACTGAAGCCCTACAAATGTCAGGCCAGTCTGACCTCTGTCGTCATGGGAACACAACCGAGCGAGTCGGTGTAACACATTTGTACAACAATATTGCAACGTCATGGTTAAGAATAGGGACGGGTCATGAAGTGAACAATGTTCTGAAACAAAAAGATACAAATATGTTTGATTTCACTTGCGCTTATTTGGTGGGGATTCTAAAGGCAGGCCGCGTGTTATTCAAGACCACTGACAGATTCTACATACGTTATAGAGGATGCCTCGTCACGCCTTGTTTATTCTGATTGACAAGGTTCAGGCACATTAAAAGCTCTGACACAATTGACATTTTTAAAGTCCAGACTTAAAACCTGTTCTCAGTATATTACTTATAATCTCGGCTGTAAATACTCTCGTGTAAATTATGTGTACATAGCGCTTTGAGCATGCCCAAGGATGTGGAATAGGCGCACTATAAATATGCATTTATTAGTATTATATTATGCCTGATACCCAGCGTTCACACGCACTTGCACCTGAAACCAAGGTGCTCACTACCCTAATATTTTGCTCTAGGTTTTTATCTCCACGTTTACACTTGGTTGGAAACACAGGGGTATATTTGTAAGAATAATTTTAGAGGTTAAATATTTATTAACATAATTTCCTAAACATGAATCAATATCGAATGCATTTTTACAACCTCTAAAACTATTCTTAAAAATTTACTGTTCCGTACATCATCCAAAATATAGGATTATTGCAAAGTTCATATTTCGCGCCCATTAGCAAACAGTCAAAATCTTACAGTATATTGTATTTTCCACCAATCGGATGGCCCGGTCTACTCCCATTTGCGAGAACTCCCAGTTGCGAGACTCCCAGTTGTGAGACAGTGGAGAAGGTAAGTAGCAAAGAAAACACACCTTACTCCCCTATCTGATAGAATGGATTAACCCCAGCTAATCTATGGCCGACAAGTGAGTATGATTGCCGATGGTTTTGGAGAAAATGTCTGCTTACTGTCGAGGAAATGATTTGTAGATGTTGCAATAAGTTTTTAGACCCATGGTATGCCGCTGCCGATCGAATCTAGCCCTACATAGGTGCTGTCAACGTGGCTGGAATTAATAAACGAATTTAAAAGGTGAGTTTTCGCTGTCTTGGGTGATCCATGATTTTGGCTTGGAATTGCGGAGGTTGCTGTTTTCGGTGAGTCGTGGCGTATAACTTTTGAAATAATGATCCGATTGTGACCATTTATAGCTCATTTTGTAGGGAAATCATCTCGCTTTCGATCCGTAGGCCTCGGCGGGGCCTTAAAAATAGTTTACGTGGTGAAATCTAACTTTGATTGAGGAGGGGGTGGTTCCGTCGTTACATCCCTTTCCTTTTATATAGTACTAGGGTAGGGTCTATATACCTATATGTCTTTCTAACGCTGTTTCTAAGCGTGACACGCCCCTGTGGTTGGAAAAATACCCATGAAGGCCCGGGTTAGAATATTGAACTTCAATAACCCATGCTTGTCGTGAGAGGCCACTAACGGGATCGGGTGGTCAGGCTCGCTGACTTGGTTGACACATGTCATCGGTTCCCAACTGCGCAGATCGATGCTCATGCTGTTGATCACTGGATTGTCTGGTCCAGACTCGATTATTTATAGCTAAGATACATAGCGTTCACTAACATGAACGCTCATGTTAGTGAACGCTATGCATCTTGGCTAGATTATTTACAGACCGCCGCCATATAGCTGGACTATTGCTGAGTGCGGCGTAAATCTAAACTCACTCACTCACTAAGTTGGTTCGTAAACTACTTCCATCATTTGCTAGACTATGCAAAGGGAGATAACTCGTGCCTCGCATTCCTCTATCTCTCGCACGAAAGAGTCGCGATCTAAGCTTGGATCGGATCGTATGATCGGGACCGGCTACGATCGGCCTAAGATTGGGTAGTGGAACGGGTGTAACTTTTAGCTAAGACGATTGTAAAATTGGCGTAACTTGCTAAGATTGATCTTAGATAAGATCGGTTAGTGGAACGGCACCCAGAATACTAAACTCGCTTCCGTGAAATACCATTTTTATTAAACTCGTGAAAATCGCTCGTTTGATACCAAATCATAAACCCGTTTAATAAAAATGGTATTACACGGAAGGTCGTTTAGTATCCTCCATATACACTTCCTTAGATGCCATGGGTTGTTCTCCGGACAATTCATAGTAATTAAAGGCTGGAGTATGGAATCTAAAAACAAAATTTACAATTTTTACAAATACATGTATTGTTCTTTAGCAATATTGGACAATTATATTCCAAGACAAATGACTGGATGTGTTTTATCAAGATATCGTTGCCACGGGTGATCCATTAACAACAGACGTCACAACTTTGTATCCAGAGTTACACCCCCTAGTCCCGCCAGGATCCACTGGTCAAGAGTTCGAATCCCACACTCGCGCAACCTGCGCTACGGTCATTGGTTTTTGCATTCCGTGCTCGTGTGGTTTGACCAATGTAGGAAACGTTCTGCCTCCGGAGACCTTAATCCACTTTAAGCTGGCTGACTGTGATAGCTTTGAAACCAAGATGGGGCGGCGGGGTAGCCCAATGGTTAAATCGCTCGCTCGTCACGCTGAAGACCCGGGTTCAATATGGGTACAATGTGGGAAGCCCATTTTGCGTGTACCCCGCCGTTATATTGCTGGAATATTGCCAAAAGCGGCGTAAAACCCAACTCACTCACTCACTTAAAACCAAGGTTAACGGGACAATAAGCTCATTCATTCACTCATTTCCATTTATCACTGTCATTCCTTTTCAATGAGGGAGATGAGGTAGCCTTGTGGTTAAATCGTTCGCCTGTTTTGCTGAAGAACCCGATTCGATTCCCCACGTGGGTTCTGTGTGTGAAGCCCATTTCTGGAGTTGTTCGCCATGATAATTCAGGGATCTTGCTAAAAGCGGTCTACTCACTCTTTTTTCTCATTATGACATTGCCACGAATAGTCATTCCATTCTCATGCAGCGTTCATTCAGTCACTCCTCATGAACCATCCTCAAAAACAGATAATCACTTGACACCTTACATCCATTTGTAGCAAGGGTATTATGGCTGAGATGGAGTGAACGAGAAAACCCCAATTGGCGTCAAACAAAAAAGATAATTTTCCATCGCATATCATTTCCACATAGCCATGCTGTACACCCATTGCAATTGCTGTTCCTATTCATATACGGTATGTTGCGCAGTTCTGTTATTGATTGTTGAAGTAGCTTGTTCAACTCAAGCGTATAACTGAATCACATAGCAAACAAATATGATGTAAAAATGTGTGATGTTTCATTGATTGCTTCTCGCGGAAGGTGTTTACCATGTGATTTAGATCAATTAGATTTTGAAGACAGTAAGCCAGTTAGCGGTATTTTCTCACACTCAAGTTGTGTCGATGGAAGAATTTCTACTCTGTGGGGACCCGGGTTTGAATGTGCCCCCATCACGTCGCGGATGGAACTAAATGAGAGGCAGTTGGAATCTCTAGGTCTACTTTGGTGCCGAGTAACGCATTCGTAACTACTCGCTGCTTTCCGCGACTTACGCCATCCGGCTTGTGGGAATGACACGAGTAGTTTACGAATGCCGAGTAACTCAGAAGGGGTCCAGGTACATTTCTGTATGCAGAAATGTACCCTAAACCAAGTCAAAATACAGAAACGTACCCAGTACCCTTAACGGCTGTCGAGTCCATATTCCGTAAACCCAAACCGAAACTGTATGTAGATGCTGCCGTTCAACTGACTGCGAGTGGTATTGTGCACACGAAATATTCGTTACGGCGTATGCTCGTTTCTTATATACAGTAGTTCAATAAAATGCATCTAACGGTATGAGGGGCGGTGATGTAGCCACATGGGTGCAATGTGTGAAGACCATTTCTGGTGTTCCCGACCGTGATATTGCTGGAATATTGCTATAAGAGCGGCGTAAAACCATACTCACTCTTAACAGTATGACAGTTCCGATCAAGAAAAAGGCACAGTGCGGAATGGACTCGTCCTTGGATACGTTTCTATATTCTGATTTTGTATACAGAAACGTACACTGTATACACATATGTAGTACCCGTGCCGACAACGACCCCTACAGCTTGGTAACCTATGCTGCATGCTCGTATACATGAGGCGACGTATTGCGACTACAGGCTCGGTTGCTGCCGTTCCAACGTACCCCGCTTGCGTGATTCATTGCTCATAATATCAATCACTGGATTTTTCTGACCCAGACTCGATTAATTACATTCCGTCGTCATGGAGATGGAATATTGCTGAGAGCATACACGCACGCACGTACACCTGCATGTTGGCGGATCAGAGATTTACACATCTTGTTTTGCTTTCCACAGGGCGACCGAGTGAGCTTCATGGACTTCAGATGAAGATAGCAGATAAATACAACGTACACGAAATCACACGCAGGCTGCAGGTACGCAGTATTACATTCAGTAGTTACGGAGTTGAGTTTCTTTTTTATGCCAGGATCCGCTGATCTTGACTTCGAATATCAGTTATGATCCTTTGTTGAGCATTTAAACGTCAGCGACTTACTCCAAATTGAACACCTTGAACGCTCAAAGGTGTTTTTTATTCTGGCATTGAAGCTAGCTTGCTGGGTAAATCAGTGTAATAATGAAGACCATTACATATTCGAAACTGAGACTGACAAACCAACTGCTGACATTATTAGCTATATTTTTCAATTACAATCGGCCAATTTAGCATTCAGTTTAATTTAGCATTCTACTTCTCTGCCGGCGATTTTTTTTGTTCCTAAGGGCGATAACTCTTATTTTGCAATAATTTAAGCGAAAACCCAATTTGAAAAAAATCCCGCCCATTCGAGAGAGGTGGCCTACTGTCCTGATGTTCATTGACCTGATTGACACACATGCAATAGCTGTCTGTAACGACAAGCCATGAGTCAGATCTGCGCCACTAAACTATGACTAGTACCGACAGCACCGCTAAATGTCCCTACCTAAAATGCAAATGAGGCACTCGCGGCCATGAACGTTCCAACATTGGTCCTCTGAATGAGTATTCTGTGACTGTACGTATTTCTGATGTGCAGTGTAAAAACACTAAATGCCAACCAACACCAGAGAAGAATGATACTCGATTAGCAGCTTGAAACAGATTCCACTGGGCTCGAAATGCAATTTAGTGTAAAACCACAAACATGGTAACGCGAGGTGTTCGCGAAAAGGGCAAATGAGTCCTGTCCGTCACGTAATGGCTTCTAAACAATTGAATCCCGACCAGACAATGACGTTATCGAAAGTCAGTCCAGCTATAGTAATATCTGAGTCAATCATATTTCAGTGAGTTCAGATTTACGCCTCACTCAGCAATATAACAGCTATACGGCGGCGGTCTGTAAATAATCGAGTCTGGACCTTGCAATCCAGTGATCAACAGCATGAGCATCGATCTACACACTTGGGACACGATGACATGTGTCAACCAAGTCTGCGAGCCTGACCAACCGATCCCGTTAGTCACCTTTTACCAATCATATTTCATATTTCAGCTGGACGGGCCTGAGCTGAGCAACTTGAAGGACAAGTCTGACATGAAAAAATACCAGGTAGGTCTAACCTAATGTGTAATAGATTTAAAACAATTTATGTTTATAGCTCAAACCCTGATTCACAACTGAGGGTAACTGGTTATTTAATTAAATCATGTTTAATCATCACGTTGGGTGGAACTGGGCCGCCTCCATAACGCAGAATCTCGCTCCACTTACCCATAAGCTGCTGAACTGAACTGAACTTTATTTCAACTCAGGCCGCAGACAGCAGCATATGAGGTATATATATATATATGTGTGTGTGTGGTGCGACATCTATTTTCCGTGAGCAGCAATAGCCTAGGCAAATATTGTCCAAGGTAAGTTTTTATACAATCATTTTCTGGAATATTATCTCAAACGAATATTCTTTAATTTGGAACATATCTGACCAGGAAACAGTATTCGCGTCCACACGCTCTAGCAAATAAATATGTCTGTTTCAGTACTCCTTTGAACTTGAACACCGTGTTCTGCAGAGAATCAACATGAGCAGCTTGATGGAGTCGTCGTCGTAGGACACCTTGCCACTGACCACGCTAGATCTGTACCAGGAACGCCTTTCCTATATTACGTTTGCTCTTTAGCACAGATAAAAAGTCTCATCTTTTGCTTTTTTTTGCCTATAAGGAAATGTCATCTTTAGGACGATTTTGCCCCCGTCCTGCTGCCGTCTTTTGCGTGCTGAATATAGTTGATTTGTAGATTATGACGATTTTGTCGCGATATATTCATTTCTAGCTTGTGTCCTTTGTGCGTGTGTGAAATGGTACCTATTAGGCTGCACAATTACTTGACGGATCTGCATCAATGTCCAGAAAGAACATACTGCCATTGTATGCTATTGTTTTGAATGTCTTAACTTTCTCCTTAACCAAATTCTTTTGGCATCAGTACTTTGGTCAATACACCGTAGGAATGGTTTTATACTGATGGTTTGACACCCATAACAGTACATTGATGAGTGGTTAAACATTCTTTCTATCACCATGATGAGAAAACGAATGAATCACAGTAACATTCACGACCTATTTTACTCGCTGATCCACGGGGGGTTATCCGTCTTAGATGGTTTTGTCAGAAATGGCGGCTCACTAAAGATCAAAGGTCCAAACCGGAAGTCTCTCCTGATTGGATGCATTGAAGAGGAGCAGGAACGTGTGTTCTTTAGGTGTCTTCAGTTAGGCGTTGATGTTTCCGCGGCTGATGAACTCGGAAGAACTGCTTTACACTGGGCGTGTTTGCAAGGGAAGATTGATTTTGTGAAGGCCCTGCTTGCCCGTGGAGCAAATATAGACCAGATGGACAAGGAGCTAAACACATGTCTGATGCTAGCTGTGACAAGCAACCATTACGAAATCGTAGAACATCTTTGTAGATCAGGTTGCAATGTCAATGCCAAAGACGAGGATGGCGTTTCTGCTTTGCATTTGGCTTGTCAAATTATGCAGAGGGATGTTGTAAGGTTGTTGCTGCAGTATGGTGCTGACTGCACAGTTAAAACCAACCGAGGGGAATCCCCAATAACCTTCTGTCTGTCCAACAAAGACATAGAAACAGTTCAGATCCTCCTCAAATCAAACGCGAGATTTGCCGAGGGCGACACATATTCCCAGGATCTACTAAACGCTGTTGAAAGAAATTATACAGATGCTGTTCAGGTACTTCTATCATCTGGTGTAGATCCATGTCCAGACAACATAACCGATTCGGCCAAGTCAATGATTGTATCAAATTTCACCTGGCCGATTCTACGTAGTTCACTTATTTCTGAATATGGCTACCTTACAACTTCCGGTCCTGAGAACAAACTTGTGGAGCACATCGTTGGTAATCGCCTGTTCGCGAAGGGATCACGACAAATCTTGGAACTCGCAGTCCTGTATGGCCTACAGATCCCCAGCTCAGGGAAGATGTGGGTTTGTCCAAAGGGTTTAACTGATATGTGTAGGTCTTATTTGTTAACGATCAAAGACGAGAAAGGATGCCAAATGCTTAGCTTAAAACTACTGTGTAGAACCCGGATCAGATGTTGTTTGGGTCTTGGTGTGGTTCGGAAGGTTCAGACACTACCACTGCCCTGTCGGCTTCAGCGGTACTTGTGCTTCTCTAGAGAATATTGCCTTGACAAGCCACTGTTTTGAAGGTCGTATTTAACACTGGTATAATCGTAATGGAACTTCTTGTCGCCGTGGGGGCGGTGGGGTAGTCTAGTGGTTAAAGCATTGGCTCGTCATGCCGAAGACCCGGGTTCGAATCCCCACATTGGTACAATGTGTGAAGCCCATTTCTGGTGTCCCCCCGCCGTGATGTTGCTGGAATATTGCTAAAAGCGGCGTAAAACAAAACTCAGTCAGTCAGTCTTGTCGCCGTGACAACATAAATGGGCTTCACACGTATAAAATATAACTAGTCACTCGTACTAGTCGCTACATTAGTTGAGTTCTCAGCTCCCATACATGTATATGACAGTTTGATAGTCGCGGGACGTATGATTTTGTAACTTATATATTTGATATCTGTATATGTATATAAAAGAAAACGTTTTTGTTGTACCTGTGAAAAAGCATCGATTTGGAAAAAATGGTTTAATAGGAACATGGGTATATATATTTTTTATATATGAATAAATAATATATGACTGAAAGATAGAGTTGTTATATTTTTCGGTTAACCTGCACAATATGGAATCCACACGCCTTCCATGTTGCGGTTCGTCACGATATGGCTGAAATATTGCCGATGTGACGTTAAATATTAACTCACTCACTCCATGTTGCGGTACAAATGTCAGCGCACCCACGCATAAGGGATACCAGTTGTATAGTAATTCAAACTAGAAAATTGATTTACAAATATACAGCAGTAACAGTATGAAGGGGTTTCTGACATCCCACAGGAAAAAAGGATTCACTGAGTATTCCTTTAAAAAGATAAAACCATTCCAGAAATCAGGGGTTGTAAATGGGCGCCCCAATACTAACACCAGGATCGATGACTGCATAGTAATCAGAAGTGTTGTTTCTCACTGATTGTATGTACCTTGTTTCATCAGTGATGAAACTCCTTGTCTTAGTCGGGGTAGACACCATGCAAACAAGTTGTTAAGATTTTCACGCCGCGATATTCTAACTACAGTCAAACAACCGTTGTGTTGTAGTTGACAGGGCCGACGTAAATGTTTTGAGTTGTCCAAGGTTCTATACAACCGAAAAATGATGTATAGAGAATCTGCAAGAAGATCCCAAACTTCGAAGACCGTTTATAGGTGTGTCACAATGTATATGTATATAGTCTATATATAGTCTGACTAGTCAGTAAGGCGCCTCTTACGACCAGTATAGGTACCTCATGACCAAATCTAACCCAGCGTCCCTACAAGCAGGCTTGACACACACGTTTGTGTATTCGTTGAAATAAACTGTACGGGTGCCAACTGTAAAGGACCCTTTGCATAATACCACGATGTTTATTGGCGGATCTCCCCCCCCAAAAAAAAAAAGGGGGGGGAGAGAGGTGTCTCCAAAACACCCCCCACCCTCTTGAAAATGACTTAAGATATGATTGAAGATTTTTTATGCGTTGGCAGAGCAAACGCAACAGCCACCCCACCCCCTCCCCCTCTTTCAAAATACCTGGATCCGCCCATGATGTTTATTGTTACAAATGGCACAAAAAGCAAGAAGGCACTGTAGCTCACCTGACTTTCTGGAATAGTATATTAGATCTGAAAGTCCACCTATGGGTATGTGCTGTGCTATGCATTAGTGATGGGGTAAACGCTACACAAGCACATGACGAATGCTATGGCACTTAGGGAGCCACAGCAATACACGATGGTCAAAGAGTAATCTTGTGCCAACTATCACAATACATTCACTCTCGAATATTTGCGAGTACAAGAAGACTGTTGTGATTTCCTTGCTAGAACCGCGACGAAAGAGCAGTAAACATACACCACGTCTGGCTCTACCAGCAGTCAAATAATGAAGCCGACATTATCAATAGGTACCGATTCATTGGTGTGTTTACACACACTCCGGCGCAGTGATGACTTAGCATAACATCACTGCCACAGGCTAATTTGCATATCACGTGACCGGACTTTTCTCTTGTTTGTAAACAAACGCGCATATTCATAATAAGAAGAGACTGGCCTTACGCAAGCTTTCGGCGCGCTCTTTACAATGTTTTACATTGTTACATATATATTCTTCCACAACTGCGACAGTAATATTTATGAAGTACATATTTGGACATCAACTGGTTGCATCGTTTGCTCTCTGTCGGCTTCGATGACAGCACGTGGAGCCGTACAACCTATGTAAACAAAGGATCGCTACGCAAATCGAAATAGTGTTACATGTTTTAGGATATTTTCTCAGTGAAACTAAACCATTCTATCAAAGATGTTTAATTAGATGTTTAGGCTCGTCAAAAATAAATATGTACATTATATTGAATGGACGGTGCAAGATCTGACGAATCGTCACATCTTTCTGGCCTGTGGCAGACTATGCTGGCTTGCCGCATGGAACTCTGGGTAGGAGATTGGTGTTAATTTACAGTTATGTGAAGAAATCTATAAAACAAATCGTTCATCTCAACAACGCCAAAACCTGTCAGCACCCAGACTAAACCACGAATTTTCATTTTCTGAAGTCAAACACGATTTTCAACCACAGAATCACAACTGACTCTGCAATCAGTAACTGGAGTATCCACTCCAGACAGATGACATTCGCCAGGCAACTCATCGTGCTGCTGATTCAACACTGAGGTCCTCTACCGCTCTTGGTGGGATAGTCCATTCAGATGTTGAACGAGGGATCTGTTGTTCTCACTTGGCGGCTAAGATAACCCCAAGATGTTCAGCTGGGGTCAGACTATTGTTTGTCATTATCTGGATTTCGAATCAGGTGTTTGTTAATTTATGCTCATGTGTATAGACTATGTTGTTTATTTGGTGTGGAAAAACAGTATTTTTCTGAACACATAAAATCAGTAGGTCAAATGAGCGAAAACTTCAGTCAGAAATCACTTTGAAAATACATTGTATATAATTAACAGCGTTAATAAGTTAAAAATGATATTTCATGTCAGGCCGGAAATTTCAATTTTTTTTGGAGACCATCTGGTTAATTTACGTGTCAAATAATTCAGCAGGATTTCTTTAAATGAGGGATTGATGTGTTTAGTCATGGCCTTCAGCTTCTAAACTATGTGGGTCCAGTTGTCGGCCTTCCAGTTTTTATCAATTTCTAACACTGACGAAAAACCGAGCATTTGTCTTTCTAGACAAATGTTCATAACGGGCAGCTGACACTGATATTCTCATGTATGACAAAACCTACGAATGGAAATGTCAAATTTGTGAAGTCACGCAATGAAAAGTTAAACACGTCCCACGTCCCCTATAATAATTTCCATAGCATATAATTAGAGCAAGTGACATTTCATATTTGTTGGGAGAAATTATACGATATTTTTAATGTAACAGCCGTTTCGGCTGCTTTTAAAACCTGATCGGACAGCTAGGCCTACTTGTCCTTCCACTAGAGTTCAATAATAGGGATGATGAGTAGGACTCTTTGTTCTTGTTCATGTGTGTTCTGAAAGTAGCAATTAAGGTATAAGTTTGTCAGGACGTTGATAAGATGCCTTACTTCCAAGTTTACAAGAGGACAAAGTAATCTTTATCCCCCGCAGTGGAAAACTGTCTTGAAAACATAAACTAGTTACACGTACATATATTGATTGCATGTCAAATGTGATGGTATTTGTTGACTAATTTTCAAAACACTTTCTCGTTGCTCTACTGGATAGCTGAATGCATTTTTACTGTTCCACTTTTCACACTAAGGAGTGTTACATCAGTGAATGATGGAAAGAAAGTCACAGGAAAAAAGTCACGGATAAAAAATCACTGGAAAAGAATTCAACCGTTACTGTGACTTATTTTCCTGTGACTTTATCAGTGACTTTCTTTCCGATCACCAAATCAGTATGGGTGACACATATGAATGTTCCAAAATGCCAATCTACCAGAAAGGATCAGTTCACCACGAGACCTGTGCCAGCTTTGGTGAAGAAATATTCTGAGGTTTTCAAGATCTGCTCCGGAAATGGACAAAACTGCAGTTTCCATGCCAACGTCAAAGTTGATAGCACGGAAACTCGAAAAGGTATTTTCCAAAAATGTGAAATCATCAGCTCACCACAAGACATATACATATGACACCGCTGAAGAAATATTGTAGAAATATTGTTGTTACCATCGAAACTTGAAGAATTATGTTTCAAAACTCTCAAACTATCAAAAGGGATTAGTTCCTCACCTTCAGCAACCCATCAGAAGACAAATGTCAATGATAGCACTAATCACACCCTGCACATGTATACCATGAACTGATACATACAAAACTTGAGCAATAGGCTTTTCTCAATGAAGTTGATTTATTTTTACAGGCTGTAAATATCTGGTGTTGACGCCTTTTTGAAGAATATGCCAATGTTGTTGCAAGTGCAATAAATATCCACAGCATATTTATAAGGGCGTTGTCAGACATATGAACTACGAGCACATGTTCGTTTATTCGAACTTTAACCTCACACTCCGCAAGACATCCCACTTTATCACGGCGGTCTGTAAAAAATCGAATCCAGTGATGTAAATAACGAGTAACGATCTAAGCAGTTGAGACAAGAGTCATCAGAAGATGGCATATCCCCCCGCCGGCCCCCACATCTTTGAAAGAACAAATCATCTGACAGTTACTTAAAGTCCAGCTTGATTTTAGACTAAGTGCAAATCGTTCCCATGGAAATCATGGAAAAAATAAGTGACAAATATCTGCAAATAGCAAAAGGCACCACTTCAAGATCTGCCTCACATATCTGCCAAGTTTTACTGAAAGATATTAAGACGTTTTTGATTTGTGCTCCGGAAACGAAACCTACCCCTCCTTTTGGGACTAAGTCTGAATCGTTTCCATGGAAACAGGGAAAAATAAAAATGCCAAAAATCTGCAAAAAGCAAAAGGCACCACTTAAGGTTCTGTTTGATATATCTACAAAGTTTTGTTGAAAAATATTGAACGGTTCTTGAGTTATGCTCCGGAAACGAAACCCCCCTCACTTTTGGGCCTAAGTCCGAATCGTTTCCATGGAAACAGGGAAAAATACAAATGCCAAAAATCTGCAAATAGCAAAAGGCACCACTTTAGGATCTGTTTGATATATCTACCAAGTTTTGTTAAAATATAGAAAGGTTCTTGAGTTATACTCCGGAAACGAAGCCCCCCTCACTTTTGGGATTAAGTCCGAATCGTTTCCATGGAAACAGGGAAAAATACAAATGCCCAAAAAAAAGCAAATAGCAAAAGGCACAACTTTAGGATCTGTTTGATATATCTACCAAGTTTTGTTGAAAAATATTGAACGGTTCTTGAGTTATGCTTCGGAAACGAAGCCCACCCCTCACTTTTGGGACTAAGTCCGAATCGTTTCCATGGAAACCGGGAAAAATAAAAATGCCAAAATCTGCAAATAGCAAAAGGCACCATTTAAGGTTCTGTTTGATATATCTACCAAGTCTTGTTGAAAAATATTGAACGGTTCTTGAGTTATGCTCCGGAAACGAAGCCCACCCCTCTTTAAGACTAAGTCCAAAACGTTTCCATGGAAACCGAGAAAAATAAAAATGACAATAATCTGTAAATAGCAAAAGGCACCACCTTAGGTTATGTTTGACATATCTACCAATTTTTGTTGAAAAATATCGAACGGTCTTTGAGTTATGCTCCGGAAACAAAATAATTACGGACGGACGGACGGACGGACGAGGCGACGACGACTATATCCCACCGCATTACATGCCGGTGGGATAATAAGACCAGCATAAACCAAGTCAACCAGTTTGACGTCAAGCATGGGTTGCTGGACCAAGTGTAACTCTGATCTTCAAGGAGCGCAACATTTAGTGAAACAACATTATTACTCTTGACTGTCTTGTTCGGTTAACTTGTACAATAAACTGACATAGTGCTGAAGTTTGTTTCTAACAAATATAACTTATTTCAAAACTACATAAATAAGGCTTTTTTCCATAAAATCTCTGCTCTTTCGAATCGGAAATCTTCTATCACGGCTTTGAACGAGTAGCAAGCTTGCAAGTTAAAAGCAGTATCTGAGGCAAGAAAGATCTACGAAGAAGGCGGGTGTGTGGAATGCAACTGTTCATATCTGTAGGAAGAAAACAGGACTCGATGTGTTGGCATATTATGATAATAAACTGTATGACAGCATGTTGTTGCTTTCTTTACATTTCAAGGAAAAGACAAACAAATTTCACGCAATCCACTCATGCCCTTACTCCCCATAGGCGGATCCAGAGGAGGAGGGGGGTGCGCCCCCCCCCCCCTTGTGCTGAAAGTTTGTTAAATGACCAATGAAACTCAGATAAAAAATCAAGTATGCACCCTCCTTTTCTCAATAGTGTGCCCACCCCTCTCAAAAAGCTGCTCCCCGTGCAGTGTTTAAGGTTTTTGATAAGCTTTAGTGTATTTTGACAAAGTTAATTACATGACCTCTCGTGATAAAATAATTGCGTCTGAAAGATTTTCTCTGGTAATAATGTAAACAGTCTGAAGGAAATCCTTGCAAGTTCGAAAACAAACAATTCGTCCTGACAACTGAGGAGCGATGGATCAGGACATGATTATCGTGGCTGATTCTTGTTCGCCAGTTGTCATTTGTCATCTGACATTTCTCATGCTCGGGTATAATTACTGTTAATCCATATGTGCGATTATTAAACAATCTGAACCCTTGTTATCTAAATTTAGCGGTAAAATAATCTGAAATATTAGCAGAATTCACTATTGGCAAATCTTTACAACTTAATATAATTATATCAAGTCACAATACATTCCATCGCCCTTGAAAGTGTCGTAATTTCGTATTTTATCAAAATATCAATATCTTCATTCACATCCGACGCTTAGACGCTATATCACTGCCAACCAAAGCATGCGATTCTCCATTACGGCGAGGAGCTGGTTAACCGTAGAAGATGTAGTTCATACACAATACATATCTCATTGTATACCATCTCATAGCCATCACAGAGACCGTTCCATACACCTAATAGCTATGAAGACCTCTTTTAGCAATACCAGGATATCTAGCCGTGCGACTGACAGGATCATTCATAGGCGTTTACTCTAAGTAGCAGCTAATAAATGATTTACAGTACACATGCGTATACATATAAAATCCCGGTAATATCGATCTTTGGAGCTAACAGCCGTGAATGTAATTTTAATCCGCAGACAGAAATAGTCCAGCTTTATCACGGGGGCATGTACCCCAATCGCGCCTGGTCAGGCGTTCTTCTGTTGTATGAACAAAGATGGTGTGTGTAGCTTCCGAGGTCGGATGACGCACTATTTGCAATGAGACACATACAGTTTGGGATTTAGTGACCATCCGAGCTTCACTGTAATATACTCATCAGCAGGTATCACCATATAGAACAGGGGTTGAAAATGTTTTCAAAAGTCCACTGGACACAAGTCCAGTAAACTTTTAAAATCCACTTTACCACGTATTAAATTCACTTGACCACAATTAACAATTTGGTTTCATTTGCAAATAATCTTTATCAATCGGTAGCAATTGCATTTTTGTTTCATCATCAAAATACATATAACAAAACAATTCAGTAGTTCCGCACTACTGTATCACCGTAAAGAGGATATTTATTTGACCGACTGGAGAATTCCACTCGACCCGGACGTCGGGCAATGGTATTTTTCAACCCCTGTGGGAAACGGGAACACAACAGTTAAACCCGACTTTGATCCCAAGTCCTTATAACATACATTTATTAATCCCTTACCATCGTGCGTAACAGACATTTGTCTTGTGAAACGACTGGAGTTAATTAAAGTTATTTGAGTGGTTTCTCTGTAAGAAAGGGATGACATCAAGTTTAGGAACTTGTACCAGATTCTAAAGAATAATGGGGCAGCTAATTAACGCTACAGGATAGCACATGGATCAATAAGTAAACGTTTTTCACAACTTATAAAATTAGTTTAATGACAGTAAGTAAATATACATCATGCATAATGTTTGTAAGTGCACAGGTATGTTAAACCGAGTTGAATGAAGAGCTAGGTGCGCCCCGACCAGTTCTCAGAAAGGGAAATCAGTTTCCAGTGTCTTTAATAGTCTCCTTTGAATCAATAACCGTTGCGTTCTGAAAATAGGAAACATAATGTCACTTCGAGTGAAAATATCAATCAAGAAAGGTTTTGCTAGATTGATTTAGCAGTCTGAATAACCCTCCCCACATTGACTTAGATTTCATGGTTCAAGACCTGAGAGAGGCTTCCTCTAGAGACCTTTATATGATTAATGAGGTCGTAACCATTCTGTGTCATACTGTGTGTGCCCTAGTGAACAGACTGTTGGAACAAACACATGGAGCAGGCTCATTATAAATGTCTTTGGCAAATACTGGCAACCTTAACACATCAACCCATTACGATTTTATGAGGAAACCCGAACAAGAACTAACTGCTTCTAGAAGAAAGAGCGGTATGCGTTTTCTTCTGTCTGTCTTTGCAAATGCAATTTGTGGGTGCATTATTAAGTTTAATAATGTCTTTACTCATGAGATAAAATGAATCATGGATTCAGCATAATGTGATACCAGCCCCCAAAGCGATCGCGAAAGTAACATTTGTTGTAGTGTAATTCTTGACATATAATTACGATTTGCAGCATTTACCTGGGCAGTTGGAAATAAAAAGGAAATGAATAATAGGATTTTGGGAAAAACAATGAAATGACTAGAACTAGAGGATCCATTTAAAGCATTTCAGTCACCAGAGTTGTTCAACATGCTTTGAATGGATTCGGTGTTTCAACAATTCAAACACTACAGTCAACATTTAGTTCTACAGCCAGAGGAAGTATTAGATATATTTAATCCATTATAATCAATCCACAATTTGGTACATTAGTAGTACATCATATCAGTATGAATCTGGATACATGTATTGTAGCAGGATAAAGAAAGCACAGATGCATCTTCTAAAAATGTCACAGAATCTATTCTGGATGTAAAGCAACTTGTGGTAAAATGATGGGGATGTAAACTTTTTAAATCAATAAATGTGTTATTGGAAATCTAAACAAAACAAACCATAACAATCCTGTGAAGAAATAGTTGGTTAGTACACGGGACCTCGGAGCTTTCACAAAACCGAAAATACATTTGTAATTATCCATATGTCGGTTGGTAGCAGAATGTTACATTTTAAGTAAGAGAAAAAACGATTGATTCTTATCACTTGTTGGAACCATCTAATGTGCACAATATTGAAAAACATGAAAGGGCGAGTTGTCCAAGAATTACCAATATACTAGTGCTGATATTAACCTTCTTTAAATCTGGTCACCTGATATTCAAATAACATAATATCGCCTTTGGTGACCAAACACAGAAACAGGCTTTACATAATAGTAGTGTGGAATGCTCGTAGCCCTAAAGAGGCATAAACTTGATTACAACCTAAAGCAAAGAGATCAAATATAGGCTACATGCTACTAATATACATCTGAAACAAGCACGCAAACACACAGGAAGGGAATAAATATCAGTACCGACCCCCCAATTGCCGTTTCTGATAAAGGGACCAGTAATCACCAGTACCGGGTTATCCACGGTGTTCAGCATGTGCAGATCAATAATTTCTAGTCTTGGCGGGTTTAAATCCCTCTCGTGTTTCGCCGACAGATACGGCGTATCATCATCGTCGTCTTCAAACCGTTGGCCTCCCAGACAAGCAAATGATGTCAGCGCTGTAGAGAGTGATCGCCGTGCCCTGATGCCGATTTTTCGGAGCCTATCCAAACTTGAACGCCTCTCCAAACTATGCCCCCTCAATTTGACATTTTCCCCAGATTCCTCCAATTTGGAACGTTGCTCTCTTTCCAGTGTATTCTCGGGGCTCAATTCTTCTATCAGTTCCCCGTGAATCGCCGTGTCCTTTTGACGGGACCAACGCCAGCTGGGCACGCGCAATCGGTAGAATTTGAATGATGGGAATTTAAATGTCTCTTTGCATTTATCGTCTCCCGACTCGTGTATTGATGACTCCGACAACGCAGCTGACCCTTTTCTTGTATCTTCCCCTGAAGAAACTGTTGCAGAAAGTGTATCATTCGAACAGTCCATGTCTTCCTGATACTCATATTTTGACCACATCGTCATATTCGAGAGTCCATCACTGTCGATTCGTTTCTTGCGTTTTGGGTGACAGTTATCGTCATCATCCGGGTTAAAGGTGAGCTCAAGTCGCACTGTGGTATCCGTGGCCATTATGCATGGAAACAATCACTCAAAGGTTCCAGTAATTCTATGTAAAGAACATTATTATTCGAAACATCAACATCGTTCCTTTCTGATTAGCAGACGATGCATCGAAGTGCGCATGCTCAGACAAGGGACGTAACTGTTGAGAACTATTTTCCAACAACCAGACAGAGCAGTCGAGGACAATCAATGAGGAACATATCATGTGGTGGGTCTATATGCACACATGTGCATTAAACGAACAAGGCATTGTAAACAAATCAATTCTTTATTAAACTCGATCTCGATAGTTAGGGCAGGGATACTCTACAACAGGGATAGGTCACTCGCTTGCTTTCTTTACCATTTGTACTAATTAACGTGTGCCTCGTCATGCTCCAACGCACACAGTGACTTGGTTCGGTCCCAGCGCAACTTCGGCTGCGTTTAACAGTACTTCAGCCAGTGTATTGTATCAGTCGGAATTTTACAATGAATGAATGAATGAATGAATGAATGAATGAATGAATGAATGAATGAATGAATGAATGAATGAATGAATGAATGAATGAATGAATGAATGAATGAATGAATGAATGAATGAATGAATAGCAAGAATTTTATGTGAATGAATGAAAGAATAAATGATACACCACGGCCATCCCTCCCCAAACATGTTAAAGAACGCAAAACTATCGGTAGAACACATATGTTAACATCAGCTGTCCTTTTTAAAAAATAAATTACTTTGAGACATGTTTTTACATTAGTAACTAATTCAGATATCTCATTGCATGTGTGGAATGAGATGGGCATTGACAGAATGTTAACTGACACTGTCACAGACCCCTCGAGAACAGAAAGTTTAGAACTATCACAAAGCGTTGTAAACACCTTTCCAGTTTTGTCAAATACTAAGATCAACAAGAAAGAAAGAAGTTTTAGAACTATAACACTCATGCATCACAAGCACCAATGGCGATATGTCATATTTTTCACACACCTCAAATACACACTAACAATGTTTTTTAAATTATAAAACTATCACTATTACTTGCAAACACCTTTCACCTGATGGTATATTCCCCTTATAAAAATTGAAGGAGTATGTGAAAGATGTTTTGAACACTAACTAGAAACACTCAAACAACGCCCTGTAGTATGGGAACTAGTCAAAAGGGCCGAAGGACAAAAGGGCCGAGAAGTGCCTAGTCAAAAGGGCCGATGGAAAAAGTCAAAAGGGCCGAGGTGAAAGTCAAAAGGGCCGTGACAAAAAGTCAAAAGGGCCGAGGTGAAAGTCAAATGGGCCGAATAGAAAAAAAGTTTAGAAAGGTTTTACATTATTTATTGACACATATAACATAATATCAGCATAACATTAATAAAGCATTTAGCCAAGTTTTCATGTAATGGCAATACATATATCTAATCAACACAAGGTCACATAATTAACAAAAATAACATTATGGCAATTTACACAAGTTCAATCATTCATAATTCACACAAGTTCATTCGTTCATAATTCACACAAGTTCATAATTGGTGCGGACTGACTGGTTGAATACACACCAACTGACCACTGTGAAGATGGAGTGACTCATCCACTGTCGCTCCATGTAGACACAGAGATCAACCAGCTTCTGTGACGACGCTCTCAAGACAAGAATAGGAACAGAAGATGACTGAAAAATGTGGCTATATGAATATGATGCTTATACGAATGAATGAATGTGTTCCTGGCAATGTCGCCAGATGGCTTGTGTAAGATGGAAAACACAGCCGCGTATCTTGACATCGGGGAGGAGTCGATCAAATACCTTCCATGTGGCAGCTTCGAAATCCATCATAATGCATCGGACTTGGGGTGGACGGGGTAGGACGTGCAGCATCTTCGTATGACTTTCAAATTCAAATTCCAAATCTTTCGGATTCTTTGGCCGAAGTTTTTCTCTACACCTGTTGGCGATACGAGCCAAATATTCAGGGTTGTCTCTGCTCCCGGATGGCAGTATTGGATCTACCATATCGCTGGTGACATCCTCAGCTATTGACCTGGCAGACTTACACAGGTCTTGCGTTGCAGTCCTCTTCACCTATAACAACAAGGTTGATTGATCCAATTAAGAATCAATTCAATTCGTTAACATCTACCAATTAACAATTAAGGATGTTCAATTGACAATTTAACTAATCCTAATTAGGAATCAATCAATAGAAAGTACTACTCACCTGAGCTCTTACTTGGACTGAAACAATTTTGCCTGCCTCTGCTGTGTGGCTGTGGCTATGTTTGCCTTGCACTCTGTCTCCTGTTGATTTGGTCTCGGCAACAGTTGCCTTACAGGGACGTTTGCTACATCTGTAGTAAACCTTATTCTGAGTGACCTCCTGAAAGATGTAATTAAATAACGTTAATATAACGTCAAAAACAATAACATTAAATATAGAAATATCCAGGTATAGTATGGTTGATACAATAGGATTAAGATGTAACAATACCTTTATTACGTAGGTGAATCCATTCCTGTCTACCAGCTTGGGATTTGATTTCTGTGAGCCGTCCGATACCAACGTGTATAGAGGATCTTCCACCTCCCGCTCCTCCGCAAGAATTTCCTCCTCCATTGATCTGTTATGTCAATAGAAAATTGTGTTATTAAAATACATAAACTTGAAAATATATAATATATATAATTGTTTGATCGACATTAAGTTATATGTTATACATTATGATGTTAAATATACTTACACTTCCTAAACATCAAGAGTGTCATCGAAAGCAACGGATGGAGCATCTATTGAAGAATCCAACTCGAGAGTGAAGTTAGGAATAGATGTCTTGCATAAATGACACAAGAAATTGAATTCTTCTCCACTTCTGCATAAGTCTAGGTAGCCGACACGAGTCATCCCTGTCCCACAAATCCTGTGTGTCCATGACTGACATTGATCACACTCTAAGGGATGCTGATTTCTTCTTATAGTCTTAGGGCACTGTGCACACTGGACAGCCATGGTTAGTGTTGTGAATGTTGTATGTTGGGAAGCAGGTTATATACCATATTGTCAATTGAAGTGAGTTCATTAGTTAAGACACTGAGTCGACAACAACAACAAAAACAAACATCCCACACGGATTAGTCATGACACTGAGTCTCATGTTCAAATTCCATTGAAAATAAACAAAAACAACAAACTAAACACTATTCATACTATTTTTCCTACGTAATTTATTAAATTATCATTTATCAAATTTTATTTTATTTTCGGCCCTTTTTTCGGCCTTTTTGACTTTTCATTTCGGCCTATTTGACTTTTAGCCTCGGCCCTTTTGACTCTTTTTTTCGGCCCTTTTGTCTTTCGGCCCTTTTGACTACAACCCTTAAAAACTACGCTGCCGCCATATTGGCTACACTGGTCACGTGACGAGCCGAGGCATAGCTTAGGAGCTTTCCGAGGAGTGACCACTCCCCCTTATAGAGTCTCCCTGGTTTAACAGTACTTCAGCCAGTGTATTGTATCAGTCGGAATTTTACAATGAATGAATGAATGAATGAATGAATTAAGAGCAAGAATTTTATGTGAATGAATGAAAGAAATTAAGAAAAAGAACAAAAGGAAAAGAACATATGTGAATGAATGAAAGAATAAATGATACACCATGGCCATCCCTCCCCAAACATGTTAAAGAACGCAAAACTATCGGTAGAACACAAATGTTAACATCAGCTGTCCTTTTTCCAAAAAAAATTACTTTGAGACATGTTTTTACATTAGTAACTAATTCAGATATCTTATTGCATGTGTGGAATGACATGGGCATTGACAGAATGTTAACTGACACTGTCACAGACCCCTCAAGAACAGAAAGTTTAGAACTATCACAAAGCGTTGTAAACACCTTTCCAGTTTTGTCAAATACTAAGATCAACATGAAAGAAAGACGTTTTAGAACTGTAACACTCAAGCATCACAAGCACCAATGGCGATATGTCATATTTTTCACACACCTCAAATACACACTAACACAAAAAAAAAAAAAAAAGTATCAATGTTACTTGCAAAAACCTTTCACCTGATGGTATATTCCCCTCATAAAAATTGAAGGTGTATGTGAAAGATGTTTTAGAACAATAACTAGAAACACTCAAACAACGCCCTGTAGTATTTCAATGGCAGATCGGCGACATGTCATATTTTTCACACACCTCAAATACACACTAACAATTTTTTTTAAATAATAAAACTATCACTATTACTTGCAAACACCTTTCACGTGATGTCATATTTTTCAATAATAATTCTCAAATACACACTAACAATTTTTTTAAATTATAAAACTATCACTATTACTTGTATGGCATATTTCCTGATAAAAATTAAAGGTATATGTGAAAGATGTTTTTGAACACTAACTAGAAACACTCAAACAACGCCCTGTAGTATTTCAATGGCAGATCGGCGATATGTCATATTTTCACACACCTCAAATACACACTAACAATGTTTTTTAAATTATAAAACTATCACTATTACTTGCAAACACCTTTCACCTGATGGTATATTCCCTTATAAAAATTGAAGGTGTATGTGAAAGATGTTTTTGAACACTAACTAGAAACACTCAAACAACCCCCTGCAGTATTTCAATGGCAGATCGGCGATATGTCATATTTTTCACACACCTCAAATACACACTAACAATTTTTTTTTAAATTATAAAACTATTACTATTACTTGCAAACACCTTTCACCTGATGGTATATTCCCCTCATAAAAATTGAAGGTGTATGTGAAAGATGTTTTGAACACTAACTAGAAACACTCAAACAACGCCCTGTAGTATTTCAATGGCAGATCGGCGATATGTCATATTTTTCACACACCTCAAATACACCCTAGCAAATTTTTTTAGTTATAAAACTATCACTATTACTTGCAAACACCTTTCAACTAAAGGTATATTTCCCTTCTGAAAATTAAACGAATATGTGAAAGAAGTTTTTAGCGATATAATTTAGTCTTTCTTCGCTGTGTACTGAGAATTGAAGCCAGTGAGCTACAACATGCCCACTTGAAACTTTACTACAAAGCTACTGTACTTATACTGACACTAATAACAATTATTTGACTTGAAATGAAGTGACAGAATAGGTA